GGCATGACGTTCATCTCGTGAACCTGGTGGGTTTGGGGCTGAGCCGTATAAGAGAACGCCGTATAACCCTCCCGCGAGAGGGTCATGGAACGTTTCCGCTAGGCATCACTGATCCTAAATCCGTCACCACCCATCTCACCGTCTCAGAACCTTAATTCGCAACCTGGTGAGTGCAGCGAACCACTCACGAGTGCGACCTTTAGCCTGAGTGTCGTCCGCGGATAGAGTAGTGGATGTGTCCGGTCCGCGCGAGAGGTTAACTTGGTGCTGCATTGCATCGTGAGAATGTCAAAAATCACTAATCGCGCACTTTTCTGCATGCATCTTGCAGCACAAACGGGGCACGGGGTCAGCGAGCTCAGGGTCCGCACCACGAGTCAGCAGAGGATAAGCCAAACAGAGGCCAGAGATGCGTCGTGGGCCAGCGATCACGGCTTCCTTTGAAGCTTCAGTCAGTCCATACAGACCTGGCAGCGTGCCTGCCGATGAGCTTGGTGGTCAAAGCACTTGCATTGTTTCGGAGTGGGTGGTTGTGATCCCCGTCTCAGCGGTGTGGCATGCACAGATGCACGATAACTCCCCGTTGGCCAGTTGCATTCCCCCACGCCCTGGTTGACACGGTCTTGCCTTTGATAAAAATAGACTTTGATCAGCGGTAGAAAAAGAAAAGTTGGAGGTAGGTAGATCTGCTACATTGCCATGTAGTAAGCTGACGATTCAACGTTAGACATCGTGTGAGTGGACACCGGAGAATGAGTTTTGGGATCGATCTCATCTCTTTCCCACGTACTGATGACCGCAAGGCTGGGATTTTCAAAGTTTGGGCACAATGACGGTCGATCCCCACAGACAAGAAGTCGACAGTTGAAAGTTGGAGACATTTGATGTACTAGCTTCGCATTAAGCTTGATCAAGTAAGAGGAGAAAAAGACCCGCCGTCCGTTAACCCACGGGAAGCCGCTCGGCAGCAGATATTCCGGGCCGGCGTTTGTCTCAAAGAAGCTTGGGTGGATATGTTTCTCGTATTCATATTCATGCCAATGCCAGAAATGCCAGAAATAGCCCACAACTGAATGGCGCCAACCAGGAATGGGAAATAAGGCTCGGGTGCATTTTCCCTGAGTGGGGTTTTTGCACAAAATCGATCCGCAAATTCCCTTTCACCTCTCATTTTTCATGAGAAAAATGAAGGGATAACGGGAAGTTCCCGTGCACATGACAAGATCGATCTGATTAATCATAACCCACTGCGTTTTATCTTCAGCCCACATTTATCCCTCGCCCACGATGGATAGCTCTAGCTTCCGAATGCGGAAAGCCCCAAGATCGAAGCGAGCTACTCAGCCAGCCTTAGCTCCCCGTCCGACCCAAGAATTTGTCAAACATACACGTGAAGTCTGGTACATATCTGCCAATCATGGGCACAAAAGTCGGGCTCATAAGCCGTGGGAGGTTGGTCAGGTCAGTCCGCCAAGATGTCTTCACATTCGGAAGATACTCATCCCATGTCATGTCGGCCTTCTGTTCAGCGGCTGCTCGCCGATATGGGCGCCAGGCATGAGCATGGGTAATTGAGCCTGCTGTACCCTCGTCGTTGCCACGCTTCCCCCCACCCACCAGCCATTCTGCTTCAAGGGATGCAACCCAACCCCCACATTCACAATATTCAAATTCCTCAAACCTCTCTCCAAACTCTCAAACACGATGAATCTGGTCGCATCTTGCGAGTTACTACAGGTCACAACTTTTTTTTTTGTCTCGCCGAGTGAGACATCTCAGCACTGACGTAGCACACCCCCGTCGTTAGTTGAGTGGGGTATCAAGGCTATTTTTAACCCCGTTTTGCTGTCCGGTAAGCTCAGGATGTGGCCGAAGAGGGGTGCGAGTGGTGCGGATGATACTTTTTGGGCCAATGCCGCCTGATTTTTTCTAGAAGTCCTAAGCGACCACCGAAACGCAACGTAGCATGCGCCTACTCCGAACGATATTTGTGGTTCGCCGCACCGCCGCTCAACTCCGTTTGTGGTCTATAGCACAATACAATGCTCTACACTGTGTGGTGTATTGTTTGTGCAGGAATAGTAATCCAACGAGCCTTTAACGCCGCCGAAATATGGGTACGGTAGCAAAAAAAAACTGGTAAACTGGTCTTTTTCCGTTGTTCCGCGGCGCTGGATGATCGCCGAGGTGAGGAGTCGGAACACTGGAGACGGAACGCCGCCTAGGAAACCTGTGTCCACACCGCCTAGCGACGTGCCAATTCCTCAACGCTACTGCAAAGTAAATCGATTTCTGCGACAACAATTGGCTGCGGCGGTCAATGCGACGCTCTTTCGGATTTAGTTCGCTCTCTTGCGTTTTTCCCCTCAAATCCATCTTCAACTCTTGCCAGGGTGTGTCGGAGCGGCAATACGCTTTTGTCCGAGGGATATCCCGTCGAGAGTCCGTTCCCCCTCAGGCCACGGCACTAACATCAGTAGTCCGCCCTTTCTTGCACAAACGTGTAGGCTAGGTGATGGTGGGAAAGTTGGGATGGTAGTTTGGTCCCACGGGTAGATCATTGGAGCTCTAACGAGAGCTAACCCGATGATAGGGAATTTCAACGCAGAGGTACAGATTATGTACAGTACATATGACGTGCGGAAGTGAACGGCGCGGCGGGCAGGGAGAAGGCCTGTTGATTTTGGTTACCCCACTCCAAATCGTTGAACCCCGAGCCATGCGACGGAGCTTGGCATACTACAAATGTTATGGCGCTTAATCCTGGTCCACTTGTTGTGCTTGGTTCAAGTCACAGCGGCAGGGAAGTTGTGCGTTTGGGGGGTAACACAAACACAAACACAGCAATCAAATCAGTTATGCGCCGAGGCATACTCGAGGTGGTAACGGCGGGCTGCCCCTCTTTGGATCACCTCAGACTGAAACTGTTTTGCTTTCTCATGCCGTCGACATGGTTTCTGCGGAGAATCACACCTCAACGGCTCCATCTCAGCTCCATCTCAGCTCTGATCTTGCAAAGCAATACGACTTAAAAGCGTGATGAAAACCTACATACTGTGGGGTATAAGCCTAAAATAGGCTATTACTTTCGTCGAAGCTGACAGCCAGTGTCGGACCTGAGAACTTGATTGGGAAAGAGATAGCCCCCATCATCTCACACATCTTCACAAATTCAAAAAGGGGCAAGAGAGCAAGCGCTACGAAAAAAGAGGATGACAGTTTTGGTGATCGACAACGTGTGTGAGCATCGCCCAAAACGGCAATTAACGAACGACCACTTGCCAACCAACGTCGCAGTCGACCCCAGCAGGGTCATCACGGACCTCCCTCCCCTCGCCCAAAACAACGATCTCTCGGATCACTCAGGGCACAGTGCTGCCCTGACCCTGGCGACCTGTGCCCACGATACGAGATCTGTAATATCCCCCAGCTCCTATTTTAGCCACAGGCCCCGCGGACCCCGGTCCCATCACAGCGTCTACGGTCTAGCATAGCTTCGTATTCCGACTCCGCCTCTCTCTTGGTCCGTTTCAGAGTTATCTTACACTACACATGCCGTCTTCGTCTTGCCTTACGCAAACTTTAGTCAGGTACGCGATGTCAGGTACGCATTGAAGCACCAATTACTACCGTTAAGGTCGCTCGGCGGCTCCGTCGTGCATGCAATGAGACAAGGCCCGAACCGATCGCGGGTGATATGAAGCATGAATCGATGGATGGGGAGCATTGAGCGCTTCATCGTATTACCAAATTGAGAGGCCAGAGGCTGGCGCCGGCATTTCCCCGAATAACCTCCCAGGGTTGCTTGCCCAACCACCGTACACAATTCGTAGATGCGGCACGAGCAGCGCCCCTTCTGGTAAAACGTTTCCACTTTCTATAACAACCTTAACACCAGGATGGCCATCGCGTGTTCAGTGGGGAGGGCCATGGTCTATTCTGTTCTGTCCAACCAACACGGGATTCCGGCACTTATATCGCAGGTGTTGATCGGCACGTCCCAAACCAACAAACCTCTTCAGCCCTCGCACCTCCCACATGACAACCAGCCACCCCCCCATCCCATCACCAGACTCACACCAACAAAGACCAGTAAGTGCTTACCCTCCCTCTCCCCTTCTCTCCGCGACCGCTCCACCCTCACCTCATCACCTTCCCAAAGCCGCCAACTACCGGCATCGCGTCTAAGCCTCCCCGAGTGTAAAGCCGTCTATTCCACTGATCCGCCCCGCCCCCATCGCGTCTCACACCTCACTCATTCATCTCCATAGCATCTGTCCGGCGCCTCCGCGAGAATCGCTGCTGGGAATGGCATATGCATGGCGATTTCTGGGACGCTGACTGTGTGTGCCGGAAGTCCGGTACGTGGTGGAGACGGCGCGGTTCCGCGGTCAGCGGCTACGCCGAGGGCGGCGGTTGTTGAGCCGGGGCGGCGGATGAGGGATAGGCGGAGGGGAAGGGGGGAGTTCGCCGAGGTTAAGGGGAGGAGGGGGCGATTTGGAATTATCTTGAGGGGAGGGGTGCATTTTCCATGTTTTCAGGGTGGTGTTTGGTGACGCGGTTTGTGATGTTGGATGGCTGGTTCTTTCTTGGAATGAGCAGGCCTCGGAAGCAACTGAGAAACGAGTAAATGCTGCCTGTGGTAGGTATTTCTTTTCTTTGTTCGTATTTCCCTATCAATCGTCTAAATGAAAAACATATTTGCCCAGGCACATAAACGTCTCTTTTCTCTTTGTGTTTGCTCAACAATACTCTGTTGTTAAGTCATTTCTTTGACCTGCCGTCTATTCGAATGGGACTGCAAATCTGCCGTCGAGGCACAGGAATTGCTCAGCAATACTCCCGCCAAAGACTGCTTTGATCTGCTGTGTATCAGAATCGAACAATAAAATCGTTGTCACCAGGCACAATAGCAAAGCTTTGAAACGAACATAGAAGCCCCAACAAGGAGTTTGTCCGTCGATAAAACGAAGAGCAATACCTTCACATTGTTTTCGAAAATGCTTCAAGTTTCAACATTGAACAGAACCGAGAGTCCGTTGGGCTCTGGAGTATATAATGAGGGCAATTTACTTGGTAAATATCGAAACCAGATCCTCAGCACCGAGACGTCTAGCAAAGCCCAAAGGCGTGCATTCAAGAGACTTCAACAATTCCTCAACAGCGTGTTTTCAACAGACTTCAATCATTCCCAAGCTACTAACGATGTCCTCACAGCTCTTCGGCAAGGCTGCGCCTGCAAACGAGATCGACGGTCCGTACGAAAGCTGTCTTTCGCCGCTGGTAAAAGCAGAACGAGGCGGGTTCGTACCGATCTGCGATGTCATCAGATGCTTCTACGAAACCTGTGGTCACATAGAGACCAAAACATCCTGCCACAACTACATGGGCAATATCATGAAGCAACCCGACCGCGGTATCAACCCCCGCTGGATCCCCTGCAACAGGGATGTCTGCGATCAAAGCGTCATAGTCACTAGATGCATGCCAGGCTCCTGCGTGCAGTGCGAGACGCAAGATGACCCTACTGACCCCCTCCGCATTAGTTTTGACGCAGACCCTACCATCACCCGCTCAGATTTCAATAGGAACACAATCCCCTCTAAAGAGATTGAGAGGCGGACACTCGACTACCGCAAACGCGCGGCCGACACCCAAACTCGTCACCGCGAGTTATCGCTACGTTACGATCCTAATAACCTTCTTTACAGTGAATTCTCTACAAAACGCTTCGATCGTACCGCCCGCGACTTCATCGAGCACTACAGGCAGCTACGGAGACATCCCGGCGTCGTGGACCCGGAGCAGTTCTACACTGAGGTCCGCAAACAGCGCGCAGAGGAGGACAAGAAGGGTATTAAGGTCGAGCACCGGCAGTACTTCTCCGGCGGCAAGTTCGACGAGACGGACCTGCTGTGCCGCTTGGATCCGACAGATACTCGTCTCGCTGAGGAGCAGTGCTTAATTTGCCAGGATGGCTTCGTGCCTGAGGCTCGGGATCCGAGGATGATGCCATGCGAACATATTTTTCATTGGGCCTGCATCTCGCAGTGGTATTATAGGACGAGTCGAACTTGTCCGTACTGCCGGAGGGGGTATCACGTTATGACTCTGCCGCGGTTCTTGCCGCCACCGTGAGTGCCCAAGGTGAGTACGCAGTTTACCAGGTAAGTAAACAGGTAAGTAAACAAGTAAGTCGGTTTTTCCTTGGTCAAACAGGTAGGTGGGGTTTTTAGTCAAGTGGTAGGTGAGTAGATGTTTTCCCCCTTTTGTTTCTCAAAATATAAATATTTATTTATTTAATCAACTCCCGTGTTCCCTCGCTCTCTCTACGTCATATAACACAGTTTTTAGTATACCACTGCCATCGTACAGACTAGTATTTCAAGTTATTGACTCTATCGGCTGATCTGAAGGGTTTGAGGCTTGATGGACGATTCCTATTAGTCAGATATCCTCGCTCCTTCCGCGTCTGTTATGAGACCACAACCGTCGCTTGCTCCTTCCGCCTTTCATAGTCATCACTCACTCCTTCCCTTTCTCCATTGTCCCTCGCCCCTTCCGCACCTAACAACCACAACCATCCTTCGCTCCTTCCACAGCACAGCCAATAGCTTGCTCACCCTCCCTCTCTTCAATAACACTCGTGTGGCCGAGTATTTCTCATGTTGCCAAGCGGCAGCGAGAGCAGATTGCATGGCTGTGGCGTTCGAGCGGGCTTGAGCTTCGTGATGACCTGGGCGTTTGCCAAACGTTGTATGCGCCGAGTCATCTCGCACGGGCATGGCCGCATTCCTTCCCCCTTTCGCTGCCGCCTTGCTCCTTCCGCCGTGGCCGCCACTGCGCCATCACCGGCGCCCCTTTTCTCCTTCCACCACACAACCACAACCACGTTCCTTCCGCCGTCCACAACACAACCTCAACCACCGCTCCTTCTCTCCCTTTTCCTCAAAATAGACAGTCCATCCCATCTCCCCGTTGGATCGCTTCACCTCGCTTCGCCTCGTCTCCATGGGTTTTCATTCCTCTCCTTTTATCTTCAAAAATTCATATCTCCCCTCAGAGGCGTCGGAGAGAGTTCTCGTATAAGCCAAAAAAAATTGCAAAAAATAGAGGATTCTCCTAGAAGGGGGGAAATACCCGCACCCAACCACTGCATACACCTTCTAAGTGCAATTGAACTTCGTGGGTCCCCCAGGATGATTGACAGGTACTTGAGCGGGCCAAACGAGTGCAGATCGCTGTTATGCTCCTTCAGCCAGTCAACCATCCCTATTAATGGGATCTGACTTGGTCTGCATTATATACTTTGATTTAGCGCCGCCCTGTTGCCGCTGTGTCGGCGGCGTTTTATCATCCCCCTTTTCCACGTATGTAAAATCTCGGTTTTTTCCCTTATAGCCAAGCTAGATTTATATGTATAATCATTTCTAGACTTTTAGAATGAATGTAAGAATATGCGTTGTGTTTCTCACTCTAATCTTTTGAAAGTAAGTGCCTGTGGCAGCCTCTGTGTGCGAATGGGATGGGCATACTAGTGCCGCCCAAAGTCTCTGGGGAACAAAGGACAAACCTAGTGATTGATGTCAGCAATTTAAGCTGATGGAATTTCTCCCTTCCTCTCTAACTTTAAATAACTAATATGACAATTGTAGCCTTTAATAACCAAGAGTCTTTGTTTTAATTACAGTTGCTGTGATCACCAGTGTCATTAGAGTGCAGCATACTCGTGCCCGAAAGTCTCCGGATTTGGTGTCTGGAATTTAAGCTGATTGGATTTCTCCGTTTCGCTCCATTTCCAAGTGACTAATACGAGAATTGTGGCCTTCAGTGACAGAGAGACTTTATTTTCGTTATAATTGCTAAAATAAGAATTATGGCCTTTAGCACTGAGAGACTTTGTTTTCGTTATAGTTGCTAATATGAGAATTAGTTACAGCAATCATAACTAGAATAAAGTCTCTTAATTACTAACTACTACTGTTATGCACGGTTCCACTTTAGCATTCTAGATGACTTTGTTATACAAAGCAAAGAGTAAACACATTCTTTGTTACTTTTTATGTAACAAAGAATAACATCGCCGTCTTAACCCCCCCCCCCCACCCCCCCAAAAAATACATCAATTCTAAAGAACCAAACCAACAACTTTCAACGGCTACTGAAGACATGCCAGCCAGCTTCCTCACGCTACCCCGCGAGCTTCGCGACAAGATATACAAGCTATGCTTGTTGATCGAAGGACCTGTCCGCCCCCTTGGTGGTTCTGGTTATGGATGGGACCTCTCGCCCGGGCTCCTCAGGGTGAACAAGATCATCTACAATGAAGCCAGATTGTTCTTGTACCAGAATCGCTTTGATTTTACTATGACGCTTGCATTTTGCATTTCCCGGTTCCTTGAGAAAATTGGCCGCGATAACGCAGACTGTATCCGACATATCTATGTCGGCTTTCCGATTTTCTGCAACCTAGAATTGGGGAATATCACCTTCAAGGATCAAAATGACGATGAAATCCTTCCGACCATCCAGAACGGTTGCGCTAATATTACAACTCTCTCGACGTCCCGGTATATCACATATCCTATACATGATCTGTTTAACTCCCTCGACGACCCGGAGATCGTTGCAGAGGCATTGGCGGTAATCGATACTCACTTCAGAGACTTCTTTCCATCTCTGAAGGATATCATTATCGAGGTGTATGAGAACGAGCCAAGCGATTTTATGAGAAAGCAAATTGAGAACTATGGATGGATCATTGTTACGAAGGACCCTATTAGAGATTGGAATTCTGATGTGTCTCTCGATGAATGAGTTAGCGATGATACCGAACGGGATATACAATAGCTGGCCATGAGGACCATGCGGGAGGTGCGGGAGGAGAGACGAGATAGGGTTACGTTGTTTCCAAAACAAAGCTATTATATTCCAAGTCACCTCTATCTAACGACACCGTCTCTACTTCGTGAATAAGTCCCTAATCCAAATTCGCTCTTCAGCACCTACTCCCCAATGTCTAATCATTAGTATTCAATCCTCAACATCCAGCCCTCAGAACCTAACCCGTGAAACCCCCTTATTTCTCCCCCTCCAATCCAGCCTTGACCAATAATACCCCCCTCTTCACCAACTCAGCATTATCCAGCACCTTCCCCTCATCCCGCCACTTAAGCACAATATCCAATGTCACCGCCGCCAACTCTTTCACACCCACACCCCTCAACCCAGCCGGAAGCCCCGACATCAGCCCCCCCACCACCGACCCCGGCGCGTGCACCATCGCCGGCCGCGTAACCACCACCTCGATCTTCTCCCTGTTCTCTGCGCGCACCGCAAAAGCAAGGATCTCCATCTCTGCCTCGCCTTTGACTTTGCGCGCGGGGCCCATGAAGAGTGCTGAGGAGTTGGGGTCGGAGATTGAGAGAGCGCCGCCGGTGAAGAGGAAGCGGATGGGGTGCGAAGGAGGGGTGGGGAGTTGGGTGAGGGCAGTGGCGAGGGCGAGGGAGTAGGTTATGGAGACGAGGCGTTGGTCGGGGACGGAGGCGGTTTTGATACCGAGGGTCCTGGGAGGATGTTAGAATATGTGAGAGGTGGCTTGGTGAGGGGTGGGGTTTACCAGATGCAGGCTTCTGCGCCGTCGAGCTGGGTGAGGACATCGGGGGGGTAGACGGCGAAGTCGGCAAGGATTATGATTTGGAGTTTGGGGTGGGTGATGGGAGGAGATAGGGCGCGGCGGGAGAGGACGACGAGGGTGGTGATCGAGGGGTGGAGGAGGGCTTGGCGGACGACTTCTGTGCCGATGAAGCCTGTTGCGCCAGTGAGGATGACCTTCATTTTGGAGGGATATCGAGAGATAGTTGGATCTATTGGTTCTGTTGGAGTTTGAGAGTGGGAATATGAGATTTGTTTCGGAGAGAATATTCTGATGGTTTGAGAAATGGGTTTTGTTATGAGAATTTAAATGTGAGAATGATGCTGAATTAATTATGAAAGATGGACTTAGAGATAATACTTATACTTATTCTTCCAGTTTGACTTGGTCACCAAAGTATCGCGAGTTCATCCGTCTCCCATCCACGGCTTAATTTTGTGACGATTCGAATATTCGTACCTGCCATATTGAATTGTATAGAATTTAATCGAATGTCAGACGTAGAAACCGGCCGCCTAACTCTCCGGGACGGAGTATATTTAAGTTGACAACTTGACAGCGGAGTTGAGTTACCCCGTTTCATCACGTGACATCATAAAGGTCTCGCCGACTTTGGAACGTGCCAACGTTCCAAAGACAGTTAATTTAATCCAAGGTACATAATCAGGCACACAATTTGGAACATAAGAGATGGTTCATGGCCAATAAGAGGTAAGAGGCTTGACTGGTCATATGTTTGGCCTTCACGTGCCTTTATAAACATCGCTGTCTGTTGCTGTTTAGTACATTACCCTCATTCTGGAGTACTGCCTGCCCAATAGCTATAATGTAGCCGACAGAAAGAACCCCCCCCCGCCTTTGAGTTGCTAACATGGCGAGACATGTGAATAGCTTCCTTACAGGCCAGACAAGTATTCTCTCCTTACACCACTCACAGTCACTCGCAGAGACAGCGTATTCACGCATGTTCTAGCATGAGCACCTCCCACTATAAATAATCAACGAAAGACGTGCTTTAACCTTCAAGCTCATCTCTCATGCCCACAAAATGGTTCCAAAACCAGCAGTCACGCCCTTGACCCATGATGAATTCAGAAAGTACCAACCCCCGCCCCTTCCCCATAAAGCCCAACTAACAAAGGCAGGAAATGTGATTGCCAGGTCGTCACCATCTACGCTGGTCGTAATTGTCACTCCTCTTTCACACTCCCCAAAGACCTTCTCGGCTACTACTCCCGAACTTTCGCACACTATTTCAACGGAACCTCTGCGCAAGCCCTGTCTGGTTTCTTGATCCTCCCAGCTGTTGATCCCAAGTTGTTGGCTGTGCTGATCGACTATATCAAGCATGGATCTGCGTCTTTCCCATACGGTTTCGTGTGGAGCTGGGGGCGAGAGGGGGATGGTGTTACAGCAGCAGCATATCAAGTGATCAGTGACTGTGTTAGGACTCTCACAGCATTCCTGGGTCTCTGCGCTGCCTACGATGTCCACGAGGCAGGGGTAGCGATATACGAGCCTCTCACTATATGCATCTATCTGGCACAGAGCTATGGTATTGACATTAAGACGGTCCTGACGGACGGTTTTATTGACACGGTTCTTGGAACTCTTCCGGATCTACCGGGCGGAAATCCTGTGCTTGTTTTATTGGCGCAGGCTACCGGTGCGGATACAGTGATTAATCATCGTCTGGTTTCCATGGGAGAGTGAGTGGAGTGTGGTTTCCATGTGTGTGGAGGGGGTGGTCGGCATGAGGGCTAAGAAGAACGAGGATAATAGGATGAGACTGGTGCTGGCATCACGACGACAGGGGACCCACGAGCAGTGCTTGTGGAGAATGGGAAACTAACAACAGATGTGGGATATTACTGTGACACTATATCAGCCTCAACTCTAGATGCTTGAAAGACTCCAAGCAAGGCTAGATGTATTATTGAGGAAGATTTACAACCTGACGTCTCTCCATGTGTTGTGACTGTGGATCAGGTGCCTTCGTCGTGACCAGTTTTGCGACAGATTCCTCATTGATAAAGCTACACACAGATGAACTAGATGCACATTGAAGAAATCATGGTTTTATAACAGTGAAAGCAAACTCCACTGCCGTGTTCTCATTTTCTGATTTCTAAGAAGTCGTCGATAGCGTACAAATGCTGCCGCTACCCCACACATAGACCCCACAAAACCCCATTGGTAAATGCCGAGGCATATCCAATACGCTCGGCTCCCCCGACCTCACTCTTCTCCGCACGTACCCCACCGTTTAGTTAAGTATGGTCCCATTGAGATCTGCTATTGCATCTTTCCGTCTTTATATATATTCCACATCCGCCTGTAAATAAATTGTTTTGATATATCTTGCGAATTTGTCATTATTCCTCCAGACTACTTAACCCGACGTAGCTGATAAGCTCTTATCAAGATGGCTGCCGCTGCCGAAACCGTTCTCAATGACTTCCCTTCTCTCTTCTCCTTGAAGGGCAAGGTCGTCGTCGTTACTGGCGGATCTCGTGGCCTGGGACTCCACGCTGCATCAGGGTATGTGCTTAACTTCATCCCGATAAACCCATCTAACAGCTAGAAACAGATTCCTCCAAGCCGGCGCCGCCAAGGTGTACATCACCTCGCGCAAGGCCAAGGCATGCGACGAGGCCGTCGCAGCCCTCAACAAGCTCCCAAACCTACAGCCGGGTGCCCATGCCATTTCGGTCCCAGCCGACTCGGCCAAGTTCTCCGGAGTTGAGCACCTCGTCCGCGAGGTCAGCAAGACCACCGACCATGTCGATATCCTCTTCGCTAACGCTGGAGCCACATGGGGCGAGAAGTTCGACACCCACCCCGATGAGGCGTTCGCCAAGGTCATGGACCTGAACGTCAAGAGTGTGTTCAACACTGTTAGACTGTTCGCGCCGCTGCTTCAGAAGAACGCGTCTGTCCAGGACACGTCGAGGGTCATAATCACCGCATCCGTTGCGGGCATTGGAGTTGGAAGCCTCGGTGAAAATGCCACCTTCGGATACTCGGCCTCCAAGGCTGCGGCTATCCATCTTGCCAAGAACCTCGCTGTCGAGCTTGGCCCAAGAGGAATCTTGGTTAACGCTATTGCGCCGGGCTTCTTCCCGTCCAAGATGGCGAATGGTCTGTTGGACCTTGCTGGCGGAGCTGAGAAGGTTGCCAGGAGAAACCCAAACAGGAGGTTGGGCTCACCGGAGGATCTGGCTGGAGCTGTTGTATTCTTGTCTAGTAGGGCTGCTAGCCACATCAACGGTGCTACACTGGTGATTGATGGCGGAGAAGTTATATCGAGGGGGGCCATGGGCGAGCTGGAAGATGAGAAGGCCAAGTTGTAGAGATATTAGGGTTATTTATAGCACACAATATATGTAACAAGTACAATAAAACCTCTATATTACATGCATACTCAAAATCATATTTCTTATCATGCACAACGCATGCCGGACCGCGATCTCATGCACTTAAATTCCATATTTTATATTTAGGGGTACCTCATATATGCGAGTTTCCACTCTAAAAGCTAAGTACTTGTCGGATTAAAGCTTCCTTGCCACCCAGTGGCTAACTTGATATGTATTTTGGAGCATGCTTTCATCGTCCTGGATATATCCCGCTTTGATACCGGACTCCTTGCTTTCAATCTTGAACCCAAAGTGTTCGACCAGAGCGATAACCTCATCATTTGTCAACTCAATACTCCCAGGGTCAGCAATACCTAGAGTGGTCAGTAACATAACATCCTTGCGGGTTAAGTTGCTTACCAGAGGTCTCCATAATCTTCTTGCCAGCATCTTTAGTCCCAAAGGAGCCGGGGGCATTGTTCTCAAAGTGCCACAAGAGAGGTCCGATGTTGCTCCATATCCCTCCCGCCTTAAGACAATTCTTAATTGTCTCAATGTACCGTATTAAGTTCGGGGCCGTGTCTATGAAGAAAACTGTCGCGATAGCATCGTATGTATCCTTATGTTCTTCATCGTTATATAGACAGATAAAGTCAGAAGCGCTCATAGACATCTCGCCTGCCTTGTGAGTGCCGTTTCCGACGCTACTCTTTTCGTGCAGCGCCATCCCAGGGTGGATGTCTGGAATTCTAAATGATTGCAGTTGCCGAGAGCGACTTTGGTGGTTGGAAAAGTTGTGAACCCAAGGAAATATCGTGTGAACTTGAGCTCCAGAGCAGTAGTTGAGGATATAAGAACTGGCAAGGAGCTGGTGGTAGCTCATTTCATTGCCTTCGACGTTGAAGCCCTCGTAGCAGAGATCAAAAACGAGTCGCCCAAGTCCAGCACCAGGTACCAGAACATTCATCGTTTTGCCACCGCGCTTCACGCGCTCTGCCTTCAGATCATTCATAACAGGCCCGTAGCATGCCTTCCGCTCGACAGCGCCTTCCGCAGACCAGTCTCTATAGAACTGGCGAATTGTGCTTCTCGCCTTGTCGAGGTCACCTGATTTTGCCACTCCCTTCCACAATTCAGACGACTTAAGTTTGTCAAAATCCATTGAAGACTCGAACGATTCGAGGCCTGACTGGAGAATGGCTGCAGCAAGTTCGCCATTTTTGTCAATGGCATCGTCCACGGCATTGAGAGTGTCTAAATAGGAAAACGGAGGGGCTGCAAGAAGCTCCCAGTGTTTCTGAGGGAGGGCATAGAATGATTGCCTTCTCATATGCGTTGTGTTATAGTGGGCAATCTTGGTATATTGACTATACACACACAATCAGCTCTTGGAGAACCAATGGCGTGGTGTACGCTTCTGAAACCGTGTACGGAAGCACGTCAGGAGCATCCACATGATAAGGCTCACTGACATTTAAAATGCATAACGCAGAAGAAGAATTCGATGCTTGACAAGGCTGAGAAACAGGAGAAACGTACTGGAATGAATCGAGCGCTTGAAATAAAACCTTCTGCTCCTCTTCGTCCCCCATGACCTCCGCTACGCCTCCCCACCCCTCATCCGCATCACTTGACGCAGACGAGGAGCTGGACTCGTCAATGTTATAGGACATCACACAATTATAGACAAGAAAGAGGACGAACTATGCACATTATCAACTTATCTCCATTGAATGTGTCTAGTTTCCGCATTTGGCAGTTGTGAGGTACTGGGCTGGCAAAATCGAGTCACCGCCTTCGTCGCCGTGGACCCCTCCAGAGTCCCTACTTACACATCACGTAAACATCCACTCCCACCAAAGGTTCACACCACGGGACAGTAACAACATGGCTGAAACTCTGGACCGAACCGGGCGGCGAGCAGGGAAGCCGATTGAACTCGCGATTCCGCTTCCAAATGCACCGCAAACTAAGATCTACATCCGCCTCACCATCAGCGCGACCTCTATACTCGTTCTGTTGACCACAGTTTTCGGAGGGGAGAATGCCATCAAACCTGCTTTGGGGTCTTTTGTTTATGCTTTACCAGATGTGAGTATAGTCTCTGAAGAAATGGACTTATGAAGTTATCCGGGAGCTGACACCTCGATTATAGCGGGTGAATCCAGGCCAGACCTTATGTACGCAGCTCTACACTTACGAATCCTCCATCGATTTCACAACCCGCCTAGCCAAACTCCTAGCAAGGAAAAGCAAGATACCTGTCTATGTTGGCAATTCAATGGAGTTTTCGAGCGCAGGCATGGGAGGGACCGTCGAGGAAGAGATGGCAGGGTTTAAGGCTGTTGTGGAAGTGGTAATGGCCGAGGTCGACCATCTCAGTCAACCAAGCGATGACGGGATCAAAAACCCTTCATGAGATGCACGTTTTTCAAAGACACTGGAATGAACGACCTGCAAACTACTCATCTGGGATGGAGGTCATCTGTATCCGAGCCCAGTAGCTGGCTCTGAAGCGTGCCGTTGGGCATATGGGCCTATGCTGTGGTCTGAGAATGAAGCACTGTCGTTCAGTGTCCATTGGGCATATAGGCCTATGTTGTGACCTGGGAATAAAGCACTGTCGTTCAGTATCTATGAACGCCATTTTACACGGCATTTGCGCAACGTACGGGAAGGCGTACGTCATGAACTCACCTGGTGTGAGGGGTTCGTGATACACTGCGAAAGCTAAGAAAGTATATCGAATCGTATGCAGTTCGATTCTCACATGATGCCCAGCTCACCCACGCCCTTGTTTAGAGGGCAGGATATGCATGGAAACGGGTGTGCGTCTCTTCTGCTAAGATTAATATCTACTCTCCTGTAGTAATACAGATGAAATACCAGATTTGTGTATCCCAAGTTTGTATGACAGACGAAAGAACGACTCATCAGTATAGCCAGACCTTGAGGAACATACAGTTAATGTAGGTGATTGTGGTCACATATGCCATTCAAATTACATACGTATTTGCATTTGCAGCGACTCCGTCTACTATTTGGTTCCCATTATTATTAATTGCCAGAGAAGCTACGTAAATGAAGTCCAAACTTTGCTAGATTTGATACTTATATCGAAGAGTAGTATCTCTTGAGCGCCATTAAATCTGCAGGTAGATGAAAACGGAAAGTTATAAGGTTGTGGATCCATACTATGGCTCCATGGCCTTGTGATGACTTAAGCATCACAGCGCAGATATGGCAAAGAGCGAACACACACAATTATGTGCGTTATAGGGAACGGTTACAATAAAGGGCAGCGAATAGTGGCCCATATTTTATGTTACTCAAAATATATGTAGATAAACATAGGATTGCTTTTTACAGAGCTGAGGATATCATAAAAGATAAAAGGTGCAGTCACGGAGCAGTGTTCCGCCGTCAGAGCTGCTGGCTTTGGAGGGGTAAGTTGACTTTGGTGGGGACATTTCATGGCCCTCAGCCATCGCAAGCGAATCAGAATTGCCCGTACCCTCAGAGACGACGACGTCAATTCTAGGAAATCTTACAATATTTGTCGGCTTCAGTATTTGACAGCATAATTACCGTCCTACTGTTCTCGCGACCTGATATACATCCTTCAAAATTATTATATTTGGCTAACCGCCACGAAGAGGCGACATCTTTTTCGTTGTGCGTGCACCCGCTGGACCCACCACCGCTTTCACGAAGCGCCGATTGAGCAAACAGATTCGGAATCTGGAGCAAGTCTACAGTTCCTAAGAGACACCGAAGGTTCCACGACCTTCAACCATACAAGGCCGGTACTCAGCCCCTTATAGGTATGTAGATGGCAAAAGACCGCCGCCCTCTTCGTTTCAAGTGGCGTTTGCGTCGCTTGATCCCCTCTATCTGGAACCCCAGCTAATTTTGAGGCTATGAACAGATGTCGATCTAACGTTTCTGACGTCCCACAAGACATCCCGTGTGACCGAAGCGGGCTATTCAGACGCTGCGAATATACGGCAAGCTGAAAATTTCAATTGGGCTATAAAGATAGTCGAAATACCTCCGGTTTCAGGATCTGCCATGGCGTGGCAGCCGACCGACGAGGCCTTGGGGCAGTTGGCGGGGTGTCTGAGAGATTCGACCGATGGGCAAGACAAGACGAAGCAAAAGCAAGCTGAACTAGTATGTTTCTCCATGACCTCGAATCCTTCATACTGTCCCTGGGGGAAAAGCGCATATATTGAGGGGTAAAAGAACTGACGTTTGTTTTCTAGATGCTGGCGCAAGCACAGAATTCACCTGACATCAACAACTACCTCACGTACATATTCACCAGTCCCGACGTTCCACCAGGACTCCCGTACACGGAAGTCCAATACCATACCATCAGGGCAGTAGCGTCGATTACTCTGAAAAACAACATTAGGACGGGATACAAAACGATACCAGAATCAAGCCTGGCGCTTATTCGGTCTACCCTACCACTTGCGCTCCAAGACAAGAATGCTCTGATCAGAAGCTATGCAGGAATTGTCATTACTGAAATTGTCAAGCGTGGTGGAATACTTGCATGGCCAGAGCTTCTGCCTCACCTGATCGATCTGGTGAGCAATGGGAGTGGAAATGTCACCCAAGTGGCTCAAGAAGGTGCTATGTCTGCGTTGAGCAAAATCTGCGAAGACAACAAGCAACTGCTGGATAGTGACTACCAAGGCCAACGCCCGCTCAATGTTCTCATTCCCAAACTGATCGAGTTTACCCAAAGCCCACTCCCGAAGGTTCGGACGTTAGCTCTGATGAGCATCAATGAATTCATACACCAGAAGCCCCAGGCCATTCTCGTCAACTTGGATGTTTTGTTAGGCCATCTATTCCAGCTAGCCAATGACCCTGTTACAGATGTTCGCAGACAAGTTTGCCGGGCATTCGTCTCAATTGTGGAAGTTCGGCCAGACAAGGTTCTGCCATATATTGGAGGTTTGGTCGATTATATTATCGCCCAGCAAAAGCAAACTGACGAAGAAGACCTTGCTTGCGATGCAGCAGAGTTTTGGCTTAGTGTGGGCGAACACCAAGAACTATGGAAAGCCTTGGCGCCATACCTTGATAGGATTATCCCAGTCCTATTAGATAGCATGGTCTACAGCGAGGACGACATCGCTGATTTGGGCGGTCTTATTGATGATGCAGAAGAAGATGACAGGGCCGAGGATATTAAGCCTACGTTTGCACGTGGAAAGGATGCCAGAAATTTCGAAGGTGAAGCTGCCGAAGGACAGAATGGAGACGCATACAAAAAAGTGCCTGGAGGAAGCGACTCTGATGATCTCGACGAAGGCGAAATAGACGAGTCAGATGATGACGACGACTACAATCCAGAAGACCAATGGAATCTACGAAAATGCTCTGCAGCTGCACTGGATGTCTTTGCCACGGACTTCCGAGGACCAGTCTTCGAGTCAATTCTGCCATACCTGATGACTAATCTGAAGCATGAAGACTGGCCTCACCGGGAGGCCGCAGTTCTTGCTCTTGGTGCCGTTGCAGAAGGGTGTATGGATGTGGTTACTCCGCACTTACCGGAACTAGTACCATACCTCATCAGCTTGCTGAATGACACGGAGCCACTTGTACGGCAGATCACCTGCTGGACCCTTGGAAGATACTCAGCATGGGGAGTTGGTCTTACAGATGAAGCCGACCGTGCAAGGTATTTCGTACCAATGATGGAGGGTCTTCTGATGAAAATGCTTGATCGCAATAAGAAGGTCCAGGAAGCAGGGGCATCCGCATTTGCACACCTTGAAGAAAAGGCTGGCTCACAACTTATCCCCTACTGCAACCCAATTATTCGCCAATTCGTACGCTGTTTCGACAGATATAAGGAGAAGAACATGTTCATACTGTACGACTGTGTGCAGACCTTGGCTGAGCACGTTGGCCCTAGCCTTGCCACTCCCGAACTAATCGACTTATTGATGCCTGCACTCATCAGCCGGTGGAGAAAGGTTTCCGACCAGTCTCGAGAACTGTTTCCCCTTCTGGAATGTTTATCATACGTTGCGGCAGCATTTGGGACGGCTTTCACGCCTTACTCGCCTGATATTTTCGCTAGGTGTATCAAGATTATCCATCAGAATCTTGAAGACCACGCTCTGGCTGCGACCAACCCTATCTACGATAGCCCTGATAAAGACTTTTTGGTCACAAGTTTGGATCTTTTGAGTGCTATTATTCAAGTCCTTGATGCTGCCGAGTCCGCACAGCTCGTTTCAACGGCGCAGCCAAATTTCTTTGAGCTTCTGACTTTCTGTATGGAAGATCCAACCAGTGACGTTCGCCAATCATCGTATGCGTTACTCGGAGACTGCGCAAAATGTGTTGCTCCTCAACTCGGGCCATTCTTGCCAAGCATAATGCGGGTACTTCTCAAGCAACTCAACCTAGCTGAAGTATTGGACGAGCAAATCGAGAATGGGTTCAGTGTTACTAACAACGCCTGTTGGTCGTTAGGTGAGATTGCAATTCGACACGGCAAAGTTCTAGCGCCATATATCGACCAGCTGCTTCAACGCCTCGTGGAAATTCTCGGAAACAACAAGGTGCCTACTTCTGTAAATGAGAATGCTGGAATTGCACTTGGACGTTTGGGACTTGATAACTCAGAGGCCATGGCCCCTCATCTTGCGTTATACGCAGCGTATTTCCTGAACTCGATGGACAGCGTCGACTATACGGAAGAGAAGGTTTCCGCCTTCATCGGATTCACGATGATTGTTGGCCGGAACCCCCAAGCGATGGAGAGCGTCCTTGTTCATTTCTTTACTTCGATTGCACACTATAAGCACGAGTTCGAATTCACCACGGAACACAAGGCCAACCTTCACACCTTGTTCGCGCAGGTACGTTTACTACGATGTTAGTTCTGCTTTGTGACTGAGTTGCTAACTTTCCACAGGCTTTGACTGCATATAGGTCTCTCATCCCGGATTTCGATGGTTTCCTCAACCAGCTTCCAGCTGCAGAACAACAGGCTCTGCGAGCAACTTACAACTTGTAAATAGAAAGATCCTTCGGGACAGGCACAGCATTGGCGCAATAGGGGAGTGTTTTGGGCAAATAATGTTGCATTTATGATGGAACGACCCGAAGACGAAAAAGATGGAAACTGGGTTGGGGGGGGGGGGGAAAGGGGGGGATTCAGACCGCGTTTCCGAAGCGGTGGATTCGCTTGGCTGGCCATAAATGACGGTGGTTCTGAATCCTTGGCGAGTCTTGATTTGAAATACTGGTGTTATCAAGAAGGGACGGGGTGCCGAGGTTGCTATGTTGGTGATGAAGGGATCATGTTGGGGAATGAGCATGGATCTGATAAAGAGGTCACAGTGAGAGAACTGTGTCCAGAGGAGAGATTTTGCAAAGTATAAATCTTCCATGAAATAGTCATGAAGATGAATTTTAGTGGCACGGGACCTTATGTTCCGTGTGCAGATAGAATACACGTAGATAGAACAAATAGCATCAATGTCTTAGCTGTCAAGTGTCATGAAAGAAGAATCTGTCAGCTGATCTTATTGGTTTACAGGTCTCGGTATTGTTGTGTGTAGTTTTGTTGTAGAATAATTTAGGGTTGACGACAATGTGAATTAACTCCTATTAAACTCCTATTGTTAGAACTTAGTTTGTCTTAGCTTGTAGGTTTACCATTGTGCCCGTGATATCGAGGATCTCACAGTAGCTTCAAATGCTGGAGCTCTCAAACTGGCAGGAGCGACCTTGAATAAAAAATAAAACACCCTTCGTTCCTTCCTTCCTTAATTCTTTCTTCTTCTTCAATTATTTCGACAATCTTGTTATATTCAAAAACCTCTCGACTCAATCAATTACTCTCTGGTGAATATGATCTTCACAAACGGGGTCTCGAAATAACTGCTTACTCATCAAAGAAAACCAAACTTTCCCTCCCAACCAATCAAAATCCCCATTTCAAAAATGGGTTACTTTTTGCGTGCCAGAAAGGCAGCTATCCCCCCTGCAGGTACCATCGCAGGCCACGAAAACGGGTACGTGCCGTCCACTCCGATCCAATATTATTTCATTGCGCGCGCGAGGCTATAAACATCGAGGGCTTCTTTGTTGTGAGCTGGCGTACTTGAATTTTTTTTCAACAACCTCTTTGAGCGGTTCATACTCGTTCATATTGCACACTGCAATATCCACTTCCGCTCTTCATAATTTTGCTACTTACCTTTATTTCACCCTTGTGTTAATACTTCGCTTCTCGTCTGTTCGCCGCACGCGTCGCAATTTCTGGCGCTTTCGAGAATCGCACCACGAATCAACCCAACTACATACATCAGAACAATCCATTGACTCTTTAGTCCTAGCACCAAGATGGCACCAAAGCGCAAAGCAGCTGCGCCGGTCGGTGAAGAGACCGCTTTGAAGAAGACCAGGGCTACTCGTAAGTTTTTATCCTTCCTTGGCCCTTTCCAACATGAAATCTGGATTGAACTGACCCCAAATAGCCGCAGCCCGCAAGATCGCCGTGCCAAAGGCGGCCGAATCGAAGAAGGCGACTGTCGCCAAGAAGGCCGCTGTCGAGAAAAAGCCCGTCAAGAAGGCGGTTCCGGAGAAGAAAACCGAGGCTGCCAAGCCAAAGAAGGCGGCCGCCAAACCAAAGAAAGCCGAGCCCAAGAAGGTCGAGGAAGAGGAGTCATCTGAAGAAGAAGAGGCCTCCGAGGATGAGGCTGTTGCTGAGCCCAAGGTCGCTCCAAAGGCCAAAGCGGCACCAAAGCCGAAGGCGGCCCCAAAGCCAGCTCCAGCGCCAGCACCCAAGGTCGTCAAGTTCGGCCCCACGATCAACAAGGCGCCAACCCAGAAGCTGGATGTCTACGTCTTTGGTGAAGGCACTTCTGGCGAGCTTGGTCTGGGCAACAAGACAATCGACAACAAGAAGCCGATTGATGTCAAGCGCCCTCGTCTCAATGAGAACCTGTCCGCCTCGAAGGTCGGCGTCGTTCAGATTTCGGTTGGAGGCATGCACTGCGCTGCCTTGACCCACGACAACAAGATCCTCACTTGGGGTGTCAATGATCAGGGTGCACTGGGCCGCGACACAAAGTGGGAAGGCGGTCTCAAGGACATGGACGATGGAAGTGACAGTGGCTCTGAGTCTGACGATGAGGATGCCATGAACCCACGTGAAAGCACACCTGCAGCCGTTGACCCCAAGCATTTCCCAGAGGGCATCGTGTTCACTCAAGTTTGCGCAAGTGATAGCGCTACGTTCGCCGTGACTGCTGACGGCTCTGTTTGGGGCTGGGGTACCTTCAGAGTGAGTATCCTATCCTGGCGCAACTTTTGTCATCTACTAACTATTTTCTAGAGCAATGACGGTATTCTCGGATTCACTCCAGAGATCATGGTGCAAAATACTCCAATGAAGATCCCAGAGCTGAAGAAGATCACCAACTTGTCCGCCGGCGCCAACCACATCCTTGCTCTTGATGCCAAGAACAACGTCTGGGCCTGGGGCAGTGGCCAGCAGAACCAGCTTGGTCGCAGAGTCGTGGAGCGCACTCGCACTGGTGGTCTCATTCCCCGTGAATTTGGCCTTCCTCGTGGCAAGATTGAACAGGTTGCTACCGGCGCATACCACAGCTTCGCTGTTGCCAAGGATGGCCGCGTCTTTGCCTGGGGTCTCAACAACTTTGGCGAGTGTGGCATCGTCGAGGGTGCTGGTGAGGACAACGCTGTGATCCCGAAACCAACAGAGGTTACCGAGCTCAAGCCCTACAACATCAAGGAGATTACCGGTGGAGGTCACCATTCCATTGCTTGCACCGATAAGGGCGAGCTTCTCGCATGGGGCCGTTCCGATGGAGGCCAACTTGGTGTCGATATCTCCAAGGTTCCCAAGGAGCACATTACTTTTGATGAGCGCGAGAACCCTCGCATGGTTACAGTTCCAGTCGTCGTTCCAGGCATCAAGGCTGCTACTGTTGCTGCTGGCGGTGACAACTCCTTCGCCGTCGACACTGATGGCAAGGCTTACAGCTGGGGCTTCAGTGCCAATTACCAGACTGGTCAGGGAAGTGATGATGATGTCGATATTGCGACTCACATCGACAACACTGCTGTTCGCGGCAAGAAGCTCAACTTCGCCGGTGCTGGTGGACAGTTCTCGATCCTCACTGCGCCGGCTGGTAACTAAGCTACGCGTACAAATACATACACAATTTCGACTTCGTCATTTTACACTTGAGCTCATTCTTCGTTGGCTGGGTGTCTCTGCCACCCATACCACTCTTCGGACTCAAATTTTAATACTGCATGCATGTTTGGCGTTTTCCCAGGATGTAACTGGTGTGTGCCATGAATAGGAGGATACATTTGCTGGTTTTTTCGAGGTGAAAGGGTCACATATCAGAGCATAGTTGTCTTTAGATGATTTTCTTGCATGAATCAAAACTTGTTCTTACATTTAATTTAACTTTGTACCCGTAATTTTCAACGTTCTAAAAGCCCCCCCAATGCTCCCCAGTCTTATCAATATATCGTACATTTACAAGCTCAACATACATCTCCCTTTCACCCCCCCTCTCTCTCTCTCGTACACCCAAACCCAAAACGCCGTTGCTATGTCCAATACAGAGTGAAGATTTGCTGTTGCTCTCGCAGCCGGAAAGTGGGCGAGATGATTGATGGTAACCGATCCATCCTCGAAATTGTCGTCGTAGGTTGTCGATTTTCTCCCTCCCCTCCCCCCTTCTTTGCCCGCCGCAAAAAGAGCAGTAATTCACGATTCTCAGCTCTATTCAGCGTTAACGCCACCCCAACCACACAACTACCTATCCTTGAATACCTTCGGTTTCCACCCCTTCTTCAGCTCCTCCTCCCTACTCTCCGCCTCCTCCGCCTTCCTCGCCTCACTCTCGATCCTCTCCCGTGCCCTGAGGACTTTACTCTGCAGATAAAAACTTCCCCCCTTCTTCGGATCATTGACATCAAACAACTTCTTAAATCGCTCCGTCACGTCCTCCATATCCGTCTTCCCGCCCTTGGGAGGCTTAACATTGAGGATCTTGCACGCCTCTTCGAGCGTGAGGCCGGAGTGCGCGTACCCTGCCCCGCCGGCGCCACCGTTCGCTTTGGCTTGCGCTTTTTGGTATTGCGAGGAGGCGGCGGCTTGCTTGTAGGCTTCGGTGAAGGCGCGGCCGAGGACGCGCGTGCCGGTTATCACGACTTGGGTGATTATGCGGTGCGCCTGTTGGGAGAGGGAGTGGTTAGCTTGGGAGTTCGGGTCCGGGGGGGGGCGAGGCAAAAGGGGTGCAGGAGGGCTGCGAGTGGGGATTTGGGGAGGGAAGGGGGAGATGGAGATGGGGTGATTTACCATGGTGAGGATGTAGGGCGCGGGGAATGGCGGTCCTTGATGCGTGGGAGGGTGCGTGTGAGGGCGTGGTGAGTGAGGTCGGAGTTAAAGATCTCCAGGAACTTTTTGCTCGGCACGGGATTTGCCGCTGTGGAAAGGGATTGACCGCGGCTTGGCGCGGCCGACCTCGCCGTGTTGAACCGATGAGCCTCACGAATGTCAAATAGAGTATTTGTATATCAGTTAAATATTTGTTGAATATTTACTATCGATGTATTATTTATGATTGCCATGTATAGTATTTTTATTTATTGTGAATTTTCCATGTATGATTTAAATCGTAGGTAATTTTATACTGGTGCCACCAAAAGACTTTGAGACGGATTGGCCACAGCTCGGAAATTATATTATCGATTCGAGCCAACGGAACTTCTCTTTGCAGTTATAGCTTCTGGCGATTGAGAGATTTTATTTTACTCATAATTGCTGTAAATCCACATCTCTCTTTAGACTCTTCGGCAGCACGTGTGGTTCCATCAACAACGATTGCAGAATATGATAGAGAGGAGTTATAAGATAAGACGTCATAGTGAGCGAGGAAAATGAGCAACAAATACCTCATTGAGAGAATTGAGAGATATTCACAAGATATCGAAATGCGACCCTTGCAAATTGGAGGCTGAAATGCCCGTAATTATGCATGGTTCAGCCGTATGATATCTATTAAACGAGTGCAGCCTCGCATGTTTCGAGTATAAATTGTGCTGTATCATTCTGTAGAGTGAGCTAATCTCGCATCTTCTGGCTAATATTGTCTGGCAATATACCCGGGTCAGCCGCTGTTGGCTGAGAAGTCGACGCCTTTGAAGAAGGCGCTGCCTCGTTCACGTATGCGCCTGTACATGTGATGAATCAGAATGAGTTCATGGCATGAAAAATTCCCCTTGGCCAATAAAATTTCTCGATGTTAGATTCAAGACTACCAAGGGAGCCGATTGTATTTGGATGTGGTTGATTTGGTGAAACGGTGCCTTGCTTAGCTAATGTACGCATTTAGCTCCTCGTGCGTCTTTTTCGCTTTTGGGTGCGTGGCCCTTATTGTAACTAAGAAGAATCTTTTCTTTGGTACATTATAGACAGACTATGTAGTCGGTGGTACGGTACGTAAGGGGCCTAAAGGGAAAAAAAATCCCTTCAGGAATTTTGAAGATCTTCTCAACTTTCAAAATGAGTTATATTATTGAGAGACACGCCGAGCAATAAATCGGAATAAATCACAATAAATCACATGGGGATAAGCCGTGTTATCCTTATCCAACCCACTTCTCTCTCCACACTCACACTTGCGCCACGCGCGGGACAAAATACCCCATTCACTTGCGCTGGCAGGTGGGGTTTTATATGTACTCTACTGAGTACTGTACTGGACTCTAAGTTCGGAGTACCCTCTTTCTCGTCGCCGCCGGAGTCTGTAATGGGAATCTATTGGAGAGTTACACTGTGCTCTGTACTTGACTTTATTGATTCTATTGACTGGACTTGACGGCACTGAACCGTTACTGACTGTACAATACAGAATTGCACTACAGTACCAGCCAGACCCCGTCGACGGTGTCCCTTTTGGCCCTTTCGGCCCTTGTGGTAACAATCGACCGCGCGCCACGCCTGGAACCACACAATCAAGCAATCAACAACGAGCCAACCAGACCCAACCAGACCCAGCACCCAGAGGAGTTCACAACCCAAGACCACCGGCCAGAGCTGACTGACCCCACTGTCCTCCACCACCACCACATCCACCTCCACCTCCCACCGGGAACCGGATTTCCGTACGGATCAAGCGAATGCAGCCCGCTACTACTACTCTACTGCACTACTAAGCACTCACTACTCCATTCACCTTACTCACGCACCCAACTTGCAATCCCATACCGTCTGTCTCACGACATCCCATACACACTGACTACACCTGCCGTTCAACCCGCCATCCCGAACGACAACACTACTTCATCTACCACACCGGAAAATTCGGCATCGGTGTAATCTCTTCGACCTTTCCATAGATACCCCTCGATCCCCACCGTCTATTGTTTGACCATCTTCTCGGTCGCGAGGTGGTCCCCGCAGCTGTACATCCTCCATGGGGAACAGCGCAACAAAGGAGCAGAGACCTTCCTCTGCTGTTGGATACCACAGTCGCCAGGATGCGAGTTCATCACAAGCGGGATCAGCGAACCCATCGACAAACCCGTATTCCGCTCGCAGCGGTCGCGGAAGCCGCCATGATCTATCATTCTTGGGCATAGGGTCGGCCTCACACACCGTCGATGGACCGGAGGTGCGAAGGGAAACAAAGCAGGAAAGAGAGGCGAGGAGGTTAGAGAAGGAAAGGGTGGCAAGGGAGAAGGAGCGGACGAGGAGTATGAAGGAAGAGCATGTCGACGGGGGATACTTGGTCACGCAAGGAGTTTATACCGGCACTGAGGACTTCAGCAAACCAGTCGTGAGGCAATTTATGGTAGGCTGCCCACATTACAACATGCAACTTTCAATTGCTGACCCATTTAGATTGAGCGACGCATAGCACCATTTTGGTACGGCCTTAACGACTTCCACCATGAATGGACCGAGCATCAACTCGTTGCCGCCGCAAAGGGTCTTCCTATACCGGCTCCGGACGAAATACCTCTGGAGCTTGACAGACCTCCAACTGTTGAATCACCTCATACTTCGAGCAACAACATCCACAATCTCACCGTACCTATCGCCGGAAGGTCGGATTCATACGCCTCAGATAACTCCTCCCATCTGTCGCCGTCATCTCCAGTTCCTAACCAACCGCTTCATCTGCAAGCGACATCGCCATTCCGCCCACGGTCGAAGACTCTCGCATCTTTAACCTCGAAAAACCCACCCCAAAGCGACATAGTACCTCGCGAGGTTCAACTACCCGTCGATCCTTACGTTAACGGCTTGCGTATGGAAGCATTTCTATACAAAGATGCGACGGAGTGCCCGATCTGCTTCATATACTATCCACCATACCTAAACAAAACTCGGTGCTGCGACCAGCCCATCTGCTCCGAGTGCTTCGTACAGATTAAGCGGCCGGACCCTCATCCTCCGGAGCACGAGCATAACGATCCCTCAAATCCTTCACCTCCTCCACCTCCTGTCCAAGAGAACCCGGAGACTTTGGTCTCGGAACCTGCTAATTGTCCTTATTGCCAACAAGCAGAATTTGGGGTAACATACGAAACTCCCCCGTTCAGGCGGGGCTTGGCATATGCAAACTTAGGGCCAACAAGCTATGGCTCTGCAATGTCCTCTTCATCGTCATTAAATTCCGCAGTCAGCCCTTCACTTAAACCAATTGCTGGACGACGAAGGACGACCTCGGTATCAGCTAGCGATGCCACAGTTATTACGACCGACAAAGTAAGGCCGGACTGGGCAACTAAACTGGCAAATGCCAGGAATCACGCTGCGCGGAGATCGGCCGCGGCTACCGCTCTTCATACAGCTGCCTATATGATGGGAAGTGGGGGCTCAGAAACCAGGAGCTTTGGATTTTCAAGCCGTTTTCGTAACCGTGGTAGCCCAGCGGATAGTAGTGCGGGTACTCCAACTGAGCAGGGGCCTGACACTGCAGCTCGATTAGCTGCCTTCTCGACCTTAGCGGAGCAACAGGCCGAGAGGCAGCGTGAGGCACAGGCTGACCCTGGCTCGAGGCGCAGGAGGTCGCGGGTGGAGGACCTGGAGGAGATGATGATGATGGAAGCTATTCGTCAGAGCCTGGTTGCAGAAGAGGAGCGCAAGCGAAAGGACGAGAAGGAGGCGGCGAAGGATGCAAAGAAGGAGGCTAAGAAGAAGGAGAAGGCAGAGAAGAAAGCAGAGAAGGCTGCTAAGAAAGGAGTATATGGTAGCGGTGCCACCAGTATAAGTGGGAGCGCATTGAGCCTGGTTCTTCCTGGCGTGGGCCGGAGGCGGGGAAACAGCGGAGCCTCTGCTATGGCGAGAGAGGCCGCTGCGAACAAGAATGATAAGGGGAAGGATGTGGATAGGGGAGCAGTGGCGCCGTCGACATCATCATCATCGGATAACCCATCCCATAGTGATGAAGCGCCAACTGCAGTCCCTACTACACTCCCAACTGGAGCACCGACTGGAGCACCCACATTCCGACATCATGTTGAGGAACCGACCCCAGAGCTTCTTCACCACGAGTTCCCTCCACATTCTCCAACTACGACAGTGCCAGAAAGGCCGTCTCACTTGAGGCAAATGTCGAACGCATCCTCACCAGCGTCCTCGATTGTTGAGTCCGTACATGGTTCTATCAAGGGCGATTTTCCAGGATCATCATCCTCTGTAGCCTACGTGCTATAGAATTTTAGGCTTATCCTACTTGGCTAGAACTAGGCATCTCAACTTAATATAAGTTGTTCACACTGTACCATAATATGCTAGAGAATGCTTAAATTGCCAAGACACGTGCATCGTACGCAATCGCTGCGCACATGTCGATCTGCAATCTTTCAAAACGCTAAGCCACAGTGTAATCTCGAAGCGACGTACTTGTAAATATGGCTGACGTCACCACGACCCCTCACCACCCCGCCCACTGCGTCCAGAACCAGCTCGAGTGGCGGGCGCGACCGATGACTTGGCTTTGCCCAATATATTCGTCACCTTCGGAGTACAAAAAGAATCAACGTTGCCATCTCGTCTTCCTGCAAACAAAACATTCACAGATACACTCGATACTATCTTCATCAAATCACTGGTATCTCAAACCATAAATCACTCAAAACAAATCACGTCACCACCCACATACGCCAATATGTCGGCCAACACTGTTTACGTCAAGAACATCTCGAGTTCGACATCGAAGAAGGAGGTAACTGAGTAAGTTTTCAATTTCTGGCGTCAACTGATGTCGCATGAAGTTCCAGGCTAACATTAAACCAGCTTCTTCTCGTTCTGCGGAAAGATCAAGTCCATTGAAATCACCTCCGGCGCAGACTCCCAAAGCGCAGAAGTTGTGTTCGAGAAGGAGACCGCAGCAAAGACAGCTCTTCTACTGGACAACACCCAGCTTGGAAAGTCCCAGGTTTCCGTGACCGGTGCCGAGGGTGCTAAGGAGTTCGATGAGGCCCACCGCGAGAAGGACAGCGACGAGATTACCCAGGAGGAGAAGCCCCGCTCCCGTATCATCGCCGAGTACCTCGCCCACGGCTACGTTATCGGCGACCAAGCTTCGCAACGCGCGCTCGACCTTGACCACAAGCACGGTATCTCCAGCCGCTTCCTGACTACGCTCCAAAACCTCGACAACAAGTACAAGGCCACCGAGAAGGCCAAGTCTGCGGACCAATCCTACGGTATCTCCACCAAGGCCCAAGGTCTCTTCCAGGGCCTAGCATCATACTACGAGAAGGCCGCCGAGACGCCAACCGGCCAGAAGGTTGTCCAGTTCTACTCCCAAACCCAGAAGCAGGTCGAGGATATCCACCGCGAGGCTCGCCGTCTCGCCGACCTCAAGAAGGAGGAAGCTGGCACCACTTGTAAGTGCGGATCTGATTCTTCTATTTGCACCTGTGCCCCCGGCACCTGCGACTGCGCCGGATGCGCGAAGTCCGGCAAGTCAAAGAAGGCAGTGCCAGGCACCGATAAGACCACCTGCTCATGCGGCGGCGACAACGAGATCTGTTCCTGCGAAGTGGGCCAGTGTGCCTGCGCCTCGTGCCCAAAGGCATCGAGGACTGAAGCCGCAAGCCAAGCCGCAAGCTCGGGCAAGACTACTTGTAACTGTGGAGGTGATTCAAAGAACTGCTCGTGTGCAAAGGGCAAGTGTGCCTGCACCGGATGTGGCAAGACTTCTTAGGTTGGATTTCATATCTCTGGGGGGCTGTATCCTTGATGATGCTGACTGGGTCGCCATAGCTGCCTCTACTACGCAAGATGCCGCTACGTCACAGACGGCGCCTCTCGATAGCACGAAGATCCAGCCACTGGACTCTACCGCCAAGCAGTAAATCGAATACGAAAGCCGCAAATACATTGATTGTTATATCAAATTATGAAGTTACAAGGATTTTGTCAGTTTGCTGAGCAAGGGGATATTGATTTTGGACTTGGGGCCCGCAGGAGCATTTTTAAGATAGCTTCGAATTGCGTTAGGTAGTGGAATGAAAACACTTTGGCCAATTGAATTGTATACGGCCTTTTGTATATTGGGTGATTGTATTGTAGCTTTGTGCACATTAGAAATTCGAGTGGAAAGATGTAATCTTTTCAGCTATATAGCTTCAAGTGGCTACGTAATTTACATGTTTCGATCATTATACTATTATTACAACCTCTCCTTGAACACGTTAATACTTTTTCTGCGGGAAACCTTTCGCAAATTTCTCCTCCAAATAATTCTCCATCGGACCCTTTGGGTTGGATTCAAGACCCTGGTTTGAAAGTGTTAGCTACTATAAATATATATCAGAATGAATGCTTCGCATCAACATACCTTGAGCTGGTCCTTGGCAGACTGTTCGGTGTTGGGCTTGTCGCTGACGCCTTGTCCTGAGGAAGGAGCGGCCTTCTGGGCATCGGATTGCTTCTCTGCTGGAGGAGATTCGCGGCCTTGGTTTTGGGAAGACATTTTGTGTATTTGAGGTTTTGATAATGTGTGTGTGGTTACGTCGGATATGCTTTGGAAGCTGTTAGCTTTAAGGGAGCGTACAGGCCAATGTTGAAGAACTGAAGCCGGACTCACTTTCAGATTGTAAATACAGAAGTAGGATAACTAAATTACAGTATTCAAGAGGATTGGAATATATAAATGGTGGGTAAGAATCATATATCAAGTCCTACTCCCTCCACCCCACCATGACACAAGACCCCACTACGTCATAGCGGTTTTGAACCAACAAGCAACCCCCAAGGTACAAGCACGAAGTACAAATGCAATAATTCACGTGATCGACAGCCAAGCGAGGCTAACACTACAATGCATAACTGAGTACAAGCACCGTGACCCCTAGATTCAACAATCGATTGTTTGTTCACAGCTTCAAATTTTCTTAGAGAATGTCCTAACTGAGCTCACCTTTGTTGCCACGAAGCGTCCGTTGATTCCGAACGCAACAGAACGAGAAAACAACCATGGCGCCAGACCTCAACTCTGTTCCCCCATCGCCGCGCCCAATCTCTCAACAATCACCCCGCGTTACAGGAACCCCCTCGTCTCGCCGTGCGTCGCAGCAGATGCCCTCGCCCCCGACTGTTCCTCTCTCACCACCTGTTCCTAACATCCTACCTTCGAATACAAACGCGTTCATGGCTGCCTCTCAACCTGCTGGCGCGCAGGCGACAACTGCGTTTCCAACATTCACGACTGACAATACGGGCGTTGGAACTGGTCCGGGCCCCTTGAGACACCCCCGCCCACTCACAGCAGCGGACATACATCTCCAGCTTGAGAAAGAACAAGAAGCAGTCGTAAGTTCCCAACCTCAACCCCCAACCTCCCATCCCTCGTAGCAACCACCCAAACTAACAAACACCCCCCAGGTCAACCGCCTAACCCGCGAACTCTCCCTCCTCCGCGCCGCCCAAAACGCGTCCGTCGTCTCCAACACCTCCTCAACCTCCGAGCGCGCCGGCCTCCCCGACGCCTCAGACCACCACTCCAACCACCTCCTCTCAGGCCCCTCCCACCCCCTCCCCTCAACCCGGCGCCACCACCGCTCCTCCTCCGCCGCCAGCGCGCGCAGCATCGCCGCCGCATCTGCCGCCTCCACCACCGCGGGCGTAGCAGGCAGCATGGCCAGCGTCTACGCGCCCTCCAGCTCTGAGCGCACTCGCGGCACGCTTCCGCGCCATGACTCGACGACGCAATCACTCAGTTTGAGTCGCCAGAATAGCATTACCAGTTCGCGGCGCTCTGGGGCCTCGTCGCCCGTCCCGCCTCTGACTTCGAGTAGCTCGTACCAGCATTCTGAGTTCTCGCACACGTACCCCATGCGTCCGTCCTTCTCGTCGCAGCACCGCGAGTTGTCTGGGGGACAGATTCCGCAGCTGTCCAACGGAGATGGGCAGCCTATCACGTCTGTGCAGACGACGGGGCGGTATGAGGAGGCGGTGTATCATCGACATGAGCTTGAGGCTGTGAAGAGAGAGAATGATGCGTTGAAGCAGAAGATTCGGGATTTGGAGAGGATGGTTAGGGAGGGGAGACGTGCGAGAGAGGATGAGAGTCGCACGAGGAGCGAGAGTGTTAGTACGACTGCGAGTGTTATGAGGGGGAGGGATGAGGAAAGAGTTGCTGGAACGATTGAGGTGGATGATGTGAGAGTCGGGGAGAGCGCTAGTGGTGGAGGATTGGCGTGAGTGGTGGACTGGAATGAGCGACGCGTTTATGACTGGTGTTTTTTGCTTGATTCGGCAGGCGGGGGGGGGTTTACGGAATCGGAGATCAATTGTTTTTACTTTAGGTGGTCATTGGCAGTTTCGGCGGGGCGTTATGACAGGTATTATCTGAGCGAGTGAGCGAGTGAGCGAGAGAGTTTCGAGAGAGTTTGCAAAAGCTTCTTTCTCATAGTGAATGAATATGACAACCATTGAGCGAATTTAAAAAACACCTGGGACCCAGACCTCGTGATTACAATTCCTCTCCGTAGCAACACATCAAGTGCCTCTAAAGTGAGAAAGAATGCTCGCAGTCGAACCCGCCACCACAAACGCACAAGGCGCTATGGCAGCGGAAAGCAAGCGAATTCGTTCAAAGAACACCCCCTGAACTCCTCAAAACGAGCAGCACACTCCTAAGAATGGCAGCCGTTGTAAAAAATGCTCTGCTGTGCAAGTTAGCGTAACACCTTTCCCAAAAGCACTGTCGAAATCAGCCATCTCGGTCGGTATCTGAGATCTGCGGTCGGCACAGGCTGCTTGAATTGAGCCGTCTGAGCGAGATCCCTAGATACCGTGTCAGTCACTGTTTTTGCATCCACTGGGATTGAAAAAAAGGGGAAGAGGAAACAAAAATCTGTCTATCGAATGTGAATGATGGGAGCCAAGGCCAACAAGACTATAGAGAGGTTTCTGAATGCTAAACTGTTGAGCTATCTCGCTCAGTTGGGTATCGTATGTTTTCACGCGCCATACGCCTTAAGACAACCGCCGCCACCTATTTTTCCCACCCTTGTGTGTTCCTATCCGGAGCTCCTTGGGGTAATATACATCCCGTTTCGTTACAACGTCGTAGTCGTACACTTGTTCATCTGCGGTCGTGCTCTTTCTGCCAGATGCGCTCGAGGTGGTTGCGCTGGACCTCGAAGCTCGAGTAGTTGCCGCCGAGGATAACGCCGAGGACGCTCTGGCCTCTGCGCTCCTCGATGGATTTGCTGGATAGATCGCTCATGTGCTTGAATAGGTCATCGAATGCCCGCGAGAAGGCCTTGCGGATGGCTTGGGTGTTGTGGGAGCCACCGCTGATGTCGTTCGATGAGTTGTTCGGGTCGATGATGGAGAATCTATCAAGGTTACCCGCACGGTAGACGATCTGTCTGGCATTATTCTGTGACGTATTAGATTTATGTATGACTAAAGCGTTAGAATGGTATATGCTTGCCTTCGATACATATGCAGGTGGCTTCAACTGGATTGCCGTGGAGGTGACATTGAATTCATTGCCATAAAGGTCGAAGAATTCCATGAGAATCTCGCCCAGGTGATGCTCTGGGATCATGTTTCCGCTCTGGATTTGAGGCATGTGCTGTAGTAAGCTGACAACCAGACACGTAACAGTGAATCCGCCAATACCACCGTTCACAGGCTCATTGAGGCCTCTCATAGCCAAAAACTGCTTGACAATAGTAACCAAAATGGGCATGGCAGGGAATGTATCCTTCCAGTTCTGGAATGTTTTGTTGGCTATCAAGCCCGTGTCGTTCTCAAAAGATACGTCTACCCTGAGGCCAGTGTAATAATCGATATACTTAACCAAAGGCACCTTGGCCTTGGAAATTACTTCAATAGAATATGGTGCTGCGATCTTCTCTCTGTCGAGGAAATCCCTGAAGCGGAAAAGGGCGTTTTTGTTGGTATATTTACCATAACCTCCGTCCATGTAACCGCGCGACACGAACACCAAGTCCATATCTGCAGTTGGTAGATAAAGCCCTGCAGGATATGAACCAAAAGGCAAGATGTCAGCATCGTGCCAAACCTTTTGAACGGCTCGGCGTAGATCACTAATGAGTGCGCCACGCATGTTTTCTTCCACCTCTGCAGGTTTGAAACGATGGAAGAAGTCCATAATTTCCATGTGAAGCCTATATATGTTAGGGCTAGTACAAATAGTGACGAAGAGCTAGACGTACCATGAACCCATATTTGCAGAGGGATAGTGATTGGCAAGCCATGGCGTGTCATCAATCCCTGCTTTGGCTTTCCACTCCTTAACAATACTCCCAGTAGCGGGGCCTTTGGGAGTTGGCTTTGGTACGAGCGACGGCCCTTTGATTTTGTCGTCGTATGTGCGCTTTCTGTTGCCCAGATCCGGATCTGTGGAGGTGTCTATAGGACGGGACTTTCCAGTTGGTGTAGTTACCTCCTGGGATTTTGCTGAATCTCTAGGTCCCAAGACCTCTTCGCGGTGACTGTAATTGCCATTTCGCGGTCCAGTTGGTGCGCCTAGAACTTCAACAACGCTGTCGTCATCAGACTCGTCCCCATCACCCCCCAAATTATCATCGCCAAAATCAAATGAGATGAAGTCATCCGTCTCTGCAGTAGTCTTCGCTGCATCATTGAGGCCAGCTGACACACGTGCCTTCCTAATTAGTTTCACAACATCCTTCTTCTTGACACTTGACTCGTCTGGAGGTGGGAGGGCTGTATATGGGTCTGGATTCGACCATCTTGGAACGCTGTCGCCATCCGCGGAAGCCTTTACTTCCGTTCGAACCTGCTTTTTCTTTGGTTGCTCTTCTTCATCGTCCTCGGGCTTGTAGTCTTCATCGTCTGAGACATCCATGTCTGCTTCATCGCTATCCGACATGTCTTCAACTGCCAAGTACTTTGGTGCGGTCCCCACAGTCTCATCCATACCCGGCATAAGCTCTGGAGTTGGGGCGCGGTTGGTCTGCAAGAAAGGTCTTTCCGCTGCCTTCTTGGAAAATCCTCCGCGACCGCGGTAGCCGCCGCGTCCTCGTGCGCCTTGCCGGCTGGAGTCTTGTCGCGCGTCACGGTGGCGCGGTCCTCGATCTTGGCCGTGGCGCGTGGCTCCCGATGGACGATAACTGTCGTGAGTGCGCGCTACGTCGATGGTCTCAGGCGCATCTCGCCTGAAAGAGAAGTCCGACGACGGTGGCCTGTATGAATCGGCACCGCCCCTGGGAAACGATGGAGGGTCGCCTCTATATGCGCTTGTTCCTGGCGCACGGTTTTCGTCATGTCGATGATGACCGGAATCTCGGGGGCGGTATGTGTCGTCGTTGCGATGCGACGAATCACCTCTGCTCTGGTTGTCGTAGCTCAACTTTGGTGGCGGGGGAAGTGGGCGATAGGAGTTGCTGCTGCGCAGGTCGTACGCAGCAGTTACTGGTCGCGGTGGTAAACCAGCAGGTCTCGACATATTGTCGGTGGTGTGTGTTGTATTGAAATGATTTCGACGTCGGCTTCGTGCATGAAGAACAGGAGAGAGTGTGAAGTGAGAGGTTGGTGGCTACCATTCGCGAAAAGATTGTTATCTTAGCGCAATCAGTGAATAATGCGGGCGTGACCTGTGGGTGGGAAGTACGTACACCACCAGTACGCGCTTGCGACAACACCAGTCCAAACCAGTATGTAAGTTAAGGTACAAGGCCGAACTTGCACAACTAGCCATGATCACCGCGACGAAAGCAGGGACTTTTATGCCTACTGTATATGTTTACTGTGATCTGTAATACTTGTTTTGGTCTCTGAACAACTTCGAAGGTGATATTCTAAGCACTTACTACCATCTAGCGGCGTGTGTGAGGAAAGCCGGCGATATAAGTCGATTGCTGGATGTCCGCCCTAATCGGCATGTGATAAAAATACCCGGCTTCTTCTCTAGCACTTCAAGGACCGTATGTACTTGTCAGCTTCCTCTACAATCCACCTGCAAACTTTCAACTTGTATCTATCTGAATTCCTGCAAGATCTCCTTCCTTGAATTGGGGTAGTTCCTCGCTCGCGCCTTCCTTTTCTGCGGTCTCTCTGTACTTCGACTACGCTGGTCCAGACAGGGTTCCAGTTGGAAATGACGTCGTAAATGGCGGCTTTTGTAGGTCGTCGGACCTCCACCCCTCACTGCGACAGTGATATTGGAGGCTTTCTTTTCGTTTTATAGAGCTAACAATGCCTCCAGGACACGCCCTGGCTCGACCTGATGTCTTCCTCACCAGCTCCATCGGGCCGCGACGATGAGAGCATACATCATGCGAACGACCAGCGACCGACGACAACCGCGGCATTCTCACCAGTATCTCTGTCCCATGCATCTTCCGCAAACCGCCACAGGTCGACTATACTCGTTCATCAGAAGTCACCACTGCTCATAGCGACACCTCCTCAGATCACCAGAGCCCTTGCCTATTCACACGCGTTCCTTCTTCCGCTCAACAAGTTCGTGGGATTGTTGACATGGACAACCAATGACTCGTGGGAGAGTTTCATACTCGTAGCCTTCTTTTGGGCAACAGTTCTATATGGAGATGTCATATTACGATTTGCCGGGCCCGTAGTGGTTGTGCTGGGCCTTATTCTGGGGATGTACTCGCGACGATACTCACCTCTATCATCAACGGGCGTGACTGGAGAGAAGCAGAAGAAAGGGCATAAAAGAGAGGATTCAGAGGCTACGAATATTAAGCATCAGAAGTCATTGGACGAGATTGTTGAAACTCTCAAGGAGTTCACAGCAAGATGCAATATGCTACTCGATCCTCTTATACAGCTGACAGACTTCCTGTCTACTCAGCGGACAGCAACATCCGCGACAACTCGCCCAGCACTTACTACTCTTTTTATACGAATAATCCTCATTACTCCATTATGGCTTCTTCTTACTCTCCCGCCTCTACGAATCATCACCACTAAGCGTATTGCTCTGACGACAGGGACGCTTATCATTACCTGGCATTCAAAACCAACTCGAGTATCCCGAGAAATTTTATGGCGTTCATCCTTTATCCGCCGCGTATGCTCGGCGATCACAGGTTTGCACTTTGCAACTAGGAATGCACCGCCGAATCTCCCAACCCGGGACAAACATCCAAAGCCGAAGTTGCCGGGTCAGAAAAGTAACGACTATCACGAAGAGGCATCGCTCGCTGCTTCTGCTGCGAGTAAACGAAGGCCAAATGCTTCGGGTGTCAAGTTCACGTTCATTATTTACGAGAACCAGAGACGATGGGTTGGTCTGGGATGGACAACATCTCTGTTCGCATATGAGCGATCAAATTGGACTGACGAGCATCTGAACCCCGCACCTTCAAAGGCTGAATTTGAGCTGCCTGATGTTGATGGAGGAAATGCTCGATGGAGATGGGTAAAAGGCAGTAAATGGTTGGTTGAGGGCGCAGGTAACGGCGACGAAGGAGGGGCAAATGCGACATCTGAGGCAAAAGGTGGAGGTAATGGTTGGATTTACTATGATAACAAGGTATGTCAAAGTTGCAGCATTATTGGAGGTGCTCTAACTAACCAAAACAGTGGCAAAACGGTCGCCGAGGACAAGATGGCTGGGGCAAGTACACACGGAGGCGTAAGTGGTACCGCGACGCTGAGCTCGTGGAGGTGACGGCCAGTACAGAGATCACTCCTTGTTCCACGCCGCCTCCTGAGCTAGAGACAGAGGTTGAAAGCAAGAGGCAGCGATCACGCTCCGAGACTGTTTCGTCTGTGAAGAGTGGAAGACCCCCTTCCGAGCTTACCCTCGATGATAGCTCAAGTACGAAGAGTGCGGGGTTTAGACCGGGTTCTTTGAAGAGGACAAGCACCACTGGGAAGGGAAGTGTGGACCTGGATGAGGGGGAGGCTTTACCTGGGCAGCTGCCACACAGGGAAAGGGACGGGGACTGGGGCATCGGGGATGACGTCAAGATGGGCCTGGAGTAGGGCCTACACTTATAGCGGTATGGGAGTATTTCGTGGCATTCAGTGCCGTGGTTGCTGTTGTATTACCAGCTGTTTTAAACCAAGCCGTAGGAGCAACTTGTCAAAGTTATAAATGTTCATTCGATATAAGGGTCGATTTACATGTGATAATTACATATCCCAACGAAAGTCATTTACCTTGGTTATTGCAGCGGGATTACGCTCTGTGCACCATTCTAGATGTCTTGCTTCAGGTGATTGTAATATTTAGGATGCACAGCGTAAGAAACAATTTAATGCTGTGTGTGTTTCTACGTGTTTTTGATGCTGTGCATTGATTTCATTTCCGCTCGAGTACGTAGCGGGCTCCAAAAGCCGAGGTATTCCCACGTGTCGCGCGACCATTGAACAATGCGCTTTTCCACTTAGCAAGCAACAATCATCGCGATATATGAAACGAATAACTCTATAAGCTGCAGAGGCCGGCGGACTCTCTCTTGATATTTGGATGGTAAACAGCTTTATCAATGGCGACTCCCGACCGCGACTCCGGGAAACCGGGACGAGACCGACTGTCGGCCAAATCCACCACAGACCCAGTTCTCCGCAATACGCTACGATATACGATATCCGCAAAGGAATACCAGGTTCTACATAAATATATTATATCGCGATCGAAGGTTCTGAAGAGGAATACGCCTACGGTGTCTCAAGTCGAGAAGCTTGTGGACAGACCCGGACGCGATGATTACAATGCCGCCGCAGTCCGCGCGAGTTTACGCGTTTTCCTGGCAACAGGAGCTGCGCTGAAGGCATGGGCTGTTATAAAGGAGACCTTGTTCAAGGGCAAAGCAGAGTATGCCGCCCCTCATCGAATAGAGAGCACAAGACTAACGTTCCTCAGCACCGCGAAGACTACCCTCTGGCGCTCGCCAACATTACGACTTTCCCTATCTCTATCATCCATCCTCCTCCTACATCGCCTGCTCTTCCGCTTCTTCACACGCTTACGAGCGCACCTCCTCACCCCCGATGCACAGCCCTTCCGGCGGCGCAATCCTCGAACCTCACAAACTCTCACCTCCCGATTTGCGCCTGCTGTCGGAGCTAGTTTGGCAGGCTTCATGCTAGGGGTATACCCTGGCGAACAGCTACGACTATCCCTAGCAATATACGTGCTTAGCCAAGCTGCGGAGGCGACCTATAATCTTGCAGAAGAGCAAGGTTGGATTTGGGGAAAGAAAGGGAGCCGATGGGAGAGGCCATGGTGGTTTGGCAGCTGGATGCTCATGCCGCTTGTATCGGGACAGCTGCTACACGCATTCATTTTCGACAGGGATTGTTTCCCAGAGGCACTTAACGGCTTCATGATGAGGTTCTCGCCACCGTACATACAAGGGAGGCCCGTGGATTACCCATCTAATCTTCCTTGGCCCGCGCCAGGGGAGGTTGTGGACAGTCTCGCTGAAATGGGACGACTCCGTTTCCCGTAAGTTCCCACTTGATTCTTCTGAGTTCACGTACTGACATTTACTTTTAAGACCCTTTATTTCTCCTATTTTATTCCCCAATAAGAAGACCTTGCCTACCACACTCCAGGTAACGGCACCAATCACAGACGTCGCCCACCCTTTAATCACATCTCTTTCATGCGCTCTTCTCCACCCAAACGATCCTTCCTGCGCTAGGACATACCTCACCTACTGGCTCCGGGCCTTCCCACGCTTCGCCCGACTCTTCGCTGTTGTTTTCGCAGTCTTCTCCCTCCCAAAATACAAGGCATTCTATAACGCGCCGATCGCCTCTCTCGATCAGCTTGGACGCTCGGTCCTCCGTACGTCCGCATTCGCGACGGGCTCCATTGGCACTGCCTGGGCAGCCATCTGTTTCTTCCAAAACTTCCTGCCCTCAAAGGCACTTCCCACCCAGCGATTTTTCCTTGGTGGTTTCCTCGCAGGTCTGTGGAGCTTCCTGGAGAGGGAGACCGGAAGGGGTAACTTCTTATATATGTCACGGTTGAGCATGGATAGTGTGTGGAAGGTGGGTGTGAAGAGAGGATGGTGGAAGAGCTTGAAGGGAGGTGATGTATGGCTATTCGTGGCAGCGTTAGCTGTTGTGAATGCTGTTTATACGAAGGATCATAATGCTATTAAGGGTGGAGCAGTCAGACGCGTTCTCGCTGGCCTCCGTGGAGAGAGCGCAGCGCTGACGAGCATCGAAATCGATGGCGATGATGTTGATGAGGAGGATAAGAAGGAAAGGTGAAGGAATGGGATTCTACCATGATAAGATGTTGAGCGAGAGCGAGAGCGAGCTAGGGTCGCGGGGCATTATTGGGGCGTTATCGGCTGTGTATAGCCCGGGGTCACTGTCTTGTTTGTTGTATCATGCCTGTTATGATAGCTAGTGGTAATTTGTATATATTTCAATGTATGTATGCTGTCTGTTCTCGGTTTCAAGTCCACCGAACTCATAGGGGCAACCCCCGCAAAATTGGCGCACCTGAAAATGGGATGGCGGGGTAACGACGTCCGGATAATCTTCCCCAACTGCTATTCAGCTCTTTTAAATACTCAACCCTCAATTCCCAACGTATTCATTGACAGTAAATTGCCTTATAGCACATTCTTTCGATCCTTCAGTGTGAATAAAGAAACCTGAATCATCGCCGCCTCCAATACCCTAAACCGCACGACGCGCCGCCACCATGCCCAAAACGACCCCTCCTCTGGCGGATGTCATCCCCCCTCTCATCTTCGGAACAGCGGTTTTCAACCACCAGTTTAATAGCGATCCATTTTCGTTGCCCTCCACTACTCTCGTGCACCACGCATTATCTTCCGGAGTCTCCGGCTTCGATACCTCGCCATACTACGGCCCCAGCGAAGAAATCCTCGGCGCCGCTCTTATAGCACCCATCGCCGAAACGAAGGCGCCATTTCCCCGCGACCAGTATACAATCCTTACAAAAGTGGGCAGGATAGCCGCGGATGAGTTCGACTACTCGCCGGAATGGATACGGAAGAGCATTGCGCGCTCCCTGCAACGCCTGCACACAGACTACCTGGACGTTGTATACTGCCACGACGTTGAGTTCGTGACCCCTGCAGAGGCGCTGGGGGCTATAAAAGAGCTACGCAGGATACGGGATGAGGATGGGAGCATCAAGTACGTGGGAATCTCCGGATTCCCAGTTGAAACTCTCTGCGATTTGGCAGAGATGATCCTGCGGGAGACCGGGGAACCTCTTGATATCGTCCAGAGCTACGGGAACTACACAGTGCAGAACCAGACTCTGAAGAACAAGGGTGTACAACGCTTCAAAGCAGCTGGTGTGGATGTAGTTCCCAATGCGAGTATACTGGGGATGGGTCTGCTGCGGACCCAGGGTGTGCCGACAGGGAGCATGGGGAACTGGCATCCAGCTCCGGATGGCCTGCGTAAAGTGTGCCAGGATGCCGTGCGAGTTTGTGCAGCGAAGAATGAGACCCTTGAGAATGTTGCCACGCGTTGGTCATTAGAGCATTGGCTCGTGGATGGGGCGGAGGTGGGCACGTCATCTTCTGTAGTGGATGGACAGAAGATTGGCGTTAGTGTTATTGGTGTGAGCAATTTGGTGGAATTAGAAGGGGCTTTGAAAGTGTGGCAGAGCGTGAAAGATGGTGTGCAAAGTGGGGTAGAAGAAGGCAAGAAGACCGAAAGTTTGAACAGGAGGAGGCACATCGATGAAATAGTACTTGGGATATATGAGGTGCTAGGGAAGTGGAGAGATTTCGCCTGGGACAGTCCAGGCGCAGAATTTGTGAACAAAGCTGCGAAATAGAGTCTCACGAAGATAAACACGATTCAATATAGTTTGTATCAAAGCATGGATGTAGACGAATATTAAATGATTGCTACAGTGATATAGTCAACTCCTTTGAAGCAAATCCCACTCGAGGCTAAACGAACCACAGTCCGAAAGTCCAACGAAGTACCTGTCCACCAACTCCGTGCAAAGCTCGTACAGTAAAGCAATCCCTATGCATCTATTTCCACAAAAAGAAGATTCGTTCCCAGCAATTGCCTTGCCTTGTTCCATTACATACACGAATAACATATTCCATACCCTACCAGAAACTACACCACCCAATGTAATGCTGGCAAAGGTTCTCCAGCTTCGTCGCCTCAATGAGCAACTTATCGACTTGGTTGATATAGCTCAACTCCTCGTCCGGTTTGAAATCACGCCCTGTGAGTTTCTCCTTGACCCTGTTCAGAACTTGCACTGCTCTCTCATTCTGGATCTCAGTATGGTCTTGCCCAGGTTCAGTAACTGCAGTAGAATTGGTGCGACCACGTGGACGTGCGGATGGAGGGCCGCCTGGTGCTGTTGTTGGATCTTGGGCGACTAGCTCGCTGGGGGGGATGTTGGCATCCAAAATCGATGGGCGCCGTTGATCCGCTGCCATTATGGAGCCTCGGCGATCAGAACGGAAGTTAGGGCCCTCGCCAGGGGAATGGGCTCCAGTCAGGCGCCAGTTAAGAAGGGGGTCGTGAATGAACTGCGGTTATTAGCATCGAGCGATTTCGAACATGTGGGCGGGAACAACTTACAGCCTCAAGGACGGCCATCAAGGACTCTTTGTTGTCTCTGACAACTCTCATCACATTCTCGCAAGTAATTCTGAAACTTCCTTCAATATTGCTAACCTCCATAGCATATGTCAACATTCTTGTGAGACGGAATGGAACTCTCTCCGGGTATTTGTCGCGGTGCATAGCAACTTCGAAACAGTCACCGAAATCGACATGGATGATCTTTCCGGTGATCCTATCAAGCATCAAGTTGGAAGGATGCCTGTCACCAAGGCCTAGGATGTAGCCAACAATGGACATCACACCTAGAGAGCGGGTATAGTTCGTGCGGCGGTCCAACCAGGCCTCAGAGCTCTTACTCTTCAGCCACAAAACCCGATAAAGATCCTGGCCAGTAGTATTGTCAAGGGCGTAGCCAAAGACCTCCACTTTCTGCATCAAGGTTAGGTTGTCATAGTCCGGTGCCATCTGAAGCATGATGCGATGCTCAATATTGAGCAGAATCTTACGGCTCTCGCGATATTCACGAATAAGAACATGGAGAGTATCGCTGTTTTCAACCCAACCAAGAAGACCAGAACTTTGTGATAGAGGAATTGCGGGGTATCTTTCGATATTGAGATGACGCTTGTACGACTCTGAATCGTGCGAGAGTAGGGTATTGCAGAGACCGAAGAGCTGCATAACACGTTCGTCCTGACGCATGTCCTCGTGACCCTTCAAGAGAAAGGCATATGCAACACCATCGCTGCCATTCATACGGAGTCTTCTTGGTCGTTGCTTGGAATTAATCACCGAAAATGTCGGGTCGAAAGATATAATGCGAATAATTGGCTTGCCGCTCTGGTAAGTGCCGGGCACGGCAAGATCAAGATCGCGTACATGAAGAAGCTTTGGTGAGACATATGCAAGCTCTAGACTGGTAAGTTGAGGTAGTTGGCGAGCAATGCGCCGGAAAACTTGATAGTACAAATCCCAAGCTTGGTTCAAGTCGCCGACATCCCTCGATTGCTTGTACGTGTAGCACCATTCCCTTGCTTCTTGAAGATCACGGCCGAATGTTTGAGCGAAGGAAATTTCACGCAGAGTTTCTGGGCCCTTGTCAAGCTGTTCGTGTAGAGGGGTGAGTGTCGCAAACATGCCCTCAATATCATTGGCACCGAAGTAGAGTCTCGATGCTTCTTCAAGACCTTCATGCCATTGCTCGTGCCAAAGCACTGCGACGCGGATAAGTTCTTGGCTAACAACGTCGGCTTGGTCCACAAGTTGGGCGCTGTGCTGGCGCATGCTGTCCATAATTTGGCCAGCTGACCTGGATCTTCTTGTAGTTTGTGCAGACTTCATGGCAACAGTAAGAGGGTATACAAGGGCCTGAGGATGTGCACGCCCGACATCTGCAAGTAGGGCATGAATCGATTGCCGCACGCGTGTATTTGGCTGGTTAATGCGCGCAATAAGTTGCGGGATAACCTCGAGCCAGGTATCAACGCTGACCGAAGCAAATCCCTCGATAACCACTGCATTCACCTCGGGGTTCCCGCCGTGTGCAAACCATAGCGTAAGGAGTCGAAGCGTATCTTGCAAAGAGCTACCGGCTGATAGTGAAATCGACTTGAAGAATCCCCTCACAGCAGGGACAACGTGGTCAATCAAGACATTGTGAGGTACCACTGCTGTCTCTCGCTCCGGCTTCTGATTCACAGACTGAGCAATTTCGAAGTTCGCCAGAGCCCAAGCATGCCAAGCCTTATACCAGTTCGGATTGAATTGAGTGGCAGCAGAATATGCCGCCAAGATATCTCCAACTTGGTCATGACGCCAGTCACCTCGGTTTAGCGACACTTGCCATTCTCCTTGCTTGAGGCAGCATCGAGAAAGCAACTCCGTATGGTCTGCCAAAGCCTTGGGGCTCATAGCGTAGGGTGCGCCGTTGCCATTCACAGCAGAGAGGCCGTTTGCCATGTCGTTGGCGCCATGTCCATCCTGCATGCCATGCGCGGCCATCTGCGACGAATGCAGTCTTTCGGCCATGTCGTTGCTGAAGATTTTAAGCCCATCTAATGCAGCAGCCTTGTGCCCAACGGCCCAGTGATATTTGAGGACGGCATAATTGACTGCTGGAGTAATATGTCTAGGTGGCTCGCGATGGTATTGCCCGTGGCCATCAGCATTGATATATGGCAGAACAGCATCGAGACTGTCATCGTTACCAATTAATTGTTGCAGAGATTTTTCAGCCAGACCCATCCGACCTGATTTTCTACACAGATTGGCAAATTTGATCCACATCTGCATGTTCTCCTTGGGAGAAATGACGAGCGCACGGAGCTTCAACATTCGTTGCCATACTTCGACGTTCCGTTGGCACCCCAACAAACGTGTCTCCCACGTACGTCTCATAGTTTCTTGCTTAGCTGGATTGTCGTTGCTCTGCTTGTACACGATAAGCTCTTCAAGCTCGGCAAGCATCTGAACCCGAACGACTACAGCATATGCGCGATTGTACGACTCGCTCACAAGAGCGCTCAGCTCCGTATCTAGTCCTTCTCTTGCTTTTTGAATGTATACGCTCGCCTCGTGGAACTGGTTCCTATGAAGTGCGAGAATTGCACCGAAGAATGATCGGTCCGGAGACTGGATCTTCATGACGCTTAAGTAATCATCCATAAGATCCCACTTGCCCAATCCCCAAGCAGAGGAAGTAGCTAATGGTGCGATCCTTCGCTGAACATCAAGAGTTGAAGTATGGAAGGTATCTTGAGCCAAAGCCGAGAGTTCATCCCATTCACCAAGAGCGTGTAAACATCGCATCTTGCCCATGATGATCTCTATCCTCTCACCAGGCTCGGTGCTTTCTTGCTCCCTCTGCTTGTAGAAATCCAGTGCCTCTTCCCACCTCTCAAGCTTTTCAAACCAAGTCTCACGCAGAGCAATGCCATCTGCATAAAGTTGTGCTCTCCGGAGAATTCCAATCGCAGCGTCGTATTGCTGCAACTGGTTATTGATCTGTATCAATGCTTCAACGGCACCCCCGCTCTGGTCCTGGAGGAATTCCAGCTCTTTATAATGCAATGCCTTCGCGTATGCATGGCATCTACCAGCTTCGCGGCCAAGAATTCGAATATCGATCGGCAAAGCCTTATCATCGTGCTCCATAAATTCTGCGAGGTTCAGCAGAATTCCAAGGAGATCTGGCGTAATATGAGGTGATTTGACGGCTAGCTCGATATTCTGAATAAGATCGTCTTGGTACTGTTCAAAGAGGTCGCTCCAGCAAGAGACAAATGCAGAATTGAACAACTCCTTTGCAAGAGGTGGATAGGTGCTTGCCAGACTTGCACAGGCCCTCAGCGCATGATTCGGTGACTCCATAAGGACAGTCACGCTGAATCTTCGCATCCACTCTTGCCAATCTTCTTTCGTTGACTTCCCCTGAGCATCCCAAGCACTCTTCAGATGCACTGGGTTCGAGTCAAGCTTTTTATTGCTGATATCAGAGAACGGGGCCTCGTCAATTTGGTTGTAGTATCGTTCTTCTGGGCTTAAATCCTGTGGGAGAGGCTCGCCCTTTTGCAACTTGGTAACAAGGAGATCGTAGTTTTGGTGCGTTATCTGATGGGCAATAAGCACCTTTTTGATTGTAGAGACAAAGTGGAGGTAGTCTCTTCCAAGCTGGAATATCAATGCGCAAAGAGTGTCCAGTGCTGCAAGCCTCAAAGATGGATCGGACCCCCCTAAGACTCGTGCCAGAGGATGGATGATCTTTGAGGCATAATCATTAAGATTGACCTGACGAGAGATTTTCCCGATAGCATCTATTGCGGATTTTCGAATAAAAGAAGGCTGTTGTGGCTTTTCAAAAACCTTCACAATGACGGGAATGATTAGGTGCATGTATTCTTCACTACTCGATCCGAAAACCAAGAACGCGTGTAGGACCTTCTCGGATGGCAGTCGACGGGTTGAAGTGTCCTTCTCTAACACACCAAGCATAAGTGGAAGGAGACTAGCAAGGTAGATCTTAAATTCCCCCTCGAGAGAGCGAGCAATGGCCTCCACAAGCTGGAGGATAGTAGCTTGTAGTGATGGAGAAACATTCCAGTATTCTTGCAAGACTTCGACAATGTCCGGAAGATAATTTCGAATATGCTGGCGAACAATAGTGACAAGAATAGCAAGTTGGTTAAAGTAAGATTCGAGCCTGTTCGCTGGCGAGGCGCGGATTACCGATATGAAAGCAGGAATAATCTTGTCGAGAAATGAAATACACTCCAAACCCAAGGTTCTGAAAATATTCATAATCGCTTCGATTACAACAGCGTGATGTTGTACAAGGGACTGGTCCTTCAAGATTTGTAACAAAGCATTGATGACAACTGTAGGATAGTACTCCTTGTTAGATGGTGTAAGTCCAGTCATCATGAGGGAGATGTCGGTCATCTGGTTGGACTCCGACCGTAATTGCATCTCAGGGGATTTTTCCTCCACTTGCTGTTGCTTATACGGATCCAATGCTCCGAGAATGCCGATTAACTTGATTGTTTCTTGTCGCAGCGGGCCTCTCTGAGACTCCCCCCGGATCACACCTTGCAGTATCTCCAGCAACTGGGGATAGTCCATGTATGGCTTGATAACATAACCAGAGTTACTGGCAAGTTGGCCCAATGTTTTCAAGGCTGCTTCTCGCTTTTGTGACGAGCTTTGGTCTTGAAGGGCCTCGAGAATAATTGGCATAAGTTGGTCGATATATGGTATCATATCTTCACCGCCAACGGTAGCAAGCTCACCAATAGCTTTTAGAATTGTTGCAGCCACCGCTGGACTTGGATCTCTCGCCTTCGGCAGCAAAACCGAAATCATTGGATCGACATAAGGCTTGATTAACCTTTGAGAGTTTTGAACCAAAAGGCTCAATAGTTTCGCGCTCTCTTCCTTGTTTCGGGCAACATCAGAAAACTCTAACTCGGTCAACATCTGGATGAGTACTTTTCGTAACGAGGGGACCACGTAGGCCGGGTTAACAAGTGTTAGGCGTCCAATAATAGTAATCGCCACTTCTCGGATAGCGAAGACTTCATCATTGAGGGCAAAGAACAGCGTACGGATATTCTCCGACTTCGCAAGATGCCGATCGAACCTTTCATCCAAAGCAGCCAGTACTGTTCGTCGAATTTGCGGATCTGGGTCTGCTACGCCAACTGTGAGCAACTTCTCAATTACTTCGTTGACAACCTGGATTGCGTGATAGCTAGTCTGGTTGACAATCGGATCCCGAATATAAAGCTGGCAACACGTTAAAGCCGCAGCCTCTCTGATTTCAGGGCTTTCGTCCTCGACATATTTGATAGCGACATCACGGACGAACTCGTTGAGCACATGGCCTGAAAAATCAAAGCTGCCCAAAGTGTTTAATGCCAGCTTAATCTCCGCCTGACGATGCTCGTAGGCCTGTGGGTCCTTTGAATCTTTGGACACAATTGGCACTGCAGCAATACTGTTCGGGGTTGGTGCTCCAAGAGGCTTGAAGGGCTCCCCACATAGAATGTTGCTGAGCATGTCAAGGAGCCTCTCCTGGATGATAGATGTAACAGGTGGTATATGGAAGGCCATGTCCACCAGAGCTTGTGTCAGCTTTGGCGTCAGCTCGCAAGCAAATATAGGGTCTAGGAGAGCCTCCATATATTTGCTAAGAGTCTGACCAACTGCTGCGGCCAACCTGCTGATACAGTCGAACACAGGATCCACGCTGCCACTTCGACGAGATTTAAGACTTAAACCCTCACGGACATAAATCAGAACACCATCGAGATATGGCGCAATTGCACTCTTAACTGCATTGGCGATGTTGCCAATGGCCAAGAATGCGTCGTTTCTCTCCTTGTCTTTCTTGAGCATCCCAGACAGGAAAATCATGAACTTGTGGAGGTAGGTTTGTGCGAAATCTGTGGGAGAGTAGTTTGCTAATTCGGGTATTAAAAGCACCACGGTGCGGCGAATCACAGGTTCGCGGTGATCTTTCATTTTGAAAACGATCTCGCATGCCTCCTGGTAATGCTCATGCATGAACATGCCTCCTTGCTGTAGTAGCTCTTTGATGACCAGAAGAGAACCGTGAATTGACTCGACTGTCCCCATTTTGATTCCAACGCGTGATTCCTCGTATATCATCGACTGCCATTGCAGTCTCCTGGCCTGCTCTCTTTCCCGGATTATTTGGAAGTAGGCGCTGATAGCCTCCGCAGCTGTTTCTCGAATGAGGAGTCGTATATCCCGCAAGCCAACCCAGATAAGGTCGAAAACATGCTGTACATATGCATACATGAGGGTTTGCGCATTTCTACCCAACTCTCTCAGTATGAGGACTGCACTGTAGCGACGTTCCTCGACCCGATCTGACTGTAGCCACTCTAAGGCGGTCTTCACCTCGCTCTCTACCAGTTCGGATATTAAAGAGCCTCCGGGTCGGCATAATCTCCCCAGCGCCACGGCTGCTGGCTGCATGGCGACAAGGTCTTTACTCCTGAGCACACTCCTCAGGGATTGGGCGAATCGCGTAGTTTTCTGAGCTGCGTCGACGCCATTAAAGTCGATGAGTGCATCGAGGGCCATGACGCCGCCCAGGCGGTCGATAGGATCGTTTCCATGACTTATTAATTGTGTTATTTTTCCATTGACGACATTGTAGAATTCGATAAAGCGCTCCTGTGGAAAGTCTGCCTTCTATTAGCTAAAGCCAACAACCGCGGCAATAGTAGCATACCTCTCGCAGTAACCACCACCAACTCCTGGAGCTCTATCGCAGCTCGTTTTCGTACATCTTCATTTCTGGTTTAGTTAGCTCTGCACCAATATGGAGGCGTTGGGCGTTGGGCTCACCGAGAACGTAGCTCTCCTACTAGTCTATTCAGGACGTCTACTGCTTGTTGCGACATCTTCCAGAGTACTGCTCCCTGCGAGCGCCTTAATTAGAATGTGAAGTCGCCATCCATAAGCGCTACTCAAAAGACGGTGGATGTTCAAATATGGCGCCTGAAGGAGTGTGTTGTTCGTGGCGTCTTGAGATTGTTTGTTTCGGTCGTTGGGTCGTCGTCTTGTGATTCCAGGTAAGGTCGATAGACGGATGTCCCCAGCCCAACATCCCTGCAAGTCATGCATTAGCGGCAATTCGATAAGCCTTGTCATATTTGGACATCAGCCTCGACCTACATTTATGGACAAACTTCAATCGCCACAACACATATCCACATCATATAAGGCACTTTAAGATGGGTAATGACGGAGGCAGGTATGTACACTTCAAATAAATGCGCCAATAATTTAATTTCTAACCGAATATAGTATTCCAACGCGACGAGAGCTAGTCAAGAATGCGGCGCGCGACCCGACCACCACGGAGGCGAAGGCGACACAGCTCGAATCGCAAACACACGCTTGGACATACTGTCCTCTTTCCCAACGACCTTTGTCTACCCCTATAGTCTCGGATTGCGCCGGTACTTTATATAATAAAGATGCGATTATAGAGCACCTATTACCGAGTGACGACTCTTCGCCAGAATCAAAGAGCGACCATGAGGAGGTCCTTAAAGGGCGTGTAAAATCGCTGCGGGATGTCGTCGAAGTCAAATTCCAAACCGCGAAGGACGAGGTGGCAAAGGCGGAGATACGACTATGCCCTATTACAAGCAAAGAGTTAGGCCCGACAACAAAATCTGTGTATCTGGTACCTTGCGGACATGCATTTGCGGAGGTGGCAACCAGAGAGGTGGCAGGAGTGGCCTGCATGGAGTGCAATGAGCCGTACGTTTCAGAGAACATTGTCACAATACTACCTACCACAAAAGAAGATATTGGAAGGCTTGACGAGCGCATCAGGAGGTTAAGAGACTCGGGTCTGACGCATTCATTAAAGAAAGCTCCGGGGTCAAAAAAGAGGAAGAAGCACGCAGAGGCAGAGACTAAGGAAACAATTGAGATGCCGAACGAGGATAACGGAATCAAATCGAAGGACGATGTACGGTCAAAGATACCGGCAGGAATACCAGATGATGTCTCTTCAACTTTACAACTTAAGAACGGCTCCACGGCTTCAGCTGGCAGGATAAAAAATGCCGCGACTGCAAGTCTCACAGCAAAGGTTCTAGACGAGCAATCGGAAAGGAACAAGCGGAGAAAGCTTGGATTAAACGATAATTTGAAGAGTTTGTTTTCAAAAAGCGGGCCTAGCGAACTCAAAGGCGCTGGGGATTTTATGACTAGAGGATATTCAGTACCGAAGAGAACATAGGTATTTGAATGAAGACTTCAATATTATAAGAACAAGTCTTGATGCTTTATTTCTGCTCCCATTTTTTATCAATACAAGTCTGAGCAAAGAATTGTGTTGATTCCTATCATCGTTCTTCCCGCCTCATAAACATTCTCGGTCGACCTCATCCGACCTCAGCTCCGACACATCTTGATTTCGTGTTTTAGCCTACAGGACAACGATTTCTCTATGTCGCCCATAAACCGCACGAAGGCTCCTACGGAGCTCCCAAAAAAAATCCACATGAACCGTGGTCCATACCGTGCGCAGTTCCAAATAGCTATACCAAGCTTTTTGAGGAATGGCCCTCTCCGGCATGCGAAAGTAGCGACGACTTCAACGATCACCGTTACCAGAATCCGTTCAATTCTTGCCAGAAACCGATTCCACTTCCTGCAGGCCCAGAGAAGGCCATAAAAAAGGCGGGTCCACCAGTATGCCAACAATATTTCCGGGGTAGCGCAAAAAGGCTCCTTGAACTCTCTGGATTCCTTGCTTCTTGGTCCGTAAATCGTATTCCACAACCAGAAAGCCCAGATATGCTTAATGAACCATTCAGGCTTCCCGACCTCTCCCCATCCTATGAAGGTCCAGGCAACCGGTGGCGGCACAGGTAAATCAGACGGAGTCACTGGTGGTCCTGGTTGCTCAAGCGGTGAGGCTATCGATTCCAAGTTGCTCACAACCGCCGCGGTAGTATCATTGGCGAGGAACAGCTTCTGCCATATGCGCTGTGCGTAGCTTCTGACGAAAATAAACATTTGAATTGCCCTGAAAGCCAATTGAATGGCCCTAATCGCTATCTTAATTGTGCTGTGACTTCAGAATAGAATTCCTGTAAAATTCCCCTTGCGCCTATTCATGCCCTTCCAACTCCCGAAATAACAAAAGCCGTTATCACCGTAAAAGAATATCGACTACTTCGTTGTGAAGTCAGTCTCGAGGGGGTTCACTCCTCCGTCCGTAGCTTTCTCGCATGAACAAGCATCTGCTACACGTTAGTACTAAATAAGTCAGATATAATGGAACAACTTACCAGCTGGGCGGACACCACATGCACATGTAGAGCCGGTTGGGGTTTTGTTCTCAGTTGAAGCGCGGTCACAAGTGCATGCACCGGCTGGTCTCGCGCCTGGAGATTGTATCAGCTTCTGTAAATAAGAGTAACAGTTGCCTCCGCATAAGATGTTCAGCATCTGTGGTTGTATCTTTACTACGTGGGACTTGAGAGCCGCAGAAGACAAGTTTGTTCCACAATACAGAGCCAGAGATGATAGATTTGGGGTATGACTTACGGCACGAACAGCGAGGTCCCTCAACTTTGTTTTCTTCCGAGGCCTTGCTACAGTTGCACTCAAGAGCATGCTTTTCGCCACAGGAGCATTTTGCTTGAGCAGCTAGAAGATGTTAGTAAAGTTGAGCCCAAGGTGATGTAGGGTGGCTCCTACCACAGATACAGCCTTGCCCAGTCTTCTTGCAACAGGTGGTGGATTGAACAGTTTCGGTGGCCATTTTGACGATGTTTGGTTGTTGTTATTGAAGGTGAAGTAAATAAATCTGTTATGACTGGAGAAGGAATTCTCTGATTTCTGGATGTAATTATTTGGAAAGTTAATACTCTGAAGGAAGTGGTTGTTCTCGTCCTTTATAAGTCCAAGTTATCAGCCTTGCATGGCAATGATTTGATTTACCTTAATCCTGATTGGCTGAAATGCAAGCTACTGAAAGCAGCTGCGGGTAGCAGCTACCAGTAACTACCAGTAAACAGTAATCAGTTACACAGCAATCCTGATTGGGGAAGCTCCATTACTCGTTCAGGTTCAGAGAGAGGTCCAGGTTGTTTGTCATATTATATGGTACATACAATGTCTAATGAGGTATCTGTGATTCGTAAACGCCGAAATGTCCCACCCATATCTTACACTGCCCCAAGTTTATGTTCCCCCATATCCTACACTGCCCAAGTCTATGTTCAGAATTTGCTCTCCTTGTATGGGTATCTTGGCTCGTCGTCTTTCCTATACCACAGCTGCTTCTTCTTCTTGGTGGGGACATGTTCTACCCAAATCTGCTTCGCATGTTCCTTCATGAACCGCCTGATGAACCTTGGATCCCACAGTTCACTGGCTACGCCGAGATCCTTGCAGCACCGCATCAAGGCGTTTGATTTGCATCCTTCGGTAGCCGTAGGAATACCTTCTGGGGAGAAGTAGGCCTGCTCGCCGCGGGAAACAGAAACCAGTCTATAGAATATCAGCTCTTGCCCAATCTCAGTAATGTTGTCCAGACAAACCTTCCATGCGCCACAAGTGCGTACTCCCTTGTAATGCTCTTCGGTGTAACAATAGTCTCTCCTCGAGGGGCCAGACCCCAGCCTCCTGGGCCAAACGCCCTGTTCAATATCCGTCTGTATTTGATCTCTGGTAGATATACAATTCCGTCCGGCTTGACCTCCACATCGTCAGTGGGTATTTCGGCAAGTAATATATCTGCGGCTTCTTTCGAGAATGGCTGGGCAGATAGACCGTGGAAAGACTTGGCCCAGTCAACCTGTCGACTACCCTCGTCGAGAATGAGCGGCTCGTCTGCCAATCCTGATGTAATGTCGTTGATTGGCGACTGGTCATCTATAGACGCTGGCTTGCTGGCCCCGTTCGTTCTCGGCGCATTTCCATTTCCCTCCCCATTTGTTGGCTTGCGGTTATAGCTCGCTCCTGGCGTCGCAACTCGGATTTGTGAAGCAGAGAGGAATCGTTTAGCTCCGGACAGGCGTGCATTCCGTGTTGGATTCGATGATTGTAGGAGACAGAGGCTTGGTGACTGTCTGAGGCAGCCCCCAGTAGCTATCCTGACTCCCGACATATCTGGTAGTTGGAAGTAATAACTAATGGTGTCGTTACAAGTTCTAGATTCCGTTCGCGACATTTGCCTCGCATCCTTGTAATAGCCTCACGCGACTTGAGCCGCAACACCATTGGAACAATTAAACCCACCAAAACTTTACACATAGATTGGAGTTTGTCTATTTAATAATACAACAATAATATATACATTTACTGATGTACAGCTGTATTTTTGTTGAGCTCAATATGCACTTCCCTACGCATCCTTCATACTCGTCCGCTTGTCATTGCTCTGTTTCTTCCAACAGAGCTTGAAGTTCTCGAGCTTTAAAGAGGGTATCAATTAGCTATGCACTTGATAATTGTAGAGTCCCAGTTACTTGGGTGCGGAGCCGCTTAGATATCTGAAAAGGAAGGATTGGCGGTTTACATACCTCCTCTTTACACTGTCGCCAGTCTTTCTTTTCATAAAAGCAATCATTCATCTTGGTATTCTCAGCTGTTAGGATTGTGAGCTATATCGTCCCAAGTAAGACATCTAGTTTGACCACATACTGGCGCAGCCTGTGCTGAAGATTCTCTTGTCCCTACAGAGCACGGTTAGCGTTGGGGACGGCTTTTGGCGGCTTTAGTTTCGTTTACCACTCATCCGGCTCATCATCATCAACTGCGGCATTGATTACTTTGTTTTTATCCCCCAAGTTAGACATCGTGTTGGAAGTTGTGGATGTTCTTTGGGTAGTCAATTTTGTTGAGAATACAACGTTCTCGCCTGACTGACACGGATTAAAACCACCGCCTCGGCTCCGAATACATCAGGTAATTTGGTTGATGGGAAGATGGTTACCAAAAAATTGAACGTCCTGGTGTACTCTGGTATGTTTAACAAACCAGCAAAAAGCTCTCCTTGACTAGGCCTGTACTAAAATGATAAACAGGCACGGGAAGCACAGATGGGGCAGTCCGTCACGCTCTTTACACACTGAGGCGGCTTCTTTCCCCGAACTACGCCGTCTTTCCTGTATCTGATTCGGTGATTATCAAAGAGCCATGGGCATCGTCATGTGCTCTTCTTGTCTTTCCTGGCGGCGCAGATCTTGGGTATTGCCGAGTACTCAATGGCGAAGGCAATGACCGTATTAGTCAATATGTCCGAAGGGGTGGCTCATATCTTGGATTCTGTGCCGGTGGCTACTATGGAAGCCGGAGGTGCGAATTCGAGGTGGGAGACAAGAAAATGGAAGTCGTCGGGAAACGCGAATTGTCATTCTTCCCGGGCATCTGCAGAGGATGTGCGTTCAAAGGCTTCGTTTATCAAAGCGAAGCTGGAGCGTGTGCTGCAGAATTGACTGTGGAGACAGAATCCTTTGCTGGGATAGACTGCCCAAAGTCTTTTAAATCCTATTATAACGGCGGCGGCGTCTTTGTAGATGCTGCCAATTTCAAGTCGGAGGGTGTTGAAGTACTGGCCACATATTCCAAAGACACGGATGTTGACGGGGGAGACTGTGGAACGAGGGCTGCTGCAGTTTACTGTAAGATAGGCGACGGATGTGCAGTGCTTACGGGACCTCACCCAGAGTATGTCAAGCTCAGATTCTCGCATGGCACATGCTAACAGTGGCAGATTCGCGGCGGCAAACCTAGACGCCAAATCGGGCGGGCCAGACTATTCCAAGATGATTGAGAGCTTGATGGAAGGCGACAACCTCAGGGAAAGCTTCATGAAAGCATGTCTCACGAAAATGGGACTCCGTGTTGCAATAGAGACACCCACGGTACCACCAGTACTTTCCGCCCTTCATATTTCTTCTCTTCATAATGTCGAGGTTTCTGAGCTATTTGACGATCTGAAGAATGATGTGACGCTTGAGGAGGGAGAAAGTTTCGTAAAAGGAGAGAACGATACTTTTCTCATTGAAAGGAATGGCTCTCCTTTATCGTTACATTCTCTCGGCGTTTCTCTTCCAGAAACCAGCTCAGAGGAAAAAGATGAAGCAGAAACTGATCAGCTTCGCAGTGGCCAAGGCGAGAAAAATATCGATTATAACAAGGTCATAAAGCGCCTAGTATTCCATGATGGTGGATGGCCTCAGAACTCTGAGACTCCGCATTTTAACCACGACGTTTTCTACTCGGAACTTGTCGATTACCAAGACGAAAGCGGTAGTCGAGCAGAAGACTTTGGCAAGGTCATCATGTATGGAGATGTTGTTACCAGTACAAATACTTTGCTGGAAAAGTACGTTCTCACAAAAAATCCAATGACTACTTCTAACAACTGCGTGCAGGAACCAGAAGCTTTTATCACACCTCCCAAATGGCTTCACCGCAACAGCAACAGCTCAAGTTGCTGGCAGGGGTCGCGGATCAAACGTTTGGGTTTCACCCGTTGGATCATTGATATTTTCCACCTGCATCAGACACTCCCTAGAATTGTCGGCCAAAGCCCCTGTTATCTTCGTCCAATATCTTGCTGCCATCGCTATCGCGGAGGGGATCAAGACTTATGGCAAGGGATACGAAGATATCCCCGTGAAACTTAAGTGGCCCAATGATATCTGTAAGTACAATCAATGCCAGCTCTTGAGAATAATATTGATAATTCTAGATGCTCTGGATCCCACAAAACCAGGAAATAAGGAATATGTAAAGATTGGTGGGATTCTAGTGAACTCTTCATACTCCTCTGGCAATTACAACCTTGTGGTTGGCATTGGAATCAACACAACAAATGCTGCACCAACAACCTCCCTGAACGCACTGCGGCCGCAACACCTCCCAGAGTTCACCATTGAAAAGCTCCTTGCTCGAATTTTAACTAAGTTCGAGGACATCTATATCCAATTCTGTCGATCAGGGTTCGATAAGAAGCTAGAGGAAACATACTACAAGCTGTGGCTCCATAGTGAGCAGATCATTACGCTGGAAGCTGAAGGGGGTGTTAGGGCGAGAGTGCTCGGGATCACTAGAGACTGGGGATTTTTGCGGGTCCAGGAGCTGGGTTGGGAGGATAAGCCCACTGGGAAGATCATCGAATTGCAAACAGACAGCAACAGTTTTGATTTCTTCAGGGGTCTTGTCAAGAGGAAAGTATAGGTCTTTGATATTTTAGACGCCAGCGTTTGCAAATTTTCTTGCTACCCACGCTCCTCCGTGCTCTTCATACTCCTGCTTCGTAACTGATAGCTTGCTAAGCAATGCCTCATCGCGTGCGAGGTTTGCTCCACCTTGCCAGGTGCTCACTATCGGGCTTGGGCTGGTTGGTCGGGCAAGACGAACCATACACTCAGAAGGTGCAAATGCCATAATCTCAGCCTGTAGACGATGTATGAACCCGTCGATATTCGCATTGCCTCCAACGACAACGACATTTGCCAGAAGCCCAGGCCAAAGCCCGATGGGCAAAACAGAAAGACTTTGCATCACAACTTGAGCAAGTCCAGGCTGTCGTAGGCCGATATCCATAGGATTGAATAGTAGTTCTGGGACCGTAAATCGTTCATTTCTGAGGGTCAAAACGTCCTCTGGGTTCTCCACCGCCTTCCCGGCTGCAATCTTCTTCAAGTTGCCTGCCAGTTTGGGATCATGGTCACGGAGGTATCCCTTTGTTATATTGTGGTAATCTGGTAGAACATAATCTTTTGCTATGCCCCCACCAGTCATATAGCTTTCCCTCTTTTCGCCTTTAGTTCCTTTCCAGGATAGTTCCAGGTCAGTATTGAAGTCTTTGGTGACATAGCAAGCTGCCTCTTTAATCTCGTTCATTAAGTAAGTTTCGTTTCGCATATCGAATTGTCGAAGAGACAATAGACGGGTGAGGTAGTTCGTCATCAGCTTCCCCCCAACATCTAGTCGGCGGATTGCAGATTGTAGTGGACGACCCTGTAGTAATGGTGTGACGGTCGTATGAGAGTAACCAGAGTCGATGAGAAGGAGGACTTCGGCGGGAGCCACAGGGCCTGTAGCATCGCGTGGTGGGGCTTTAAATATAGCCTGTATGTCGTTGTATGCATTGAGGGTCGGTCCTGTCATGTAATGAGCTTTTCATTCTAATCTGCAGCAGCTATTCGGAGGAGATAATTCATACCAAGAGCGCGATAATACGACGCGAAGCCGAATTCCTCAAAAACGACTTGGTCGCAATTGGTCTGTAGCACAGGCAGGGAATTCGGCGCCTCAGTAAGAATGAGCCCTGTTTCTGACGGATCGCAGTGTAGTTTTGCTTTCTTGTCAAAGAATTCGTGATCCCATATTTCCTTCTGGGCTTCCCAGTTCACGATGTAGCCTTTCTCTACAGGGCGCCTGAAAGCTATGTCGCCGAAATCCTTGCATTTCTCCAGCTCTGAGCCGATATAGACCTTTCGTTCGCGATCCCGTGCCATACAATTCGGTATGATATGACACGAGTCTTGGGTCACTTCGATAGAAGGCGACGAGAAGCCAGCTTTGATGGTGAACGCGCCATTGTCGAGCACCAAGGTTTTGGACGGCGGCGGGGGCCCAGACGACTTGGTACGGCGATGGGTCGGAGCCATGCTTGCGGCTATATAAAACTTAGAATCTAGCCATATACCATCGCGTGGTCGTCATTGCTGGTGTTGACGAAGGTCTCAGCCTGCTGCTGGTTGTTTCGTCGTCGCGAGGCTGGATGTTCGAGGTTGGCCTCTCAGGAACGCGGGGGTTCCGCTAATATTTTACCAGATCTTATCTGCCCCTCATAACTTTTGAAATTAAACCAGCACGACAGCTACGAGTACGAGGGCAACCACCCACTTTCTGGATAAAGATGGCATCCGTTACCCAAAAACCAGAGGAGCCGCTGCTTGCTCTTAGAAGCACAGTCAAAACTGTATCGACACTCCTCGACCAGCTTGAAACGGCAATCAAAGGCTCGCCCGCGACCCAAAAGCCCCCCGCCAGCGATGTCAACGCCTTATTTCTAGCTCACGATGCGGCCAAACTCATTCGCGCTCATTCGACGAAGCTATCTTTGCTCATAATCAACACTCCTTTCACGCCTTCCGCCATCGTCAAAGTCCTCCGTGAGCTGGCGGCCGGCCCGCTTCCCTCGCTCGGAACTGCTGTCGAATTATGCGGGGCACATATATATTCTGATATACTGCAAGGAGAGCTACAGTGGAGGGTACGCAAGGTTTTTAGCGAGTTTGGAGTGCTCCTCAAGGAGATTCCGCTCGATGGCAAGGTGTTGACGGATGACCAAAAGAATGGCACCGGGAAAACTGTGGGAAAGGGCAGCTTGGCGTCTACGGGCGTGTTATGGCAGGCCTGTGATGATCTAGCGGAGCTGAAGAATTTGGGCATTGCGGGGGTGGTTGTGCGGAAGGCTGAGCAATATCGGGATACTCTCAAAGACGCCATCGAAGAACTACAGGAATGGGGGGATGAGAGCGGTGACGAGGACGAAGATGAAGATGAAGATGCGAATACAGATGATGAGGCTGACGAAGCTATCCCCAAATCTGCTCAAGACGAAATCGACGACTTTTTTGGGTCCACGATGCACATCCCAAGCGATGATCCCAACAAGATCCGCCCTCGTCTCGAGCTATCGCTGCGGAGGCTGAAGCTGATAGCAGTGATGTTCAGCGCCGTCATTAAGAGGCGATTCCAGACGCTATCCTCGTTGACCCTGTCCGAGCTATCGACAGGAGACTATCCTTTGGCGCAGGACAAACTAACCCTGCCGAAACCAGGTAGCGTTATAGCACCAGCATACCGTGTAGACGCCAGTGTGGATATCCTCCGAACCCTCACCGAGTTGGCCGACAACCTTGCCACTGCATTTTATGACCTCGACGCCGAGGCAATTGACGATGGGATGGACGAGTGCTTTTCAACCAGTCTTAAAGTAACTGAGTTATTGTCCCAAGACTGGGCTGGGAAAGATGATGCATTCACCACTTGGGTAAGTACCGAGAGTTTCAGGATGTTCTGGCCATAGCTAATTTATTCCAGGCCCAAACCTTTAAGACAGAGATTAAGAAATGAAGCACGGGTTGGATACACTTAGACAGCGGCACCGTCGAGACAGCGGCGTAGCTATTATATTTTGCAGAAAAGCATACGTGTATCTGCAATTATAGATGATGATGATATCATGGAAACTATCATCAGTTTAACTTCTATCTCAACCTCATGTTGCCCCAAGTGACCATGCATAGCTAGGAATTGATGGCTACAGCTCGATGTTTGAGCGACTAGGCAGAGAGTTGCAGAGGGCCACTATCTGATCTGTACAGATGAATATTGTAGGCGACACCCACAGATACTGCTTAGTATCGCATCAGCATCTACGCCGAACTCCACCGGATGTTTAAATCCTCAACGTGGCCCCTATTTTTGGGGAAAACCCAAGTCTCTCCAAGCTAATGCAGTGGAAGATGCAAATGCTCTGTGACAAAGCTGCACGATCGGCCTTGAAGGCGAGGTGACGAGAAGCACCGGTGCTTGAAAGTTCCGAGGAAGCTGCGACTGAGTCTGCTTGGTAATCGTTCTTTCCATGTAGGGATTGAAAGTTCTGAGGAAGTTGCGACTGGGCTTGCTTGGTAAATCGTTCTTGCCATGTTTAAGGTTAAAAGCTTCAAGCAATCCACGACTGAGCTTGATTGGTAATCGTTCTTGCCATGTTTAAGATTGAAAAGCTTCGAGGAAGTTGCGACGGACCGGCGACGAGAACTTAATCCCGTGTGAGAATGCAGGGTTTCAAATACAAACTGCTCCTATCAGTCTCAGTCCGTGCTGTCAGCTATATGTGCCCTCCTCGTCTTGGCTGCCCAGATACTTGGGGGGATCTGTGCCACGGCGGTGGTGTCTGCCCTCTTCCTGGGACCCCTCAATGTGGAAACAGGGCTGGGCGGAGGAGCATCGATAGTCCGCCTAAACAATGATCTTTGACGCAAGGTTGTCTGAGATCTGCACTATATCGTGTGGCTCAATGTTGAGCTTGCTCTTTTAGCCATTGCTGTATGTGTTGCGTGATGCGAGATTCGTGGCGAGGATGCTTCGTGTGCCTCACTGGTCACAATCGACCTACGATTGATTATTCGAACAAGCGCAGCCTAGTTTTCAAACCAAGATTAATAATGCTATTGGTACATATTATCTAATATACAATCTATTCATTCCGTTCATATAATCACAACTGAGAAATCCACCGTTATGCCCCTAAAAATCCTGCTATCATAAATAAGGGGCACCCCTGAATCCATACCAGACGTAAAATCCTGAATACTATAGCCCAACATATACGAGTGTTGAGGGGCGATGTTGGCACCACTCAATTTAATCCTTCAAACAAAATACTGCGTCGGTCTTTGGTATTGACGAGCGTATATTCAGCTAAGCGTGGGTCGCCTTTTTCGATTCTCATGGTGGTATACAACAGGTTCGGCTCTGTCCAAACAGGGCGCAACCCCCGGGCTTCGAGGGTTTCCCACCTATAGCTCAGTTAGAACGGTAGCCCTCGAGACAGCATATATATATGCACCTCTAAGACAAAAGTACTCACCACTGCAAGAAGTTATAACCCGTCATATCCTCGTGTCCGAAAAGATGTAATTCCACCATTAGTTGACCTATTGGGAGCTCAAATCCATCAACCTCAGGGAATGCCTGGTCAAGTGAAGATAATGAGGCAAATTCGGCGTATTCGATGTCCATTTTCAAGACATCACTTTCAGCCAATAGTCAGTCTCAATCCAAAGCATCGGCTCATTGTAGAGTAAGAAATCCCGGTTATGGCATAGGAGAATACTCACATATAATCGTGGCCATTCATCTTCATAAGGTCCTGGATAGTGTAGAATGGGGGAAATGAAGTGGAATTTGTCACCCCTGAAATGCCAGCCTGGGTGAAGTGTGCACGCGCCCTGTGCTCATAGCTCAATTGCTTGCCAAAATTCGTCACCGAGTAGTCATAGGCCCAGATTTCGCAGTTCGTTCGCTCGATCGTCTCGTCTTCTGAACGTAGGGAAGCCTCGTTAGCATGCGTGAGGAGGGTTGAGCTGTACCAATGGGGTTGACTTGCCATAGCTAGACTCGGTCTGAACACCGAAAGAGTAGATGACACAAGGACGAGTGGCTGGAAGTTCTTCATATTTTGACATCCCACACACCCACTTTCCTCCGTCGCCCATTCGTCCTATTCTCTCCATCTCGTATGGGCAGCTCCATGAGGCGGGAACAAAGTCCCAGATGGAATATGGCGATCCTGGGTATTTCTTTGGGGAATCGGCCGGGAATCTAGACTCGTCAGTGGATGCCTTGCTGCGTATACGCGATTGAGGATGGACATACAATGGCATATTTTCCGGGTATCGCCATTCCGCGAGCAGCCTATGTCTCTGCTCTACTGTCTTGCTCCAGATCTTCTCTGCCAGGCGCATATGTTCCCGTAATGACACCCGCGCGACATCGTGGCTGAGGACTGAGGATGCCGAGAGCCAGCTTAGGGATCCGCCGGTTCCATAGCCTGAGAGAAGAGTTATGACGAAGATAGCGAATGCGGCTAGCAATATAAACCGGAGAGGCCTTGTTGCAAGCATGGCCGGCGGTGATCGCCTGTTGTACCTGGCTAGTTATCTGCTGCCAAGAGTGCGGGGAGAAGATAATCCAAACGGCGACTGCATAGAGCGAGAAACTGTTTCATAGGTACGATCCAGGGATATTGAGCCAAGAACCAAAAGCAAGAAACTCGCAATTAGAGCTGATTCTATGACTTTGATGCGCACACAACAACCATGTCGTATTCGATTTGGAAATATGGGAAATCACTAAGCTTAATTGTTCATGGACGGACGTTGATGCACGGACCAGGCAAATGTAGCGCGATGCCTTAATGTTCTAGGCCCAGGCCCAGAAGCGAAATGTTCAGGGGGGCCTACCAGAATTTTGAGGATTTACATTCGATGATATGAACATCTCTGCTTCGTAAAATAAGGCAAGTTAGGTAAATGGACCTAAATGGACTTCAATAAGAACCTTCGTCCTTGACAACAAGTCCCCAACGATTATTACGAGGTGATGAAACTCGCATCGGCAGCCTGATTCCCTCCCTCATATGGCAATTTGTTCAAAACATACACAGACTTTCCAGTTAATTCACGGCTCCAAAGAGTAGAAAAACATCCGAAGCGGCCTTTACATTATTACTGAACATCATCTTGCTCTTTATCACATTAGTTCATTACCATCACAATATTGCTGACATAAGCGGTCACTCGACCCGAATCTGTTAGCGCAAGGCTACCATTATGGCGTGGCAACAGCCTTCCAGGCTCTTCTAGAGGGGTAGAGTAGAAGGCTGACATATTCATTCAATTCAAGGGTACTTTTAGTCTGTGTCAATAACCCCGATTCCAAAACAAAGCAAGTTGTTCCTACGAGGGAAAATGCATTGTTACAAACTGAGAAGCCGGTGACTCTAAAATTCAATCATGGAAGCGCCTGCCGAACTGACCTGGTCTGCGCCTTTCACTGTTGCCCCAGCGTCACAGATTACGAAGAACTTGCCCGGCGATAAGATACTCCTACCACCTTCTGCTCTGGAGCAACTCCTCGCCGCTTCTCCAGCTGTTCCGACACCTCATCACAATGCTATCCGCGCGGGCTTCGATCCTTTCAACCCCTACTCTCTAGCTGCTGCCCGAGCAGAAGCATCGCAATGGCGCGATACACAGCAGCAGCTACCTCACCCTCTGACCTTCCGGCTTGTCAACCCCAAGAATGGCCGCATTATATATGCTGGTATCCGAGAGTTTTCAGCTGAAGAGGGCCAGATTGGGCTCAGTCCTTCCCTCTCTGACGCGCTTGGAGTTACAACAGAGGCGGTGGGAGGCGTCGAGGGAGAGCCGATAGACCTCACGAACGATAACGAGGTTGAAGGAGTGGATAGGGTAATGGTCCATGCGAAGCAGCTCCCAAAGGGCACATATGTTCGCCTACGGCCGCTGGAAGCTGGTTATAACCCCGATGATTGGAAATCGCTCCTCGAGAGACACCTACGAGAGAACTACACGACACTTACGAATGGCGAGGTACTCAAAATACCAGACACGAGCAGGAGAGGACACACCTTCCAGTTTTTAATTGATAAATTCGTCCCCGAAGGAGATGCGATATGCGTGGTAGACACGGACCTAGAAGTCGATATAGAAGCTTTGAACGAAGAACAGGCCAGAGAGACCGTGAAGCAGATCATGGAAAAGGCACAGAGCGCTCCAGGAACGGCAGAAGGCAGCTCCTCTGGATCCGTTCTGGATATATGGACCCCAGTACAAGGTCAGGTCTTAGAGGGAGAATATGTGGACTATGAGCTTCCTTCGTGGGACAAATCCCGGGCGCTTGAAATCGAAATCACCCTAGATGAAGAAGAGGAGGTAGACCTATTCGTCAGCCCTCTAGCTCCCCGGCAGAGAGCAAGACCACGAGAGGAGGAGCATGTTTTTGGGGAGTTTGATAGCGAAACTTCTTCCAAAAAGATACGTGTACGGCCCACGAATGTCGAATTAGAGGGGGCTGAATCACTCTACATATCTGTCCATGGATACTGCCCTCCCGAGGGGTCTGAACCGGCTACGAAGCCATCTCCTCGACGTTACATATTGAGAGCCCAATCCGTCGAAGATGGCACTCCAGACGCATCTAAGGTGGACTTAACGACGGGCGAAGATTCTCATGACCCCGAGGATGAGCAGTGCAAGAACTGCCACCAATGGGTACCTAAACGCACAATGATGTTGCACGAGAACTTTTGTTTACGCAACAACATTCTCTGCCAGCAATGCCAAAGCGTCTTCAAGAAGAATTCTCCAGAGTGGCAGTCCCACTGGCACTGTGAGCACGACTCTGCACATGGGAATTCCGCCGCCAGCCAAATCAAACACAACCATATATACCACAGCAGCGCCACTTGTCCTTCTTGCGACTACCAAGCTTCATCCACTCCCGACCTTGCCCTCCACCGCACCACGCTCTGCCCCGGCAAACTTATTCTCTGCCAATTCTGCCACCTCTCTGTCCCTCAAGAAGGCGACCCATCCGCGCCCTCCGCCGATGCCCTCCTCTCGGGTCTCACCGCCCACGAGATCGCCGACGGCGCCCGCACAACAAACTGCCACCTCTGCCAGGCCATCGTGCGTCTTCGCGATATGACCACGCATCTCAAGCACCACGACCTGAGCCGCAACTCGAAGCCGATGCCGCGCATATGCCGCAACGTGAACTGCGGACGCACGCTGGACGGCGTCAGCAAGAACGGGCAGGTCGGCACGGCGGCGAGGGTCGGCCAGGGGCCAGGGAATGAGCTTGGGCTGTGCAGCATCTGCTTTGGGCCGTTGTATGTTAGTATGTACGACCCAGAGGGGAAGGCGATGAAGAGGCGGATTGAGAGGAGGTATCTTTCGCAGCTTATTACAGGGTGTGGGAAGACGTGGTGCGGGAATGAGGTGTGTAAACAGGGGAGGGTCAATCTGGGGATCACGAAAGGTGGAGAGGTTGTCACTACGAAAGACGCACTGCCGGAAGTGAAGCCGCTGCTGGTGGACCTTGGAAGCGCGCCGATGCACTTCTGTGTTGATGAGAGGAGCCAGAAGTGCAAGAAGTTGGCGGAGATGCTGGCTGGGGAGGGTGTTTACGAGTTAGAGTGGTGCATTGCGGCGTGTGAGGCAGAGACTGGTGAGCTAGATGCGGCCAGGCAGTGGTTGTCGAACTGGGCTCCGAAGAAGACGGAGACCTCGGCACGGTAGAGGAAGAGTAGCGATATTGGGTTTGGATTATCAGCATAGGATGGCATTATAGAAGATTCACATCATGAGACTAGTTGGAATATACCACCTGGCGGCTCGGCCCTCATACACTTCGTAGACTATACACATACTGTTATTACGAATGACGTTTTATAAGTTCCATGGTCGAAGGAAGCTAAGTCTGTTATAGCGCACACGAAGTAGCCGTAGGGGGCATCTAAGCAACCTGCTACTTCTAGCCAAGACACACCAACCGGGCCGCCCCGTCCCTAACCTTGGCTCACGCCCCACCTTTCTTACTTCCACTATTGACCGTAAATCCTCATGGTCTAGACACCTGCATTGTAAACCATAACAAATATAGACCAGCGATGATGGATCTGATCAGCAAAGGATGTGGCGCAGTACAGACGCGCGGTTGTGGCTTCAATATTACACCCATGCATGGGCGGTGGCTATGCGTCAGCGTGGTATTAAGAGGGCGCTAACCTGTGCCAGGCTGCATGGGAAGCTTATCTTTAGCCTCTGCCCCGCTATACGGAGGGGATTGAAGATGGGACGGATATCATATATATGTGACGGATAACTTGGCGAACGAGAGTTATCTTAGTGAACGAGAGAGACATCGGTGAACGAGCGCTACTTTGGCTATCTCGTCGCAACAACCAACCCCACTCAAGACCATCTATTCACCTCAATGTCCTTCGGCTGGTCCGTCGGCGATCTAATCGCCGGCCTCGAGGTCGCCATCCGCATCGCCACTGCCCTCCAAGATGCCGGCGGCGCGGCCGAAAAATACCGCCAAACAACAACCTACCTCCTCTCCCTCTCCACCGTCCTCTACCAACTCCACCCTCCCCCACCCGGCCTCCTCGCCATCGCCCCCGACGTGAAGAGCGTGCATTCCGCCTTACAAGCCTTCCACTCCAAGCTCTCCACCAAATTCGAGAAGAGCCTCGGAAGCGTCCCCTCCGACTGGGTAGCGCGGGTGCGGAGTAGCCCTCGGAAAGTCGAGTATGCGCTGTTTATGGAGAAACAGGTGGAGGCGCTGAGGATAAAGCTAGATGTGCCCCTAAAGGCGATTAATCTTGCTCTCGGGATCGCGATACACAAGCAGGGCCGCGACAATGGGGAGGTGGGGAGGGAGACGTTAGAGGAGGTCGTGGATCTAAAAGCTGCGCTGCCGGGGCTGGAGAAGGCGGTCCTGGCGGGCGTGCAGGATATTGTTTTAGCATCTGCGCAGCGCGAGGAGGCGGATCGTATGTACACCACCGTCGGGGCGTGGTGTCGCGCCGTGCCGGTGGCGGATACGTTTCACACCCACCTGCGTGAGATGGCGGCGAGCTCATGCCAGTGGATTTTCCGGCGCGAGGAGTTCATGCGGTGGCGCGGCGGTGGGCCGCTGGAGGGACACCAACCGGTGCTGTGGATTACGGGGATTCCAGGGTCAGGGAAAACGAGACTGGCGACGCGGGTTGTCGAGTCCCTTAAGGGGGAGGGGAGCGCGGTGGCGTACTTTTACTGTGATACTAAGGATGAGGGACGGAGGAGCGCGTTGAGTATCCTGAGGACCTGGACGTGGCAGGTGCTGGAACAGCGGCCGCAACAGTTGGGTGAGGTGGCGAAGATTTGTGCAAGGGAGCCGGTGCCTGGGGAAGGAAGTATGGAAAAGGCGCTGATGTGTGCTGTGGCTGGGGTGGAGGGGTTGGTGTTCGTTCTGGATGGGTTGGATGAGTGCGAGGAGGAGACGAGGAAGAAGCTGTATCCGATTGCGGCACGGCTGGCGGCAACCGCTCGGGTGCTCATCGTGAGTAGGGAGATGCCAGGGTCCCATCGGGCGCTGAAGAGTGCGCTGCCGCACGAAGGCGGGTTGGTGTTTTATCGGATTGTGGATGGGGATAATACGGATGATATCAACGATTATCTTGAGCGTGCGGTTAGGGAACTGGAGATTGGTGATGAAGAGGTGGAGAATACTGTTATTTCAAAGCTGCAAGAAGGGGCTAGTGGAATGTTTCTGTGGGCAACGCTGATGCTTGAGGAGTTGTCGAGCCCGCATTTTTTCGCGGAGGAGTATCTCGAGGGGTTGGACGACCTACCGGACTCATTGGACGCGCTGTATGCGAGGATACTGACTACGCTGAATGCGAGCTTGAAGACGAGAGACGTTACGCGTAAGCTCTTTCGCTGGCTAACTTGTGCAAGGCGGCCTCTAACTTTGCCTGAAATCAGCACGACTCTGCTCATCACGATTGATGATGAGGTTTTGAAATCGCGAAGCAGGATGCCAGATGATAAGCTCAGGGATACGTTGCTGAGGTACTGTGGATCGCTGGTCGCCATACACGAATCGAGAGACGGAGGTAGCCCGACAGTCACTCTCGTGCATGCGTCGGTGAAGGACTTCCTACTCGAACAGAGCAGCTCTAAGGAGGCCTTCGGATACCTAATCCTCGACCCTGAAGAGACTCAAGCCATCCTTGCACAGGAATGCTTGACGTACATCTCATACAACAACATCGACTTCGATCCCAACACCATGCAGGCCGACGAACCCCATATGTCCTTTCCCCCAGCCGAGATGGGCCGCCGCTTCGAGGTTTACATGGAGCAATACCCCCTCCTCATCTACGCTTCCTTAAACTGGTTTCTCCATCTAGTAATAGCACCACGCGATCGCACCTACACCTCCCTAACACGATTCTGCACCTCTATCCCTAAAACCATTTCCTGGCTACAGGTTATGCTCCGCTACCGCGGAGACCGCAGCGTATACTCCTCTAGCCCGGGATACGCTGACTACACCGGCATCACAACACTCCCGCACGTCCTTCCCCAGCATGGCGACGAACTCAACAAGTGGCTACAGCCATTTCGCACCGTTTCAGAGGGGCGCTCGAATCTCCCGCGATACGTGCAGTTCATGTACTGCGGGATGGCGAATGATTTCCTGCCGAAGCTCAGCGTTGCGGCGTACTTCGACTACGCCGACTACCTCGAGGACTGCCTGAAGAAGGGAATGGACCCCAATCTCAAGAATTATAGGGGCAAGACGCCGATTTATGCGGCGGCTATGGCGGAGTCGTTGGATGCGGCGAAAGTTCTGATCAAGCACGGCGCTGATCCGAATGTGATCGGACCTGGAGGAGTAGTGGCGTTGGTCTCAGCCATACGGCTGGATGACTGGCGTAACGCCGACGCAGTACCCTTCCGCGTCGCCGAATTCCTCATCGAGTCCGGTGCCGATCCATGCTATAGCAACGGAGGTCTCCTTGCTCTCGCATGCCTCTGTGCTAGTTCGAATGACACACACGTCGTCTCTCTCGTATCATGCATGCTCAAGCATGGAGCTACCAAAGTCATAAACATTGGGAAGAACCCGTACTGGACGGCACTGCACTGGGCGGCTAAGGCTAAAGCTGCGCGGCTCGTGGCTCTGCTCCTGGAAAATGGGGCGGAGGTCGATATTGGGTTTGGAGGGGATAGAGTGAATGCGCGCAAGTATGAGACGCCGCTTGATCAGGCTTGTTCGATCACACAGCAGGCGGAAGATGTGGTTCGTATACTGCTCGAGGCGGGGGCGAGTGTAGATGCGTTGCATCGAGATGGCCGCACGCCGCTGCATCTCTCGTGTCGTCAGAGTCTTTGGATCTCAAAGTTGCTCCTTGAGCACGGGGCAAATGTCAACGCTGTTGCTAATGACGGTAGCCGTCCATTGCACGATGCCGTTAAGGAGTCTAATATCCCGCTCATAGACATGTTACTTGCTAGGGGCGCCGCGTTGGATGTCAAGGACATAGAGGGACGCACTCCGTTAGATCTTGCTCTTGACGTCGCAACCCCCAATACCAGAGTCGTCACAGCTCTTATCGACGTCGGAGCTTCGGCTCCAGACAATGCGTTGTGGGAACTAGAAGTTGTGAAGAAAGGGGAAGTGCGGATTAAGAAACGGGAAAAGAGAGCGCAGTACTGGCCGCAACAGCCACGAGATATTTTTGAAACATCCTGGATTCTACAGCACCATGCTACATCTAAAGCTCTACCTCGAAACATTGTGCTTCGCATCCTAGATCTTTCAAGATACTGGCTCCGCTCGATCAGCAACCGCGAAGAGCCCATCGCTCTAAACGATGCCACCTCCCGCCGAGCACCGCCCTACCTCACTACTGAACCCATAATCGGGCGCTCCCTCTCCCCTATCCGCGAACTCATCTTCGACGTCACAAGTCACGACCAGGGCTATAGTTCCTACCCCGAGTGCTACGGGACCTATGATAACTCGTGGACATACTTTGAGTACGGCGTTGCGACAAGGGGAGGGGGAGAGCAGCCGTTTGATTACGAGGGCCTCGATCGCAGAGTCTGCGTGAATGTGCATGCAAAGCAAGCGGCTACTACTCATAGGAAGCCGATTAGGGATTATAGAAACGATGGTCTCTTGAAGAGAATCAAGGCAGGTGATCGAGTGCAGGTGTTTGCCCAGGCGAGGTTTCCAGGGTGGGTGAATTACGTAGAGAGGGTGAGCATTACGTTGTATACGACTTGTCTATTAGATTAACGGCCTCTTACGTAGAGAATTGGTTTTACGCTCTTACCCTTTACCTTCTATTATGTGATAGCAACCATCTCAACCATGTCTCGTTTCGCCCGCCAGCCGTGTTTTGGAAATGGTGCAAAAAAGGGGCATCGTTCCTTCCCCGGATAGAAGGATAACAGATTGCTTCCAATCGCGTCACCGCCAACCTTACCAATCAACACAAGCACTTCTCGCAAAGCCAATACGCCCAAGCACAGCCAAGCACCATCCGTCAACCACGCAGCAAAATGCTTACGACGACTCTGTACTCTTGGACACGGCCTGTCCCCAAGGGGCAGAAACATGTGGCACGACGGAGGCATCGGAGCGGGGTCTGGGCGAGACTGCCAAGACTTGGCGGGCGCAGAGGGACAAGAGACTCCGCCCCTTTGCCCAGCCCGGCCCTCGAGAGCGGAATTCCGACCAAGGACGGCTGGGCGTGGTTCCAGAGTCGGTTGGAGGGTCTTGGCGCCACAGCGGGGCTTGGTTATACGGTGGCCGGACATGGCCGGACAGGCAAATGAGCAAGTTCTCGGACATTTTGGCGGACAAAACGTGCACAAAAGTGCGCACGAGGGATGAAAAGTCTTGGCACGGGCTGAAAACTGGGCACAGAGTGTGGTACTACGGTGACCAGAAATGCAAGGTGGCGAAATTGCCTCGGATAAGCAGGAATTTGTCTTGGCGTCATGGGTTTTCTTGGCTCCTTGGCCCGACCATGGGCCAAGTGACTCCGCCCTTGGCCTTTGTGTGGAATGAGGAAAGTCTCAGGCGAGAGGGGCGGAGGGGCTTGGGAGCGGCGGATTGGCTGGGCGAAGGAGGGGGTCTTGGCACCGGATTCGGAATTCCGCTGGATTGGCTGGGCGGTGGGGACCGGAGTCAATATTGGCATGGTTTGGCATGGGAAGAGGTCTTGGCATTAGATTATGGTGGGAGGGTTGGGAGGGATGGAGGGGAGAGGGGGTCAAGGGGGATTGAGGGATTGAACCAACAGAAATGTCGAAAAGTGACGATGGAGGGCGAGATGAGGGCGGGATCACCAAACGTGCTGCACTATAGAATTACTCGGGCATGGTAAGTACTTTATAGTGCACATAGTAGCACACCCAGACCGAGATAATGACGAGACTGGCGGCACTCGCGGTGGGCTTTTTTGCTTACTATTACGTTGGGTGGATGGGGGTGGATGGGTGGTGGATTTGTGTATCTTACTGATTCCCTACTTTGCTATTTTCCCTTTTTTAAAAAATCTTCCTATTTATGACTTGTGATATCCGCCCCCCTCCTTCCTGTATTTCCCTTCATCTCATCCCATCCCAATATTCCCGTATACCCAACCCAATTACTCTAGACCATCACTTCATGTCTCGAGTAAGGAACGGCACCATCACTATACAATACCACCTGCATACTACTTCCACACCATCCAGAGTCTATTTGTTTTGTCCAACAACACCAAGCCTTGTCCTCCTCTGCGTTCCCCATAAAATACCATAAATAGGTACTCGGTCCTCCCCCTTTCGACCTTCCAAGCATCTTGTCACCGTCATAAAACCCGCAAAAAAGAGGAACGCTCCTTTCTCAAAACACCAAGACCATCACCCAGCCTCTGTTCCACGCGCCAGAGACGTGTCTTTTAACCAAGCAACTCGCTTGTTTGCTTAATGGGTTACTAAGACTTCGACTTCGAATATCTACTTCATCGTTACCTCGATATATCTCAACTTGACTCGAAACTCGATTGTTCGCCGCCGAGCATCGTTCCTTCCCCCAAGTTCGTCGCCTAAATCTTTATTTTTCCGCGCGCCTCCGTGGATTAACGAATAGGCTCTCACCGCCCAAGTCCCCTCCACTACTGGTATACTTAACCTTACTTTCTGCCACGCCAAGAATCCTGCGATCATCATGTCGTCCCAAGACCAACAGACGCAGACACGCCCAGTGGGCATGACGCCTCCAACCACGACCGCCTCAACCTCCACCTCCACCTCCACTGATGCCAGCGCCCAGGTTAGCCGTCCCACTGTCGCCAGCGACGACAACCTCGCTTGCCAATGGGACAAATGTACCGAGCGCTGCCAATCGCCCGAGGCCCTCTATGACCACATTTGTGAGCGCCATGTCGGTCGCAAGAGCACTAACAACCTCAACTTGACCTGCGGCTGGAATAATTGCCGCACAACCACCGTCAAGCGCGACCACATCACGTCTCACATCCGTGTCCATGTTCCGCTCAAGCCGCACAAGTGCGACTTCTGTGGAAAGAGCTTCAAGCGTCCCCAGGACTTGAAGAAGCATGTCAAGGTAAGCAAGCTGCTCACACAACCAAAAAATTAGAACAAAAACTAACATTCTCCAGACACATGCTGATGACTCTGTCCTTCTCCGTTCACCTGACCAGCACGGTGGACAGGTTGGTGGCTACCGTGCCCCAAACGGTAAACGTGGGTACTCTCCTTCCAGGCCACTCCTGGGATACTCTGGTGCTTTTGCGGTTTCTAACATGCACACAGCAGCCGGAGCCACAGGTTATTATGACCACTCCAACCCGCAAATGCACCAACCTAACGGAAACTACGGGCAGCCGCACCACAACGGCGGCCACAACGGGTACTACCAGCCTCAGCAAGCCCAGAGCTACGGGCCAGTTTACTACCCAGTGAACCAGCACGCAGCTGAGATGGGCCACCACGCAAACTACGACCCAAGAAAGCGCGGCTTTGACGCCCTGAACGACTTCTTCGGTGATGCCAAGCGTCGCAACATCGACCCAACTTCCTACCCCCAGGTCGGCCAGCGCCTGATGCACCTTCACGGTCTCCCCATCCAAGGCGGAGCCTTGATTGATTACATGCCATCGCAACCCCTGATGGCCGTAGGAGGAGGCGGTCACGGCCACGGCGTCGCCTCGATGCCGCAGCCACACTACTCCCTCCCAATGCCCAACCTGAAGACGAAGAGCGATCTCCTCAACATCGACAACTTCCTTGACCAGATGCAATCCACCGTCTACGAGAGCTCCAGCGCCGCCGCCGCCGCCGGCATCCACCAACCTGGGGGCCACTACACCCACCAAGCCATGGGCTTCCGGCAATCACAGTCACCCCCCCAGACCGCCGCGCAAAACCTAGGCGTCTCTATTCCCCAATCATCCGCGCCATCCTCCTCCCACATGGCCGCCACACACTCCCCCCAATCCAGCGCACCCGCACTCACTCCTCCCTCAACAATGTCCTACACCACCGCCCACTCCCCATCTTCCGTCCCCGGCCTATCCCCCGGCGACTCCTCCCGCCACGCTTCCACCCCAGTTGCATACCCTACCCTCCCCGCCGTCTCCTCCGCCTACGCCCCTCACACCACCTCCCCCGTCTCCACCTTAGGGACAAACTTCGACTCCGACCCCCGCCGTCGCTACAGCGGCGGTATGCTCCAGAAGTCCGCCGTCGCGCCGCGTGTCTCCCCACCTGCACGCGACGAGTCCACCACCCCTGACGCGAAGCGCCCGTACGGCGCGCGCGCGGAGTCTAATATCGACCCTGCGCTGTCGGGTGGTGTGAGCAGTCCTGGTGTTAGCAGTCCTAGCGCGAGCGGGACGGAGGAGGGTGATGCGCGGGATCGCGCGGAGGAGGTGTGGGTTGAGAATATTAGGGTTATTGAGGCGTTGAGGAAGTTGATTGCTGATAGGCTTGAGCGTGGGGAGTATGAGGATGATAAGGAGGGAGAGGATACGGAGATGGGAGAGGCGCAGGAAGAGGAGAAGGAGAAGGAGGTTAAGGCTGAGGAGAGTCTGTATCCCGTGCTGAGGGCGGCGATTGATGCTGCTGATGCTTGAACGGGTGTGTTGTGTGTTTGCTTTTTTTGGTTTGAATTTTAGAAGTAGTTTTGGGAGCTGGCGTTGGGGTAATGAGTTTTGTGAAAGAGATGTTTGATATCATTGTTGCAGCTGCTGCAGTCATTTGTTGTTCAACAGTACGGTTAGCCTAGGAACATTGCTATAATGAATAATTATTGTATGCACACTTCATCCTACTCTGGGTCTTCATGTGAAAAATCTCTTGTAAATGTAGTTTGGTAAAGCTGTATTAAGGCCTATCAATATTGAGCATCGTCACCAGTCTTGCTCGAGTACGCCATATTCTCTTGGATCAAGCCATGCCCTGCCTTGCGTGAAATGTAAATCATAAAAAGGTATCTCCATCGCAAAACTCCCATTTTGAGTGCCCACTCACGTCCTATAAAAGCACCCCATCACACGCACGACCTAAACGCCAGTTCGACCCTCAATCGCACCTCTTACACATTCATACCAATACATCTCCACAACAGCGAAGCCATCTACTTCTTCTGTCCCCTCGCCGACACCTCCCCTTTCTCCCCAATATGCAACGACACGCGACAATCAGGACAATACCACTTCGTCGTTCTCGGCGGGAGCGTCTCGATCGTCAATCCCACGCACGGGAGATGGAACCACTCATACTGGCACTATACTCTATTAGCCCCTGACCACACCAACACCACCAAATCCAACAAAAAGTTGTAACAGAAACAACATACCTGATTATTCTCACAAGCAATCATCTCCCCAAAACTAACCCCATTACAAACACAATACCTCGGCTCGTTAGGATCAACAGGCACCCCATCTTCATCAACCTCCACATCCGGCTCCTGCACCACCGCCTCCCCCTCTTTAACACCCCGCTTCCCCGCCTTGCGCTTCGGTGCTGCAGTTCGCTTGCCTACGCTTATAGCTGCCGCGCCTGGTTCGCCAGCTGCGACAGGGCCAGGGGCGGGACGTTTCGCGCGGCGGCTGGGTGGGCGTGTTGGGACTTCCGGGGCGGGTGTTGCGCGTGCGGTGCTCGCGCGACGGGTGCGGCCGGGTTCTACACTCGCAGCTTTACCCCGGGACGGAGGTCGGCGACCTGAGGATAGAACGGGGAGATTGAGGTCGGGCAGGGCGTCGAGGGAGGGGATCGGAGTTCTCGTTGCGGATCGCCTGGCGCGGGAGGTATCCGGCGTTGGCGCGAGGGCGGGGGATTCAGTAGTTGAGGATAGTACGGATGGCTTTTTAGTGTCGCCGCGGAGGATTTTCTTGTCCTTGAGGGGAGGAAGGATAGGCGTAGATGATTTGCGTGGGGAGGAGGCGCGGAGGGGGATGCTGGTTGTGGTTGTGACTGTTGTGGGTGCGGCGGCGGAGCCTTCAGCGGCGGGGGGGAGCTCGATGGTTGCGCGGGTTCGTTTGGCGGTTTGGGGGATGATGGAGCGGGTGGATTGGGGAGGGCGGACGGGGGTTTCGGTTTTGGCTTTCTTGGCTGCTGGGGTTTTGAGGGTGTCGGCCTCGGCGCCGGCTGCTTCGATGTCTGTTGTCGATTCTCTCTTTCGTTTCCGTGCCGCTGCACTCTTGGAGGGTGTCTTTGCCGTTGGGGTTTCTGAGGAACCATTGCTAGCTCCGTTGTCACGAGCCGTGCTGAATAGCCCTCTCATTACCCTTGCTGTATCGGCCAGTTTTCGCGCTGACTCTTCCGCTTCTACTGCGGCTAGCTTTGCGAGAGATTCCTTCTTGGCTTTCTTCTGCTCGTTGAGCTTCATTCCCTTGTTCACTATGGGGAGTTCTTCGTCCTCTTCGAGATCCTCATCCATAGCTGCGCCGTTACTTGCAGCTGCAGCGCCTCCTTGTGATTCCCATGTTCGGTCAAACGGTAGGCCGGCGGCTTCTGCCTCAGCCTTCGCTGCTCGGTAGTGCGAGAGGGATCGTTCTAGAATAGCGAGCTCTCTGTTTATCATCGTGGTGCTTGGTTGCCAGACTGCGTTCTTCTTCATGCGTTTCCGTAACTTAGCCAACTCAAACTGAGTCAAACGTCCCCAAGGCCTGTGTTCACTTCCAACAGGTGCTCCATCAGGCGGTGGCTTCAGTTTTGCTAAAGCATTGCTCGTAGAGATGCCTGCGACTTGGCTGTGGACATTGGTCCCCATAACTCCGGGTGGTCTAGGTGCACGAGGCGTCTTCGGTGTCCTATCAACCAGTTTAAGCTTCGGAACCTTCAGCTTTATCCGCTTCGTGCCACTGGTCGAAACACGTCTCTGCGATGGCTTGGGTGTCGCAGGTTGTTCATCTGCAGTCGCGGAAATATCACTGTCTGAGTCGTACGTATCCCAATCAAACTCGTTGGGCGCAAGCACTTCTCCCGGAACTGTAATTCGCGGGCCTCTCTTCACTCGAGCGCCTTTATGTGCGCCAGGTTCTCCGAGGCGGAGTGTGATCTTCGGAATCCGTGTGGCCTGGGGCGACACTGATTGAACCGCATTTGCCGCCTCTTCTTGAGCTGCTGGGAAGGCTTCCAGTAGCCCTTCAAGTTTTTGTTGTATATATATCAGCTTTTGGTAATGGCGATCGATATTTGCATCCATGCGATAGGCCTCAGCTTGCGCCAGAGTTCGGTTGCTCACTACGTGGTTGAGCTGCTCCGATATGTCCTCTCGCAGCTGCGGCGGATCAGGACGTTCGGCGGGATCCATTGCCGGGAGGTTTCCATACATCCTGCTCAGGTCTTCGAGTTCAGCAGATGCGATTGTGTATTTGTAGTCGAGCTTTTCTATGAGGGCCAAGGATCGGTTCATATCCGACGGAAGGTATTCGGTGAAGTCGAGGAAGTCGGTAACGGTAGCCTGCGCGTCCGGGTCGGACGGCAGCTCTATGCTGACCATGTTCTCGTCCATGTTGCCCATTCTGCCCATGGATTGCATTGTATGCGCTGAGTTGGAGCTGCCTTTGGCAATAATATCCCGGCGGGGGCGCAAAGACGTGTGAGGTGCCTCTACAGAGAGTATTTTGGAGGCATGTTCCAGCCGGACGGATCTTAAAGAGGCAGTGCTATCGAAGCCACTCTGATGTTTGTGGTCGTATTTATCTGGGAGATGGGCAGAAGAGTTTCGGTGTAGTGCTTGGAGGGAAAGAGTGAAAGTCGATGCGCCTGAAAGACAATCAGTCAATACAATAGGTTCAAGCTCGCGGTCGACGCGCCTCACCACGTGATATTACGCTAGCGGCCGCAGGGAACGAGGCTGAAATCGTAGTCAACGACACCTGAGAACTGATAATTGTTACTGAAGCCAATGTAATTTCTCCCTTTAGCTCAATTTTTAATGTTCTAACTTGTGGAAATGCCCTAATATAATAATCATAGCTTATGCATATGGTCGATTCTCTACAATGGCCACTCAAGCGCCCTTGCAAGTTAAACACATCGTACCACCCACGCTAATTTAAGCCCAATATAAATCCAATGTTGCTTCGACCTCAACTCAACACCTCTTAATCATCTGGCCCCATTTCTCGCTCATTAAGGCCTTGCGATCTACGGCCTTGTCTCACTCGTTTTTTAGAGGTCTAGCTACTAAGAGCCTAAAAGGGCAAAAAAAAAAGCAAAAACATATAACAGTAGGTATTTGCTAGTAGTCGCCTACCTAACTACTTTAGCTCTAAGTCTAATCCTAAGAATATCTAAAGAATAAGGCATCCTTATACCTATTATTAACCCTATATATGTTTTACTTAATCTACGTAGCTATTAGGAGTTAGGATATTAGATCTAAAATAGTTAAAATCTAGTATTTCTACTTAATTTCATTAAGTAGCATTAGCATAAACTTACTAAGCAACTAGAGATACGTACTAGGCTTTAGTAGTTCTATAATTTCATAGGTAAAGGAGGTAATATAGCTGTAAACATTTAACTTTAAGAGGTCTTTAAGTCCGTTAATCCTAGCCTAAGAGAACTTAAACTTCACGTAGCAAAAGAGGATTAACAGATAGGCTTGTCTAAGCCGTTTGCTAGCGTAGGAAAGATCTCTAACCTTCTAGGGTGCAAGGTGGCTAACAACGGCTTATAGAATCTCTATTAGGAGCGTCTTAAGAGGCGATAATTTAGGAGTGCTAATGGCCATTGTAGAGACGTTAGAGGGCTGTTAATAATTCGATTGCAGGTAGGAAAGATGAGGCTAGAGGGAAAGAAGGGGAGTCGAGGGCGATTTATAATAGGAAGGACTAGCTAAGTCACTCGCTAGCTATGTAATCTACGCTAGGTGGAACAGTGGAGCCACTGCCGAGCTGGTCTACTAGGGTTTTCCACGCACACTAGCCTTAGCAATCGATACCGCCACTCGCGGGTGGGAAGCTTAAGTAGACAACAATGAACAGCCTTATTTAGCAATGCAATTTACAGGGAGGCGTCACTAGGAACACTTAACATCTTAGACCTTTCGCCTTTAGACTCTCTTCCGTGCATGCGCGGGCATCACGTGAGACATTGTAGCTATTGCATTAGATATTACTTGACTTGAGTGGCGAGGGTCGATTGAAATCACGCATCGGTCTTGAGAAAAAGTCCTGCGAGAAATCTCCCACAGGCTGCCATGTAACAGCTCGAGATAAACGTAACCACGAATGGAAGTCTACTTTAAGGAGTTGGGGGTGAGAGGAAACAGATGTGAGATTTACTTACATCTTATAGTTAGAGTCACGTATCCTTTTATTTCTTCGTTAACCCAAAAGGAGGTCGAACAGCTAGGCACTTCAAGAGACGCAATTAAGATAAACTACTTGATGCTACACAAAACTACCGTCAAATTTGTCTTTTTGTTGACTGGATTTCACCTATAAGGTGATGACAATCTTTGTCTTCATAATATCCAAGGGCCAGCTCACAAAATCCCGCCATTCATCCACTAGAATTGCCTTAATAGCGTAAACCTCCCTCTCCCCCCCATCGCCAATGTACCAAAACTCACGCAACAAGGACAGAAGCGCAAAGTAATGCATTAGAATCACCAGTGCTCTTGGTCGCAGCTCCTCGACCAAGTCCAAGAATCGTGGAGGCGCCAACATTGGAAACACCACTAGTCTTCTGCAGATATCCCCAGTAGCCTCGTGATTGTTCACGGCTATCCAGATCCCACCTATGTAGCTCAGCGTATCCTCATACGCTTCTTGAATCCCCTTGTCCCAAGGCTCGGTGAGCTCATCACTCGGCTTTCGGTGCAGTAAATGCAAGAAATCCCGGCGATTGTCCACTCCCAGTCTCGCATCTGTGTCCAGCGCGATTGGCAGTCTACGTATCAACTGTGCTGCAATAGACTCTTCATCATCGCTAGCAAGCCTCCACGCCTCTTTGAATATCGTGGCTGCGCTGTTTGTCATCCGCAGCCACTCCATCGGTGGGCTGTAAGGGCAAAGCGAACGGTGTTGCAGCATAACAAACGAACAAATACGGAAAATGCTCGAGGTCAGGCATGTAATGTCCACGTTAGCTCTGCTGAGCTTGGATACTTCCACACTGTGCTCGTGCAGAGCCATTTCCAAGTAGGTCTGGTGAGCATCAATCACTATTGGATCTTTGAAAGCATCGGTTTTGGCTATATGCAGGGCTGCTACAGAGTACATCGCATACTGCAGGGCCTCGGACCGGAACGACCAAAGTGGAATGAGTTCACACCAGGCACTTCTGGAGTGGTCGTCGATGGCAATTGCGGGCCCAGTTTTGGACATATACTGATGGAGCAGTCTGAGCTCTAATGTACGCCGAGCCTTGGATTCTGGGGGACCATCCGAGCCATTGCTTCGGGGGTTGACCTCGGCCACTTTGGTAGATATAGCCGGCGATGTCCAGAGTGGTCCATCAGTAGAACGTCTGCTTGATTCGAATGTCTCCTGATTGCGGTCATACAGGCACGGCATTCGATGCCGCGCACAGTGGCTACAGCTGGGTTTGGCTTCATTGCACTAAGGATCTGTCAGAGACGTTGTCTTATCACTTAGCAGGAGTTGAATAAGCGGCATGGGACGAGTCGATAAGGCATCCATACCTTCACTCTGCGCGCTCTGCACAACTGACAGCCCGTCCTCGACTTCTTGTGGAACATCTTTGCAGGGGCGGGCTGGAAGCCCATGACAGATACAGGCATGTTGACCGGAGCGTCGCCACTCATACTGCTCCGATCCCGGGTCCAAAGGGGCGAGGCGCTGGGATAGTGGAGCAGATAGAAGAACGGTTGAAGTTTGGTCGTTGTACAAGCAACCCGTCCCAAGTCACTGGACGTTAGCGTAGGTCGTGGCGTAAGTCGGGCAATGACGTACAGTACAAGTAAAAGCAGCAATGGCCTAAGAGTGGGAACACGGAAGCAGAAGGCGGAGGACGGTTATGGTGTGGTCTTGGCGTGGGAGCGACTATAGCTCACAGAGAATTAGGCATGGCAAACAAATAAGCTAACTTGAAGGGTTAATGAGGAATAGACTATGCACGGGCCCACTGGGTCATAGACAAAAATCGGCCAGCCCTACGGGGCCTAGATATAGGGACGCATGTCACAGACTAAGCACGCTTACTTTGTGACCTCATGAATGATGCGTTCGTATAAATTTCCCCCCTACTGTACACATTGGACATCTTCCGAGCAAACATATTAGAATGGCTTTGATCTGGCCATTTAAATGCATCCACTGTCGGCGCCTGTATCACTTCACTTCCACGCGACCTAAATTCGTAGATGAGAATTAAAGCTCACCGACCAACTATCTTCACGCCATGGAGAGTCCAGAAGCATCACAGACCAATGTAATCATCACAAAAGGCATCTTTACTGGTCTACCTACCTTCCCACCATCTCTCAGCGGGTTTTCAGCAGTTGTTGTTGGTGCCAGTGGGATTTCTGGTCAGCATATGCTCCATGTGCTGTCGCAATCCCCAAAACGTTGGAGCAAGATCTACGCGCTATCTCGCTCGCTACCTCACATCCCTGACAACACGGACGATCGAATCATCCATGTTCCTGTAGATCTATTGAAGGGCCCGGAAGAAATCGCAGCGGCAATCAGAGGAGCCCAGGTGAAGGCGTACGTCGCGTTACCTCCTATCTGCGACCACGAGACTCACCTCCTCTATTAGGGATTATGTGTTCTTTCTTGCGTACCTTCAGCCGCCTCCCAAGCCAGGAGCGTCTTTGTGGTCCAATACCGACGAAATGAACGCAGTAAATAGCGATATGCTGTCCAGCTTCCTGCAGTCTCTCTTGCTAACGTCACTTCGACCTCGTCGCATTGTTCTTCAAACAGGCCTCAAGCATTACGGGACACATTTGGGTCCAACGTCCATTCCGAATATGGAATCTGCAGCTCGACTTTCATCCCCACCCTTTCCGCCAAATTTCTACTACAAGCAAGAGGACCTGCTCTTTGAGTTCTGCCGAGTTCACGCGCCTTCCACCTCATGGAACGTGATTCGGCCGTCTTGGGTTCTCGGTGCCGTTCCGGATGCGGCTATGAATATTCTATATCCCCTCGCAATCTACGCGGTCGTGAAGCAGGCCATGGGAGAGAGCCTGGACTTTCCAGGAGACTGGGATGGGTGGGATAAGGAGCAGATGCAAAGCTCCGCAATGCTCAACGGATACTTAAGTGAGTGGGCGGCCCTAACGGCGCCTGCAGCGAACCAAGCTTTCAATGCGTCCGATGGGGGCGCTTGGACGTGGGGAATGTTCTGGCCTATATTGGCCGGGTGGTATGGCATCCCCTGGAATCCTCCGGTCATGGATGAAAGCAAATACAAGGCAATTGAGACTGGCCCAGCTCCTAGAGGGTGAATGATTTTCCTTAAGTCGTTGTTCTAAAGTAGACAACCTCTAGTATCTCTTCCAATTACTGACGGCATCTAGGTACGGTCCCCCTGGCAAGATCCGGTATATGTTCTCACTTGTCGACTGGGCGCAGCGGCCTGAGGTGCAAGTTGCGTGGGCTCGGATTGCCAAGCAGCATAGTATCACGGCGAATCCATTCAAAGACCTCGAACGGATTTGGAGTCCGACTCATTTAGCTCTCGTAACCCCTTGGGCGATGTCCGTCAGGTATGTCATCGATGGCCTCAGCGTTTCATGCTCTTATTACGTTAGGCTAACACATGGAAATTCTCAGGATGGACAAAGCACGGAAGATGGGTTGGCATGGGTATGCGGACACTCTAGAGGTTGTGATGGAAACATTTGAGCGTTTCGCTGAGCTCAAGATGATCCCACCCGTTCCCTTCCTATCCAGGGCGGACGAAAGGTCTATTCACCTAGGGTAAAACCAGCCGAGGGATTTTCTGTGGAACCTAAACACGGAAGATTTCGATCTTGGTTTCTTCGCTGTACACTACAAGCAATTGCATGGTGTTAGCTAGACATAGTTCACATGCTCAGGTATATACATGCGATTACTATATTCATTCAGTCTAGGTTTTCTCAGGAGAACTCAGCGGATGGCTACAAATAGATCAGTAGATAATACAATGCTTTTGGTGCTTTACCTTCAGCAGGTCGCATAACAGCTATCTCTTCAGGTAGAAATAGAAAAGGCTCTCTCCCAACTCCTTCCCTTCCATGATACCAGCAACCATATCATCATTAACGTAACGAAAATAGTCAAAGACTGGGCGGTCATCGTAGATCATCGCCGTCGAGACAACATCTCGATACAGGACCTCGCGTAGCTGCACTTATGTCAACTGTCTGTCGTAATAATAGAGACTCAGCTGTGTGACTGCTTACGGTTGCGTGGCCCCACTTCCCCCAGCTAACTCTCTGGCCATTCTTATCGATAATGACCGGATCAACTTGTTCGACGGAGGTGAAATTCTTTCCCAACCATCGTATCTCCTTTAGTGTATCTCCAATGGGGTGGCCGGTGTCTAATATTCCACCACCCCACTCGCCCAGCATCAGCCCTGGCTTGACTGGGCCAAGCTTGTTGTACACCGCGTCGATCAATGTGGGATCAACCCGGCCCTGGGTCTGGGTTAAGGCGATAAACTGTTCCGCTGGGCTGTTCAATAGTTAGCTAGCTGACTTGCCTCGGTTTTGTCATATTAGGTGTGATTACGAGGGCATGAATACAGTTCGTTAGTGGGGCTTGGTTTTGGAGGAATATAGATTTGATAGAATTATTTAGATAGAAATAGAGGTAAGATGGTAATCCGAATCGTATCTCAGACCGCAGTTCCTTAGTTACATACAGAATACAGGATGCTTGTATTCTGTTGCTGCAATGGAGAGTTCGCGTCTTTGGGACTCGTCTGTTTTTGGGTTCTGTCATGGTGACGATATGGATACTACTGGTTCTCGTCTTTTGGAATAGTCTGTTTTTGGGTTTGTCACGGTGACATTGCAGATGCTGTCTGCGTCTTTCGTACTAGTCGGTTTTTTGGGTTTGTCATGGTGACGTTATAGGCGCTAGTGTTGTGATGTCTCAATCGTATATGTACAGTGGGGGAGAACCCGAACAAGTAGACGTGGATCATTGATGATAGTATCCTTTGACGGTCCTACTGAGAATATCATTTCTAAACCATGGCATCCCAGGGCAGCGGCTTCCACGTCCTGTTGACAGGAGCGAACGGCTTTGTAGCCTCCCATATATTGTCGATCTTGCTTGCGGTAAGCATATATATCCAATTGTGGTCGGTCAAGGCCAGATATCTGATGGTGGTGCTATTTCTAGCGTGGGTATGCCGTTACCGCGACCGTACGCTCTAAGGAGAAAGCAGCCGACGTCGTAAAAACGCACCCCTCGTGGGAGGGCAAAATAGAATTCGCAATTGTCGCAGATTTCACCTCAGCAAAGCCATTCGACGAATTGTTCATTAATTCGAAAGCTCCTTTCACCCATATAATCCATACGGCATCCCCTTTGAACTTCCGAGTTGAAGATATTCAAAAGGAAATGATTGAGCCAGCCGTAAGAGGGTAAGCTAAGAGAATCGACACGATGTCCCTACAGCCTGGACCGAACTAACACACACTGCAGGACTACGGAGATTCTCAAGAGCGCCCATCACTACGGTGGCGCAACCCTGAAACGTTTCGTCTTGTTGGGAAGCGCAGTGTCCGTCCTGAACTCATTTGAGGATATCACGCGGGAAGGCCTGCCCTATACTGAGAAGAACTGGAATCCGGTATGGGCAGCTACACACATGATCCTAAAATTCGCTCACTTACTGCGGTGCAGGTAACGGCCGAGGAAGCCATCGCGAAAAAGGATACAGTTCTTGGATACAATGTCTCTAAGACAAGCGCGGAGTCTGCGGCTTGGGAATTTATAAAGTCAGAGTCACCCTGTTTTGATCTGGCTGTCATAAATCCGGATATCATTACAGGACCAATGATACACCCAATTTCTGGCCCAAAGTCTATTAACGAGACAAATCACTTTGCGATTGCAAGCTTTATTGACGGAACCCATCAGCAGGTTGAAGGGGTGACGTTTCCGTTCTACCATTTCGTAAGCTCTACTCATCTATGGCTTACCCCTAATCTAATTATTATCATAGGTGGACGTCCGCGATGTGGCTCGAAGCCATGTTGATGCTTTAACGAACACTCATGCCGGAAGCCAGCGGATTCTTCTAATCTCAGGCATTATCTCACCGCAATTAGTCGTGAATATCATCAGGAAGAATTTTCCTGCCCTGCGGGCCAGGGTTCCCGAAGGAAATCCCTCGCAGATCCTCCCACCAGGAGTGCATCCAACCGGATGGGATATGCGGTTGAGTCTAGATATTCTTTCTAAGGGAACAAAGGAACAAAGCTGGAAGTACATTGATCTAGAGACCAGTGTCACTGATGCCATTCGGACTATGATAGAGGCGAAGGTAATCTAGTCTCAGGGCCCGAAGACTTTGCTCTTCTTTCTGGATTCGTTAAGTTTCTTGTGGTAAAAGTTCTTTATAATGGCATAATTAACGAGTCTATTGCATTTTGCATGACATGAAGGGTAATTAGGGTCCTATCTAAAGACTTGTAGAGGCTTGCGTTAGGTTAGTTAGTAAGTGTTAGTTAGGTTATTATGTAGATGGGTCTTATCTATACTAGGGCTGTTTTACTACTTGTTAATTAGGTAAGCTTACACTCATTTATATATATATAGCTATTTAGAGTCCTAGAGACTTATTATATAGTTTATTAATAAAGTAACCTTCTATATAACGTAATTCACAAGCGAACGGATCACACAAGCGAACGGATCACCAAAACACCAAAACGCGTCAACTTAACAGAATTCAACTTATGGCAACACCAACTCAAGCTAAAACCTCTAATCAAGAGGGGAGAATACTTCTAGCTATTCAATCAATTAAAGAAGGACATATTCAAAGTATTCGAGCAAGCGCAATGTCGTACGATGTCCCATATACAACTCTCTATAGACGGTTGAATAGAGTAGCTTCCCGACGCGATTCTACTCCTAACTCTCGAAAATTAACTCTGTACGAAGAGTCAGCTCTCGTTCGGTATATCCTCGACCTAGATTCACGTGGATTTCCGCCCCGGCCGCAAGGTGTGCAAGAAATGGCAGACCTTCTACTCTCCGAACGAGGCGAAAGCCCTGTTGGGATAAACTGGACTACCAACTTCATTAAGCGTCGTACGGAAATCAAAGCAAAGTTCAGTCAGAAGTACGATTACAAACGAGCAAAATGCGAAGATCCTAAGATAATTGAAGGGTGGTTCTCCCTCGTACGAAACACAGTTGCAAAATATGGAATCTTAGAGCAGGATATCTACAACTTTGATGAAGCAGGTTTCGTAATGGGAGTTATTGCTACTGCAAAGGTAGTCACAAGCTCGGAAGCAAAGAGCCGTCTAAAGACTATACAGCCAGGGAATAGAGAGTGGGTATCAATTATTCAAGGTGTCAATTCGTATGGATGGGCACTCCCGCCATTCATCATTTTCAAGGCGCAGAATCACCTCTCTGCTTGGTACGAGGACTTAGGATTACCACACGACTGGGTAATTACACTAAGTGAGAATGGGTGGACTTCAAATTCAATTGGGTACGAGTGGATTCAACACTTCAATCGGCATACAAATGCTCGTACGGTTGGAACCTATCGCCTTCTTATTCTCGATGGGCATGAGAGCCACCTCTCTGCTCAATTTCAACACTACTGCATAGAACGGAAGATAATCACCCTCTGTATGCCACCACACTCCTCACACATTCTTCAGCCTCTTGATGTAAGCTGCTTTGCGCCACTAAAGCTTTCGTACGGAAAGCAGATTGAAACCTTCGTACGGAACCGGCTAAACCACATTACAAAGCTTGAGTTCCTCTCTGCATTTAAAGAAGCATTTAAAGCTACATTTACAGAGCAGAACATTAAGAGCGGATTCCGAGCTACAGGACTAGTTCCATACGAGCCACAGAATGTCCTCTCTCACTTAAATCTACACTTAAGGACTCCAACTCCTCCTATAGTTGAGAGCGGCAATTGGACTTCAAAGACTCCTCAAACTATACGGGAGCTTAACTTTCAAACAGAGCACATTAAGAACCGCATTGTACGACATCAGAACAGCTCTCCTACCTCAATTAATGATGCTGTTAGCTGCCTTGTTAAAGGGGCAGAAATGATGATGCATTCTGCTATTCTACTTAAGGCAGAAGTTAAGGCTCTACAGGCAGCAAATGAACAGAAAAAGAGGAGGGAAAGGAAGCGTAAGAGGCGTATAATGCAAGGGGGAAGCCTCTCCGTACGAGAGGGAGAGGATATACTTCAGAGTGCTGAGGTTGATGCTCAAGTCCGTACGGAGGTGGCAAGTGAGACTACTCGGCAGGGGGGTTCTATAGGCCGACAGCGACGATGTGGCACATGTGGTAATATAGGGCATAATGCTCGTACGTGCGAGAGGCGCTAGGAATCAATTGCGATCGAATACGGGTTATTATGTAGGGTGGTAGTGTAGTAGTAGGCAGTAATAGTCAATTTTGGTGTTTTGGTGATCCGTTCGCTTGTGTGATCCGTTCGCTTGTGAATTACGTTAAGTATTCTATATACTTTATATATAAGTACTTAATTTTATAATAGTACTAGCTTTAGCCTTATAGCTAGTAAATACTATTAATATATCTAAGGAGAATGCTCTAGGTTCGTCTCTGCTCCTTAGACATAGCCCGTTAGAGACTCTCTCTCCTAAGAGAACACCCCCCTAGAGGGCTCGACTCCCGTGAGCCTACTACCCCTATGAGCTTTCTCTATAGCATAGTGTTTCCTCATAATATCTCACGTGATGCCTATGCATGCACGGAAGAGAGTCTAAAGGCGAAAGGTCTGAGATGTTAAGTGTTCCTAGTGACGCCTCCCTATAACGCCATCAAGAAGTCTATAGTACAAAAGGACAAAAAACATACAACAGTGGGTATTCGCTGGTGGTCACCCACCCAAGTACTAATCCACCGATCTTATGTATGGCAGAGCGGACGGGATGCCCAGTTCTCTTGAGTCTATGGTCGTATGTGATAATTACTTGCGTATCCGTCTTTGGGGACTTGAACGAGGTCTGTGGCTGGCAAAACGAGCCATGTACATAGGGCTCAAAGGACGCATCCTAGAGACTCTCCCATCAACAACCTAGTACTCGACCGTCGAGCACTACAATGGACCCAAGGAGGAGGATATTCTGGCGATCAGTGTCCCGCCTGAGCATGTTGCAACTACGTTAAATAATCACTAAACGTCAAACATGGTGTTACAGATACTTGCTATTGTGATTCGCCTAACGTCTATGGCCGACCGTTGCTGGCTTTCTCTCCTATAAATATCTAGTACATCTTAAGGTTTATCGTACATAACTCGGGCTTCGCTACTACATGTCTCTGTCAGTTCCAAAACGTGGCATTCCACTCCGCAAAGCTCAACCCAGGAGCCAGCAGCAAGCTTGGGTCCAAGGTCCCCGGCTCCCTATCATCATACGTCCCATCCCAGCAGTGCTTCTTGAAGCACCTCTCGCATTGCCTCGTCCGCCTCATGCCCAACTTCTCTAGACTCCTCTCCACCACCGCGCAGCCCAGACATGCCGACCATTCGTCGTCCAGCATCCCATTGCCCTGCGTGAACGCATTAAAGGAGTTGTCAAAAATCTCGTACATCTGGGTGTTAGAAAAACTAGATTGCGTCCATGTGTAGTTCGTATATGCGCTATAGGGCGCGTTAGCCATGTATAGCACAATAGGCGATTGAGTGGTTCCGGTGGTTGTTAAATCGGCGTTACATCCAAAGAATGTTGGCCGCAGAGTGAAGTTCTTGTTTAACATAGTGCGGGGCGGGGGGACAATGGGGAATGGTAGGCCGGAGGCCTTTGCCGCAAGGTACGTGTTATGCATGCTAGTGCCGTTCAGCCACGCATAGGGCTCTGCGTCCGGATTGTCGTCCCAGGCGATGATAAACGAGGAAGCGCGCGCAGGTTGGATCTGTGACCAGAGAGGAATGGCTTGTCCTGCTTCGGAGCCGTCGACGAGGTTGAGGTCGCGGGGGATGCTTGAGGACGAGGAGGCGAATGGGTTGGGCCAGATGGCGTGGTCGACCTGGGCGGTGGATAAGCCGAAGATGCCTTTGAAGCCTTCGAGGAGCCCATTGAGGGTTGCATTGGGGAATAGGGAGAGGTCTCTTTGAGAGAGTGGCGTGCTTCTCTTGAGGTTGTTAATTGAGCGTTTGGGAAATGGGGCAAGAACGCCGTTGGAATCATTCTCGATTATCCAGAAGTTTGCTGCTGAGGTCGCGGTTCCCATCATCAAACTAGAACTGGTCACTTACCGCCATGTGAAATCAGAGATGGATGGACTATCATACCTTGAGCTGTCGAATCCGAGAGTACACATGCTGCTGTTCACCGGAACACCATCGTCAAGTCTCGTCCCCATCCACTCAGTGGGAGTAAACCCCTTTGTCCACGATCCAATTTCAAACGGGGTCATCTCATACTATTCGTCTGGTCAGTAACGCCCTTAAGATCATAAGATAAAGCAGGACATCGTACTGAAGTGGCATTATAATAAGGAACCTTCAGCCCAAAATACTCCTTATCATCATCAGTCAACTCACTCGCCTGCAGCATCGGCAGCGGCATCTGATGATTGACAAAATTGCTCAACCGTGCAATGCCCGACCAAGTATTATTAACCCCTCCATGCGGACCAGACAGGAACTCATACGCAGAATTACGACCCAAGTAATCTGAAGTGGATACATTAAACCCAGCTTTCAGCTTCGCAGCTATGTCTTCGAAAATCGACTCGGGGCTTCCAGGAGAGCTAGAATTCGAACCGCCGTCGGGTTGCGAAAGCCAGATCTGCACGATCTCGTCCACTGTGGGGAAGTTGTGCGAGGGGATCGAGGTGACGGGCCATGATCCCCCAGAGAGGCCGCTCAGGTACGTCAGGCTCTGGAGGAGCCCGCCGACACGCTGCTCGTTGGCTGCTTCCAGGCGAGAGTCTAACGCGCGGATGGCGCCGGTGCCAGTGTACGCGGATCTGTAACCGCCGCCGCTGATGGCAAGGCCCAGGGTTGGGACGTGGGCGTAGTTTGAGTGGCGAAGGGCTCGGATATACCTTGGGGTATCGAAATCCTCGAGGCAGAGGCGTTCAAGGTAGGTATCGAGAGCGTCTGCAACGACGCGCTTGCGGCCTCTTACCCACTCGGCTTCTTTTGGATTGAGCATCGCGGGAGGACGGATCCATTGCACGTCCGTTGGGCACTCGACGTAGATGGGTGCATAGCTGGTTGGTTGGTAGGTTGAAGGACAGAATGTAGCTGCGGCTTCTATGGTATTGCTCATGAGACCTGCATTTGGAGTAAGTTAGATATCCTGAGCAATGGGTGTTTAACACATACCAATAGCCACGGCGAGGACCGTCGACAGCTTCATCGTGGTTGACGACATTATTGCAAGTAGTGATGAAAAACTTGTAGTGACAATCTATTATTTCCGCGGAAAGCTCCATAGATTTATATGCCAAACGAGCTATCATGATGCCTAGTTGTACTACGCCTCTCAGCTCTTGGAGTCAGTGTTGCATCGGCACTTACCGGCCCTGTACATTATAAGGCGTTTTCGACTTCGTCTAACTCATATATACGTAAAGAAGACGCAAAGGAAGAAATTACAATATAGACCGGCGTAACTGTGGCCAGCATCGAGTTCATCTCCGTACTAATGCAGCCTACGGAAGGGTTCGCGGCGGCCTTTTATCATTGGGAACGAGAACGAGAACGAGAACGAGAACGAGAACGAGAACGATATCACACCCTTGTGGTGTACACTCTAATGCCATGAACGAACGAACCTAGCCGGATAGAAGCCGGCAGGCTGCTCGTTCTCGCTCCGGATGAATGCTGTAGGGCTGACTACTACGTAGCTATTACCGAACGAGCTGTTGGACGTGAATATACTAGGAAGTCATTTACCCCTTCCAATGCTTAAATTATTTTTATTCCTATCCCTGGGGAGGCCCCTCTCTCTTCTCTTGAATTTTTACACTTCTCATCATAGCCTCTTCTCATCTTCCCATCTTCCTACCCTCGCAACATTTTCTCAAGCAAACACTAACACCATATACACATACATCCTTTTTACCCCATCCTTCATCACCACCCTTACACATCGCCATGGCGCAAAACCCAGGCTACGGCTATGATGCGAAGGACCCCTCTGGCCGCCGTCCCTACGATCCTCGTGACGACTACGTCGCACCGCAGCCTAGCCCCCCTCCCGGCTACGACGACTACTCTCAGGCGCCGCTTCGTTGCGAGTATAATGTAAGGCGGTCCTCACGTGCCATCACGTGAGGAGCCACGCCGAAGGCAGCCCTACGGTGGAGCTGCCATTCGGGTATAGCCCGGTTATTAGGGTTCACGGTATGGGAAGATATCAGGGGCTGGAGCCTCAGTTGAGGACTCCAGTCAATAGTCGCTGTATCTACGTAGACCTATTGTTACGCTATATACCCTCACTTTCCTGCCTTCTGATCTGGTTCCCTGAACTCCCGCGTGACCCTAGGCCTACGGCCTTACATATAACCTACCCCTCGCCTCAGCAGTCCCAGCATTCTCGCGGATGAAGCATAGGAACAACATAGTCGTCGGTTTATTGCATTGTTGCATAGCTCCTCGCACGTCGTCCACACCCTGAAAGGCGCAGAACCTTATCTCGAGTAAGTGATAGGAGCCTTGAAGGGGACGTTGTTGACTTACTTGGTCCATTATAAAAAGTGGCTGACTAAGCAATTTACTGCCAATTATGGTGTGGTTAGGAACTACCCGATCAATGGTTGATTGCTTCCTAAATCTGCCTTAGGCCTCCGAAAAGGCCGCATCCTGTGTCTTTGATTACGGCGACGGCTTCATGGAAACGGGGGACGGTTAGTCGATTATGATGTCTGCCATAAGCCTTTCGAAAGGCTGCATTCTGTGTATTCGATCACCACAACGGTTTCGTGGAAACAGAGGATTGGTCGGTTCCGAAATCTGCCTCGGGCCTCTTAAATGGATGCAGCCATTCAAGAGGCCCAAGGCAGATTTGCGATTATGACCTCTAGGAAAAGAATGATGGTTGATTGGCTTCGGTAATTTAATCTGCACTGCTCTTCTAGTTCAGGAATTACCCCGAGGCCCAGAATCCACAGCAACTCGGAAAGCGCAAAAGTGGTTGACTAGTTCTAAAATGTGGCGCACACCCTCATTATGGCGAGGCTGAGTTCTGATGCATCTCGAGCCTCCGACCTACCGAATACATGTATCCAGCACTGTACTATTCCCATCCGTCGTCCATTTCATCATATTATTAGCAACTTTAGCGTTGCCTCTCTTACAAGCATCTAGTTTAGCAATTCCTGCGATCTTGATCTTATCTACGAACATCTCGTCATCTCCTTGAGTGATCTTTCAATCGCGGATATACCATACCTAGGCCTGATCGAAGTTGTGATAGAACTTAAGCTTGCCCCATTTACTTGGATTAGCTATAAATAGGGTTGCATATTTGGCTGGTTTTGTATGCAGTTTGCGAAGACTTTGCGCCCTATCCTTCTTCAACATTCTTAAGGATGGACCCATTCTCACTCTCTCTGGACATCGCAGGCCTTGTGGGGCTTGTAGCAAAAGCATTAGCAGTCACGAAAGATTACCTCTCAAAAGTTAAACATGCGAAGGAGTCAGTCATTACCTTGATCATTGAACTGGAAGCACTGAAATCGAATCTATCCAGCCTTGATGCGCTACTTCGCAGTGATTCGGTACGAGCACATGGCCTGGCCTTCCAGCGAACTTCAGTACTTCGATCGTGTGCGTTGGCTTGTGATGGTAATCTAAAGTCTTTATGCAAGAAGCTGGACCAAGTGGGTGATAGTAGGATTGGCCGATATGTGTGGCCGCTCAGTGAAAAGGAGCATCAGAAAACAATGCAGGAGCTCCGAACTTTTACCCAATGGATGCAATTTGCGCTCTCTGTTGATGGCTGCTCGCTCCTTTCTCGGACCTCGGATGACGTCCTTAAGATTATGGGGCAACAATTAGAGAGCTTTAAATCATTAGCAAGTCTCGAAGCCCAGACGGTGCAGCTGCAGGAGGCTGTCGCGCACCAAACACGCTTACTAAAAGACGACCGGAATGCAGAGACAAGACATGATATCCTTAATTGGTTATCAAAGATAGAGCATGATAAAAGGCACCATTCTATACGGTCATATAGAATTCAGGGCACAGGTAGTTGGTTGTTAGAGCGATCGGAGTATGTGCAATGGCGAGATGATGGCTCAAATGTTCTTTGGTGTCATGGAATTCAAGGCTCCGGAAAAAGTGTTTTAATGTGCGCAGCCATCACTTCATAAATGTGTAAAAGCTGACAGTATATAGATCTATTGTCATCGACGAGCTTAAACGCTCAATATCTAGTCCTGAATCTCCCATCGTTTTCTTCTACTTTGACTATTGGGACAAGGACAATCAGACCCCGACCAGACTTCTATCAAGCATCTTAAAACAAATTGTCGCCGCGATCCCAGACACTCCCAAATGTGTGATCGATGCATATAGCAAGACTCAAGGAGTTGGTGAATTCTTACAAGTTCACGAGCTCGAAAACATGATTTCCGAAATCACTTCGACCGTTCGCCGAGTTTACATCATTATAGACGCACTTGATGAGTGCGATGAGTCAAGACACCGCAAAATTGTCCTTCAGTCCCTCTGTCGCATGACGCAGATTCCAAATATCCGTCTACTTATAACTAGTCGTCAATATACCTACGACATAGAAGAGGCTTTTCATACGCATTCTCAGATTGTAATCCATGCTCATGAATCTGACCTCAGACGTTACATGCACCATCAGCTTGATTGTACCGATATTAGCGATATTGTCGATGGCGATTTTGTGTCTAAGGTGGTAGAGACACTCATTAACAGGGCACAGGGAATGTGAGTAAGCCTATAATCTATCTGCCTTGCTCGACAATACTTTGCAGCATTGAAAGGGCTAGGGCCTGAGAAATTTATGCTAAGTCGAGCAGGTTCCTCCTCCCAATCCTTCAACTTCGTTCTGTGTTAAATGAACCTACAGTGGGTGAGATGGAAGATGCGCTTGTCAACTTATCTCGCAGCCTTCCTGAAGCTTTTGAGGAAACAGTCGCGCGCATTCAGCAACTCCCTGAAAGCTGGAGAAGGCTAGCGACAAATACTCTGATGTGGATATGTCACACTAAGCGCCCATTAACGATACCCGAACTGATTGAAGTACTTTCTGTCAGACTAGGCCAAACAAACATGAGCACAAAGCACTGTCCTTTACCAAGGATGATAGTAGAATGCTGCCAGGGCCTCGTGACTCTCGACCTAGAGAGCATGAGTATTCGTTTCGCTCATTACGCAATTCAGGAGTACCTGATGGTACGAAGCGAAGAGCTCTTCCCTTGTTTAGAGAGTAATATGGCCGCAATATGCCTAACCTATTTACTTAGCCGTGCTTTTAACGAGGGACCATGTTCGGAAGAACGTGAAATCCGTTCTCGCATTGACAAGAATCCATTCCTTTCGTACGCTTGCCGGTATTGGGGCGTGCATGTGCAAAGCTGTGAGGCAGATCGAAATGTTAAGCAGCTTGCTTTCGATTTCTTTGCTTCTCATAGTGCAGTAGCACGAGCATACCAAATCATGGAGTTTGAAAAAGGACGCCTAGAGACGTATTGGACCCCAGAGGAAAGCTTTAGCGGTTAGTATTCCTAGATTCCATTCTTCCCATTCTTGACTCATTTACCAGAGACATACTTCTTCCCACCTAAATTACATCTTAATACTCGTGCAGTTTTTTTTAGAGAAGTAATACTGATCCTACTGTTCTGAACAGTGACGGCGCTCCATCATGCCAGCTATTTCGGACTTGAAAATATAATTCGTAACCTTCTTGACCAGCGAACATATCACATAGATGCACAAACGAAAATGGGTACTACACCACTCATAAAAGCTGCATGTGCGAGCCCGGCAGGCCACCCCTCAATTGTTAAGATGCTACTACAACGAGGTGCTAATCCATACTTGGGTAATTGGTATGGCAATACTCTACTCTGCGCTGCCGAAGCTGGATGCTCTACCACAATTCGTCAGCTTGTCGACTATGGCATGAATCCGAATGAGAGGGGGCATCATGGCCGTCCTCCAATACATTGCACCTTAGACAACGATTGCTTCGGAGCCTTTGAGACACTAATAGAGCTGGGAGCTGACATTAACTTTAAAGGTGTATCAGTCTTCCACGAGGCAATTATTAATGGCTGCGTCAACATTGTCGACTTAGTTCTCCAGCGACACTGGGCTGAGCTAGAACATAGAACCACGGAAAAGGGTCTTACCGCAATGCACTTCGCTGCGATGGGGAAGAATATGGCGATTATATCAAGACTTCTCGAGGCTGGAGCAGATATTAATGCACAAGATAACGAAGGTTGCACTGCTCTTGACTACGTGGATAATGGTCTCAACAAAGATATAGTCAGCCTTTTACTAGACCATGGTGCAGAGTGAGAATGAAATTTGAAGGCTCCTCAGTCAAGGGCCTGTGAGTTTAACTACAAGAACACTCTCGCTACCTCAAATACGCTACGTTCAGCAAAGGTCATAGGTGCAGTTCTAATGTCATGGTATGTATTACGGACGTTACAGTAGAGGGGGTTGAGAGAGATGTAGATGCGATGACAGATATCCTATTTAGGGTTGCAAAGGCTAGGAAATTATTCATAAGTGATAATACAAACATAACGGTTAATCCTTATGACAAAGAGGTGTGTGCTAAACGAGCCTAGAGTCGGGAGGTTTTGAGTTCTATGCCATCATCTCGAAATCACAGTCTCGTAAGAAACTGAACTTCCAAACGAACCACCGGCACAGCAGCAACCCATTCTAGTCTTTCCGGCAATGTTGCCTCCCTCGACAGCATAGATGTGCCTGAATCCGGCAACGTGAGCCGGAAAGACTTCAGGATCTGTGATAACGAGAGATACAGTTCGAGATATGCGAAACTGGTACATGATATTAGAATTCCTGCACAGCTACACGTGATGGAGTGGAAGGGGTGCCTTACTGCGCGCCAATACAAACGAACGAGCCCTTCGAGAACGGGATGTAGTACTCGTCGCGCAGCGGATTAATCGATTCGGCGTCGCCATCCAGCCATCGTGTAGGACGGTAGATTTCGGGGGAGGGAAAGGCGGCTTTATCGCGGAGATACCAGATTGGTGAACTGCTAATTACGGTCTGGGATGGGAGAAATCAGTATACGTTCGTGCTGAAGATGGAAAAATACGTACGCCTCCTGGAATGAACTTCCCCGCCAGCGTCGCGCCATCTTTAGGCACGATGCGCGGCAGCATTGCGGCCGCGGCACCAGCCCATCGGATGCCTTCTTTGACAGCGGCGCGGAGACGTGGGAGCGCTTCGAGCCCGGTCATGTCGGTTGGCCAGTGCGCGAGGGCGAGGTCGGCGGCTAGGCTGTCTTGGAAGGAGATGTCGTGGGCGAGTCCCCAGAGGATGTGGGCGAGTGTTAGGGAGGTAGTATCAGTTCCGGGCCCAAGCATCTCTTTGGCTTCGGAGAGGGCGATGGCGGGGGGGAGGCGCGAGCGGATCATGGTGGAGATGAAGTTTGGGTGTGGCTCGAAGGGTAGCTTTGAGATGGATGTGAGGCGTTCAAGTTGGGAAGATGCCCACTGTTTTGGTTAGGGGTTGTGGTGTGATGTGAAGGATGGTGGTACTCACTTTGTCGAAGTCTTTCATCGCGGTTGTTGAGAGAGTTTGCCAGCCTGTGAAATTGTAAAGTATAGACTCGATGCGGTACCAAGCCGTAGTCACGCTTGGTAGGTTGGACAACTGCATGCACTAAGTATTATGATTGTCAATAGAAGGAAGAAACTACATACTAAGGCCATAATTTGTGCCTTGTCATCGTTCTCCTTGATAATGTTGACATCATGGCCGCTCCCCCAAGCGGCAATTGCACCAATATCTTCGCCAAATCCAAAGGAGGCTGTAAGCCATGTCAGACAAGAATACGCATTTGATCGTCAATGCGAACTCACCAACAATATCGGCCTCTAATGCTCGACATGCTCGGGCAAGCTCAACTGGCTGCACACCTCGTTGGCGTAATAGGAGCACAAACGCAGCTATTTTTTCAGTCATGTATTCTTCTAAAAGGTTCATTTTGCTCCGGTTGAAAATCTGGCCCATTAACCGGCGTCTCTGAGCGTGTTCGTATGCGTCCCTAATAAACGATTAGCAACTGCAAGCTAGATGTCATATACTTTTAGATAGCATCAATTACTATATCTCAATTCATATGTACTCACGTAATTGAAAACAATCCAGGATGAGCATCTTGCACGAACCCTCCGTAAACTCGCGGATCCTTTATAAAAGGACTCTGAACAGTATTGACGGTTTTGTAGATATCTAGTGAGTAGAAAGAGAGTTCCTTTGGACCAATACGAACTAAGGGTCCTGTTGTTCTAGTCAGCTGTCAGTATGTGCAAATCTTCTAAGTTGAAAATCAAGATATGCACAGCTTTAGACTTTAGGACAGAATCGAACTTTCTAGAAAAAAGAGCAAGGAAATCTCGTAGGTTCATACATACCGTACTTTTCATGAAGGCGTGGCAGGTCTAGCGTGATACGTCCTCTATGCTCTGAAGGGAAAGCCCATAGCAATCTAGACACAGGTGCTAAGATTCCTGCATTTGGGATTAACGAAAGTGGAGAGATGAAGTACGCATAGCTGAGCTTTGATGCTCAAGTGTCAGTAATTGACGTTTTTAGATCTTCTTTCATTCCCTTAATATTAATGAGAAAATACACAAGTTGACTTACCCATAATAGGATATAGATGAAAGAACCGGCTAGAAGCCAGAGGACGATGCTGATTGTCCACTCCGCCATGCTGAAACCAGAACTCAAAGCCTAGTAAGGCGTGAAATTTATTATCGTGATTATTTCGACAGCTTCTCTTCAACGAGGGCAATAAAGAAGCTGATAGTACTAATGAAAAATTTATACTCTGCCTAGAAGCGACAGTGACGGTAGTCCTTTTAATTGTGCGGCATTCGGAGAAGGCCGACGAAGCTTGATAGCGGGACTTGAACTTCTTTCTTGGTAATTACTCCGTACGCCTTTCTCCGTTTTTTCCTCTATATCATCCTTGTTATAGGCACGCATACCCGTTTAGGGCATTAAGCGCGGATGATGTGCTTGTAAGTATCTCGCTTCATTTTTGGAGGTCGATGCCGATGGTCGATGGCGAGCTTCACACTACCTCATATGGGGTATGGTCTCTATTTCTTCGGAAATGACCCTGAAAAGACCCTGCGACTTTCCTGGCCAGATGCTAACTATCGTACCTCTGTAGAAGTCTGAATTGCACCATTCCCGCTAACATTCCACGACCACAGCCGCGTACCACATTCCGGCATTCGCCGCTGCTAATGATAGATAACGACAGCGAGAAACGCGAGGCTACCCTCTTTCTCATTTCCTCACTTTGACAGCAGACGCAATTAACTAATACTTTGATACAAGGCTGTTCAGCATGCCGGCAGATTAATCTTATGCTCGTCTGCCCATACCAGTCAGGTAGCTGGTGGAATCCGCTTTCTAGGATAAGTCTCGAGCATAACTGCTCATGCCTGTCTCTGAAGCCCTCAAGTATAACAAGGTTGCCATGCCCTCCATTGTAACTGCCTTGTCTAGTAATCCCCTCCCTAGTCCTGCTTTCATAGTCATCGCTACATTCCTATGCAGCCATGGTCACTTCCGACGTCGTTACTGCGACTGCCACCGCAGAAACCATAACGCACCCTTCGGTGAATAATGCTTCCTCCGTGGGCGAGGAAGCAAAGGTCCAGGATGCCGCAACAGCTGATGCGATTCTATTAGTGAGTGGCCAGAGAGTAATTATCACCAGCTCTGATTTGCTGACACTACTCGACTGCGCAGGAAACTTTAGGATACAAGCCTGTATGTTCACCGCAAGGGCTGCTTATTCCGCTGATGGATACGGTGCTGATAATTGCCGTAGGTCCTACATCGCACATATGGCTTAATTGAGAATTTCTCTACAACTTTCGGTACGTTGTCGTACCTCTCTTCCTGCCCTCTATACACCCTAAATCTTGAAAATCCTATATGACATGTATTTATTTCAGTACTGACTATAACCTAGCTGCGCTGTACTTCGTGGGCGGAGTTCGAGTCACCTTCAGTACTGGTATTGCTGCTGGTGGAAATCTAGCATACTGGTTCGTATACTCCGCTCGTCCTTGTCTTTGTATCATAGTTTCTAATCATATGCAGGACGAGTTATATTATCACCTGCGTCTTCACTTTCATTACCGCTGCTGTCATCGCCGAGGTGTGCTCGGCCTCGCCATCTGCTGGTTCCATCTACTTGTGGGCTGCAGAATCAGGAGGTCCTAAATACGGACGACTCTTTGGATTTGTGGTGGCTTGGTGGAGCACTACAGCATGGACAACGTTTTGCGCCAGTAAGATATCCACTAACATCTACGGAGGCACCGCTCACACGTTACCAGGCAACACTCAAGCTGCTGTCAACTACATGCTTTCTGTAAGGTACTTGATCTCAACTACTCATAACTAAAACTCATGTATTGGTAGGAAATTACCGTCTTTGGCCTGGACTTCCCCTCAGACTCCTCTGATGTCAAGTTCCGAGCAGTTCAATGGATCTGCACTGAAGTGCTTCTAGGATTAGCCGTTCTCGTCAACTTTCTGCCTCGTGAGTTCCTCTCATCCATGAAGAGATGTTGACCTGACTAATATTGCCAATAGCACGCTTGTTCCGCTATGTGTTCTACTGGTCGTCCTTCTTCGTAATTCTAGACTTCCTCCTCAACGTCATCTGGCTCCCAATTGGAACAGCTAACACACTGGGTTTCCGTACTGCCGAAGAAGCGTTTATGACTACCTATAACGGCACCGGTGCCCCTGATGGCTGGAATTGGTGTCTTTCCTATCTTGCAACGGCTGGCATCTTGATCGGATTTGATGCTTCGGGCCATGTTGCAGAAGAGACCAAAGATGCAACTGTTAACGCGGCAAGGGGAATCTTCTGGAGCACTGTAGTGAGCGGAATCGGTGGATTCTTAACAATCATCCTGTTCTTGTTCTGCGTTGTAAGTCACAGCCATGATTTTATGTTGAGATATGACCATGCTGACCGTTTTCCAGCCTGACGCTGATACGCTCTTCTCCTTTGGCTCCCCGCAACCCTTCGTCCCGCTCTACGCCGTTCTCCTCGGCCAAGGCGGACACATTTTCATGAACGTGGTCTGCGTCGTAGCATTGTGGCTGGCAAGTCGCGTTTCTGCACTATTTAGACATCAGCTAACATACCGCTCTTCAGAACACTATAATCGCCATAGTCGCCGCCTCCCGCCTCGTCTTTGCCGTAGCCCGTGATGGGGTCCTCCCTTTCTCCGGCTGGGTCTCGCACGTCTCCGCCGAAGGCCAACCTCGTAACGCCGTCCTCGTAGTCTGGGGCATTGCCAGTATCGTCACCTGCACGATCCTACCATCGGGCGTTGCTTTCACTTCCCTGATCTCCGCAGCAGGTGTCCCCTCTGCAGCTGCATACGGCTTGATCTGCTTCGGGAGATTCTTCCTCACTCCAAACAATTTCCCCAAGCCTCGATGGAACCTGGGAAGGCTGAGCAAGCCCTTCCAGTTCATTGGCATTTTCTGGAATGGCTGGGTCGTGGCCATATTGTTTTCCCCATATGTTTTCCCTGTTACTGGCGAGAGTTTGAACTGTGAGTTTTTGTTTTGCACTTCACTTATACCAAATTCGTCCATGCTGACTACATTCACTAGATGCACCAATAATCATGGCGGTAGTGACGATCTTTGCCCTTATTTCCTGGTGGTTCACCCCCGAAACCTCATGGCTGCCTAAAACCCGCATCGCGAACTTCATCGAGAGTAAGGGCGAGGGCGACTTGTTGGATGCGAATAAGGGAATAGTGCCGACAAAAAATTACTAATCCTCTAGCTGTAGAGAATTATAGTATATAAAGAAGGAATAGTAGCTGGATTAATTGAACATGCATTTCACTTCTAATCAGTTGGACCCTACTCACTCACCCTGCTCACCTCCCAGCTCACCCAGCTCACCCCTCGCCTTACCCCTCTTTTGACGCGACCTGATTCACGAGCTGTATGTTGCAAAGTCACGCCTTGTAGGGGCCTCGCTAGTGAAGCCATGCACACAGACTGTTCACGTCAGTTTAGGCACCAGTCTGTTGTGGCCTGTTTCTGGCTGAGGAACGCTTCAACGCTTCGCGGCTAAGGTCCTACCCTTCTCTGCATTTGATTCTCTAACAGTCCGCAGTCTCAACTGTGTCAAGGCGACATTGGCAAATGAAATCCCGTCTTTTCCTAACCACCGAGCTACTAAATGGGGCCTGCTTCAATTCCACCTACTCCCATGCTTTTATGGATTAATAGTTGTGCGGAATATTATATATCTTCCTTCTCAATACACGGGATTGTTTTTTCGGAATTGAACCACCATGTTATTTTGCCCGTCATTTTCGTGCTTAGCCATTGGCGCTTATGGGACAGGTTGATTCCCACATTGTCTGACGCAACGCAAACAATAACCCCAGTTTTGCCGTCTATAGAAGTGGCTTCTGCAAAATGAAGACTGATAGGATGTTCAATTGTAGCTGTTGCGGACAGACCCACGCGACACTGGCCTAATGCCTCCCTGTGACCACTCGAGTACGTTAATAATATTCCTAAACAACAGTTGTCTAGATTGTTAAGGTCACTCCCACGCTCATCGAAGAACAAGCAAACTTGTTTAACATCTTCTAACGAAGCGCAAGAATGGAAAAGATCCCACTTATTATGGAAACTTGGAGGGTGTTGTAGAATTTCCGGTGAATCTAATTGGATATCGTCTAGTAATGTTTGCCCAAAGCAATGGATTGGGTCTCCGTCATCTGCATCCTCGTGAATAAGGTGTGAGACTTGACCTTTGCTCAAACAAATCTCCACGGAATCATCTGCCTGTGGGTCGAGACAAGGTCCAAAAACGTGGTATCTACCAAGGGTAGTTCTTATCTGCCACAATCAGAAAGGGGGAAGTGGTAGGAAGTCAGATTCTTACCATGAGTGCGATATCAGTTGTCAATTTGCGAGGACCATATCGTCGACGAATCCAAACCCCACGGATTCCTTCATTTGGAGCCAAAGGAAAATATATCCAAATGAGGGGGTCCTTCCGATAGTGGCATAGTCTTTTATACGTATCAGCAGCTAAAGATCTGTTTTCCTTATGGGCGTAGATCCCATATATTTTTGGTCCGTTGCAAAAGACACTGATTCCTGTACACTGCTCTGTTACTATACATCTCATGCGCATTGGCTTGGAAAGTCCATCATTCACAATCGTGAATTGGTCAGGGGGTGCCGGTGTATCCCATAGCATTAGCGTATCTATTGATGTTCTTATGGGATCAAGACGCAGAAAGTCTCCCTATCTGGTCATCAGTTTCTTAAGTACAAAATGTCAACTCAGGGTTCTTACATTTGTCCTTATAAGGTAATCATCTAGTCGGCTTAGCTTGTCAACGATAAACCACAAGCAGTCTGGGAATTTGCTATCCGCAACAGTTGGACGATCTTCAAGCAGCTGGAACGCACGGATTCCAAGAGTGTCAAGGCTGATAATGAAATATCTCGGGTCTTTGGGCGGGACATTCTGTTCAAACTGCATGCGAGAACCATGAATAGCTCTAAAGTCCTCTCGATACCAGCCGTATAGTTCATGAGGTTGTATAGCTTCGGCCGCGGGTTCTAGCCTATCTAGGCTCTCCGGATGCCACGCAAGTACGAATGAAAATATCGATATCAAAGGCGTCTCGGCTTTTTCTAGGACCTTAGTTACGATTTCTTGTGCCATCATATTTACAGCCTTTAAGCGGGATCGTAATTCTTTCGTCTCGGGGTATGTCGTATTCTCTTCTATTGAAAATCGAGGCGTATTACACTCTGACACGTAATAACGAGCTCCTGGAATAGGATTTAACCATAACCCAAGATGCCACATGTGTGAGAGCCGTGTTTTTGGCCTTCTAGTCCGGAGTACATTGATTCAATCCGAATGGATCACGAACGCCAAAGGGGACTGACGACAGGTATGGCATGGCCCATGGAGGCAGAGACGCCAGTTTTTCTTTTCGCCATTATATACAACAGTCGTATATTGAAGTTCATAGCCGCGGGCGGGAAATTTAAAGCATAGTGTATGACCTCTGTAATCTGAGCCAAACCCAAGAACTATCTTCGTTAGTAAAATATCAAAATATTCGAATAGAACATACCTGCAAAGGAATTTTCTAAAACACAAACATGATTCCGGCAAAGCAGGCAACACAAATTCGAAAGCTGAACATGGTGCTCCATCTTAGTTATGCTAACATCTGTGAGCTTCACTTGCTCTCTCAAGTCGGCAGCTCGCTTCTTGTGACTCCTCTCCAATACTCAGCCTTGCATTGTCCTTATTTCTTCATCATTCCTCCAGTCTTGTCTAGATGAGTAGAGCGTAGCCTCCTTTGGAGGCAGAAGTGAATGTGGTGGTAGTCCCATCAATTTTGTAGATCAAATGAAGGTGTATGTTTAAGCTGATCCCAAGGCACCGAGCTAGGTTTATGTTAGCTTGAAGTGAGCGTGGGTAACTAAACGGAAAGGTTGTGTAAAGTAGTAGGCAAATGCAGCTATAAACAGTTGCAAATCGCCAACAGTGTATACTAGTTATAAATGATCGAGAGCCTTTATTTCGTTGAAGTTGTCATAAAGGCCTACTGGCAGCGATAAGGGCCTATATGCGCTCTTATCGCCAAGGTGGCCGCCCTGGTGAATCAGCCCCGCCCCAAGTTTTGGATCTTTCTGTATGACTGCATAATTGCTAACATCCTGATCATCGTTAGGACAGGCTCTACGAACACTTTTGGGCAGCAAGCGTATCGACGACTCTAATGGATGGATTATGGCTCGACAGTATCAATGTATGTAAACTCTTTCCATAAAATGTCGCTATATTTTGAGGACCAATATATTTCGTGTCTTATAGTTGAACTTTGATCTGCTCGATGTGAATGTAATCCCCTTACTGGTTGCAAACCCATGGACCAAATCCCATCTCTGTTTCCCCTGGAGACTGCCAGGACCAGTTATATGCCAGCGTGTGTATCTGGGTGAGTCCAGCGTCCTGCAACCGGGTTATTATTCACTCTGGACGACCCAATTCGTTTGTAAATTTCCAACAAACACATGGAATGAAACGGTAGGCCAGCTACCTGCAATCAAATTTCCTTCCTCATCAAAAACAACATTTCCTAGCTTCCTTCTTCAATTGGATAGCTATCACAATGGGCGACAATATCGATCGTTTGCGAGCCCTTCTAGGAGAAGGAGCCTGGGAAGCTCCTGCTTCTCCAGAAGAATCATCCCAGGACGGCACAGCAAAAGACCCAATAGACTATCTATCAACAGACCCAGAAGATGATGAGAAAATCCTCAGCATCTCGCGTGTACTTGGTGGCGAAATGGACCCCAAGAATATCATTGGCATGCTATTTCACATTCACTTGACTTCAAAAACTGTTCGATTCATTTCAAAGCTAACATTTATATCTCTTCTATAGTGCCAGAATCTGAGCCAGAGCTTCCTGCCTATGATTTGGAGACCGGAGAGCTTGCACCAGCTGGGCACAATTTTGTGCCGCTGAAAGCCCTGGAGAAGTACCACCACACGTATGTGGAAGGCGCCAATCGATATAAGGTATGGGCTCCCAGTGAAGTTCTAGCAGAATTAACTAGACGCTGATTTGTGCCTTGCAGGTGAATCGTAACTACTTTGACAAACAAAAGTTCTATACACACGAATGGGATTTGTAAGTTTTGACCCTGCGAGTCCCCGGAGAATGTTTGCTTTCTCTGAAACAATCCAACTACCACCCAGTTTTGTTTCAAAGCGGCACTTTTTATCTGGACTTCTCTATATCAACCACCTCAAACGTGTCACTAACTGTTAAAGTTTCTACATCTACCCACCACCAGAGTTGTCTCCCAACGCAAGTGTGTTGGTGCCACTCGCTCAAGTGGAGCACTTCATCTGGATCATAAACAGACACCTGAAAACCCACCTCGGCATACCAATCATGGAGAGAGACCCCGGATTTATCATCGACTGCCCCAACGATGGCACGCCCCGTCCAAGATACATTGGTCGTTCGAACGACTATGAAACAGCGGTCCTTACCAAAAAGGCCATCCCCTCCAAAGGGTACAGGCCACCAAACGAACCTGCTTCGAGCACCAAACCATCCGATGAATCCCTAGAGGCTTTCAAAGAGAGGATGGAGGAGATGCTCGAGATGGACAGGAAGAAGAAGCAAGCTCTCAAGACGAAGAAGCAAGCTGAGCGATATGCGAAACAGCAGGGATGGAACCATGTGACGAAGCGTGTGCAGCGTTATCTTGGCCTCAGAGAGAGGCAGACAGAGGTTGATGAATGGGGCATCAAAATTTCAGCTCCTAGCCCTGGAGATGGTCTGGCTAAAATCGAAGCTGATCTAGCTAAGCTCAACATCAAGACGCAGATTGATGTCACCAAACCCGCGCCCTTCGAGCAGGAATCATCGGTGGTTTTCATCTGTGTTGACATCGAAGCCTACGAGAAAAACCACAGACTCATCACAGAAATCGGAATCGCTACACTTGATACAGCGGATATTACGAACATCTCCCCCGAAGAGCGAGGGACAAGCTGGTTCTCAGCCATCCGCGCTCGCCACTTCAGAATAAAAGAGTATGGCCATCTGAACAACACAGAATATCTCCAAGGCTGCGCCGACATGTTCCGCTTTGGGTAAGTAGAAACCCCGCCCCTCGTCCAACACAACTTTAACATCCCACAGGACAAGTGAATGGATCAAAATCGCCGACGCCCCCAAATCCGTCGCCGACTGTTTCAAGCCCCCCTTCTCCAACCCCCTCTCCCTCTCCCCCATCGACCCCTCTGAAAAACGCAAAATCGTGCTCGTCGGCCATGACCTCCCCCAGGATATCGCCTTCCTCCGCCAACTCGGCTACGACCCTGGTAATCTCCCCAACCTCCTCGAATGCACCGACACCGCGCACATGTACCGTGCGTTCCGGCGGGAACCTAACAATAGCGGGCTGGGGAAGGTGTTAGCCGATCTCGATATCGCGGGGTGGGACCTCCATAATGCTGGGAATGACGCGGTATACACGCTGCAGGCCATGGTGGCCATTGCTGTCAAGGCGCTGGTTGAGAAACAGGACATCCGAGAGAGGGAGAAGGAGGTTATGGAGCAGAAGATCAAGGAGGCCATGGAGGCTGCGGCGGAGGTGGTGAGGGAGAATAAGGAGGGGTGGAGCTCGGGGGGCGAGGATAGTGATGGGGGCATTCCGGGGCCGCCGTTGGGGGAGGAGAAGACGACGCAGCAGCACCATGGACCGCCGGGGATGAATAGGAAGGAGAATTCTGGGCGTGGGGGGTCGAATTATGGGGCTGCGAGGGGGGCGAGGTCGTCGTGGAGGCGGGGGAGTGGGTCGAATCTGGCTCCGGTTCGTAAACCGGCGAGGGAGGGTAATGACGCAGCCCGATCTGGATGGTGGTAGTTGTGAAGGTTTTACGTTAGGGAGCAATCGTTGATTTTCAGCTATGGTAGCTCTTTCGACACTGTATCATATATGGCACCACGGGATGGACGGGGGCAGAACACAGCTGCTGAGCAGGTAGCACTATTCTAGACTGTAGAATGGACAATGCAACAGCCTGACATTATTTATTCCCACCAAAGTAAACCAATACACCTATAAGCTATCAACGCACACCATCCCCCCTTTTCATCCCACAAAACTCACAAATAAACACCCCACGCACACATCCACCTCCATACCCCATAATAAACCAATAACACCATAAAGCACAACCCCAAACCACCTAAACATCCACATCCCCCACCACCCCCAGCGCCACCCCACTCACCACAACAGCCGTCACCCAAACCCCCGCATACGCCACTGCCCCGCACGCTTCCACGCCCTCAATGCCCTTCACGAGCGCAAACGTATTCGCGCCCCCCAACGACGCCAGGATGGCCGTACGCCTCAGCACCTCTTTCATCCTCTCACTGTAACCGCAGACGTTATACCTAACATGCTCCCCAAGCCCCGAACTCACAGCATCGAACTCCGGTTTCGTGGTTGAGAGACTCGAGGTCGAGGGCGCGAGGATAAACGACCGTGCTGCGAGTCCGGAGACCAGGGTGAGAGGGAGGAGGGAGATGAAACTCGATGAGTGTGCGGCGGCGACGGAGGGGAGGTTGTTGAACTGTGTTGCGAGTGTGGTGGGGAGGAATGTGGCGTAGGAGATTGAGAGGACGAGGCTGTGTATGCAAGCCGCGAGGAGGGTGGTGAGGATTTTCGCGCCCCCGTCTATTTCCGGCGCCTCAGCGGTGGTGCGGCGCGTCTTAGGCGGCGGGATGAGCGCGATGGGGAGGGTGGTGGAGAGTATCGTGATCACAAGAGAAAGAATTGTCGGCGTCGCCCGGGTGTTATAAAAGTAGTGGAGCAGAAACAGTACCGGTCCCTGAGAAAACAGCGACAGGGCAGCGACTTCAGAAGCGCTGTACCCATTACACCAAGCTATACCGAGCTCAATCCTATATCAATCATCAGCACTACCATCCTACACGCTTCCAAGAAAGAGAAACTCACGACCTCCACCCCACCACCACACCAAGCTCCCCCCACCCCTCCGCCCTCCTTGCAACATGTCCTACCCCCCCATCCCCAAACTGCGTCGCGAGTTGATGTAAGACCGTCGAGATAGCCAACCCCATCGTCGCGAGAACAGGGAGCCGGATAGCAGGCGAGAGGGGCGCTCCGGCGCGCAATTCTTCTGCTGATATCGATGGGGCGATGGGGGTGGAGGATGTGCGTTTCGCGACTGTAGTGGACTTCGCAGCGCGAGGTGTAGATGCCGCGGTGGCCTTGGTGGCTGCAGCTGCGGCTGTGGCAGCTTGGTCGCCTTTGCGGGTTCGCATTTTGCTTGGTGGTTTTCGGAAACGATTTGCGAGAGTGAGGAATTGGAGTGTCAAGATGGTTTTCTTTGACACTGGAGTTTCTTTGTGTCGTGTGCCTTGCGCCCGTTGTTGGAGGAGGTTGGTAGTGGGGATTGGATGGAGGGGAGCGTGGGTTGCGGCTGCGGCTGGGGGAGTGTAAATAAACGAGGTGACGTCGTCGCGGCGGGTATAATGCGGGAGTCCCTCCGACAACTGCTAGGGCGCGGGGGGTAGTAACGACGTAATTGACAGGAACTTTTTTAAAAAAAATCTGGGCAAGCAAACAAAAAAAATACTGGAGCATGCGACGATCAGGTGTGTTTGACGTGTCGATCTGAGGATTTTTTTTGATCTAACGTCGGTTTGACGCGTCTTTGGGATTTTGGGATTTACTACTGTAGGTTTGAAGGTTTGTGCATTTTGGGGGTTCGATTTAGTTACGTGACTTGATGTGCGACACGGATTTGTGTATGCATCTTGTGTGACTATGGGGATGGGACGCTGGAATCAGACTAATATGCAGCTGGTGGCAGAAGCAGTAGCACGCAAACAAATCAGGGCCCTCTCGTCCCTCGAAACGTGGTGTTAACGCGCTCGTAAGACGTGAGAATGAGTCATTGGTCATGTTATGAATATCTCGATTGCTTCCTACATAATCGTTTATAGATGTCCCCCAAGGGATCTAGCAGCGTGCGTCGCCGCCCCCTCAACAAGAAGCCCCTTCAATCCTGCCCTCTCCCGCGGCTCGCGAGTCTCCCACTTCAACCGATGGTTAATGATAAGGGTTTCCATATCCGGTACTGAGAGAATTTTTCGCCCGCGAGCGCGCTGCGGCAAAAAAAAGGGTGTGTGGTTAAGACGCAATAAGGAAATCAGTTTGATTCACAAGTCCCTGGCGCCCCGCTATAACACAATAGTTCTCCGCACCCCCCTCTCTATTCCTCCATGCGGCCGAATACGCCGTCGTCGTCTTCGTCGCTGCGGCCGCGAGAGCGCGAGTCGTAGTCGTCGTCGTCTGCGACGCTCTCCTCGCTCTCCTCCATCTTGACGTCGCCGTCGTGCTGTTCACGTCCGCGGATGTAGCTCGTCGGCGCTGAGCCCTGGTGGTTGGGCGTCAGAGTCGTGCCGGAGAAGCCTTGGGCGAGGTATCTCGCTGGAAGCGGAGGTACGGGCGGTACATCTGGTGGGAGGGTGACGGGCCCGGTTCTGGGCGTGCCGAACGAGCAGCTGAGAAGCTCGACGGCCGCTGCTAGGCCAGCTTCGTCTTCTAGGCCACCAGCGCTGATCCCAGATGATAGTGGGCGGCCACTCTGGCTCTGTTGGCCGAATGAGCCGAACGCGGATCCGTTCGACATACTTCCTACGTGGAGCCCGTTTGATGGCGCGGATTGGTAAGACCGGGAGAAGTTGTTTCCGCTGCTGTATCGCTTTCTGTGGCCCGCGAACGAGCTGCCAGTGTACGACTGGCCGTATGTTGCCTCGGTCTGAGGCGGAGGTGTGGTGTCGGTAGAGCTCAGGCCGTCGCGCGGGTCGGAGGACCCTGATGCGGCTGGCGACGCAGAGTCTTGATCGGAGTTGAAATCCTTCGCGGATGGTGGTGGTGTTGGCCCGTCTTGGTTCATGGCGACTAGAACCGATGCTGCTTCGAGCAGTTGGACCTGCTGGTGCTTTGAAATCAATAGTTTCGAGGTGTACGACCATTCTGGTGTGTGTTCCCATCTGCAGCAAAAAGTCATGTCAGCAACAATTGATGGCTCGTCAACAATTTCAGGGAGCGAGAAGGGACCCGCAGCAGATTCCTGCTGCGGTGAGAGATCAAGGGCGGGAGTAGGACGGAGGGCACGAACAAATGTTTTGTTAGACAACTGCTGTGCTTGTATCCCTTCCCGCACTTATCACATCTCAAGTCGTTCTTCTTTCCGTCGCTCTTGACCGAGGATTGACCCTCGCTAGCGCGCCTCATGCGCGCCTTGTTGAAGCTATCACCCTCGTCGTCCATCTCGTCGTTCTGCTCGTCATCGATCGCGCTCTCATCGCGCTCAGCCTTGCGACCCGCCATGAGCGATAGCCGATGTCCGGGGAGACTGCTCGGCGGCGTCGCGAGGCCAGCAAACTTGGAGCCGCCAGGCCGCGACGTTGTGTGCCTTCTTGATGACGCGGTCGGCATAGGCGCCGACAATGTGGCTTCTCCCATCTCGCGGACTGCCGCGGCCACGGCGGCCGCATTGGCAGAGCCGCTCTTCCTTCGTGTGACGCGGTGTGTAGGAACCAGCGAGCCGGCGGATATGGAGTGTGAGTGGTGGCGTGGGTGACTGCTTCGCGCGGGTAAGCTGGAGCCCAGGGCGGAAGACATCGAGAGTCGGTGTTGGCCGAGAGGCCGAGCTGGGTGTTGTATGTCCTGTAGAGTAGCCATTGATCAGTATGGGCGGATTGCAAGGTGAAGTGCGGTACGGTGCGGTAGAATTGGTGACAAATTGGAGTGGGAGATCAGGGAAAGCTGGCGTGCATACCTTGGAGGAAGCCATGGCGGCAGTGGTTTATATGGACGGAAAGTGGCGGGTAATAATTTCAAGTCGATTGAATCATAGACCGGCCCTCAATCCTCGAAGCCGATTAGGTAGCGACAATATGAGGGTAGGGCAAACAAAATAGTCCGTTAGAGAAGCAATAAAAAAAGTTGTAGAATAATTGAAGCTCAGCTCCCTTTGTGCTTTGTGTGGTGGAGGTGGTGAGTGGTAAGTGGTGGTGGTTGGTGGTGGTTTCGTATGGTGGCAGGTGAGTGGTGGGCAGGTGAGAGGGTGAGTTGGATGTATTGGATGTATATGCGATGGGTGTGTGAGTAGGCGGTAGGTGGTAGATGGTAAGGGTGGGTGGTGGTAGGTAGGTGTGGATGGATGGCTGATGGATGGTGGAGGTGGATTAGAGAGGTGGGGAGGGATTGTGGACGGATGGAGATGGATTGTGGATGGCTGATTATTGGGCGCAGGCAGGGCTGTGGGCTATGGTGGGCTGTAAGTATTGGATAGCAGTGAACACAGTACGGGGATACAAGAGTACAGCGGGGTACAAGAAGGGAGTGGTAAGGAATTGGTTATCTGTACTATCTGTACTATCTGTACAGCCCCAGGTTTGGCCAGATTTGCCCAGATTTGGCTGTAATATGGCCGAGAGTGGTGTCAAATGGCCCAAATAGCCCCAAAAGGCCCAGATTGTGTGTGTGTGGCTCATTAGTAACCCCCCTGTTAGTCCTGCTAGCCTGCTATCCTCGTTGATTGATCCAGCACCTTCCAGCGCGCAACTCACGCAACCACAGGGTGAAATACGCGCCGTAAGCCCACGGTCCAGGGTTTGTAAGAGTAGCCGAAGTCCCCAAGTATTCCAAGTACCGAGGTTCACTAATGCCGCAATCCGCGCTCTGAATGGCCCATCTTGCCCTTAGAGGGTATTGAAGGGGATCTAAGCGAGCCGCAAGAGGCAAGACCACGTCCGTATCTACTCTAGGGTATTCTCTAAATGCGGGTGATACATGGCGATACCTGGTTTACGCGACAGATTGTGTCTGGAGTTGTGTGTGTGCCCAGGCCGAGGCGACGGCGGAGGATCTGGGTGGATAGATGAGAGGCGAAGAGAGGGCGATGAAGGCCGATGGTGGGCGAAGATGCGAGATATGCGATCTCACTCATGGCCCGTGTACACTGTTGTATCGTATATCGTATACTATTTCCGCCTATTTCCACTATTGTAGTCAGATAATAGTCAGATAAATAGTCAGATAAATAGTCAGATTCGGAACTAGAGGCTGTGTAAAGTGGATGCCCCGGTGCAACAAGACGTAGTAGGTAGGCGTAGGCGTAGTACCGTTAACCATCAAAAAATATTTATTATTTGTCGGATTGCGGGGAAGTTAAGAGTGATCGGTCATGTGGAATTTATTTATCTCGACTACAGCTACTACAGTACCTACCCAATAGATATAGTATATAGTGATTTCATCATCCTACATATCGTCGCAGCAATGTTTCAAGAGAACGACGCTCAATTGACCGAATGGGAGCCACAGAAACGACAAGTGAGTGCATACCACACCCAGGGCATTCTAATTGAGGGTAAATTGTGTCCTTGCTTGCCGTCGCACACATGCTCTGTCCACATGTACTGCACGACGCCGTATGGAGGTTATGTACGTATATTCCGTATGTAGGTACAACACGCGCACTTGGAAAAGGGCAGGGACGGCTAAGGGAAAGGGAAGGGGGAGGGGACGGACGGGGAAGGAGCGAGGGGTGAGTGAGGGGGAGAGAGGGCCGAGAGGGTAGATCGGGGAAGGGGGAAACGGGCTCTAGGCTCAAGGCTGGAGGCACCAAGGCGTACTTTTCGGATGGAGACTCGACTCTAGACTCTTTGCACGCACACACGCCCTCTCCAATTCCCCGAGTGAAATTGGATAGTATTCCTTATTCCTCACTCCTACATACACGTACAACTCTACAATTCCAATAGCCAACTCCTTTCTCATTCTAGTCACACCCCCAAAAAAAAGCAAGGAAGCTTAGTTGCACGCCACCCCATCCGATATCATGCTGTCGTCCACGCCCCTTCTCACACACACAGCCCCCTACCCTCCATGACTATATTACTACAGCTACTCCCTCCCATACAGACATACACACTCCCTCCTCCAGTATTCCCACCTACTACACCCACCCCTCCTCCCATCAACATCACACGATCCCCACACTCCCTCCACATAAGACACAAAATAAATGCCCATGATCCCTCCCTCCCCTCCCCCTTCGGCTTAGTGCGCACGTAATGGGGGAGCGGGGAAGCTGGGCTGGGACCTGGGCGATGGGGTGGTGGTGGTGGTGGTCCAATGATGCATGCGCGATCCTGTGACCGAGACCGAGATGGATACCCTCCGCTTGTTACTCTTCAGCCGTTTGTTGGTGCCTGGGTTTATAGGCAGCAACTGATTTACTCTGTACGTGTATAGATAGGTAGAGGTTGTATACCATGTCTCGCCGATTCCCGAGCCCGAGATATGGTCAACCCATCCCCGTGACATCGAGAATCGGTCATGTGTACAGAGCCACCATCTCGTAAGCTAACAAACGACGCGTCGTCGGTCGAAGGTGGCAAAAAAAGATTAAAAAAAGAGACACCGTGTCTATGACACTGTCTATGAACACAATCCCCACATCCAACCGCGAGGAAACCACGCTGTACGGAGTATAGAAAAGTACCACCGTTGCGTGGGCCTCACCGAAGAGCCCACTGAGGCATTAAAGCACGTGCAAGCCGCCTCGATGACACGATCGGCGATGACAATTCCACCTCAGTAACTAAATCATGACTCCTCTGCTCCACACCCGTCAATTGCCTATCTCCATATCCATCTCCAAAATAAAATATCCCGACAACGGACTCCAATATCCAGATACTATCCCTCCCATCCCGCAGTCGGCGTCCATACTCCGCCTTCGCACCAAACCCGTCGATAACGCCTGCCTACACCTCTTACCCCAATCCGTGAGCCAATCAACTGATACACTGGCGATAAGATAACGACCTCCCTCCCATCTAATCTAGCCCCTCCCTTCTGTACTCTAGACCCTCACCATAGAACCTCACCTCCTCACCTCATCTCATAACCCTTTAAAACACGATCCCTATACCCTCCCCATGGCCACGGCGCCAAAAACCATCGGTCGCGGCGGCGCGGGGAATTTCAGATCTCCCACCGATCAAAGGCCCGCTGAGACGCCTGATACACCTGATACGCGCACCGTCAACCCGCAGCTCTCATCTCTACGCAGTGGGCGCGGCGGCGCGGGGAATACCAATCCCTCCTCCTCCTCCTCCTCTACCCCCTCCACCGGACCCAGCGCGGGTAAATCGCCAGCGGCGCGGCTAGATGCTGTGATAGTAGGAGAAGCACCTAAATCGGCCGCGAAGGAGGTGGTGTATGGAGGGCGGGGAGGGGCGGGGAATTGGAAGGTTGGGAGGGAGGAGGAGGAGGAGAGGAGGAGGGTGGAGGAGGAGGGGAGGAAGAGGGAGGTGGAGGAGATGGTGAGGAGGGAGGTGGAGGGGGGGTTGGTTATGCCGGGACGGGTGTATAGGGGGGTGGGGAGGGGGGAGGAGGAGGAAGAGGAGGGGTGACGAGGTGAAGGATGGGAAGGGGGGAGGTGGAGGAGGAGGAGCTGTGAGTAGGTGATGGGGGAGAGGGAGGAGGAGGATTGATACCCGTGGGATGAGAATGGATTTATGAGGGAAGAAATGTGTATAACAGACCAAAGCAAGGATCTGGTGTCGATTGGGTTGTCTATTGGGAGTATAAAATATTCTTGATGATTATTTAATCCTTCTAATAAATCACTTACCCCAAATGGAGCTACAGAAAGAGATTATATTATCTCCAATGCAGATATCATAGGTGAACTGTTCGTAGTCCGTCTCCCTGCCATTGAGCCTCACGAATACCGCTAGAAGCATGAAGCGTCAAAAACATGCATTAAATGCAGGTTTCTCCAATCCAGCCACCCCAGAAAAAGTTTTGCTTCAAAGAAGGTGTATTTGCGTATATCTTAACGTCAAATTCCCACCGACATCTCTTAACACAACCACAACGCCATTTTATATAGACCGAACGCCCATCACATTCCCAGCCCAAACTGACAACCCCCCATCCACACCACCCTAATCCAAATCCATTCCATTCTCCTCCTCCTCCCCGCCTCCAACCAACTGCTTCCTCCTCGTCTGCATCTTCCCAAACACCTTCGCCCTGGGCGCCACCACCTCCTCCTCGACCTCCTCTCCCGCCGCCTCGAGCGCCAGTCTCTCGCTCCCCCTCATCTTGGGCAACAAGTGCGAGTTCTCCGCAACCAACTTGCGATCCGCAGCCTTGGCCCTCTCCTTGTTGCCCTCCATGCGCTTCTTGTAGAAGACGCGCTCGCGCTTCTGCCTGATCTCGGCGACGCGCGACATGGCCTTGAGCGTCGTGGCGACGAGGTCGCGGTTGTAGCGCACGGGGACGTTGCGGCGGGCCGCGAAGGTGAGGGTGCTATCCACGACCATTTCTTTGCCGGCGGATTTGCGGAAGGCTTTGGTCCACTTGAGTTTGCGGGGGTTACGCTTCATTTTGAACTGGGCAGGGGGTTAGTCGGTGAGGTGATGGAGGGGCGGAGGGGGAGGAAGACGTACGTTCTTGTGGCACTTGCTGCGACAGAATCGGAAGAGTCGTGCATCGTTGCGGACGAAGGTGATGCCTTTGCTGGGGTAGCAAGGTTGCGAGCAGAAATAGCACGTCTCGATTCTTCACACAATAATCCGTTAGTCCTCATCTTCTCAATCGCATTGCAAAATTCTAGGAATTGCAACATACCTCATCTTGGCGGTTGTGCGGAGTGATGTTGTTGGGCAAGGTAATCGACTCTTGCAACTGCTCGCCTGCTTCTTCTTCCTAAACTTTCTTGCCAAAATTTGACGTTGGCGCGGGTAGCGATAGTGCGATAAAGGCAGGGATGTGCTGCCCGGGCCGACTGTGGCGCCGAGGTTCGCAAAATTGTAGATTGGCGCGGGCTTCCGATTATTTGCCGCCCCGAACGAGAAAGCAACTCAACGCTCAGGACTCTACGATTCATTACTACGGGCAAAAGGCAGCAGCAGTGATTAAATTGGAAGAGCAGTGAAGGAATCGCATATTATATAACCATGGCTTCTGTTGTCGCAATCGGCGTCGGTGTCGCAGCCGCGGCCTTCCTGGTAAGCAAGCACAACACATCGGACCAAACCATCAGGGGACAGGAAAACTAACACCCATCCTCCCAGGGACGAGCCGGACTCGTAGCGATGCGCAAATACCGCGGGGGCGCCGGAGCCGTCGGAGCGCTGGGGAAGGCATACTATAAAGGCGGTTTCGAGCCAAAGATGAACCGCAAGGAGGCGTCGCTGATTTTGCAGCTGAGGTGAGTTAGCCCCTTCCTTCTCCCGACCGCTGTGTCATGTGTGTGTGGGGATTCTAATGGTTAAATAGCGAGCGCACCCTTACGAAGGAGAGGATCAGGAAGAACCACCGCACGCTTATGATGTTGAATCATCCCGATCGGGGGGGGAGCCCGTACCTGGCTACGAAGGTTAATGAGGCGAAGGAGTTTTTGGAGAAGACATCGTGAGCGCCAGGGTGGAGGATGGCTTGTACTACTATATTGAAGCATCAGCGAGGCGTTTTTTTGTTGTTACAGAATTGTATTGTATTGTACGATTTTTGGGAGCCGTCGGGCTAGATGGATGTATAAAAACTCTCCTCATATATCATGATACTATCAATGTAAAGAGTATTCCGACGTTGAACACAAGACAGGAGTGGCATCATGTGTAAGATATTTAGGGATCATGTTATTAATGGTATAGCATTGCTAGGTATATGTTATTACATACATATAGTTGTGTGTCCAAAACGGATTATTCCAGGAAAACACAAGGCCTCCTTCGCAATCCACCCATAATGAGAGGAGTTAGTTATTTCAATCCCGTACATACATGCCCCGACCCCCCTTCCCTGGGTCAGTCGACCACCATTTTTTAAGCGTAAAAATACAATAAATTATACAAGTATTGCCATGCCATATAGAGGGGAGAATGCTGCAAATGCAAGCACCAATCCTTCATGAGTAGGAAACAAAGGCAAAATCCAGAACCATGCATGCCACCAGAAACGACGAAGGAGATATTACAAGCAGATATATGCTGTCGATTACAAACCCATCTCGTACATCACGCATACCCTATCCAAAGCGTATGCAGCCGCGATATAGATGATGGGGTTTAGGCCTTAGACGCACCGCCTCTGCGCTTGGGGTTGTTCTGGCCGGGTCTCTTCTTGGACGAAGGCTTCTTCTGCTCCTTGCCCTCGATGAACTTCAACAGCTCATCGATGCTGCGAGAATCCATGCCCATCGCGTTGCGAGGATCTCTGCCCGACGACGCCTCGGCAGTCTGGCCGACCGGCGGCTGCGCCTGTGTCTGGCCGAGCGACATGCCGGGGGACATCTTGATGCCAGCGCGAACGCGGCGGGCCTGAACATCCTTCGCGTGCTTGGCGATGGAAACAGCGTTCTGGGTGAGCTGCTCGAGCCAGCTCTCCGCCTCCTTGGTGTTCTTGTCCTCGGCGCCGAGCTCGGTCAGGAAGATGTTATAGGACTCGCGCATGCGGTTCACGGAGGCCTTGGAGTCCTGGTCGAGGGCGAGGGCCTGGGCGAGCTGGAAGAGCAGCGTGCCGGCGTTGATGGATTGCTTGCCGAAGACGCTCTCGCAGATATCGAGGGAGGCTTCGAACCAGAGGCGCGACTCGTGGTAGAGCTTGAGGTGCTGGAGCATGACGGCGGCGTTGTTGGTGGTGGTGATGGAGTCGGGGTGGTTTTGGCCGTAGATGATCTTCCAGAGCTGGAGGGCGTGCTTGATGTATGTCAATGCGAGCTTGGTCTCGCCGTTGGCGTGGCTGAAGAGACCGAGGTTGAGGTAGCTGAGGAGGGTCTCGGCGGAGTCGACACCGAGGGTTCTCTCTGACACGATGACGGCCTTGCGGGCGAGTTCGACGGCGGCGTCTTTCTCTTCGAGCTGGTAGTAGAGCATGGACAGGGTGTTGTACACGCGTGCTACTTCAGGGTGCATGATGCCGTAGATCTGCTCGTGCAGGGAGAGAGACTCCAACAGGAGTTCCTGTCCGAGCTTCTTCTGGCCCTGCAGGATGGAAATGCGGCCAGCCTCGAGGGCCTCCTCGGCAAGAGCGCTCTTGGGCGAGGCCTCCTTGATGATTGGAACCACGTTCAGGACATCATCAGCGGAGAAGGTCATCGGTGGACCTGCTGGAACTGCCTTAGGTCCCGAAGGAGAATCAGAGCGGGCCTTCTTCTTCTTCTTGCTTGAAGTGGTGGTGGCCGTGCCGTTGGTGTTCTCCTTGAGCGCATCGGCAACCTTTGCGGGCTTGGCATTTGCGGCTGCCTCCTTGGTGAAGAAGTAGTCCTTGGAGACGAGTTGGAAACCCATCTTCAGGGACACCTCACGGAGCATCTGGACAGGCTTGATGGCGGCAGACCAGTTCTCCTCAAGAGTGTACTTGTATCTCTTGAGGGTCTGAGCCTCGATCTCCTTTCTTAATGACTCAGGGGTGACATCCTTGAACGAAAGATCCGTATCAGCGTAGAGAGCCTTCAACGACTCGTCAACAAGGGCAACTGGGCTCTCGTTGAAGCCAGTGCCTAAGAGGCAGTTGAGAAGGTGAGCGATGCAAGCGCTGGTGAAAGGAATTGGCAAGTAGCGGAGGTAGTTTCCTGCGATGTGCTTGAAAGATCTGGAGATCATCTCCTGGATGGAGAGAATCTTCAGTGCCTCAAGACGTCTGCCCTCGGCCTGGCCAGCAAGCACTCCAAGGTATCTGATGTTGATACCGCGCTTGTGGAGGAGACGGCTGAGCGACTCGCCATCCATAGGGAAGCCAACATCGCCCTCCTTCAGGTCACGGACAAGCTCAGGAAGAACGGTGTCGCGCAGGAACTTGCCGGCTGCTCTGACCTCCTCCTCGTCCTTGGCCCATTCGGCGATTTCCTCCTCGGTCTGGGGCTCCTGGCCGCTGAACACATCAGGGTTAAGGGAGAATGAGAAGTCGGTAATGTCGATTCTGTCCTTGTCAGAGTCGACAGGCTTGGCAGCCTTCTCGCTGGATTCGGCATCAGCCTCGCCCTCAGTGACAGCCTTCGTCGCATCCTCCTCTGCCTTGGCGGCCTGTCGCCTCTCCTCCAAGCGCTCGTTAACCCATGCCCTCATCTTAATCTTCCAGTATGCCTCCACTAATTCTGGGCGAAGGACGGTCATTCTGTGAGGGTAAGTGGCCTCGCCAGCTCCACCGTTCTGCTCTGGGCTGCTAATCGCAGTTCCGTTCTCCTCCATCCACTCAATATCCAAAGGTGTCACACGGTACAAATCAAGGACGTATTTCCTTCCATCGGTGCCCAACAGACCCTTGGTCTCAACACTGCCTTCGAGCTCATGTCTCTTGCCAGCCTTATCCCACACAGCGTGCTTCTTGACCTTCAAGGCCTTGGACAGCTTCTCGAAAACGGGAACGAACTTCTCATCAGCAGCAATAACCTCCTTGCCGTCAACTGCACCGTAGTCGATCTGGTTCTCTCCAGGGTCGCGCTGCTTGAAGATACCGGGAACAATGCTCTGGCCAACAAGGCGCTTGCCGAGGTAATCAATGACGACGGTACCTGGGGTGAAAAGGCCATCGATATCGAGCTGGTTGACCATACGGACACCCATAACATCCTTGCCAGTTGCAACTCTTGCTGCCTCATCACCGCCCTCAGATGCGAAAGTGCCGACACCGTCAGCACCGAAGGAGAAGAAGACGTTGTTGTAAACGAAGATCTGTGCGTCTCTGCTCTCAGTTGGGTTCAGGGGCGCGACCTCGCCTCTGGCGACCAATACGGCGCCACGAGCAGCTGCGTCGTTGTAGTCGGCAAAGAGCTTCGAGGTAAGGCGTTCGCGGAAGACTCTGTCCTGAGCGGTCTCCTTTGGCAGCTCTCTCGTGGATTGGAACTCTTCGTTCCAGTCCCTAAGAGTCTCGGTGTTCTCAATGCCCGAAATCAAGTAGCTCTCCTGAGAGCGGGTGAGATCAGACTGGTGGGTAGTGAGTGGCGAAGACTCCGAAGGCACGATCCAGGGGCTTGCTGGGGTAGAGTTGGTGATCTGGAAGTTCGTAAGAGGCTCTTTTTGGTTGTTGTATTCTTGCAGCTTCTCGAATGCGGGCTCGAAGGCGGGAGACAGGTCCGAGATCAGCGCCAAAAGCGAATGCGCGGCATGCGCCTTTGGTGCTGTTCGTGGAGTGGGGTCGAACCTGGCATTTGTCGACTTGTTGACGTAGAAGCCAGAGACGTGGGAGGTGATCTGGTATTGCTCACCCTCCAAAGTAGTCGCTTGGAGGTATAACAGGTGTCCCTTTTGGCGAAGGTGGTATGGTGGGGGGTTCCAGGGCGATAGGCCAACCATTTTGATTGTCTTAGGATGAGACTCCTGAGTAGTTGGGAGCAAAGTTGATAATGTTCCAGCCGCTTGGAAGTCGTAATCTGCCAAGGGGTGAGCAGCACCGTTTGGTTGAGCTGCCGCTGCCTCGCCAGAGGCTGGTGCCTCTGACTCCGTAACGGAATCGTAAAGAGACAGGCCTGATAGGATACCTTGTAGGGTATCTGTTCGGTCACCAGCCGCGCCAATAAGTTCGCGGACACGGATAACATGTATGCGCGCTTCCTTCTCGGTATATGGGTCCTCCACAAGCTTCAATTCCGACTCGGGTACGAGGTCCTTCACATCGGAAAGTTGGATGAAATCGTTGATTCGTTCTCCGTTGTGCTCCAAATGGAAGCAAGAATATTGGAACGTATCTGGCAGCTCAATAACAGATTGTCGGACATCGTGGACTTGCTCTTGTGATGACACCTTAAATTTCGTCAGTTCGTCCCGCTATGACATTCCCAGGGGCTATTACCATAAGTTGCATCTTGTGTGGCTTGTGGGGTAGGTTGACTGTCAGGGAGAAGATAGCTGCCCATTGCATCAGTTAAATGTTTTCGTTCCAAGCAGGAGATGCCAGTTTCTAGCAAGCTCCTTTAGAGGGTCATACTCTCAGCACCCTGATCTAACTCTTCCTCTCCCTCCTGGGCTTCGCCGTTGGCTGTCGTATGACTCTCGGTGACGGCATTTTCTGGCTCTGCAACTGCCTCTTGAGCGAGGGCTATGAGGTAGATGTTAGCAGTTGTTTATGTCCGACAATCTGGGGGTGGCGATGGGCAGAGGTAGCTCGGGTTTCTGGGGTCAATGGTTCGGGGATCACGCACCAGGAGACTGTCCCTTTATGTCATTAGATTCAGCCATGGTTGACCAGAGACAGAACAGTGCAGTTCAAATAGGACGGCAATAAATCAATTGCCAGGCAAATCGTACAAGAATTGAAAAATATAATGCGTATAATACAGCAAAAGAAAATGGTTTTGGGAAGCTGGTAAATACTGTGTCGAATCCACTGACATGGAACCTCAGAGTAAAAAAAATGTTGCCGTTTGTTTCCGTTCCGGCGGCACTTGCGGGCGGGCCATCGGCTCAAACCCGCACGTTCGGGGTATGACTGTCCCCCTGCAACACAAGGCCGCAGCCTCGTCTGTTTTGAGGCTCCATGTAAACAATGGTCATCGATAATCCCCATGTTTTCCCAACCCAATATGAGTCTCTAGCATCAATGCATTACAATTTTGCTAGTTTTGGATAATATATGGCATGCTTTGAATAGCGCTTTATATATATCTTCTCATTAATCCAGCTTTCTTTACAATTTCAGTGGGTAAGTTCAATCTCAATGGCTTGTTGACATGACGACACTGACTGGGAATAGGAGAGGGGAACATAGTTTCAAGCCATGACAGGCAATTCTTACAGCTTTACACCGGTGCGGCGGCGAAAGGCGGAGTTCGAAGAGATTGATCCAGATGCAGATTCCAAGCATTGGACTGCCGCGCGCTGCAATCGCCTTCTCCGGTCCCTACAATCCCGAATAGAGCTATTGAAGAAAGACGCCGCACAATTTATACCCGCAGCTCAATCGGCAGAGGCTACAAATAGCACTATCGCAACTGATAACTGGGGAAAACGCGCCATTCACAGCGACAGTCGAGGCGATGATGGCGCAAAGCCGAAGAAGAGAGTCCGAGTAACCTATGGAGGAAGGGCTCGCCAAAAGGATGAAGCAGGACGAAGCGCTTCCGGCCAAGGGTCGAAATCAGCGCCCCTTAAGCGTGGCATGCCCGCAATAACAAGACCTCCAGGAGAGATCTCGGTGGAAACACCGATACTCACTCGAATCCGGCCTGACGATAGCATGATACGTGCGTCAGCAGTTAAAGTGTATGGACTGGGCGGCCCAGCCAGGAAAGAGGGGGCCAAAGGCCGGAATACTCGCTTTGCATCGTCAGTTCCTGGGATATCCAATTTTCGATCGAGTACTTCTCTGAAGCAATTACAATCGGCAATGAGTCCTAAGACATATACTTTATATATTGGGATTTACAACGCATTGGAATCCCTATTACGAACCACAGAACAATCTTATGTGCAGGCACCTGAACGCTCAAATTCGCTTTTTTCTTTATGTCTCCGAAATGTACACCAACGTATTCAGCTTGAAGAGGACTGGGAGGCGATAGATTCAAAGACAGCAGGGCTCAAATCCTCGCTGAAACGAGATATCTCTGGAGAGATATACGCCCAGCTGGAGGATATTGGAACTTCAGAGCATGGCTGGAAACATTTGCGCACTATTGTGAGGGAACATGGCGTGCATCTTGTTGCTGGTGCAATTTCGAGTGGCTTGGTTAACCAGGTATTCGGGGAAGCTTTGGTCATGCTGTGCTCGCAGATGGGCTCATATCGAGAGGCAGAAGTGTTACTGGATGCCTTATTGCTCACGATGCCAGACAGCGAGCCAGCGACTCCGTATAGTCGAATTGCAGATATCCAGGAGCTCGCACCGTTATTGGCACTGGAAAAATATGTTACTCATACTGGCCGAATGCCGGAATACTTCCGAATGATGAAGGACATATTTGGAGGTGGAATCGTCGCAATTCAGTGGCTTGCGACCAAGGAGCTTTGTGGCTTGTGGACAAGAGTCTTCCGTGCTATTTCAGCGGAGCCTGCTTGCCAGAATGCGACTGAGTTCCTCCAAGAAATCCTTCCGCTAATGCTAAATGCATCGGCCGGGCAATCGAAGAGGGACGCTGCCCCATTCAACAACAGAGTATCGGTGGCAATAGGCACTACATTCTCAAGCGTCCTGGCAACTCTTTCTGCAGTTGTGATCCTGGATGAAGCTTCAAACGAGTCAGACGAAAATTCAATTACTGAGCGTGGGAGCAATGTTATCAATATCCTTCGGCATCTTCACATAGAATATTCGATACCATCGACTGAACTCAGGGGTCAGGTTAGTCTAGTATTCCTAGCGAATCTTTTTGCAACGCCCCTCAGGGATGCTGGAGAGGAGCGCTCCGAACAGCTTATTCGACTATTACAACAAGCCTGTCAGGGCTCCCGCGGCTCCATCGACCCAGAGATAGCAGAGTTTATGTGCTCGGTAGCGCGGTGCTGTGGCAGAGGTCTATCAGGCACCGGTTTGGAGCATTTCAAGCGCTTCTCTCTACTCGTCGAGGCGTGCACATCGACTGGTGGCGACAAAAAACGGCATCTGCTACAGAATATTATAGTATCCAGTGCATACGTATTCTCTCAACAGGTCCCCATCGCAGCACACTTGGACTACGCAGACGATATTCGAGCCAAATTCCAGATCCATCCTGAGTTGGGACAAGGGAAGTCACCTGGCAAGCCCACAGCCGCCTTTCGGTGGGAGGAGGGGATCAGTGAGTGGGTGGCGGCGACGCCAGCGATTAAACAGAGCAGACATGCTGTCGACCCGACCCAATGGGAAGACTCCGAGGTTGAGTCACCTGTGTCATTTCGAAAGGTTCAGAAGCTTCAGGCTCCTTCTTTCCCAAACAGGAGAGAGAATGCCCTTGGTCAACGAATGGCGGCCCGGGTTTCTGACTTGATCCCTTCCAGTCCTAGCACCTACGGGAGCGATGGCATGGGGTATGACGAGAGAGACACGACATTCTCCGACATGTCCCCTCCCCCGAGGATAGCATCTGTCTTTACTAGAAAAAGCATGGCGCTTCGCAAGCCAAAGACGAGCAAAAAACTGGGGAATGTTGGAGCTGGGTCTGCTCATCACGGCCGCGGCTGGAGCGTCTACGGGGAGGCCAATGCCAACAATGCCACCAATGCGAGGGGGGATACAGATGAAGAGGATGAGCTTAGCGTGTCCTACATCCTACCTGACGAGAAAATATCTGTCATGACGGAGGTTCAAAGCAATAGCAGGCTCAGTGTTGGTAGCCACGGCCGTCGTTCGGGTATCATGAGCAATGCTAAGGCATCTCGGCAGATGACTGAAGACGACGATTTCAGTAGCGACGAACTTAGCTTTTGAGGTTTTCCTAGTCGAGGATCAAAAGCATTGGCAGAGAGTAAAGGGCACGGGACAATATCCAATTAGTGGTCTAGACCATCATAAAATATCTTGGATGTACTGTTTTAGAGTAGAGTACACGAACAGTACAGCATAGTACTGTACTAGTGCAAAGTATATAGTCATATTTTTTCTTCACGCTTCACTCGGATCAAAGGCATTTTGCATACGACACAATTACGAAAATACCTGTCGCACTCAATGTATCTCTGGTCGTCTCGTGTGGGCCACTGGTGGACCGCGCTAATCCGAGTGACTAAACCTAACAAAGGATGGCGTCTCCGTCGTGGCGGGCGGTTGGGTTTCATGACATCGACCAGGGACGCGAGGAAGTGGCTGTTGATGCGCCGCCAGCGTGGACCGGGCTCGCTTGGCGGGGAACAGGCTGGACCAATCGTTGACGCCGCTGCGGGGGTGGAGGAGACGACGGAGGATGCAAGGTACCTGGAGATCAACCGGCGCCAATCACTCAGAGCGTGTATCGAAGGGGTATTTGCATGTACTTGAGGATTAGGAGAGACACATGAAATGTAGAGGCGAGTACTGGGGAGTATTTTGTGCTCGGTAACGTGACTTGATGTCTGCTTTACTGACGCTCATCGCGGTATCAGATTCTGTTGCAGACTTCAATCTTGTACACGCAATATGTACTATATATATTAAGGAACGCGACGGCGTGGTGGAGGCAGAGGCGTCGGGGGGCGTAGATTAGATTACGACAGGGTTTCAATGGCGCTGGCGGGGTGTTTGTTAGAGCACGAGCACACCAGCACACGCACGCACGTACTCGTCACTTCGTGTATCAGGATGGCCGGACTCGATAATCTACTCGGTGTCGACACGAAACATTAAGAGGGCGTGCGACATCTCTGTCCACTCGATCATGGATATCTCGGCGACGCTTGGATCACGCTTGAATCAGTGGAGTTAGAGGGTATGGGAATGTGAATGTGAATGGTGATGGGGAATAGGATGCTGTAAATGGGTAGAAGTAGATAGGGATGGGCATACGTAGTACTCGTCATATCTGCGTTTGATATCCAGAGAGTACTTCATGGGAATTGACGGTACATGATGTTGGCCACTTTGCCGTCTCCATTCAGGAACCGCCGAAAATTAGCCTCTGTACTACGCCTCCAACGTTGCACTCACTGGCCGGCCGCTCCCAACTCCACCTCCTCCGATCCCTACTAAGACCCTCTACTCCCCCCCTGTGCCTTGCCGCCTACTACTCGTATCTTTGTTCTTGTCCTTTCTCCGGTGCGCCTTATTCCTTTTCTCTCTCTTCTCTTTCAATACCAACCTCGTCTTCGAGAACTCGACCTCGTTCTCGTCGATAAACGACGACAAAAACCGACTTTCTCTCTTTTGAAACGCTTCGGATCTACTCGAATCTTCGGCGAAGACTCGACAATTCCGCACTTCTTCGTTGATTGATTATTCGCTCTTTCGATCCATTCGAGATATCTATCCCAGGGGATAACGACCTGAGACTCATTCACTCGGCACTTGACTGTTAAGCTGGACTTCGCTCGCCTCAATCAAAGAACAAAAGAACAACAATCATTACCCTTGACATTCCTGCGTCTTCGACGACACTCATTTGACTCGAACACTCGACCATATCGAACATAAGATTCGTTCAACATCCCACGCATCGAAGGGAAACCCTTCGACAACTGTACTAACTGCGAACCTGTCAGCTGCCGGCCATCGACAGGTTCTTCCAGTTACTCGTCTTTATCCCAGTTTTACCATCCTTACCGGCGAGTCCGAGTCGACAGAAACTTTAAAACCACAACCATGTTCTCCGCGGCATGGACCATGGGCGCTGCCCTAGGCCTGCTATTCCTTACCCAAGGCGCTAAAGCCGACGCAGAATCAGAGGCCATCCTCATAGAAGAGGCTGATTCCGTGACCAATCTCTTCCACAAGTTCCTTTTCATAATTTGCGGTGTTGTGGCGGTGATATTCATAATCTGGCGGGTCCTGATCGTCTCCGTCAAGTACATGCGTCAACTGGTGTGCCTCACAAATGAGAAGCAGCGCTACTTCCAGAGGCCGTACAAGAAGTATGCCAGTCTCAAGAAATACCTCCTCTACGCCCCGATATTCCACAAGAGGCATAACCGGGAGTTCCAGCTGTCGACGGCGATGAATATGGGCGTGTTGCCAACGCGGTTCCAACTGCTCGCCTTGATCGCATATGTTGGCACGAATATTGCATTCTGCTTGTCCAGAATCCACTGGGACCAGCCACTCTCCGTTGTCTCCGTTGAGATAAGACATCGATCCGGCATTCTTGCTGTTGTCAACATGATCCCGCTTTTCGTCATGTCCACCAGGAATAACCCGCTTATTCACTGGCTCGATATCTCCTTCGACACGTTCAACCTACTGCACCGCTGGTTCGGTCGTATCGTTGTTATCGAAACACTGTTGCACACTTTCTCTTGGGTTGTCGCTACTGTTCACCGAAGCGACTGGGCCACTGTTGCGGCGGCATTCCAAAATAGCGAGATGATGGTGTTCGGTCTCATTGTGAGTTCTTACTCCCCTTCTATGTGCCCACTGGCAAAGTACTAATCATTTGTAGGGTGCTGCTGCGATGGTTGCCATTATGATCCAGTCCTTATCGTTCGTCAGACACGCCTTTTACGAGACATTCAAGTATCTCCATATCATGCTAGCAATCACAGTACTAGTTGGTATCTGGTACCATCTTAAACTAGCCGGGTTGCACCAAACTAAATACCTTATCGTCGCCATCGTCATCTGGGCATTGGAGCGTACCATCAGGGTCCTTATAGTAGTCTACCGCAATATGGGAAGGGGTGGAACCAAGGCCCTATTGGAAGCCTTACCTGGAAACGCCGTTCGCGTCACTCTCAATGTCGCCCGCCCCTGGACCTTCACGCCTGGACAGCACGCCTACCTCTACATGCCCTCTATCGGCGCATTTACATCCCACCCCTTCTCCGTGGCGTGGAGCCAAGAAGAGGAAGACCCGCTCGCAGGAGATGGACTCGTCGGCAAAGACAGGCAAGACGTCCTCGCCATCCGCAAGACAACGATGTCCTTCGTCATCCGTGCCCGTACCGGCTTCACCAACACGTTATTACAAAAAGCCGAAGCAGCCCCTGAGGGCAAGATGTTCACAAGGTGTTTCGTCGAAGGGCCCTACGGCGGCGCGCACCTAATGCGCTCTTACGGCACGGTCGTCCTCTTCGCCGGAGGAATCGGCATCACGCACCAAGTTCCCCACGTGCGTGACCTGGTGACCGGATACGCCAACGGCACCGTCGCCGCCCGCAGGGTCCTGCTGGTCTGGATCATCCAGAGCCCCGAGCATTTGGAGTGGATCAGGCCGTGGATGACGGAGATCCTGGCGATGGACAAGCGTCGTGATATCCTACGCATCATGCTCTTCATCAGCCGCCCGCGGTCGACGAAGGAGATTCACAGCCCCTCGGCGACGGTGCAGATGTTCCCCGGTAGGCCGAACATCGAGACGCTGCTGGACATGGAGGTGGAGAACCAGGTCGGCGCTATGGGTGTCTCGGTGTGCGGTAGCGGTTCGCTGAGTGACGATGTGAGGAGCGCTGCCAGGAGCCGCCAACATAAGTCGAATATCGACTTTGTGGAGGAAGCATTCACATGGTAGTATATGACGGGGGTTGCCGATAGATCTTCTGTTGTATATATGTTTTTGCTGGGCGGTCTGCTTGAAAGATTTTTGCGAGGGGAGGAAAAATCTACCAACGCTTTAGAGACAGCTCGATGATCTGATTTAGCGTTTTTTGTGCGGTGGAATACCCGCTGGGATTATATGGGATGGGAAGGTGTATGGGGGTGCATGCTTCACTGGACAATAGTGTGGATGATGCTCTGGAGTTTATTTGGGATGGTTCCGTGTGTGGTTCCGCATGGATATGGGTATTTAGTGTGCTAGATACTGGCTACAATGCTAGATTACATTCATTTGGATTCATTTGGATTCATTTACGTGTGCTCGTTCTGTTCAAGTGACTCAACATGACCGTATAATGTCTGATATGTAGGAAACTATGGCCAAGATAAAGCCATTCGGTGACTCAAGGCTGTAATTGTCGTCATGCCCTCTCAATTAGTTAGATACTTAGAATAGAGCATAGGAGGGAAATCCTATCAGCTTATATTGCTGTCAATTCTCAGATGTTGTGCACAGTCCTATCCCGAGCCTATCCAATCCGTAGAGTGCACGGAGCACCATCCTGATAAGGCTGCCTGGATAACATCAACAGCGACATGAGCCGATTTCTTAGTCAAATGTCCAGCCCATTGAATATTCCGCTGTTAAAACGAAATTCGATTTAATATTTAAACCCCCTCTCCCATTTCCAAAAACATTTTGTCCCGAAAAAAGCCGGAGCCTTCCACGAGGCTGTAGCAGTATCGTCGGTACCTGACTTGGCCCATTCCACGCCATCGACCCCACCTCAGCTGACCACTCCTGCACCTTCGTGAACCCAGCCTTGGTTCCATCTTCCTGTCCATCAAACAAGCAAACCGAAACAACATCAGACCTGTCACTCCGACCTTTCCGACAATCGCGCCCTTACCCAACTCACGGTTGAGGGGACTTTCAGGGACCCAGGACTATTCAACAGACACCGCTACAACCTTGGAGGTGCGTCGGAGAACTGCCTACGACGATTCGGATTTATTCGGCGCCACGACGACTGCCTTGAGGATTACCAACGAACGAACGATAAGCTCGCGATTCGGAAAGAGTGAACCAGAAAGCTCGCCCAGGAGCTAGAGCTTCTTCCCAGCAACACCTCCGAACACCGCAGAGAAACACACCGAACACCAAGTGCTCGACGGAACGAGCCAAACCGCTGCCATGGGTTTGGTATACAACGACTACCTCTCCAGCGACAAGATCTACGGCTGCAAGAACTGCAAAACTCATCTCTCCAAACACGAGAGCCTCGTCAGCCGGGTACATTTCCCCCTTCCCCCCTTCCCTCCCCCCTCCTCCTTCCCATTCCCCCTGTCCCTCCCTACCTAGGTAGTCAGAAGCTAACAACTTCCCCCCTCAACAGAGCTTCCGCGGCCAAGTAGGCAAAGGCTACCTCTTCAACCTCGTCGTCAACTACGTCCCCGGCGAAGCGCTCGAGCGCAACATGACGACTGGCAAGCACGTCGTGAGGGATATTACGTGTCGGCAGTGCAAGACCACCGTGGGGTGGAAGTACGATAAGGCGTATGAGGCGAGCGAGAAGTATAAAGAGGGGATGTTCATTTTGGAGGCGGAGCTGTTGTGTAATGTCACTTAGGCGGGGTATGGGGGAATGAGGGGAGGGGGGAGGGGGTTTGGACGGATTCGGGGTTTGTTGCGAAGTGAGGGGGCGTTTGGGGGGGTTGGGTTGGGGTTTGGGAGGGGGGGCGTATTGGGATGGTGGGGGAGGGAGGGGGGGCTTGGTTCCTGGGTATTGATATTGGATGGATGGGATGGGGTATTTGGATTTGCTGGAGTAGGATGGGAGCTGCTTGATTGATGTTTGCTTGGGGTATCTTTTAACAACACTCCGCTGGGACGGGGTGATGGGCCTTAGTTGTAGTAGCTAGCAATGATATTTTTTCCTCTCTTCATGAATACTCTCAATTTTATTTCCCCACGCAAGGTTAAGGTTGTATAAGTAACAGAATTTACCATAGCCCAAAAGCCCTTTTCTCACATCCGACTTACCCGCCCCCAGCAACTCAGCGGTTCCGAAAATGCCAACCCTCAACGTGTGGTCCCGTACGACCACTCTCCCGTGGCTGATAGAGAGTCAGCCCCGCAACCCCGCCCCGATAACCAACTTAGCTCGGCGGCCGCGGCCTGAGCGACCCCGTAGCGGCCATTAAACGTCACCAAATCTATCAAGCTGGTTCCGTTCCGCGGCGAGAGTTTTATTTACTATTCCCCAACTATTCGCCAAAATAACACTCATTTATGACACTTGGTTAATTTCTCCTCTCCTCAGAAATATTCTTTTCAACTTGAGCGAGGCAGTATCATATAGCAACAATGTCGCCGAAGACTATGAAAGCGGTGGTGTTTGATGGGCCGCATAAGGTTTCGTTGCAGGAGAGGCCGATTCCCGAGGTCCAGGCGCCGACGGATATTGTGGTTGCGGTTTCGTATACTGCGCTTTGCGGGTCGTAAGTGCTATTTGGAAGAGGTAGAATATGATAAGGGATTGACTGGGATATAGGGAGCTCCATGTGTTTCGCGGTCACCAGCCCAGCCCTACAGGTGAGTAATCTCGTTGGGGTTTGGTGAGCTGTTCTAATGGTGGTATACAGGCTTTATCATGGGCCATGAGTTCACGGGTGTGGTCGCAGAGGTAGGCAGTGAAGTTAAAACCGTCAAGGTGGGCGACAAGGTCGTCGCACCATTCACAGTATCTTGGTGAGTATATAGAAATTCCATCTTACTGCTTAAACCATCTAACCTAGAGGACAAAAGCTCAGAATGCTTCTACTGCAAAAACGGCTTCTCATCCCGCTGCGAAAAGTCCCTCCTCTTCGGCTCCGCAGCCCTAGACGGCGCACAGGCAGAGTACGTCCGGGTTCCCTATGCGGACGGCACGGTCGTCAAAGCTCCCGCAGAGATCGACGACAAGGTTCTCGTCATGATGGCTGACATCTTCCCAACTGGTTTCTTCGGCGCCTCCAACGCCTTCAAGAACCTCACTCCAGCGCAGATTGCCGAATCGACAGCTGTGGTTATCGGATGCGGACCCGTGGGTCTCTGTGCTATTATCGCGGCGGCTAGCTTTGGGCCGAAACATATATTTGCTGTGGATGGGGTTGAGAGCCGTCTTGAGCTCGCGAAGAGTCTGGGTGCTGAGCCGCTGAATTTTATGACTGATAAGGAGGGGATGCATGAGAAGATCAAGGCTGCGACGGGCGGGAGGGGCGCGGATGTTGTGATTGAGGTTGTTGGGTTGACGCCGGCGCTGAAGACGGGGTTTGATCTCTTGAGGCCGTGGGGTACGATTAGTAGCATTGGGGTGCACAATGCTGAGGTATTTCCGCCGTATCCCCAAAATGAGAGGCCTGCTAATGCGGTTCTTCGTAGATTCCGTGGGATGGCAACCAGGCTTATGGAAAGAACTTGACTGTTCAGATGGGAAGATGCCCTGTCCGATCTATATTCCCGGAAGCTCTTAAGCTGCTCCAAGAGAAGCAGCACCTTCTTGGGTGAGTCGAGATACCCAATTTAGCCCAGACGATACTGACTGACTGCAGGTTCATGTTCGACAAAATTATGCCCTTATCGGATGCCGTAGAGGGGTACGAAATTTTCGATAAGATGCAGGCGCAGAAGGTTGTATTCAAGGTGGGATCCGCCGAGTAAGGCCGTTTGGAACGTATATAGTTTCTCAAATGTAGTCGTTGCACCTTTGCGAGTAGTTCAATTCTGGCGTGGCTTGACAATCCCATCGTGCACAATGTAGTAGACGACTGTGCTGTCATCGTGCAGTGTGGCCAGCAGCAATCTCTTCTGCCTATTCTTGCCCCGCCATCCTGCTCCAACCTCGTCCTCCTCCTGCTCCAGCGTATCTGTGCTTCCGGGCGGCACAGTCTCTATAGCATCGAAAACCTCTGCAAACTGCTTCAAGCTCCACTTCTCGTTGATGTGTGTTGGGAGGACCCATTCCGGCTCGGGACTCAGAGGAATCGACTGCCCCGTCTTGTGTTCGGCTTTCAGGATCTCGGCTTGTTCATCGGGATGGACATATGCTCGAGCTGGAGGGATCCCGTATACGAGAGGCCTGGGAAGAGTAGAGCCTGTGATAGTCGACGTTGTTTGGACTGCAAGTTCGGTCCATTCGTGTTGATATTGCAGATTGTAGAGCACAGTCGCAGCTAGCTGGTGAAGGTGAGCGGGAATGCCGCTGGTCTTGGACTCTTGGCTTGCGGCGGTGAGCAGAGCCTGCAGAGCGGATTCGACAGGAGGTCCATTGTCGGAGGTCGCCATGGTGTGATTGAGGCGTTTGGATTTGCTGGTGATAATCTGGATCGATAACAGCCTCCCTCGGCAGGTGATTTTAATTCTGTGTTTGTCTAGGCCCGACCGTAGATTTCTTCAGAGACAATGCACGGACCAAGAGGGGTCCAGTTAGCCAATCAAAACCCCGTATCTTACCATGACAGGAACAAAATCTGATCCCGTTAGAGGACCGTTACTCATCCACTCACAGGGTACTTCGCATGTCATGTACCTTTCTGTCCCAAACTCCGAGTTGACTCCCAACTTAACAACACCAGGTACCTTGCAACATGTACCTTCTTCCGCGTATAGCTTGTCTTCCTCCTCCCAATAGATTACTATGTAGACCTCCCAAATACTGTGTAGCAGATCCTTGCCCATAACCTGGCACTTAGCTTTGCCACTTCCCTCGAATCTCGATCGTTGCCGTTTTCTATCTTCATGTTGTTGTCTTGTTTTCTCCTATTACTGTGACTGTCCAGCGCTTTCCCTCTCTGATCGAGGAGTCCCTATTTCCTCGCCCCCTCACTACTTCAACGACAATCGGTGTTGGAAGTATAATCACTCGTCATACAATTGGTTCAGAATGCGTGCATGAGTTGTCCGAAGTATATACCAAACATACGTCAATCTCACCACCCGATTGATCGTCGCGGCCAACGATTGGACATATAAGCCGTCCCTGTTGTGTCCAAATCTTGACGAACATTTTGCCTCCCAGCATCCTCTTGTTTCGAAGACGGCCTGAATCGGTCGACTAGAGATCTTACCATCAACTGTTTCGATCAACTTCACGCTCTAGAGATAAGAGACATGACCGAACAACCAACACCCACCGCGGCCAATGGCCTACCTACTCCTCCCAGCGACACTGTCGCTTTCCCTACAATCACCCCCCTCACGACGACACGCCCTGACAGCGGACCAGAGAGCGCCTCAGGCTCCCGACAGAGCACGGCTAACAGCAATGCCGACGGAGTGAGTCCAGGAGGGCACACGACGATTGCGAACAGGCTACGAAGCGCATCTCGAACATTTGAGCAATCGAGCATACCAGTTGGCATGTGGTCGGCGACGGCTTCTATTGCTTCGTCCGCTCCCTCGATAGCTGATATTAGGAGAGGTAGTTTTGGGAGTGATGGTTGGTCTGGCGATGGCCAGTTGAAGGAAAAAAGCAGGCGTGCTAGTCTTGGGCGCCGTACTACCTCCAACTCGGCCGCTACTAAGAATGGTACTGGCAGCGGACTTACTGAAGTCGCGGAGAATAAGAAACTCGAGAGCCCGATCGAGGACGTTTCCACGAGCAGGCAGCTGGATACAATCAGTGCCGAAGGGTCCGCGGATTCCCAGAAACCAGTCGCTCAACAGAACTCAGCATCTGTGCCACTGGTTGGCGGTTCAACTACTGAACCAAATGAGGAATACAGAACTGAGCCATTCGACAACGGTTATGAGTTCCCGCCAAAGCACAGCTGGCAGACATCTACAGCCATCGGCGCCAAGGCATTGTGGAAGTTCTTCATTACGCCCCTCGGGTTCTTGGTTGTCATTTACGGCTTGAACGTTGTTGCCTGGGGAGGCATGCTATTCCTACTGCTGTGCAATGCATCGCCAGCGATGTGCTCTCCTACCTGCGACGATATCAACTCCCCGCGAAGAATCTGGATCGAGATCGACTCCCAAATCCTCAACGCGCTGTTCTGCGTAACTGGTTTCGGCTTAGTTCCATGGAGATTCCGGGATTTATACTATCTGATGAAATATCACATCCGAGGCGATCAGCTTGCTCTTCGCCGCCTAGCTGGCATCCACCGAGATTGGTTCAGACTGGAAGGCTCTTCGGACCTACCTATCTCGGTCGGGCCAGATAACATCGAAGCTGAGATATCGAATCTGCCCGAGAATGCTGTGCCATATCCGCTGAAGACTATCCCTAGCGCTCCGCTGACAGGAAATCGTGCACCAGCTACAGCAAGGTGGAAGATGGACTTTTTCATCTGGATGTTCGTGTGGAATACGTTTCTACAGATTGTCCTCTCCGTGTTTATGTGGAAGTTTAACAGATATGAGCGCCCTTCGTGGAGTACTGGTCTCTTCGTGGCAATGGCCTGTATTGTGGCTGGTATTGGAGGTATCATGGGGTTTCTCGAGGGCAAGAAAGTCAAGTCGATTGAGGGTGTAGAGGTCAGCCCCGAGGATCAGGCGCGGCTGAGGAGGGATCGTGAGATGGGGATTGTTCATTACAACAACTTGAAGGGCGAGAAACCCAAGCCGAAGAAGGAGCATCATAACCCGTTGACGCACAGGTCGTTGAAGGGGGAAAAGGGAGAGAAGGTGGATGACTTGGCGAAGGGTATAACCACTGAGACCAGCACGGCGAGTGATAAACCCTCGGCGTAGTTGGGTTTGGGCTGAGGGACCAGAGCGTTGGCACTATTATCACAGTATTGTTGTATTTAGGCGCGTAATTTGTTCGGCGGGATGAGCGGTGATGCTTCTGTTCAGGATATGATACCACGCGCACATTATTATGTGCGTAGCTATACAAATAAATCATTTAATTGGAAACCTCTGGGCCACTACATATGTACGAGATTAAGCCATTGAGCCAGACAGGTAATAAAATATAATATAGTCTATTAAATTTATATATATATATTTGCCTTGTGTTTTTATTATTATTTGATTTATAAATAATTGGCTTGGAAGCGACCATTTTGTGCGTAGCTAACTCATTTAATCGAAAATCCTGGGGCTTTACACACATGTATATTGAGTATGATATTAATTAGTAGTTCCAAGTGATATAATTTCGAGATGTCGTAGGTGGTGTATGTAGTCCAGCTGAGGAGGTATATTATGTGGCTTACGTAATCCACGATGTGATGGGATCCGATTGTAACCTGTCACACCTATCCGGGTACTAGCCAGCCACCTGAGATCCCCCTCAACTCCCTCGCAACAAAGACAAGAGTTGCCACTGCGCCCCTCCACGCCGGACGATAGGCATATATTAGAATCATCATCATTATACCATGATATAAAAACATATATACTATCCATACATATCTGCTGCAAACCACACTCGATACAGCATCTCTTCCACCAAACCACACACGACTGCGGCACGCAACACAGCTCCTCCAAGATGGCGGCCAAGTCCTTCATCCCGCTGCTCGTGGGCATGATGCTGCTCACAGGCTGCTGCAACACTCTATTCACCAAATACCAAGTTCGTCTCCCTTCCCCAACCTCAACAAGCTTATCAGCTAACCCATGACCGCAGGACAACCAATGCGTCTCCAACTGCGACGACCCCGACCCCTCCAACCGCAAACACTTCGAACAGCCCGTCATCCAAACCGCCCAGATGTTCATCGGCGAAATGGGCTGCTGGCTCGTCGTCGGGATCTTCTCTCTCTACCAACGCTTCACAGGCGAGCGCGCCGAGGACCAAGGCCCCGATTACCACGCCATCAACGAGGATGACGAGGATGCGAGGGATGCGGACGAGGAGAGCCTGCGGAATCCGGTTGTGAGGGTCCTGACGAAGGATGCGGAGGGGAGGTTGCCGCTTACGGGGTGGAAGGTGGCGATGTTGGCGTTGCCGGCTACGTGTGATATCCTCGGGACGACGCTTATGAATGCGGGATTCCTGTTTGTGGTGGCGTCGGTGTATCAGATGACGAGGGGGATGTTGGTGATTTGGGTGGGCATATTCAGTGTGGTTTTCTTGAAGAAGAAGTTGTACTTGTTCCAGTGGTGTGCGTTGGCGACTGTGGTGCTGGGTGTTACTCTCGTTGGGCTGGCGGGGTCGCTGCAGGCTGAGGATGTTACCAAGCCTGCCTCGGTTATGGAGGGAGCGAAGAATGCTGCAGTCATTATTTCGAGAGTTGCTTCGACACCGGATGCTATCAGCACGATGATTGGAGTATTCCTCATTGCTGGTGCCCAGATCTTCACGGCCACGCAGTTCGTGTTGGAGGAGTTTATCCTGGAGAAATATGCACTTGAGCCGCTGAGGGTGGTGGGGTGGGAGGGGATTTTTGGATTTACGTTCACGGCTTTGGGGATGCTGGTCCTTCACCTGGCTATTGGTAGGACGCCGGAGGGGCAGCTGGGGTACTTTGATGCGGTGGAGGGATTGAGGCAGATGTTTTATAACAAGCAGATCCTTATCTCGAGTGTGCTGATTATGATCAGTATTGGGTATGTCGTCTCATTCTCCTATCAGAGAGTTAATGCTAACTACCACAGCGGATTCAACTTCTTCGGCCTCTCAGTAACGAGGAGCGTGAGCGCGACCTCTCGATCAACAATCGACACATGCCGCACCCTCTTCATCTGGATCGTCTCCCTCAGCCTTGGCTGGGAGCGCCTCGGACCAACAACACTGCTCCAAGTCGCCGGCTTCTGCCTCCTCGTCTACGGCACGTTCCTCTTCAATGGTATCGTGCAACCCCCACTACGTCGCTGCATGGTCTCGGAGCCCATCGAGGAACTGCTCCCAGAAGAACCAATAGAGCATCTCTGAGGCGGGACATGAGGCTGAAAGGACGTCGTGGGTGAGGCGTCTGATGCGGCGGTGATGGGCACGGCCTATCGGCACTGTGGACTTACGTGATGAGCATGGCGTGTGCCTCATTTCACTTTTTACGAACACATCTAGCGTGTTGGAGGGTGGTGGTACCAGGGGTCGTCATCCTACTCTAACACACCGTCAGCCAATAAATCCTGCTCCCCCTCCGAACTGCAGATTGGGCGCCGCATTTTTGTTTTTTTGTTGCGTGAGGCTCGGAAACTGGGCGATGAGTGAGAGGGTCGTAGTTGGAGTCCCTTACATTTGTCCGCCGCTAGCTCGTTTCTCGTGCGTGTTGCTGGGGTTTGCACCACCGGACCTGCGATACACCTACCTGCTGCCTCTCGTGACATCGGATGAGGCTTATGATTAGGCTAAGCAGGAGGGCGGGAGGAGTAGTAGCGTGACACTGTGCGCCGGCGCGAAGGATGTACATACAGTACAGTACAGTTACAACGCATGCAACTGCAACTGCAACTGCAGCGTCTGGTGGATGGGCGGCCACACCGGGGGGGAGGGCTGTTTTTTACTTACCTTTGACAAAGTTTGACAGGTTTTAATAACTGGGTTATAGCTGGGTTGTGCACGAGACGAGGTGGGTTGGTTTTGAGACCTTTTTCAGCCGCAGGGCAGGACGGGCGTGTTGGGTTGGGATGGGGGGGGATGTGAGGGACTTAAGCCGCACTTTGGGGCGCAGTGATACGTACATGGATGGGAGCAACGGCGGGGAAGCTTATGGTGGGCGCGGGCGGGTTGGGTGTTTGTTAGCCGTGGTACTGGTGTAGAGAATAAAGAACAGATCTCTTTTTTGGATAGATCTTGCTCGATCTGTGACGCCGTTTTTGTTTTCTTTCTCCTGGCTTATTTTTTTATTTGTTTAAGATCTGTGAAGTGGTTGTGGGTAGTACGATGGGGGGTTCTGGGAGTGTGTGTAGGGTGAGAGGTGAGAGGAGGAGGGGAGTTTGTGGATAGTTACTCCAGACAGCAGCTATGGGCAGTGTGTACTGTACTGTACATGTTTGAAAAGGAAGACGAATTGGAGAGCAGAGAGAAAAGGAAGACGACCAGAGCAGAGAGAAGAGAAGGAAGATCCCATATTCCCCTCATATATTCCCCTCATATTCCCGTCCTATAAGTACGTATAGATTCAAATTACTCCATGGTAAGTTAAAGAAAGTACTTCATATATGGCAGTAACCACGGCAGTTTCCCAAGTACCCACCTCCCACCTCCTCCCATCTTTTTACTCGAGTACACCTTCCTCACTTGCTCTTTCTTCCTCCCTTGACCGGACCTTGACCGACGGAACGAGCTACGACCCCAGTCTACCCAGCCCAACCCAAAAAACCCCAGTTCCCAAGTGCTGAGCATCCCATCCATCGCATCCCGCATCCCGCATTCCGCTTTACTCCACTCCACTACTCCCACCACTCAACTACGAGACGAACGAACTCAACTAACCCAACTCAACTAACTCCCTCAAACATACTAGAACGGCCGGGAGTGCGAGGACTCGACGAAGAGCTAGACTCGCACCACCACGCACCACCACGCACCACCACCTACTCTAAAAAGTGCACTACCCACTGAGCAATACTACTACCACCACTCTACACCACCAAATCTCCACCACCACCACAGAAACTCGAACCCCCTCCATATTAAATCGTCGCAACCACCGTCCCGGTATGCGCTCGCCCATCTATCTACCTCCTCCCACCACCACCGCCGCAATCCCTCTTTCTTCCCCAAATACACCCACCGCCGGGCTGCCAAAAATACTAAAAATACGAAAAAAATTATAATAAATATAACTACAAAAAAGAAAATAAAACAAAAAGCAAAACCCACAAAGGCCACACTACACTCCCTGTGCTGGCTGCTGTCCCCCATCCTTTCGTCTATCGCATCAACCCAACCCGTCGAACCTCGTTATCCATCACCGCCGCGCCCTCGCGTCTGATACCCGCTATCTCACCGACACATCCACCGAGTCGCAAACACTTCCTCGAATAACTATCTCTCGTCGAATCTACCCTCTATCGCATCCTGCGACTGTCGCGACTCTACAAACCATCGCATCCCGACCCTCTCGCACCAATACCCACGCCCATTGATCCTTACGTTACCCTCGCCAGCTCGTCGCATCGCAGTCTTGGCAAAAAAGAACACCACAGCACCGCACCCAGAACCCACCACACATCACACAACACACACCGTCATCCCCCCGCGAGCCCTCGTCGCGCCCGCACGCCTCGTCCCGTCGCCGCCTCCGCGCTTCAATGGCAGACCAATGACTATGGCCACCGCCTCCGCGCCCAACGCCAGCACGCACCCTCACGCCTCCTCCGCCGCCGACAACTACGACCCCACCGACGTCGGTCCCCGCGACAGTCCACCCCCCCCCATCCACCACCCCAAGCTCGAACCGACGCCCAGCCCGCCCGGCATCGCGTCCGAGGTGAGCACGCCGCCTGGGAGTCCCGGCGCGCCGCATAAGCCCGGGAGGAAGGTGTTGCGCCCGGTGCCGAATCCGGGGGATGTGGCGCTGCTGGACTCGATGGCTGGGGGGAGGGCGAGGGAGATTGCGGAGACGGCGGGGAGAGAGCTGATACAGGCGCCTGATGAGGAGGAGGGGGATGAGGATATGAGGGCGGGGAGTGAGGGGGAGAGGGGGGTCGAGGTGCCGATGGAGGGGATGGGGAGGGAGGTGGATTTGGAGGCGTTGGCGGCGGGGGCGTTGAGGGCGTTTAATGCTGGAGAGGCGCCGGTGGGTAAGCAGAGTCATGTGGAGGAGGTGGGGGGACAGCAGGTGGATGACCAGATGCGGCATATGTCTCCCAAGGCGTCCACTATAAACGGGAACCATGATGAGCTTCCACCGATCCAAGAGGCGTCCCCGAAAGCCGAAAAGCTGACCAACGTAACCCTGCCGTCCATCTCGTCGCAACTAGCCAACCTAGGTGAGCTCAAGCATTTAGCAGACGCCGCTATCACAGCAGCTGTCGATACAGCACCTCCCAACGGACACCGGCACTCGATATCCTCGCAATCACCACCGCAACCACCGCTCTTCAGAGTAGGCGACCCAGCACACCACCACCCCGCACCAAACGTCCACACCTCACCACCCCCCATCTCCCCGCGCGAGAGCTTCCACACTATCCCCTCCCCCGGCTTCCCCGCGCCGCCATTATTCTTCCGGCGACAATCCCAAGTCTCCGATTCCGCGCCCTACACCAGCGGCGGCGACTTCACAGGGAACGTCGCGGACACATCTACCACCGATCACTCCGGTGCGACAGCCAACGGGATTCCAGCGGGGATCGACCGCATGAGTATAGACGGCATCACGAACCCACTAGTGGGGGGGTTCCAGTGTAACTACCCCGGCTGCACGGCGCAGCCCTTCCAGACGCAGTACTTGCTCAACTCGCACGCGAACGTGCATTCGCAGAACCGGCCGCATTATTGCCCTGTTAAAGGGTGTCTGAGGAGTGAAGGGGGGAAGGGGTTCAAGAGGAAGAATGAGATGATTAGACATGGGCTGGTGCATGAGTCGCCGGGGTATGTTTGTCCGTATTGTATGGATAGGGAACATAAGTATCCGAGGCCGGATAATTTGCAACGGTATGTTGGAGTCCGCTTTCCTAATTTGCTTTACGTGTGACGGGCTGTTGGGTAGCAAACAAACAGACAAACGAACGAACGAGCTTTTACTGACCGACCCCACAACAGACACGTCCGCGTCCACCACGTAGACAAAGATAAAGACGACCCCCTCCTCCGCGAAGTCCTCGCCCAACGCCCCGAAGGACCAAGTCGCGGCCGTCGCCGGCGCGGCGGAAATAATTAACGAACCCCCCCCCATTTTTTATTTATTCATGTTACCCCTGTTTGCACAACGGCGTTAAAGAAACCGCCCCCCGACGAAAACGCCAACAATCTGGCGACTATCGATCGTACCCCGCCTCCGCCACCCGACTGAAAAAAGGGGACTGGCAAAGAGAGGGGGGGAGAGGGGGGGTTGATGGAGTTTGTGAGCTGATATATATATACCAACGACTGGGGGATGTGACGCTCTCGAACCGCTTTTTTTTCTTCTTTTTTGTGTTGGAGCGGATAAACCCCCAGGGCAGCTGCTTGTTGTTGTTGTTATTGTTACTTTTTTTGGTGTGTATGTCGTGCACGATGTGGAGGATGTCTGTGATGTTGTATCTAGGATGGATGGTTAGGTCATGTGGGCGATTATTGGACCTGATGAGATGCTTGGCATCTATCTTCTTCTTCTTTTCTATGTTCATACTTTTTTTTTGTGATGGGAAGGATAGGATGGGTGACATAGAGAGTACTACCTACATATTCCATACGCTATGGTTTAGAGATGATGGTTCATAAATTCGTGACTAAATACCTGGCTATCTACTAATAGATCTTGCCACCAAGGCGGTCCTTAGATTCGCCAAGTTGCTTCAGCAGCAGCTTCCACCATCCCCACCATCCCCACGACAAACACACAAACAGCACCCCCCTTCTCTCAACCCTCACCAGTCCCCCAAGCCCCAACCTCCACCCCCACCTCACTCAAAACCACAACCTCCACCTCCTCCCCCCTCCCACCCCCCACCCTCTCCAGCACAACCCACAACCCCCCCCTCCCCCCCAACCCCGGCGTGAGATCAATATCCCCCACCCTCACCCCCGCCGGCGCATCACTAAACCCCCCTCCCCCCGACGTCGCAAGCACACTCTTATTCGGCCCCTGCCCCCTCTCCACCGACACCTTTAAGGGTGAAATCGCGCCCCGCTGAGCGGCGGGACAGGCGTGTTGTGCTACTATTCGCAGGCGCGTTATCCGGGATAGGGTGAGGGGGGCGAGCATGCGCGTTATGCCTTCGTGGAAGTAGAGGGGGGGGAGGTGGAGGGTTAGGCGGCCGGCGTCTTCGTTTTGGACTGGTGTTATGACGCAGGGTGTTGATGATTCAACGCGCAATGTAAATTTCCCCGTCTGCCCGGACTCGAAGGTTGAGCAGACGATGGTGTAGTCACCCGCTGCGACGTTGGTGAGGTTTGCGAGGGCGCAGCTGCGGCGGTAGGACCCGGATTCCCCGACGATATCTTGGGATGTAACGGAGGTGACGCGCTGGCCGCGGCCCCAGACGAGTTTTACGTGGATGGCGAGGTCGGGGGGGGAGGCGGCGAGGATGATGGAGAGGGATGTTTGGGTGGGGAGGTGGAGTTTAAACTGTGGATTTGAGGCGTAGGTGGGGGAACTTGCGTTTCCGCCTGCGGTCTTGGGAGTCCACGCCCCTGCTGTGGTGGTGATGTGCGGATGCGCGTTTGGGGCGGGAGAAAGGGTGAGGGGCGTGCTGGAGTAGGCGGAGAGGGTGAATGTGTATTTGGGGAGGGGGAGGTCTTGGTGTGCTACTACGATGGTGTAGGGTGTGTTTGGGGGGAGGGAGAGTTTGGAGAGCGTTTGGGGAGAGTCGACGTAGGGGCCGCGGGAGAGGGGGGAGTCGCTTAGGTGGATGCGCTGGCCGCCTGCGTCGAAGATGTAGAGGCTTATGAAGCCGTGGGAGTTGGAGCCGGTGGTTGTGGTGGTGGGGGAGGGGAGGGTGGAGCTGGCGCGGTAGTTGTGCTCGGCGGTTGTGAAGTGCCGGCTTAGGAGGATCCAGACTGTGCCGCCGAGGGGGGAGTGGACGGAGTATTGGGGGTTGTGGACGAAGCAGCCGGGGGAGGGGGCGGTGGGGAGGGTCCAGTTGAAGTGGTGGTCTTGGCGGTGGGTGAAGAGGCCCGGGTTCCAGTTGAGGTAGAGGGAGTCGAAGTTGCGCATTACTTCGGGGTAGCTCATCCAGAATGTGCCGGGGTTTGTGGATGCTTTTGGGGCGACATTGGCAAATCCAAAGGCCTCTTGGTCAGCGTCGGATGGCTTCTGGTCCTCTGCCCCTTTCCAGACCATTGCATCGCACCATGGGTTTTTGAGCAAGAAAAGCTTCTCGTCCCCCTTTTCTTTGATATCCAATACCGCATAATCATGTTCGCCTGCGAGACCAAGCGCCTCTTCTTCGTTGTTATTCAAACGGCCGGTACCAAGAGTGACCATTACATCTCCTAATGCAAACGCATTCAAGATACGGCTCCATAGGTCGTTTGGCTGCAGCTCGTCACTAGTCAAGTTAGTCAAAGGCTTAAATGTAGAATAAGGATGTTATTACCTTTGCAAAAATATCTGCTCTGGGATCCAACTTGTAATTACCCATAGATCTGTGCCTGAATTACTCCCAGGAAAGTCATAGCCCCCTCTCACTTTCAGATATGCCTTTTCTAGCAGTGCTGGCCACAGTAGCCCTGGGTTTTGGCGGTCGAAAACGTATAATCTGCGCGAGTTCCTTGGTGCTGGAAGGCGATCATCGATGACTACCTTGCGGAAGCATCCGTTGAAATGCAAACGAAATATATACTTGCCGTTCTTTGACATTTCAGGGATCCCATGAGCTTTGTTGTATGGGTAGAATATGCGCTCCAATAGCTATACAGTCTTAGTATGTGACAATTTGTCTGATAGGATTCATACCTTTCCATATGTGCCACCGGGCCGAGCTACAGCAGCACAAAGGCTGGCAACAACAGAACAGTCTGCTGTTACATCTTGTACAAGGTCAATATCAGCGGCTGCTTGCATCGTGGGCTGCTGGCGAGGGGAAGAAGCATCTCGAAGTTCGTCGCCTAACAGATCCTCGGGTCTTCGCCAGTCCCCTGGCTCATCAGCATGGGTATTTGATATGTTGATTTTTGATAGGTCCCTGCAGTAGTCAGATGGGAAGTAATATAATGGTAACAGGACACGCACGTATAAATCTCCCCATTTGGGGTAGCAAACTCCTGCCCATCAGGTTCTGATTTCCAAGGAGGGAAGATCAGCCCATGCAACTTTGAACCTTCTAGTAATATAACCTCTTCCCGCGTTGATAATTGTCGGCGGGATTGTGGCATTCCGGAGATTTCGCTGGGCGTTATCACAGCTCCAGTGTGGCTCATTGCTGGTTGCCATTGCTCTATTTTCTTGATTTCCTCTGCCCTCGCTAAGATATTCATGCATTTCTCTTTCAGCCGCGCTCTTTCAGAGCTGTTATTTGCCAACTTTATAGCTTTCATATAGCACTCTGCCGCCGAGATAGCATTGGCAAGGGCATCTTCCTTGGTTCTCGACGACGAGATGCGTCCCTCGGCTTCCTACATAAGAATCTCAATGGCATGATCATGGAATATGCTGACTGTACATACCAGAGCTCGGGTCTCCATTTCGACAGCCGCTTCGCTCAACTTTCAAAGCTTCAAGTCATGTCAGAAAGCATGCATTCCAACTGCATCCGCCAACAACTACATATCAATGCACGTGACACAACACGTGATCGTTCAGCGAACAATGGACGAACGCTTAGCTAAGGAAGAATGTCGATACGAACGGTGCCTCGCTACCGACTACTTTGTTTTGTACCTGCCTCCAGCTCACGACCTGGCAACTCACCTTCCATTCTTTGATGAGCTGCAGTATACCGCAGGTCAGTCTGTTACGAGTTGGATTTTAGTCTTCTGGCTGTAAGTTCCCAAGATCCATATTCTAATCAAGCTAGAGGGTGCTCTGAGTCGGACAGGACCCTGTCTGATGCACAAAGCTGACCTGAAACGAAGCTGACCTCGATAGTCCAGAGTAGTTGAGAACCTCCTTTGAAGTCAGCAGGCACTGCAGGAGATATTGTGGTAATTCTTCGATACTTCGATACCCAGTGTGATAGTCTTGGATTCTTCCTCGGACGGAACGGAACCCCATTCACGAATTACGATTGCATAAGCGCGTGCTTGCTTGCTCTACGACTTGACGTGCAATTCTCACCACGACAACGCTTGGAACGCATGTCATACGGCCCCGATCTACATCCGGAGGCATCTATCAAAGGAGTTTTTTCTTCCAAATCTATTCCATCTCAACAGGTTTTGAAATATTAAGCCAGTCCTTCGAATTGAGCCTCGTTTCGAATCTCAAACAGCTAGTGCCTGCATTTCGACGTCGTTAAACCTGGTCGTGGCAAGTCCACACCAAAGTATGATGAATATGTCTACAGGTCATACAATGAGCAACCGTAACAGCACCCCCGAGCCTAGCAGCACATCTACGTTGCGTCCTCCCATCGGGACAGGGCACCATCTTCGTCAATCCGCAGACATGTCTGCGTTCCCGACTTCGCCGTCTACGAACCGTATTAGGCCATCGTCGGACTTCTATGGCCAAACGCATCAGTTGCAGGGACAAGACAATCCAGAGACCGAAGCTGCCAACAAACTTACCCAGCAATGGATTGCCGATATTGATCAGTATGAGACAACACTGGAAGAGATGGCTGCTGCAACCCTCGATCAGGACTTCAAAGATGAACTCAGCGCCATCGAACAATGGTTCAAGGTGCTGAGCGAGTCCGAGAGAACGGCTGCCTTGTATGCCCTCCTCCAGCAAACCACACAGGTTCAGATCCGATTTTTCATTCAGGTTTTGCAACAGATGGGAAAGAACCATCCCATGTCCGGTGTTCTGTCTCCAGCCAACTTTGACAAAGGTATGTAACACAGCCCTTCTCACCTAGCCATTCTAACATTTTTACTCTAGATCCGATGTCCAACCGCCTGAGCGATGCAATGAACAAGCTTAGTGTGGAGGGTTCGAGAAACTCGTTTTCTCGCCCATCTGCATCCGCTACAATGAAGAGACACTCTGGTCTCGACCAGGACAGGATCAATGCCATGTTCCCAGATGCAGTTGCTGCAATTGCTACGGAGAAGGCCAAATTCACCCAGCAGACTGGAAACCCACCGACATCCAACAGGAACAGTGCGGTGTTCGATACACGCGCATCTCTGGCTGCTCCATCTATTTCTACCCCAGCTGGCAATGGGGGGGAGAATAATACTCAACCTCCTCTTTCTCCTTGGGGCCCACGAAGCAGCTCTGATCAGTCGGCCAACGCAAGACCCAAGTCTTCATCTGGCGTCCCACCAATGGGGCAGTTTATGCAGCCTCCGCCTTCCGCGGGGCTTCGATCCCCACGCATTCAGAGCTCGTCAAACTTGCAGAACTCCACGATCAATATCCCTGACCATCAAACCTCAGACCTGCCTTTGCTTTCCCCGTACAATGCTGGAAACGGCAACTGGGCATCCATGGTTAACACGCCTATGACTTCGACTTTCAACCACGCGGCGAATAATAGTCAGGCTGATATGATCGCCAACGCTACTGCGATGAAGCTCGCTGCACTCTCTACCGTAAACAACCGATTCGCCCTTGATGATGTTCGCAAGTACCGCCGAGCAAGGTCCAACGATGGCCATGCGATCAATAACCAAGGCCCATTGTCTCCAGGTCTCCCAGGCGTTGCCAATGCCAACGTTGTCATGGTTAACGAGCATGGGCAGATACTGAACAGGGATCAGATCCTCGCTCTTCAAGGCCAGCAGAACTCCGCATTTGGTGGTTCCAGGTCTCGCCCAAGTTCTCCTGGTCTTGCTATGCACGGTGCTGGCGGATTTTCTCACATGGGTTTTGCATCTCCGCAAAACAATGGCTTCTTGTCTGCTTATGATGGCAACTCTCCTCTTATGAACAATGGGATGGGAGGTCTTAACCTCAACCAGTTTGGTATGGGTGGTAGTCACGAGGGCTATCTTTCCGACCATTCCGACATGGCCAGAGGCCGCTCCCCACGTGGAAGGCGTGGCAGCTCAAAGCCTCCGGAGGACCCCACTGACCCAAGTCTGCTGCAAGACATTCCGAGTTGGCTGAGGAGCTTGCGTCTTCACAAATACACAGACAACTTGAAGGACATGAACTGGACGGAGCTGGTGGAACTTGATGATAAGGCTCTTGAGGACAGGGGAGTTAATGCTCTTGGTGCAAGGAGGAAGATGCTGAAGGTTTTTGAGCAAGTGAAGGGTTCGTGGTCATTCTAATCTTGTGATCGAATTTCTTACTAACTACCGAATAGAAGCCAAGGCGGAAGGCAAACTTGCCTGAAGAAGTACAGTTTCTATGCTAGGATATTGCGGATAGAACAGTACTTTGAACTATGGTTGGGGTTTCTAATTTATTTGAATTCAGGATTTGGTGGCAGTGGACTAGGAAAACAATGTTGGATTATCAGGAGAAGGCGATACAAGCTTTATATTTTCCAAACCGGTGTGGTTTGAGATTGTTAGTGTATACGGGGCTATGTACTTTAACATGGCAAATTACTTTAGCTATACCTAATTTCCTATGTACTATCTGAACCCATTGATTCGAAAGTGATTCCACTATTGTACGTAGGATATCCCAACAAAGCTTGTAGGCTCGGTCAAGTTTAATTATGGACTTGGCATAAGTCGCCGACTTGGTGGAAAATGCTTGTGGAATATGTGGGGGATAGCGATAAGATAAGCCTTTCAGATAAGGATTTATTGTACTGACGTCTCGTCTCATATCCCTCGGTGCTCTCGGTGCTGCAATTCTTCACGATCACACTTCCACCAACATAACTGCTCAGCCTGCAATCTCACGCCAAATGGATGGCATCATTCAATAAAGATGCTACAATGATAATGAATACCGATACAAATGGACGGAATCGACGAAGACGCTGGCAGGGGCCAGCACTCTGGCGGCCTTCCCAGAAGTCAATATCCAGAGCCTCATGAAACTCCAACCTTTGCATGGTCTGGCCAAAACGTCGACCACAATGGCGGTTCTCATCCCGAGCAACAATTTCCGCTGAGGGATAATCAGTACCATGATGATTCTGCCGAGTAAGCGATGCCTCTCGAAGGATGCGAGCCTTTTCTTACGATTCTTAGGGACGAGGAACTACTTTCAGATGCAGATTCCGATTACCTGGATCTGAAAACTAATATTGCCAAACTAGAGGATTCTGTTCGTAAATTTAGACGGGAACAAAGAGATGAAAGTGCCGACGAAGATGAAGAGAGCCCGGATGAAACGCGCACGCGACGGAAAGGGCGCGACATCAAGGGACGTGTTATTACCAGAGGTCCACGCAAAGCGGCCGTCCCCACTGGCGACATTCGAGCCCGCATGGGTAGGGCATCCCAAGCTTTCATTGAAGAAAACTATGAAGAAGCAAAGCAGCTCGTCGAAGAAGTTATTCGAATCAATGCCGAGACACACGAGGCGTGGACCTTGTTGGCGTCGATATTCAGAGAGCTGGGGGATATAGATAAAACTCTTCTGGCTCTTATATATGCGGCCCATCTAAGGCCAAAGGATGCAACCCAGTGGTTGAGTGCCGCAAGATTTGCCTTGGAAGAAACAGGGGATCATAGGAGCAAAAATCTCCCTTCGGCCAAGTTCTGTTTCTCGTCTGCCATTCGCGCAAACCCGAAGAATGACTTCGAAGCTCGATGTGGCAAGGCAGAAGTGTTGCGTGAAATGGGGAGCACCAGCGCTGCCATCGTTGAGTACAGGCATATTCTGAAGCAAAGGCCACACGACACCAGCATTTTGAGGCTCATCTCCGAGGCGTATATTGATAAAGATAATGTCAAGGCGGCCTTGAATCTTTACAGTCAGGCCATAGACTTCTACAAAGCCTCGGATAGCCAGCCTGGCGAGAAGTTTACCTGGTCAGACGTTAATATTTATGTTGAGTTGCACGCCTACCTCGGCCAATATGTCGATGCAGTCAAGGAGCTTAAATCACTATCACGGTGGATACTGGGTCGTGAATCCGAGTTGTACTGGGATGATGTACTGGAAGATGATCGCGAATGGGACTCCGATGATAATCGGAGGGTGCTACACCCCAGCTTCTGTCAAGGAAAATACGGCCTGCACCAGTATGGTGATGGTCTTCCTATGGAACTTCGTGTGAAACTCGGATTATACCGCCTCAGATTAGGTTTCCATGCCGAAGCACTTGTATGTATATTCCAACAATGACGGAGAGTATCAAGCTAATTATTATAGTCTCATCTTCACTGGCTTGGTCCAGAGAACGAATATTTTGCGGACCGAGTGCTTGACTATCCAGATCTTTTCCACGAATCAGCTGATAGTCTCTATCAAGCCGGCCTACCCGAAGAAGCCCTTGTGTTTTATCGAGCATTGAGAGCCGTTTCGAGTCAAGAAGACGCAAATCTTTATTTGCAGATGGGCAAGTGCTACTTGAACGGAAAGCGTAACAGGGAAGCCGAGGAGAGCTTCCAGCATGCCATTATCCTGGATCAAGACAACATTGACGCCCGCGTACACCTAGCCAAACTGTACGAAGAGCTCAACGAGCAGGAACAAGCATTCATTTACGTGAACGAAATCATGAATCTAAGAAGACTGCAGAACTCGAAAAAGAAACAGCAGAAGTCACAGCAGGATATAACACAGGATAACGATACTCTAATGCCGACTGTGACTCGCACAAGATCGTACTACAAACCTAAACGGCTGGTCAATTTAGAAGAACGACAAAGGCAAGAGCAGGCTGCTTCAGATCGACTACAGGAGCAGTATTCTGTGATGCGGTTGGAGCGAGATGCCATGCGTGCTGGCGACGAGGGAGCGACGCTAGCTTGGATGGAGGCAGCAGCAGACCTTATTGACGACTTCAGGGGCTTCAAGACATTTTACCCCTGGGACAAATATGTTAGGTTCTTGGGCTATACAGTAGGCCCAGCTCGCGGACAGCCTCAGACAGGAGCAACACCCCTGGATGCGGATCTTGCTGAGATGGCTAATCGAATCTCGTTCAGTAAGTTTTGTGCAAAAGGGAGAATATTACATACTAACAGCATCTAGAACTTGGAGCAGACGTCGACAGCAGGAATAATGTGGCGGTGGAGATACCGGAGAATTATCGAGGCATACCCTTTTCGGCATGGCTTGACATATTTCTTGACTACGCGCTGTGTCTTGTAAGATATGGTAAGCATCAAGAGGCATATGAAATTTGTGAGGCAGCAAAAGATGCAGTCGTATTCTATCACTCGAGGGAGGATATGTTTTTAATCCACGTCTGTTGGTGTGGTATGCAACTATCCCCAAGCCCTCCAAATTCTCTCGCTGACGATATCCGAAGCTTGTGCAGTTCTTGCAAATGATGAAGAAACCTGCGTAACGGCATGTAGATACTTCATGAAAGATTATCAGTTTACGACCGATACGTACAGAATGTTCGCGGCATTGACAAGGCTATGCCAGTCACCAATATCTTGGTACAGCTCTGGACCGACACAGAAATATATGCTCAGGCAAATTAAAGCTATGGACTATGGTCTTGTCAACGACGATGCACGCCGAAAATTCTTTTCTGAGAAAGGCTCCTACTCGGCCCAGGACGAGTCCGGCCGCTTGATAGTCAATAAGGACATGGATATTGCACTGCTTATGGTGTATGGCCATATATTATACACTGGGACGAGTTACGCGTATGCCCTTAGTAAGTTTACGGCTACTGGCTTGAGAAACTCCGTTCGTACTAACGAGGCTAGATTATTTCTTCAGAGCATACGCCTTGGACCCTGAAAACCCTATGATAAAGCTTAGCATTGGCCTTGGTTACGTCCATCATGGCCTGAAGCGCCAGTCAGAAAACCGGCAGTTCCAGATAATGCAGGGAATGACCTTCCTTCTTGATTATTACAAGACTCGCAGAGCCTCAGATAAAGCCGAGGAACGCCAAGAAGTGAGTTACAACGTCGCGAGAACGTATCAAATGGTTGGACTCTCACATCTTGCCTTGCCCTACTATCAAGAGATACTTGACGAGGCCCAGTCCTCAGAAACCAAGGAAGACCTGGTTTTAGATGCTGCCTTTAACCTGCAAACCATGTATTCGATGAGTGGAAACATGAGAATGGCCGACTACATAACCTCTACTTGGCTACAAATGTAGCACTTAATTATCTACCATAGCCTCAAATGAATAAAGGTTAATCTTCTACAGTAAGATCTAGATTGTGACTATTGAATTGATCGAAATGATGGTAAGTAAATAGTGTTGTGGTAGCACGTAATCACTCAGTGAAGCCGATTATCAACAGTTTGTGTTCATCAAACAACATCAGGCACGCGGTTTTGCACAACATATATTTATTCCATTCAAGTATATAGAACTATGGATTCTTCAATAATCTAAGGAAAGAAAATGCCATAATCCAATGTGATTGTGTATGTAACCTCAGCTGATTCCCATATTTTCAAGGAGGTCGGAACGACTTCTCAAAGCTAGGCGCCCAGCAACGGGTAGAAAAATGATCTCCGCACAGCGCGAAAACAACCTCGTCGACTGTGACAACAAGGCTGCCGTTAAGTAATGTTTTTGAAGCTGGCGTTAGTTTAGAAAGAAGAGAAAGGAAAGGAAAATTCAAAAGGGCAATAAATAGTTGTGACCGTGCACAGCCGAGGGATGGATACGTCCGAAGCTAAACTACTTTTGTCATAGCGCGTCGTTCGACTACCAAGCCAGATCTGGCCCTTGCGTAAACTTGCGGGCAAGCTGTCATTCTGGTGAACGAAGCATATCTATCCCCACGTAACAACAACTTCCTCCCAAGGAACCAACTTGGCACCGGGTGCACTGCAACTCTTATACCTCGTTCGCGTCATATATTCTAGTCAACTCTGCCATTAGGGCTTCCCTTGGACAAGGCCTTCCGATACAGAGGGAGAGCTGTGCACAAAAGCCAAAATGGACCATGAGGCACAGAAAGAGCAATGGGGTGAGATGGAGGACCAGGATGGGATCCGTCTCAGTTGGAATGTTTTCCCCAGCTCGCGCATGGTAAGTGAATACCTCAAATGCTCATGGCCGGAGATTTGACAAGAAATAGGAAGCTTCAAGACTCGTTGTCCCCATAGGCGCATTGTATACCCCTCTGAAGGAGAAGCCAGATACGCCCCTCCTCCAATTTGAGCCTGTTACTTGCAAGCCTCCTTGCAGAGCTGTTCTTAATCCCTTCTGGTGAGCCAATTTTCACAACCATCGCGCGAATCGTAGTTAACCGTTAAATAGTCAAGTTGATGTACGAGCGCGCCTTTGGATCTGTCCATTCTGCCTCTCACGCAACGCCCTCCCACCACACTATAAGGATATCACGCAAAATGCCATTCCTCCGGAGCTTCACCTCACGAACACCACCATCGAATACCGACTCTCCCGACCTGCCCCAAGCCCGCCCATTTTCCTTTACGTTGTGGACACCTGCCAAGAAGAAGACAGTCTTTCCGCGCTGAAGGAGAGCCTTATTATGAGTCTCAGTCTTTTGCCAGAAAATGCCTTGGTTGGCCTTATTACATACGGGACCATGGTATGTGATTAGCTCCCCCCTATAAATTACCGACGTCTAATGGCTACTAGGCTCAAGTACATGAAATTGGGTACACAGAATGCGCAAAGTCATACGTTTTCCGAGGAAGCAAAGACTATTCGGCAAAGCAGGTACAAGAAATGCTAGGTCTGCTTTCCGCAGGACTCAGGCCCGCAATGCAACAGCAGCAGCCCGGTAGGCCTGCGCCAATGGGGCCAGCTTCGCGATTCCTTCAGCCTGTCCAGCAATGCGAATTTCAGCTTGTTAAGGCCCTCGAGCAATTGCAGAAAGATCCATGGCCAGTATCCAGCGACCGGAGGAATCTGCGTTGCACCGGTGTGGCTTTGAGCGTAGCTGTGGGTCTCATGGAAACATCGTTTCAAAATGCAGGAGGAAGAATTATGCTTTTCGCAGGTGGACCAGCAACTGAAGGCCCAGGACTGGTAGTCGGGCCAGAGCTAAAAGAGTCAATCCGATCTCACCACGATATTGACAGGGACCAAATCAAATATTACAAGAAGGCATTGAAGGTAAGAAGCTGCCGCGATCCTCTCAAGTCCATGGGCTAATTTTTCCAGTTTTATGATAACTTAGCCAAACGTACTGCACATAACGGCCATGTCATCGACATCTTCGCGGGTTGTTTGGATCAAGTTGGATTACTTGAAATGAAGGGGCTCGCAAGTTCAACTGGTGGATATATGATTTTGACTGACAGCTTTACGTCGTCTATGTTCAAGCAGTCCTTCGTTCGGGTCTTTGAGAAGGATGCGAACGATAACCTTTTGATGGGCTTCAACGCGTCCCTTGAAGTCTTGACGACAAAGGAACTGAAGGTGACGGGTCTAATAGGACATGCAGTTTCCATGAACAAGAAATCCACGTCAGTCGGCGAGACAGAGTGCGGAATTGGAAACACATGTTCTTGGAAGATGTGCAGCATAGATCCAAGCTCCAGTTACGGTATCTACTTCGAAATTGCTAACCAGGGAGGTCCGGCTCAACACCAGCAAACGCCACAGAAGGGGATGCTGCAATTCCTTACATACTATCAGCATTCGTCAGGCCAGTTCCACTTGAGGGTTACTACAGTGGCCCGTAACCTGAGTGGCCCTGCTGGCGACCCAGCTATTGCGCAGTCCTTCGATCAGGAGACTGCTGCAGTCTTAATGTCAAGAATCGCTGTCTTCAAGGCGGAAGTTGACGACGGCCCTGATGTGCTGAGATGGGTGGATAGGATGTTGATTCGCCTATGCTCTAGATTCGCGGATTACCGGAAGGATGATCCATCATCCTTTCGCCTGGAAAAGAACTTCACCTTATACCCACAGTTCATGTTCCATCTTCGCAGGAGTCAGTTCTTGCAGGTATTCAACAATTCGCCCGACGAGACTGCATTTTACAGGCACGTGCTGAACCAGGAAGATGTCAGCAACTCTTTGATTATGATTCAGCCAACTCTCGACTCCTACACCTTCGACCAGGATGGCAGCCAGCCGGTTTTGCTTGATTCTACCTCGATCCAGCCCACACACATTCTCCTCCTCGATACCTTTTTCCACATTCTCATCTTCCACGGAGAGACGATTGCAGAGTGGAGGAAAGCTGGTTACCAGGAGCAAGAAGGTTACGAGAACTTCGCAACCCTCTTGGAGGAACCGAAAGAGGATGCAAGGGTACGTTTTTCAATGACTGTCGTTTAAACTCTTGACTATGATGCTAACGATATTTAGGAACTGATCACCGATCGATTCCCCCTTCCCCGTTTCATTGTTTGCGACGCTGGAGGCTCCCAAGCTAGATTCCTCCTCTCCAAGCTTAACCCCTCAACGACCCATACGACTGGTTCATATGGCGGGGTTGGCGCAACAAACGCGCAGACGATTTTCACTGACGACGTCTCTTTGCAGACATTCATGGATCATTTGATGAAGTAAGTAGAACAGTTCCCCATGATTGAGTTCCATACTAACGCATCATTCTTTAGGTTAGCGGTCAGCGGCACGAACTGAGAAAGCATAGATGGCATGAGAGGGAGGCAGGCTGAGGGAATTAGATTATCCGTTTCGGCGACTACTGGCGACATCAAAATCGATTCTGTAGTAACTGAAGAATTGCAAACCAAAGATTAGTCAAATAGGAAATATAATGGGAATCATCAATGTTCATTGTTGAAGCGTTTGTGCTTGTGCGCCCCAGCCCAAATGTCTGAGAGACAGTGTAGGCAGGAATTGATACTGTAATTCTCACTGCTAACTTCCTTTCTTGTTCTTCAATTTATGAGTATAGTAGAGGTGCAGCTGGTGACCCGGAATATTCAACGTATTGTAGTTAGAATCACTAGAGGTTGAGGCTTCATTTTCCTGTCATAGATTGGTTCCATTCGCACTCATAACCGTCAATGAGATCAGGGTCTTGGCATGAGTACTCGAGTACTTGTGATATTCGCCTATTCCCAACTTAGTCTAGCCCTGCATTCGGAAGCGTGGCCTGACTTCGAAATTTGTTGCTGCCCCAGGCATCAGTCGATCGCTTATTCTACTCTAGCGCAGCCCACAAACCCTAACAACCAAAACTTTCGAGTGAGAAGACGACGACGACTATCAAGAAACCACCAGTAACGACCCATCGCCCAACGACGACACGATGGTAAGCCCATTCCATTCCGAAACCCGACTGCCTTCAATCTCCAGAGTCCTCTCTGTTCTACACGCAACTCTCCCGCTCTCGACAAATCCGTTTCAAGGCGGGAGAAGACAAATGGCGAGAGAAAGAAATACACAGACGGATGGGCAATTGAGACATGATCACGAACATCGCTGACCACCGTCCCTACAGGTTCGATACGCAGCCACCGAAATCCACCCGGCGAAGTCGGCTCGCGCGCGCGGAGCATACCTCCGTGTGTCCTTCAAGAACACCCGCGAGACCGCCCAGGCCATCAATGGCTGGAAGCTCGAGCGTGCCGTGAAGTTCCTCGAGAACGTCCAGGAGCACAAGGAGGCTGTTGCCATGAGGAGGTTCGCCGGCGGAACCGGTCGCGCTGCCCAGGGTACGTTATTATTATGATCCCCTCTGGCAGTTATTTTTGCTGCAGGGATTTTTGCGCAACATGGACACAGGGACTGATTTATTGAATAGGCAAGGCTTTCGGTGTCACCCGCGCCCGCTGGCCCGTCAAGTCGGCTGAGTTCCTTCTCGGTCTCCTTAAGAACGCTGAGGCCAACGCCGATACCAAGGGTCTCGATACCGGTAACCTCGTCGTGAAGCACATCCAGGTCAACCAGGCACCAAAGCAGCGCCGCCGCACATACCGTGCACACGGTCGCGTAAGTAACCACCTACCTACCTACCCGCAGCAATGAGACTGACTGGAGTTTTAGATCAACCCATACATGTCGAACCCCTGCCACATCGAGTTGATCCTTACCGAGAGCGAGGAGGTTGTGGCCAAGGGAGAGGCCGTCGAGGGACGCGAGCTGCACTTGAGCTCGAGACAGCGTGGTGCCCGCCAACGCGCCGCCATCACCGCTGCTTAAGTTAGAGTAGTAGAAAAGAGAATTTTTTGCTAAAGAACGGGGCTGGGATTGTGTTGTGAGTGAGGCGCAATGACTTGGGCTGGGTGCGTTCCAGATCAAAGGTCTGTGTACTTCAGTAGCATATGGCAGGGTATTGGTCACGCATGATGAGCTCGTTTTGTTACTCTTTTGTGTGTGTGTGTGTTTTGTGATGGTGATTGATGTGATTGTGATTTGTGACTTGTTGGTTTGCCGCCTTTGCCATGCAGATGCAGGGGATGTATCCCATGGTCAATACAGACCGGTTCGAGCAAGAGACGGTTCAGGAATTGCTGTATGACCTTCTATAGGAATACAAATCGGCAGCTAGGAGAAGGTAAGAACAAAATTATTCCTTATTCCAAGGTACCATATCCACGCACCTGAATGATTCGAGCCCAACAACCGATTCTCCCAAGTTAGGTATTCCAAGGTAAAGTATTCTTCAGTCGTTTCTCATGAGTCTTAAGTATCGTCAAGATAAGTATTCTTCAATCCCTTCACATAAGTCCCAAATATTCCAACATAAAATACTCTTTCTTTCCTATACACATTTATACCAACCACACCCACCTCCACATCCCCAATCACCCCCTCCCCCATCCCCCAGCCTTCTCCCCATCCCTCTCATGCATCCCGCCTCCCGCCTCCCGCCTCCCGCCTGCCTTCTTCACACACCTGAATCATACATACATACGCACCCATCACCTCCTCAACCCATGTCCTGACGTGCTCAGCGACAAACCCACTCCCCAGCGGTGATTTGACCTCGCTAGAGGCCTCCTCGCAGATTAGCTCACTGGCGCAGACGCATGTTGCAATTTGTTAGAGGGATGACTACGCCACACGCGAGCAGATTGTGTGGTGGTACGAGATGTGGGAGCGGGAAAGGCCGAAGTTGTCATCGTGGGGGGAGGGGTAGTGGGTTTTGATGGGAAGGGGGTTGTTGAGGGCAGGGAGGGTTGTCACGGGATGGGGGTGTTATTGAAGGCAGAGATACCACAGGATGGGATATTATTGAAAGCAGAGATATCACAGGATAGGATAGTCATAATGAAAAAAGATTAATCTCAACGCAGACAAGAGTGTAGAATTTATTCCGCTGGCTAACCATCAATATCCCCCAAACCCAAAACGCCCCCATCTACCCCATCCCTATCGCCATCTAAACCGCTCTCAAAAACAAGGCATCTCATCAAAGACACCCCCCCAACAACGCCATCTAACACGCCATCATCTATTCCAACCCCCATACCCCATCCCTCAAACCATCTAAACCCTCCGTCACCATCACGCACCCCTCACCGCCTCAGCACCTCTCCAATCCCTACTCTCCACCCCGGGCAACACACACGACGGCGGATGCCCAATCTTACTCTTCTTACTAACACTAACCGCGCTATCCGTCGATCCAAAACTCGACGTCCTCGTGATCCCCGTAGCAGTCCTCTTCAACCTCGTCGCGGGCGGCGACCACGCCCTGAGTAAGTCTCCCGCTGAAGACCGATCCTCGGCTTTGAGGTCATCAATGACGCTATCGATCGCCTCTTCGTTGTCGCGCGCTGAGGCCCCGTCGAGGAAAGGGTCGAATGCCCAGCACGCTTCGAGTCCGGGCATGAAGACAGGGGAGGAAGCGAGTTCGGACCAGGAGAAGTAGTCGTCGCACATCCCGATGTAGAGATCGAGGATATGTCCGTTGTGATCTAGCGTCGCGCAGTGCGCGGTCAGGAAGTCCATGTCGTAGAGACTGCTATCGATCAGGTTTGGGGGGAGCTGGCGGAGCATGGGGAGTCCCGTGACGTGCTCGGCGTCGCAGATCTTGGCCACTAAGGGCATCCATGGACGTCCCTTGAGGAGGCTCGCGAATTCGTTGGAGGTAGCTGTGACGAATGATGAGCTGTCCTGGCCGGGGATGGCGACGACGCGGTGGAGACCACGTGATTGGACACGTTTATACGCCATAGTGTCTTTCTCGAACGGGAAGGGTTGAGAAGCCGTAGGCATGAGGGAGATATGCACCGACCAGGCCTTCGCACGATTAGAGCGCCCGGAGTGAGAAGAGCGTTGAGAGGAGCGCGAGCGGCGGGAGTGTGGTTGCCGAGGAGGAGTCATGGAGGGGCGCCGCGAGATGGTATTCTCGATGCGGCGGGGGTGGGAGGAGAGACCGTCTACGCGGTCCTCGAGGATCATGGATGCGTCGTCCAGATCGATGATGCGGCTTTGGACGGTGCGGATGTCGTCCTGGGTTGCGTGGGTGGTGTCCATGAGTGCGTCTATGCAGTCGTCGTGGTAGCGGGTTCGTCGATCCAGAGCGCCGAAGTGCCTCCATAACCCCTCGATCCCGCGATACACATTCCTAATCTCTAAGTCGGCGTTGAAGCGGCCATTTTCGTTGTGTTCTTCCAGGGCGCTCACGCGGACGGTCAGGTGGTTTTTAGCTTCCCTCTCCCTCTCGAGGAGTTTCTCTAACAGCACGATCCGCGCCCTCATCGTCTCGACCTCCTCCTTGTCTGCTAGGGTCTCCTCGGTTGGGGCGGTGAGGTGGTAGACGGCGAGGTGGCCGCAGTTGCATGAGCTGCCGGGGGTGCATTTGTTCAGCGAGAAGCCGACGCAGGCGCAACGCTGGCCGCGGACCTCGGGGTGGAGGAGGAGGTAGCGGCACTGCCCTTGGGGGAGGGGAGATTCATCGTCGCGGCTGGTGGTGGACTGGGGCCGGTGGAGGGGACTGGCCGGGTGGGACATTATGATTCGTGGAAGAGTTGCTTCGACAAACCGATTCTATGGCTCCAGAGCCCGAGTTGATGGTCCATATGGTAGATAAACAGCGCCGGCGGTGGAGGTGATAATAGAGTTTGGTATTCTTCTGGCGGCGAGAGTAGTAGTCCTTTGGTATGTCTCTAGCAGCAGGCTGGGGAACGGGACGTATGTATGGTGTGCTGCTCAAAATGGAAAAGTCCGTCCGTATCTTTGAGGGCGGACGTGCCGAAAGATAAGGGAGAGATATCAGATACGGTGGGCGTACAATGATAACCAGGACCACTGGTGAAAGCCACGAGTTGCAGAGTTCGACGAAGCTAGTCCGGGTGACAGGGCATACACACCAACATATATAGATATTCTCTGGTGGCGGGAGATCTGTATATATATGTATGCGTATGTGAGTTAGTGGAGGTTGGTGGTGGAGTGGTTGTGGAGTTTGTGGAGTTTGTGTAAAGCGGGATATCAGGGCGGACCGTCTATTAAGGTATAAAACGCTCGGGAATAGACGGCGGGACGAATGGGTAGTGTACAGAGAAGTGCGTCGCGGCCAGCCGGGGCGAAGTGGGCCACAAGGATTGAAGGGATGGGGTGAGAGAGGAGGACGAAGGGGCGAGAGGGAATGGATGAGGGCACGAGGCGGTAAGGAGGAGCGAGAGACGGCGATGAGGCCAACATGAGACGGGGGGGTGGTGAGGAGGGACGAGGGAAGAAAAGGACTGACAGTGAGGGCGGAGGGGGGAAAAAAAGAGTGTATACTGTACACGGTGGACAAACCCAGTTCACTACTGTCTTTTGCGGATTTTTAGTTGGGAGGGGGGGGGGGTGTGGTGGTGGGGAGTAGTAGATGGGGGAGGGATGGGGGGAGGATGGGAGAGGATTTGGGGGTGTAAAGTGGAAAAATGGGTCAAATTGGTAAATGAAGCGTGGGGTGAGAGGATAAATTTTGAATGGCGTGAGTGACAGGGTGGGTTGGGTGCTTTTTGTGCTTTGGAGATTTCGGTTGCACGGTCGGGGGTATAAGTGGGCAGGGGTATGTTGGTGGGAGACGGTTGGAGAGGGTGGGATCTGGTGGTAGATGATGGGATTTGGGTGTGCTGGGCGAGGAAAAACGTGGGAGGATCGAGTGGGATCTGGTGTGGGCGTGGGAATAAAGGAAAAGGGGTGGGAGTGGAGTAATTGTTGTTAGGATGACGGACTGATTGAATACCTGACACAAGTACCGGTTGGCGTTGGAAGTACCCATAGCATACGAATTTGGTGGTTAAGATACATGGGGGTTGGACGTCACTCTAGTCACTCTATTACGATGTGGCCAATCGGCCAATCACGGCAACCACCGCTGTCGGCCGCTCAGGAATTTATTTTACATAGTGCTACAGTACAGTACCGATATAGAGTACGTACCAGTAATACAGTACTCTGCAGAAATGGTGGATGGATGGATGGGAGGGAGGGGAGGGGGATGGGGGATGGGAGGGAGGATGGGGGCCCGAGGGACGGGGTGACGGGGGGGAGAGGGGAGAGGGGATGGGGGAGAGGGACGAGAGGAGAGGAGAGGGGACCAGCCAGGGCGCGTGGGGCACAGGAACGGTCAGGGACGGTCCGAGATGGTCAGTTTACGGTCATTTTCAGGCCGTGTAGATGTGTCTCGCTTTTTACTATAGTATGGCAATAGTAGCACTTTTAGCACTGTTGACTGCAATCAGGCGCGGGATGAGAGAGGGAAAAATGGATACTTGGGCACTGTAACAAATTTGATCATGAATTCTCTGTACAGGGGGTACCGTGGTGCTGCCGTGGTGGTGGACGGACTCTGCCTCGTGTCTCCCTGGCTCAGCACAGGACAAGCAATGCTCATAGTACTGTATGTACAGCCCAACATTTCACTACCGGATGAAAATCCCCGACGCGACGACGTGGGTTGGTTTGAGGCAGTGGTGGTGGGTGTGCGCTCAGTCCTTCCGGTATGGGTTGGTATGTGTCGTTGTTTCCGGTATGCGATGCGCAGTCCCTTTTCTGTTATACCCGCACGCACAGAAACAGCAGGCAGAGACAACTTTGCACTGACTGACTTGACTGACTGACTACCTGCACGCACTGCACCTTTATACCTGCATCCATGACGAGATAAGGCGACGCCATTACCCCATCGCACGCACATGTGTTCCACCCACCCCCACTGTGCGGTAAAACAGCAGAAGAGTAAAACAACACACTCAAATACTTTTTTGCTTGGTAAATACTTACATACAGACTACTTCCATACTTACACCCTCATACCCTCACTCACTCACTCTACATCATGCCACGCCCGGAGTCGTGTACTCCGCGGGGTACACCGAACACCCAACTCACTCACTCACCGTCACTCTCGCCCTCACCATCACCATCGCCCTCACGCAATTCCCATAATTAACGGCCAAAAAATCAACGACCGACAAGAAACAGACACCAAGGTACAAAACCCACAGCATCATCTGCAGCCTCTCTCTCCTCCAGTCCCTACCTACATGCTGTACACACTCTACCATCCCCCCTCCCCTCCCCTACCCCCAACAACCACCCACCCACCCTTGTCCACAAAAAACTGCAATGGTGGGGTTATTACACCAAAATTCCATCGCGATTTATTATCTCCAACCAACCCCCATCCGCCATCTCCCCCCCTCATCCCTCCCACCCACACACACACTCCATCCCACCCCCAAAAAAAGGTACAACAACAGTGACCTTCCCCGTCCAAATAGCCCCACGGGACGACCCGGCCGGTTGTGCCGTTTGAACATCATATCATCCAGCCAGAGCCGTTGGCTGTCCTGTCACCGAGAACTCAATCGAGAGGTGTGCGTTGCTTTGTCAGCCCGGTATTGTGCCATGGGCTCGCTTGCTTCCTTCCCCCTCGCCTTCGAATGGGCTTCGATATATATAGGCAGAAGTACGGGAGATGTGTCGATCGACTGCGCGCCGTTTTTGGGCGTTTCATGTCGTATCGCATCCACTAGGGGATGAACACGTGATGGGGATCGTCCTTTCTATTTGTGGGTGCGATAACGTTGTTGTTTTCCTTACGTCGAGCTTGGTCAGGTACCCGTGATCTTGTGGTCATGTGCTATATCACGTGCAATATCTGACAACGAACGTCAGTTGTTCGATTCTACCTGAGAGCCTCATTTACATTCTGTTCTGGCATCTACGTTGTTCACTTTGTAGTGCTTTCCTATTGTTCATATGCCAGGTGAGGAACAACGGTTATGTCGTATTAAAATGTTCAATAGTTCTGTTCAAACAATGCGCAGTTTCAACCACCAACGTCAGTTGTTCGATTCCCGCCATCAGAGCCTCATTTCCGTCCAGCTCTGGCATCTACGTTGTTCACTTTGTGGTATGTTCCTATTATTCATATGCCAAATGAGGAACAACAGTTATGCCGTATTAAAATATCCATTGATTCTATTCGAACAATGCGCGTGCTTCCTATTGATGTCCAGCTTCCCCCATTAGCGGGCCTGCCGAAGCCCATTGACATCAAGTTTCGCCTGCTAATTAGCTGTCACAAGACCAGTTAACCCCCAGCCACCCCACTAAGCGCGAACTCCCATTGTCCAATTCCATTGTCCCGGCTTGTTAGCCGCGCGTGAGTGGCTAGCCGCCATTATCACAATGGAAATTATCAAAAGCGTCAAGACCCACGACGACTCACAATGTTGGAAACGGGGCACACAATACGCTATTGTAAGTGATGAGTGAACTCTATACTCGACCTCGAGTCTCTGAGGTAGGTTTTCTTCTTCTTTTCCCTTTTCCTGCTTCCTTTCGGCTTTCAAGATACCAATTTTCCGATATTCGATCGATTTTTTCAAACTTTCAAACTTCGGACTCTGTCAATTGATAACTTACTTTCTGATCCTCATTCTCAAATTTCTCCTGTCCCAATCGCCCTTCACATACCTTTCTCATTTCGGTTCTTCTCCTCTCTCGACCAACCGTCACCCCCTGTTCTTCCCAATTTTCCCCTGAATTTCCCAACTTTCGCCTCGCCAAGATGTCCAAAAGACCAGCTGCACCGGTCGTGGACCAAAAGAAAGTTGTGGTCATCGAGTATGACAAACTGGAGGGGACGTACCTGGAGCTCGGCTTCTGGGACGACGACATCGGCGCCGAGAAGTACGCCGAGCTGTGAGTCTACCCCAATCAGGGGTAATATGAGTCCTTCTAACAATCCCCAGCCTCCACAAGGGCCGAATCCGCGAGGAAGCCATCGTGGACTTCGATGGCAACCTCCTGCGCATCCATGGCCAACCCAACACCGCCATCGCCCTGAAGAACGAGACGTACGAACCCCCCTACCAGTGATCATCTGACTCACCTACTGACCTGGCCCCCCACAGCATCTTCCGGTGCCTCTGCACCCCCGACCTCCAGAACTGCCGCGCCTGCTTCATGCGCAAGCGCACCATCTACGCCGAAGGCCGTGCCCAGCTTGCGCGTCTCGAGCGCCGCTCCGCCAAAGCTGCGGCCCGGCACTACAAAGCCAAGGCCGGCGTTCTGGAAGCCGAGGTCGCCGTTCTTACCTCCTCTCTCGGAGAGCGCGACACCGAGGTCGCGACTCTCAAATCCTCGCTCGCAGAGCGCGATGCCGAGCTCGACGCCGCCAAAGCCCAAGTCCTCGCCCTGAAGGACTTCATTGCCAACCGGTTCACCGATGCGGTCCAGTCTCTCGGAGCTGCCCATCCCGTGGCCGAGTTCCAACAGGCTGCGGACGCGTTCGAGAAGGAAGGCGGCAACATGGGTCGAAGCGCGCTGGCCGGTGCTTTCGGGCTTCCGGCAGAGCGTGCTCCCACGTCCGACACTGGCGTTGCTGGTGGTGGAGTGCTGTCTGGGTCTCCAGGCAGCGGTGGGGATATCACCGATTCGGACGATGAGGATGTCCACGACGGCCTTGCTCGCAAGCGTCGTCGGATTTCCTCTGCCGGTCCGTCTCGGCCCCCCACCTCCACTGCCGGCAACAACAGTCGTCGTCGCCCCTCCTCATCCCTCGGTGCTCGTCGCAAACACTCCGTTCCTTCTTCTTCTCTCCCAGCGCTCGCGGTACCCGCTAGCTCGGGACCCGAGCAGCCCCCCATCCGCCGACGCAAGCTTCCAGCCACCGCTGCTTCTGCCCACGCGGTTTCCGCTAGCTCGGTTCCCGAGGCGCAGAAGCCGGCTGGTCGCTCGTCGTGGAACTCAAGGAGCGCGCAGCTCGATTTCGATGACGCTGTGGTGCCGATGGCGTCGATTGCGGCGGCCGTAGCGGAGGAGAATGCCGTCCTTGCTGCTTCTGGTTCAGGGAAGCGCAGGGCGGATTCGACTCTCGCTGACAATGAGGTCGGGCTTGAGGACTCTCAGGAGCTCAGGTCCGCCTCCCCCGCTGCAGACACCGACAATGACTCCGACGCCGACGTCGATACCGATTCCGACAGCGACACCATCTCCGGCTCCGGCTCCGGCTCCGATTCCGACGGTGCCGCTGCCGCTGCTGCCCCCGCACCCGCACCAGCACCCGCCGCCAGACGCTCGACCTCCTGGTCCGAACACGAGAAGAACTGCCTGATCGCAGTGATGTTCGCGCACGCCGACGCGGTCAAAGCGGGCCGTCATCCCGCGGTCTATGATACCGCGCTCTGGGCTGTCGTCCGGAGGCGGTTGATGGCCGAGTACGGGATCGATCGGGTACCGCAGGCGTGCCGGATGATGTGGAATCGTGGGCTTCGGGAGCTGACGGGGCTGGATGAGAGGTTGAGACGGGATCCGAATAGGATGGCGACGAGTTTGCAGAAGAAGGCTGGGCAGTGATGGGGGGTGGTGGTGGTGGGGTTGATGGGTTGCTGAGTCTGGATTTGTTTTTTGTTGTTTTGTGATTTTTTGTGGTTTTGTGGTGGTGGTGTTTCTGTGGTTTGGTGCTTGGTCCTTCGTGCTTGGCGCTTGGTTTTCCTGTTTTTGTGGATGGTGGCCGTTCTTGCGTTTTGTCTCGTGGTTTTTTTCTTTTGTTTTTTGCTTTTATGACAAGTGCTGTCTTTGCATCTGCGAGTGATTTTTTTATGCGATAATTGTATCCAGACTCAGCTTGTTTTGCGCTTTCGTTTTTATGAATTGAAATTATATCCCTGATTTGATTTCCACAAAATGTAACCTTCTTACATGCCCCACTTCCCGTCCAGGCCAACGACATCGATAATTGACATGTAACTGACAGGACCCTGGATTGCTCGGAATATTCGTATTTCATCAAATAAAAATGTTGCGGCTGATTTTCACAAGGCCTTTAACGAGACAACTGGCCGGGAGTTTGAGGTGCTTTCGCCCCGTCCGAATCACTTCATCGCCTGGGATAGTCCCTCGCACTCCCCCGAGGCGATCTTTAGGCTTCACCAGGAACTCCTCGACTGGCAGATCCCACAATGCCACCGAGTTAGATAAAAAGGATTTCCGCGCTAAGAGTGGATACCCATGCTCGTATATCAACTCGAATTGCTCATACCCCTGCTCTTATTGGGGGTTCGTCATCATCCGCACTACATATACGCCAGAGTCCGATCTCCAATGGCCCGTCGCGATGGCAAAATTATCCGACTGGCTAAGGTTGGAGATGAAGGAGAAGTCCGATGCTTCCGCCGAGGATCAAGAGCACGTCGTTGGAAAATTTAGGAACCTGATAGCGGAGGAAAAGGCCAAGTATGACGGGATGCCGATGAACGATGCGGTTTTGCGCTTCGAGGATATTCTCAAGGAGCAAATTGATATCGCAATGAAGTACAGCACACAAGAGCATTTTGAGAAAACATGGCTCTGTCGGATTCCTGAGCTTGTCGAGCAATCTCTCGTTGAGTCTGATCCCGAGGTCAAACGAGATCTCCTCGAAGCATCGTACTGGCATCTCAATCAGTACATATGTCTTGTGATAGATGATGAGGTGTTGAAAGATCTCGTGGAGTTCCCTTGTTTCCTCCCTCAATTCGATTTGGCTGAGGCGCTGAAAGAGATTAGGGAGCACCCCGATGGTCCTCCGCCTGATGCTAATCAGGCGCATCTCAAAGTTGCCATGCGCCATACAGATTTCGAGTTGGTGTGTTGGAGGGAGGGTTTTAGTGCTGACGACCCGAACTGGTACACTCAATGGGGTAACTGGGCTAACTGGGCAGTGAGGAATGGCTTGGGGGAGATGCATTGGTCTATTCGAAGTTCTGTCTTGCATGAAGGCGGCATAGAATTGGAGCTACTAGACGGGAAGCCATATGTCGAAATTTGGGGGCAGGAATAATACCTATCTGCTTTGTGTACTGCGCTTGCTTTTTTTTATATCCAGGTTCAGATGAATTGCACTGGTTTTAATTTTACGAGTAACTACACTTCTCGGCACCGGCCGAGGAATCTCTAATGACGAGACATGAAGATTTTCCTATGGAAAATGGCACGAGGGAAGGGGAAAATATTTCGTTCTAGCAGCTGCGAGTCATTCGCGCCTTGTCCTTTGTGCTGTTATAGAGAAACGCTACGTTTCACGAACTTGGGATTCAGGCAGAGGGACTACATGTCGATACGGGTTTGCACGCATGCAGATGATATCAATGCAGATGATGAGCGGGAAGAATAGTATATAAAGAGTGTGCATGGTGCAGTTGGCATCGCCGAACGCAAGTCAAGCCTCTATGGTACGTCGTTGACCCGTCGGCGTTACACTATAGAAGCTTCAATTTCATTTCTAAATACGCCATTTATAACCTTGAGCTTCACACATCCGGATGCATACCTTGGGAACACTGATACCCCCTCAGGACCTCTTATATCTCACGTCCGTCTTCATTATATACCGTCTGCCTTGGAGCAAGTTGAGATCCACAGTTGCTGCAGAATCTAGTCCAGATCCTGCCAAAACATTGCATGCTATGGGGTCGAGCTGCAGCGAGACACTGTATGGTTGAGTTTAGGCAACTATTCCGGATCGATTGATCCTCTCATTGCCGGTTACACCACTGACCATCTGCTATTACACATGGGTTTGCTTTTCGATGGGATGTTGACGCTTGCTTCTGTTTCGACAGATAACGTAGATGCCCTTCTGAAGTATTAATACTCTGTAAAAACAAGACGAACGCGAGAAATGGAGAAAGGAAAACGTGCCAGACAGAAACTGAGCAGCCACAAGAAACGTCCAATAAAAGACTAGGCGACAGCTGCTCGCCAGCCACTACACCCAGAATGTCCAAATTCTTCAACTGTGGCACCAGGGACACGATACCACCGACCCCAGGCCCAGCTCCAGTTAGTCGTGAACCAAGTTGAATTGCAATTTCAGGCCCTGACAAGCTATTTATAAACATCAGCATCATGCAAGTATTAAGTGGGAGAAATAATAACGCATACGTTAACAAGCAGCCCAAACGCAACCATCCAGCAGACAAAAACTACGAAGTCGAGGGGGACGGCGAAAAAGGAGTATCTTAGAGGTAGCAGCAAAGCTGAGGAGAATAAAATGGTAATTCCCGCTATGGAGCTTGCATACACAATGCGGCTATTGTTTCAGACACCAGCTTCATGAATATTATGGAGATAGTTCCCTAGAATGCCGGCCATAATGGCGGCGGAAACAAGCTCCATCATCTAAAGATTACGGACACGGCTCGCGATGTGGTACCCATTGTTAATCTTTTAGATATTTGGAGATATTGATTCTTCAATAGTAACGACGACTACTTTAGGTTCACGGTCTGACATTATGCAACACTTGTTAAAGTGTTAACAATATATTCACTACGTATGCTTCTTATAAATTATTGGCCCAAAGACATAGAATATAATGGGATGTACATAGTACCTACATCATCAGGGAGACCAGAGCGGCCAGACCATAAATACCAAGCCGGATTACCGGAACTGAACCAAGACCAAGCACGTAGAGTTAGGCAATCGCAAGCCATGGGCTCTTTAATGCGGGCAGCAAAGCGTAGTGTCGTCAGAGGCGGACGGGAATTAGACGATGACGACATACGAAACAACAGCAAAATAATACCGTAGAAAACGACGGAGGTTTTATCTCCCTTTGCAGCTTGGCGGTATCAAAATTTAGCCTTACTTCGTACCAACGACGTGGTCGAAGTTCGGCAAGACTGCAACAGAAAGGGAGTTTAATAAATGAAATGAGATACTAGTGTATATACTACCTTGTGCGCTAACGTAACATTAGTGGACGACTAGCTCATCCTTACCACAACCCCACACCCAAGCGAAAGTGCTTATAATGGATAAGCCTAGTTATGACAAGACAATTTGTTAGTAGCAACAGCATCGACATCTAAGCCTATCTTTAGTGCCATCCATCGTAAGATCTAAGAGCTGATTCCTTATATTGTTTCAACCCCGCACTTCGACGCGCTTGACTTACGGACCGCAGTAAACACTTCAACTTGCCTATTCTGCACTGTACCTTTAAAGCCTAAAAAGCGTCCGAGTTATCGAGATCGCTAGTCATTGATCTATGCCAAATTGTCCATATTATTGGTCGTCAACGTTTACTCCACACCATGTCTGATCCTATGCCTATAATCCTCTGTGTTAAATCATCTACTATGGCCACGGAATGTATAGACTGTTTTCAACCCGAGTATGAAGGTATGGTACTTATACCAGATGCCCATCAACTTCATCTGACTTTTTTGATACAGTAATCCACGTCATCTTCTCTGTCGCTGCTGGAGCACTCGATATACCCACACTTCTTCGAGGTGAAACTCTATCACCTAGTGACCCACATAACCTCGGTACCCGGAATTACTCTAAAACGCCAGTAGCCGTGATACTCGGAAGGATGTACGATGATGTGGACTTTGCAGAAATGCGAGAGTCTTGTAAGGGAAGAAGCAACGTGCCATGGCTCAGACAGGATTTAAGTAAACCTGAACCGCCGCTAGGAAATGGGTTTGCAGAGGCAATGGTGGAACGGATGAAAGCCTGCCTAAGCAACTTAGCCGTGAAGGGAATACTTAAACAGGATGGAGTCTACTTGTATTAATCAGGGGATCCAGACTACTCAACATTAAAAAAGCTCGCCTTTATACAACTTTTCGATTCAATTTACCACCTCTGGACCACCTACCCTTGAGATGGTTTATCTCCTTGATAGGATTGGACCAAATGACTGCCCTCAAAATCCATTTGTTGAGGTATTAACTCCTTTGGACCTTTATTTCCCTGTTTCTTCAAAATTTCCTAGCGCTGCGTTTTGAAGTATCTAATTAAACCCTCCGTCAGCCGCTTTAGAAGCCATTCACTCTCCCTCCGCTCTGCTAATTTAGCCCATTCCAGAACTCCTTCCTGTTGGAAATCTTCCTCGGAGTTAAAGGTGAGTCTTAGGAGTCTATCGTACTCGATCCATTCATCAAAGTTGTATCTCTTAGGCGGAACAGCCTCTAGGTCTCCCGCTGTCTTCTGGATAGCTATTGCCAATTCCACAGCTAAATCGTGCCGATAAAAATCTTCTGTCACTGATGATTGAACAGTTGCACCCCCACTTTCATCCATTCTAGGTTGGGTACCTATACCCTCCGTTCCTGGCTTCTGAGCGCGGTTTGCGGCTTTCCTGCATGCACCTAGCACCACCCTAGACTCTCTATCCAAAGGGCGATGCCGACGTATGGATTCTGGCAGGATAGTCCAGGCCGCGAGTATAAGAGTCCCACGCTTGTACCTAGCAATAATAGTGTCGGCCATATTGGAGATTAGGATGGTCATTGTCGGAACAGCGACTAAACTCCAGACAATGAAAAACGGCTTGCCTGAATTGCTTGTAGGAGTTAGGTCTCCGTAGCCAATGGTAAGTAGTGAAATATAACAGAAGTAAAGTGCATTAGAGTACGACCAAGGTTGCTGCGACTGCTCCACCCGCCAGAATACAAGAGCACCAATAAACCAGATAATACAAAATGCAATTACTGAGAGCGCCAGTTCACAGTGGTGTGTGACCTGACTAGTTCTTTTCTGGATTGCGCGTAGGGCATCAAATCGATCTCTTTGCTCGAGTGAATTGCCACCAATACGCATAACGTCCCTTCGATATCCACCTCTACAAGAATTCTCTGTAGAAGTAATCGGACTAACACTAAACGTTATAGCAGAAGCTGGTGGATCGTGGCCATCGTTTCGATCTTTTTTTGTTTTCGGAACCCTAATGTCGTTGTTAAGATGCCTCACTATACGCCTCCGGACAACGTCATGACCTAAATCTTTAACAAACTCTCGAATGCTGCTGACTAGTAATCCTAGGATGATGATACCACCAGCTGCATATGGAAAGATTAGGCCTCTACCAGATTTAGTTCCTGGTGTGAAGTCTCCGAAGCCTATGGTAAGAATAGTCTCGTCGCAAAAATACAGGGCATCTACGTACGACCACCCACACAATTTATGAAAGATCGCAGCGCCACCTGAAAGCCATAGGCAAAGCATCATAGTTTGAAGAATCATGTTGCGTTGCTCACCCGTAAGATTGAAATATTGCGGATAGTGACCGAGGAAATAACCTAGCATGTTCACCATGAGTAGCATAGAACCAAAGGTGTATAATACAGCCGCGATTATTGCGTCCCAAAATCCCTGGGAATACGTCTGGCTAGGTCGATGCGGAGGTATGTATTTGTTCATGGCAATGATGGTGCTAGTGAGCTATGAAGTAGTTAAGTCATCAGTTCCACGTACATTCAGAATGAATAAGACTCACGATGCCCGCTGCAAAGTACCATGATATTATTGTTATTGGCAACACCACGATATATCGAATCCGCCTAGTGAAGTTGAGGAGCAACGAAATATTACCCGCAATGCCACAAGCTAACGAAACAGATTTAAGCGCAATGCACCTGCATAATTTCAGTACGTGACTCATCTGCCAGCGTATCTTCAACGAACCATGGCGGGTCTGGGAACCCGATAGAGTCCTCGTCATTTCCAGGAGCGGCTGGTGAATAATTGTTCCTCCAATATGTCACCAGCGCAGCGATTGACAAAACGTTGGCTATCGGTCCTGCGAATGCTGCGAGAAGAGGAATAACAGTCGATGCAAACCACCAATCTCTACGATTAGCGTTAGCTCTGCTTAGAATTGTAATCAAAGGTGTACTCACTGTTTCTCGTCTTTCTCAAGCTGAGGCCTACAGGCCTTTCGTTTTGGTATACAGGTAGAGTCGCGGTTCAAAGGTGACCCGTCGTCATCGCCTCTTGAGTCCGGGCTGGGACTGAAAGAATCCATAATATGAATGTCATAAAAAGCTGCAACAAAGATGGGCCCCAAAGTAAGATATTAGTGGCTATTTTGACAGGGGGTAAACAGAGGAGGCAGGAGGAGCATATTAAGATAAAAGAACAATGTGGGTGATGGCAATAACTTTTCCTTCAACGAATCTTGAGTAAGCAGATTGAAAGGCACTCTGAAGCTACGATAGCTTATTCAAGCTTGCAATGCAAGCTGGTTATTCAATATACTCGGTCACATTGTATAGTGTTACCTAGATAGTAGGCTTACTCCTGCCACAATGGCAAATTACGTCATCAACGCTGTTCAAATCTTGCAACAGGCAAATTCTAGCGAGCGAATATTATGTGATATTCACTAAACCACGGTTTTAACACTTATTATAGCATCGAGATATTAAGCCACAAATTCATCAACCAGACATTAAGTAACACCGGTAACATTACACAATTATCTCATAATTGTGTAGATCCTCAGGTCTCTTACCGCGATCCAATAGCATGTCTGCACTCCAACGTCGCTAGCTCCACCTTAGCTTTGCGAAACTCTGGGGAAGGCCTTTCACGTCTGGCATTTTAGCGTACCATGGTGCTACGTTCTAATCCTCGCCTGTTAACTTGTTACCGGTGCCTAGTGACGAGGATACTATGAACACTCCGTCTTTTCGCTGCCTTTGTTGGTAGTCAATCAGATGTCTGTGTGGCTGTCTCTCCCAGCAATAATGACTTTGTGGAAATTACTGCACTACACCCTCACTACTATGCAAACATCAATACATCATAGTGAGATTTGATTGATTTCCCATCGTAATTAGCAGGGGCTTTGGATGGATTTTAATACATAAAAGATGTCTCCTCTCTCTTCACTACTCTTCCTCCAAATCTCGAACTAATACTTATTTACCAATTACTGCTGCTGCTGCTCCTGATCATAAAGAACCATTCTTCCGCAACACTAATCACCAACCATGGGGGAAGCATCAAAAATCGTGTCGGTGCTCTTCCGGTTCATGCAGCTCGTCTCTGCTTCCATCGTTGCTGGCATCCTGGGGACTTATCTCCACTATGTCAGCCAGGCCCATGCCCATAAGAGTGGACGAGTTGTATATGCAATTTCGATAGCAGGAATCGCCATATTCTTCTCACTTGTTTTGATGGCGCCTCTAAGATACTCTTTTTTTGCCTTTCCCTTCGACTTTGCAATGTTTGTCCTCTGGATAGTTGCCTTCGGACTACTTGTTAATGTACGCTTCCATTGAATACCTTCTACGTATTTCATCAAATGTTTGTAGCATGCAGAAAGCTAATTCAAATCGGCAGCTCGTCGGAACTGGAGGCTGTCATTCAAACTGGTATTGGAGCAACTGGGGCTACTACTGGGGTCGATGGTATCGTACAGTCCCAGTCTCAGCCGTCACACAAGTTCAGGTCGGGACTGGTGCATGTGGTAGATGGCGAGCGGCTGTCGCTTGGTCTTTTATTGGAGCTTTCTTCTGGCTTTTTAGTACCGCACTAGTAAGTTTTTCTAGTTTCGTTATTATGTTGCTTTTAATATTGCAGATAATTAATACGTTATGAAGGGCATCTATGTTGTTACCCGATCTTGGTCTAGGAACAGCGACGGCAACCATACTACCGAAGTGAAACGACGGGAGGAGAGCCATATGGCTAGTGGTGTGGCGCCCAACAATCCACATGAGAACATCAATCGTACCGGAGCAGTTACCCAAGATCAAGAAAGCGCCGCTGGGCTCGGAACATCTGTCCAAAATCAGCAGGTTGTATCTTGCAGTCAGTGTGGAACTGCTAACAGGTTAGGAAGTCAGTTCTGCAGCCATTGTGGGTCTCAACAACAACCGTCAACGAGCATGGTGTAAATGAGCGGCCGATATGAGACGTATGGAGGCAGGAAGGTTTTATGTTTCAAGAACGTTGGATTTTAGCTCCATCAATCATTCGTTCGTCTATTGCCAAAACAACTCTCTGGCGGTGCTCGATTGCACAAATCTCTCTCTCTATCACCTTCATCCACTGCCTTTGCTGCAAAGTTGAATTAATAATAGTTTCGGGTTCTTTGGATCCTATGTAGCCTATGAAAGCACTAAAATTAAGCATGGTTTCACTTTTTTGTGACTAGTATTCGGCAGTACTCGGGTTGAGCTCGAAACTTTACACTACTCGAAAATCTCCGAGCAGTACTATGAATAGTACTATAACTGGTTCTTGGGCAACACTGTCCGCTCATCGTCCACGGGTTGTTCGCATCCACATTTGGTGCAGAACTTATCTCCCGACCGACAAACGTTACGGCACTCTGGACAATAGTGTGTGGCCGCCCTCTTAACCTCGGCGTCTCCAGGACCTCTATTAAATCCGGAATAAGGCGGCACATCATCAACAATTCCCGTCCCTCCCGTATTTGGTACGACGTATCGTGACTCAGCTTCGATCGCGGTATTCTTGCTCCGTTCTTTGGCAATCGCCTCGTCAATAGCCAACTGTGTGCGCCTTTCTCTCTGTTCTTCTTCACGCCTCAGCTTTTCTGCTGCCATCTCAGCAGACATTCGAGCTTCCGCATTGCGTTGCTCCTCTTCTTGTACGCCACGCCTAGCTGCTGATCGCGACACTCCATACACTACAGCAGCCCCAAGTACAGGTCTCCTAAACATCGCAGTCCTACAAAGGAATGAGTTAATTGGACTATGAAGGTTATAGACAAAAGGTGAGTGATAACGCCTAGTTTGCGGCTCGATACAGCCGAGAACAGAAGCGGATAAGGAGGTGAACTTACCGGTTTAAGCAATTGTTAGGCACTTAAATTTACCTGCTACACAACGTCGAACAAGCAAATGTAGCAATAATATATGGTGTTCTGGTTAAGCTAGGGCAGTAATCAGCCTCAGACAAGAATACTTCTGGATTGTCTTTTGTTAACAGGATTGAGAACAGGATAAGTAATAGGATATGAACATAAGTGTAAGAGCATTTTATAGGTAGTGTGCAAGTGCAAAACTTGGTAAGTAATTTGGTAGACCTATGCATTACGTAGCTCTCGTATAGCTTCTAAAGATTACGGACCTGATCTGTCTCCCCTAAGGGAGCCCGACATTCGATACCAATAAATAAATAACTTGGTAGACCTAGGTATTACGTAGCTCTTACGTATAGCTTCTAAAGATTACGGACCTGATCTGTCTCCCGTAAGGGAGCCTGACATCCGACATCAGGTTATCACCAACAACTATAAGTTTGCTACTGTACAAAACGTCCAACATAGATGCGACAGCTTCTACAGTGAGTAGAGTAGAATAAAAATAATAGGATATGGCACCAACTCACCACGTACTCTTCACACCGCGTACCGCGCCACCGATCCGCTGCCGTGCAATTTCGATTTATATCTACACGCAACCACTGTGACATAGTCTGATCTTGAACAACAAGAACTTTCAATATCCTCTCACCATATGCTAACTTATTGAGAAAACCTTGAACAGTTACCGATTTCTCTACCTGTTTGATTGAGTTCAATCTGAAATCTTGACCGGCTTGCCGCATACTACCAGAGGAAATTATTGACATCAGGCTAAAGATATCAGGGTCAAGTCAGGTCGGTTTCGCCTTGGTAAAATGGCTGGTATTGGGACAGAAGAGCGAGAAAATCAGCTTTTGCTAGCTAATAATACACGACATGAAAAGAGTATTTTTGAAGAGCTTACCAATGCCGCAACAACGACTTCAAGGGTCAGAACTTTCTCAAACTCTGCAGCAAGCGGGACCCTATCCAGATCTGATACGCTTGATGGCTCTAAAGCTGAAGATCCTGCTTTAGATCCTACTAGTCCGCGCTTTGACGTGTACAAATGGGCGAGGATGATTTTGCGCGCTGCGGACAATGCAAACGTCAAGTTTCGCCGAGCTTCATTTAGTTTCAAGAACCTTGAAGTTTCAGGCTCCAGGTCGGCCATATATTTTCAGCCCAATTTGGCTTCGGTCTTCATGATACCTTTTCGACTTCGCGAATATGTCACTTTTGGCAAACGGCCAAACAAGAAGATATTGGACTCCTTTGACGGCCTCATCAAATCCGGCGAGATGCTGCTGGTGCTAGGGCGCCCCGGCAGTGGTTGCTCGACCTTCCTGAGAACAGTAGCTGGTGAGCTTCATGGGTTGGGGGTGGGTAAAAATTCTGTGCTCCACTACAGCGGTATTGCCACCTTGGTAAAAAACATCGGTAGATTGATTTCTAACTAAAATAAAGGCATATCTCAAAAGGAAATGATTGAAAACTTCAAAGGGGAGATAGTCTACAATTCGGAGGTGGATAATCACTTTCCGCACCTTACTGTAAGGCAGACCTTGGAATTTGCGGCTGCTGTACGCACGCCTCGCAACCGCGTTATAGCGGTATCCCGGAAAGATACTATAAAGCGTATCACCGCGGTCGTCATGGCAGTCTGTGGATTGACTCGTGCCCAAAACACGAGAGTTGGCAATGATTTCGTCAGAGGGGTCTCCGGAGGTGAAAGAAAGGTAATAAGGCTTAATCCATGTTAAAACACTATGTGCTAATTGCCTCAAGCGTGTTAGCATTGCGGAGATGATATTGGCAAGGGCTCCCATTGGCTGTTGGGACAATAGCACTCGCGGACTTGATGCCGCCACAGCCCTTAAATTTATTCAGACTTTGAGAACGAGTGCCGATGTCGTCGGTATGACCCATGCTGTCGCAATCTATCAAGCATCTCAAGCCATTTATGAACTCTTCGATAAGGTCATTGTTCTATATGAAGGGCGAGAAATCTACTTTGGGTCTACAAGCGCTGCGAAGACCTACTTTGAGGAAATGGGCTGGTACTGTCCACCCCGTTTGACTACAGGAGACTTTCTCACCACTGTCACCAATCATTTGACGAGAAAACCGCGACAAGGCTATGAAGGACGTGTGCCTCGATCTCCAGTTGACTTTGAGAAGTATTGGCAGGCATCTACCGAGTACAAAGCACTCCAGGATGAGATAGTGCAACATGAGAGGGAAACTTCTAGCAAAGCCTCAGCTGCTGAATTTAAAGCGTCACGTCGAGCTGTACAAGCGCGCCACATGTGGTCAAAGTCTCCGTATATCGTCAACATTCCAATGCAACTTAGGATCTGTACTAAACGTGCATATCAGCGGCTATGGAATGATAAGATTTCAACATTGACTGTAGTGATTGGACAAATTATCATGGCTCTTGTCGTGGGCTCGGTCTTTTTTGGAACACCCAACAACACAGGCAGTTTCTTTGCAAGAGGCTCGACACTTTTCTTTGGGACCCTTCTCAGCGCACTCATCGCTGTCACTGAGATCAACAATATGTATCAACAAAGGCCTATTGTTGAAAAACAAGCGTCATATGCGTAAGCCCACCGGATTACCTTGTGGCATCTTATTGATTTCTCGGTTCTAGCGGCCATCCATGATTCTTGTCATCTATGTGAAAATCTGACACCCTTGAATGCTAACTTTTTTTGGTAGCTTTTGCCACCCTTTCGCCGAAGCCCTAGCAGGTTTGGTTTCAGACGCTCCCATCAAGCTCATAATAACGATATGTTTCGATCTCATACTCTATTTCCTTGCAGGACTTAGCCCGGAGCCTTCCCAGTTCTTTATTTTTTTTCTGTTCACTCTGCTGGTCAGATTTACTATGTCTGCGATGTTCCGGACAGTAGCAGCAGCAACCAAGACGATCTCACAAGCTTTAACAATAGCAGGTGTATTAATATTAGCAATTGTGATCTACACTGGGTACACAATTCCTCTACCATATATGCATCCATGGTTCAAATGGCTTAATTACATTAACCCATTGGCATATGCGTTCGAGGCACTAATGGTGAACGAATTCCATGGGAGAGATTTTCCTTGTGCCAGGTAACTCACTTCAACGCCCATCCTTGCTGTACTCTGATGCTGACTGCTCGTTTAGTTTCGTGCCATCATATCCAAATCTTTCTGGTAACACTTTCATCTGCCCAGTCACAGGCGCTGTCGCGGGACAATTAGATGTTTCCGGGGATGCATATGTCGAAGCTAGCTTTCAGTACCACTACTCTCACATCTGGCGGAACCTCGGAATCTTAATCGGGTTCTGGATATTCTTCGTGGCAACCTATCTCATTGGAACAGAACTTAACTCGTCTACATCGAGCGCGGTCGAAGTTTTGTCTTTTCGACGAGGACATATGCCAAAAGACACCCTACAGACTCGTAGTGTTGACGAGAGCGTTGGCCCAGTGCCAGCAGGAGATGTCAGTATTAACAGTCGGAGGCAGAGAAGTGACGATATGTCGCAACAGAGAAGCATTTTCTCTTGGCGTGACGTTGTCTACGACATCCATATCAAGGACAAACCTCGGAGACTACTGGATCATGTTTCCGGATGGGCTAGACCTGGCACGCTCACTGCATTGATGGGAGTGTCTGGAGCCGGAAAAACGACTCTACTAGATGTTCTAGCTCATCGTACCTCCTGTGGAGTCGTCACTGGAGATATGCTGGTCAACGGCAAAGTTTTGGATTCGAGCTTTCAACGCAAGATTGGTATGGTTTACTAAGGGTAATAGTCGCCTCTGGAGCTAAAAGCTGAACATGAAACAGGCTATGTCCAGCAACAAGATGTCCATCTTGAGACCGCGACAGTTCGTGAAGCTTTACGATTTAGCGCAATGCTCCGTCAGCCGAAATCGGTATCAACAAAGGATAAATGCAAACACGTGGAAGAGGTAATTAGGGTGAGCGTTCACCGGTTTTATTAATTCTTCTCATACTGATTAGGACAAAGATGCTTGACATGAGCGAGTTCGCTGAAGCTATAGTTGGAATACCAGGAGAAGGACTCAACGTGGAGCAACGGAAGCTTCTCTCAATTGGAGTGGAATTAGCAGCCAAACCAGCCTTGCTTCTTTTCCTAGATGAGCCAACAAGCGGTCTGGATTCACAGAGCTCGTTGGCTATTGTTTCTCTCCTTCGGAAGCTTGCAGATAATGGACAGGCAGTCCTCGCGACAATTCATCAACCCAGTTCGATATTGTTCGAGGAATTTGATCAACTTCTTTTTCTTGCCAAGGGTGGCAGAACGGTATACTTTGGTGAGATAGGTCACAATTCGCAAACACTTCTCGAGTACTTTAAGAAGAACGGCGCCAGATCCTGTGGGAAATCGGAGAATCCCGCAGAGTATATTTTAGAAGTCGTTGCCGCCACAGCAATTGGTCAAACCACACAAGACTGGCCTGAGATCTGGCGGTCGAGCGACGAAAGCAGAAACAGAATACTTGAACAAGACCGCATACATCATGAGATGGGTTGTGCAACTATGGAAAACTCTAACGACGGCAACTGTGATGAGTTTGCTGTCCCTCTATACGTCCAACTTCGACATACCATTATTAGAATATTACAACACTACTGGCGCTCACCTACGTATATCTGGGGCAAGATCATGCTTGGTGTAGTATCCGCCCTGTGAGCCTGTCACTATTAAACTGTCTTTGGTTGTAAATCGTTAACATATAGCAGCTTTATTGGATTCTCGTTCTTCAGGTCGAACGACTCCTTACAAGGGCTACAAAATGTCCTATTCAGCATTTTTATGCTGACCTCAATTATGAGCTCGCTCGTTCAACAGGTTAGGTCGTCTAATCAGCCAGTCTTGAAATCGTGTGTTGCTAATCCGGGTAGATTATGCCACGCTTTGTGCTGCAAAGATCGCTATATGAGGTCGGCCACCTACAGTACCTGGGCTCTTGATGTAGTGTAAATTAATGCGATCAGGTTCGCGAGCGTCCGTCTAAAATATACTCCTGGATCGCTTTCATCCTCGCCAACATAATAGTCGAAATACCCTACCAAATCATTCTTGGGATTCTGGTTTTTGGGTCTTACTATTATCCAATTTTTGGGTGTGACTTTCCGTTTAAAGCATATCATAACTTTTGCTAATTCTGCTAGTATACAATCTTCCCAACGCCAAGGTCTCATCCTGCTGTTCTGCATTCAAATCTTTCTCTTTGCTAGTACATTCGCACATTTAGTGATTGTCGCATTGCCCGACGCTCAGACTGCCGGAGCAGTTGCAACTCTTGTGTTGTCCCTAACCATGATTTTCAACGGGTGAGCCAGTTCTTGACAATATGCAAGGTTGACGAGCTAAAGCGCATAGGGTCTTTCAACCACCACAAGCCCTTCCGGGGTTCTGGATCTTCATGTATCGTGTTAGTCCACTGACTTATATTGTTAGTGGTGTTGCGTCAGGTGGTCTGTCCGGCCGACCAGTGCAGTGCTCCACGAGCGAGATCCAAGTCTTTGACCCATCGAGTGGTCTGACTTGTGGCGCTTACCTCCAGCCTTTTTTGACTCAGGCACCCGGCCAACTACTCAATCCAGATGCCACCAGTCAATGTCAGTATTGCCCCTTGTCAACCGCAGACCAGTTTCTTGCCATGTCTGAGATCTCGTGGAGTACACGATGGAGAAACTTTGGTATTGTGTGGGCTTACATTATCTTCAACACGGTCATGACGATGGCACTTTATTACGCCTTCAGGGTCACAAAGTGGAGTTGGGCAAGCCGACCAAAGGTCTTGCAGTGGCTGCTCATGAAAGTAGGATATTATGCCAGGGCATTGCTGGTAGGATACTTTGGGAAGTCTCCAGTTGAGAAAGGCGGAGAACATCATCTTTTTTAACAAAGTCGTTTCGATGTTCGTCCTAACATTATAATGATTTATTGATTTGCTACATAAGCTTTTTCCGGAATCATCAATGTCAAAGAGCCGGTGTTTTCATATCACTTCCGACCTTTGGACCTCAAGCAACAATAAATCGATCCTTGGAATAATCGTCCACTAAGTTATATCTTAAGGAAAGGAATACTGGTGCATTAGGTTCTTGGCGTACGAGAGGTTCAGGGCGAGCATACTAGTGAAAATTAAGCTTTGGTTTTTCACAGTTCATCGAGGAAACTGGGTATTTTGTTGGAGACAATGCAAGTATTAATGATACACTATGTAAGTTACGGATAAAATTATTATGGCGTCGCGATTGAGTTTTTGACGTGCGCATTTGTAATATTCGGGGTGTGAAATTGGCCGGTACCCTCCCAAAGCACCAACTAAGCCTAAGTACCAACCCACACTCTTCAAACACGCTTCGTAACGGAGCTATGGCATCATTAACACTACTTGGTTCTACACCCACTTTGCGATGGGGTTTCACAGTCCCCCTTCCCCCTTTCCCCCTTTCCCCCTCTTTTACAACCCTTCGCCTATTTCCCCTCTACATCCCATCTATAAGCTAGGGTTTCAATATACTCGGTCACACTGTATAGTGTGACATAGATATAGTGTGACATAGATATAGTGTGACATAGATATAGTGTGACATAGATAGTAAGCTTGCAACAGGCAAATTAGCGGGCGAATATCATTTGATATTCACTGAACCACGGTTTTTTGTCTTTCTCTGTTGAATATCGTCTCCCTAGATTACCTTATGTGGGGCACGTAGTCTATTGGAGATGTACCTATCTTCAATATCACACCAGCCAGAGAAATCCCCCCCTGCCTAGGCTATAGCTCTCAGACGAAGTAGGAAGCCTATTTTAGATTCATATTCATACATAAAATCGGCAAAAGAAAAAAGATTATCAAAAACATACAACAGTGGGTATTCGCTGGTGGTCACCCACCCAACTACTAATCCACCGATCTCAAGCTTGTGTATGGCTGAGCGGACGGGATGCCCAATTCTCTTGAGTCTATGGTCGTATGTGAAAGATGTATATGTGGTCTGGATTAAGTACTATTCTTTGGAATGTAAACCCTCGTTCATTGAGAATCAGTTTTGAATTATAATTGCTATGAATTCTGACTACGGTTCGTCTGCGGCCCGTTCATGCTACAACCTTCGCCACTTTCACTTCAGCTGCCTTGTCTTCTGGCTTGAGCGCCTTTCGTTTCTCTGAGGCTTATTTTGGTGGTCGGTGTGGTATATGGGCGCGCTTATCAAATGTGGCACCGATAAGGTTTGGGTGGCGGCGCTTAAACCGGTAGTATTTCGCCGGATCCCAGCTATTTCAGCCTTGTCCCCAACGACCATAGCTTCATAATTACCACCCTTCATTCTTTCCACCCCTCTTCACATTTCAATTACATATCCACCGAAAGATATACTATTTATTGTTCATTTTGGTAACTCTTGGCTACTACACGGAACGAGATCGCATATTAGCACCTATCAGAGCATCTGCGACCACTGGCTACCTGCAGCTGAAGCAAGGCCACCAGCTTGTCGCACATCACAATGGCCACGGATATGGATATCGACATGGGCCTTGATATGGACATCGGGCAGGAATACTCGAACCTTGACATCGAACAAGTATGGAATGCCACATCCACCCGAGACTGACGTCAAGCCATGGAATTTCACGCTGACATGTGCCAGGACACCCAAGGTTTCAACCAGATTGAACTTCACCCCGACCTCAGCGCTGCGCCCATATCAACCGACCCGACAGATTCAGATTTGGCGGTGGTTACCCCGCATAAAATACACCTGCGCGGCTTGGATGACCTCACCACGAAGGACATCAAATCATTCGCGGAGGAGTACTCCGCCGGCCAGCCTCTCGAGAGGGTTGAATGGATTGATGATACCTCCGCAAATATAATCTACCAATCAGCCGAAGCCGCATCGGCCGCTCTTCAGGCTTTCGTTGCCACAGACCAGCTTCCGGCAGCTCATTCGACACTGGACATGCTCGCGGCCAAGCCATTTCCAAATTTTCCCAACACGCGCTTGATGGTCAGACTGGCGGTTGAAGGTGACAAGAAGCAACCAGGCGCACGGGAGCGAAGCCGATTTTACCTCCTCAACCCAGAACATGAACCCCAAGAGCGCCGTCCAAGAGATGACCGTGGCAGGAGAGACGATGGAAGGAACCGATCTCGTCGCGACAACTACAGACGCAGAGATTACGATGACAGGGAGCCACGGAGGCGCAACGATGACTTCGATGCAAGCATGTACGATGATGAACCTTCGCCACCTCGGGGCTCAAGGGAACCCGAATCGGAGTCTGGCACCACATCTTCTGGCTACAGGAGCCAGCGGAGCCAAAGGGTGCGGTTTGCAGGTGTTGGAAAGGAGCTGTTCCCAGAGAAGATCAGCTCAAGAAGCAACGGAAGGCTGCGCAATCGCAGTGCGTCTCCGATGCGCGATAACGAAGGGGATCTGATACTTGACGCGAGACCTGCTGGCGGGCGTGATGGCCGTGCTCGAAGTGCCAACGATGGCGGCGCGAATCGTCGCAAGGCGCAGCTCATCAAGGAGAGACTCAGGGCATCTGCATCTGATCCACTGGAGCTGTTTCCTCGAAAAGCTGGTTCGAGGGCTGGTGGAAATAACGCAGCCGATTCCACAGCTGATCTCTTTGCACACAAGCTTCGAATTCCCATGTTGGATGGCGCCAGCGACAGGCCATCAGGAAAACCAGACTTGATGTCCAGGATATCGAGGCCCGGTGCGTCTGATGCCGATACCCAGGCGAGCTTCAAAATCAAGGGCACGGCGAGGCAGCCAGTTCAGGAGGGGTTTTCGATCAAGGGCATGGCGGCGTCAGGGCAGGAGCACAGGGAGCTCTTCCCGGGGAAGACGGGTGGGAATGCGGGGAAGGAGTTGTTTGCGGATAGGTTGGAGGGGCGAGGTGGGAGGAGGCAGAGGGCGGAGGATACATTCCGTTGAAGCGTTGAGAGGCGCCGCGTGCTGGGAGAGAGTATTTTTATTATGGCCACATGGCTCGGCATGGGTGGTGGAAGGTTGATATATACCCAATAGCACAAACAACACTACTCTGAACACTGAACCCATTAGATAGTGCCTGATTTCAACATCGATCGTGTATGTGATTCTAAGAGCATCTTGAGGGCTTTCTTGCCAAAGTAGGACCTACATGTGGAGGTTTGTCGTATAATACAGACCCTGGGTTACAATAGCAAATGCTTGAGATAATGACGACCTTTAGGATGGTAGAGTGTGTTGATTAAATCTCTATGAGATGCATCTAAATGTAGTATGCAGAACCAGAAGTTGTTTTCACAGAAAGTAAATAGAACCGGACAATGCGCTGGCTATGATATGGTATATGGTGAACTGCGCCCGTGAGGAACTTCGAGTCAAGTCAAAACCATGTAGCTTTGTGCGAGGCTTAGAGTTGTTTTTAGCCTTACTTCAGAAAATCCTTGATAAGAAGGAGCAACCCATGGGAGTCTAGAAACCCTCGCTGGGAAGGAGCAACCTTGGAAGTCTAAAAATCCTTGATAGGAAGGAGCAACCTAGGGGAGCTTATGATATAACGCGGACCTTAAAATTATCAAGATATAATGGTGTCAAACTACCTTCAATGTAAAAGTTGACCTTCTTGAAAATCATCCCATTGCTCTGCTAAGTATGCGTGTAATTACTCACTGCAGTATGGGGTGTATAGCAACCCAACTAAATGGGGGTGAATACTCACAACACCCACAACCTCATCATCAACAACCTCCAAAAGTTGCAAAACAACACACACCACCATTCTATGAATACTACAACATCACGAATAACATTCACATCGACATAAAAATGGTCGGGCATTTCCAATTTCCCCCATGGGGTTCACCATTTCTGGATGCAGGCCACACAAACACACCCTCCTCATCCTGGCATTCTGAGCGTGGACTAAGCCCGCACATGAGAGAGCTTGACCACACCGTGCACAACCCAACCGCAGACCAGCTCGCGGAAACACTCAAAGTAATCATGATGACGAATGGAGCCCGCGAGCCTCTCCCAGCAGAGTACAACTCATGTATCATGCAGGTGCTCGAGGGGTATAGCACCCATCGCCTTGAACTCCAGACGAAGATAAAGGAGCTTGAGGAGGCGAAGAAGGAGAAAGAGGAGACAGCTACGGAGCTTTGGCAGAAGACGCTGGAGTGGAAGGAAGAAGAGAGTCGGTACAAGACGGAACTTAAGAAGTTGGAGGTTATACTGGCTAAGACGCCACGGGGTATGGAGCTGGTGGCCATGGCGAGGTCGCAGAGTGTTGTACGCAGAAACAAAAAGAAGGCCGAGGTGAAGAAAGCGGCAGACAAGGGACAAGTGAACAAACTAGATGGCGAGTATGTTCCGAGACGTCTAAGACCAGGTGAGTGAACAAAGCCGGATTCACATCGATAGAATCTTGGAACCTCGAAACTAACAATACTCCAACAGGCTTCAATATTTTATTGCCTAACTATGCAGAGAAGAAAGATGCTGCCACAACCAAGTCATTCATGCCACACTACCGTCAAAACTCTCTCTCCATGGGATTTGGTTCCGTGTCCCTGCCAAGGCCACAACTGGAAGAAGTCGAAGAACCTACAAAGGAAAAGGGGAAAAGGTCGATGCTGGGAAAACTCACCCATGCCGGAAAGAAGAGCGCACTTCGCCTTTTCCACGGTGGTCATTCACCCAAGAAAACCTCTGAGGAGTCCGCCGACAAGTCGCCGAAGAAGTCACCCAAGAAGTCTTCGCCCAAAAAGAAAAAGAACGAAGACATCGCGCCACACAACTACGAGGATCAGATGCGTATCAGTGACTTCAACCTTCACCAAAATGCCATACACAGCACTCGGAGCCTCTGGGGACACTTTGGCCGTAGCCCGAACGTTAACCTAGCATCCAAGGATGCTGAGGTTGCTCGAAGCGCCCCTACTGGTCCACCGAAGCTGAAATCGCCAAAGAAACTGAAACACAAAGCCAGTCTATTTGACTTCGAGAAATCACCAAGGAAACTAAAGCACAAAGTCAGTGCCATTGATCTCGAGAAATCACCAAGAAAACTGAAGAACAAAGCCAGTGCGATTGACATTGAGACGGCAGCTGCCGCAGCCAGGGCAGCCACGAGAAGAACGGCATGGCTATTGCCAGAGGACGACGAGAGTAACTAGGACTATGCTTAATCAGATGTGGAGAGGGAGAGATGTTGAAGTACTGTACGAAATATACCCAGGATGGAGGGGGCTGAGGATGATGCAGGTAGAGACGATATCCAAGCAGCTTGACAAAAGGGAATGAACCAAACATGAGGGGCTACCAATACCAAAATTTGCTGACGGATGTTGCCTTTAATATACGAATATGATGATTGACGCCGCACGTTGGATGCAACTATGGCATCTTCCGATTTTTCGGCGATATCCCATGTGATGAGCTGTAAAGCAACAACTGTCTCGATGTTTTTAACTTCCTTATTCCCTTTCCATATCTTGGCTACTATACTATCCTTACCCTACAAATGACGGCGTCGCGGGGTAATCCGTCTCATATTCAGAGTAGGTTAGAGTAAGTCAGATCTGGGGGTGCATTGTAACCGCCGATCATTCTATATTAATTCTCTTGGCTTGAACGACTTTCTTCACCAAGGGGACTCGTCACCAATTAAGCAGCTTGTATTTGAGTCGTTTCACGGCTATCTGCAAAAATTATACCTTTGTAGGTTGGATTCGGTGAATTCTTTGGTTTCCAGTCGTGGTCGGTTTGTGCTTGTAGCTGGCTGTGCTACTTTTTCCAACGTCCGTTTGTAAGGATCGCCTGGGCTCAACCCCATCAGTCTTTGGGCCAGCTAGCAGCCTATATTGCAGCATATTTCTCCATCGCGCACTTAATCTACCCATTACCGCTCTGGGATTTCCCTTAATCTATTCTGATATTAAGTTTTAAAACTGCCGATCTTTGCAACTTGGCGGACGGCAGTCTGCCGCCCCTTGCGTATGCTTGGCCTCACCGTGATCGTCCATTCATTCTAAGAGGTGGAAAATGTCTCGAATCGAGGACGCATATACGAAGAAAAATAGAGGCTCAAAGAGATGGATTTAACTATAAAACTAAGACAAGCGTCCGCATTGAGTCTGCTAAATCACACTCTTCCTGTCATCGCGTCCAAGATACCCTTTTAGATACCCCTTACTCGCCAACATGTTCAACTACGCTGCATTGGCCCTCCTCCCAGTGGCCTTAGGCTATGTCACACCTCTCTCGAGCCGAGCTGGCTGTACAGCCCCCGTTGATGGGCTCGTCGGTTATGCCGCTGGCGTAACAGGAGGTGGTAGCGGCAGCGGAACCACAGTTACCTCCTGCTCTGAGCTCACCTCTGCCATTGAAGGTGGCGGTGTTATTACGATTGATGGGATTCTATCTGATTGCGGCATTTTCAAAGTACCAAGCGACACGACAATCATTGGAGTCGGTGCTGACTCTGGTAAGTTTGTACCTATAGCTTTATGCTTATTGTTGCTCATTTATAAACAGGTTTGACTGGTGGTGGCTTCATTTTGAAGAAAGTCTCCAACGTCATCCTCCGCAACCTAAAGCTGCACAACCCTCCTGAGAGCGACGATCTGATTGCTCTTAACCTCGCCACTAAGGTCTGGATTGATCACTTGGATTTGTCTACTGACGGCCTCACTGGCTCCAAGGACTTTTATGATGGCCTCTTGGATATCACCCACGCGAGCGACGACGTCACCGTATCATGGACTAAGTTCCATGACCACGTCCGTCCAACCCACCTATAGACAGTATTAGCTGCTAACTCATTCAATAGTGGAAAGGATCTCTCGTTGGCCACTCCGACAACAATGCCGCTGAGGACACCGGCTACCTCAAAGTCACCTACCACCACAACCACTTCTCCAACGTCAACTCTCGCCTGCCATCCATCCGATTCGGCACCGGACACATCTACAGCTCCTGCTTCGAGGACTGTCCAACCTCCGGAATCAACTCCCGCATGGGTGCCCAAGTTCTTGTTGAGCAGAGCAGCTTCGTCAACGTTGGCCTTGCCATCACGACGAACCTGGATAGCGACGAGCCTGGCAATGCCGTTTCAACCGATAACCTCTTTGAGAACAGCCCGACGGATATCACCCAGGAAGGCTCTCTCACGCCACCTTACGACTACGTGTAAGTTTATCCATGTCTTGCGATTGGATTATTCAGCTGACAGGGCCATTTAGTCTTGATGACGCTTCGTGCATTTGTGATTACGTGAAGGCTCAGGCCGGCACTGGCATTGTTAACTAAGCATCGTTTTAGAAGTATATTAGAATATGCCTTTTGCAGTGCAGCAATGAAATATTAGTTATCTATACGTATAAACCAAATCTTGTTGCTCTCCATTCTTGGTTCCAGCTCTATACCAAACTTGCCTGCCGTGCCGTCCACGGAGACGTAAAATTCAGCCCTTACAACTTGTACATCTCTGTCATCTCTGTGCTTTACGTGTAAGTAAGCCATCCAGAATTCCCCAGAAACATGCTTCAGCTTGACTTCCATGGCAATTTCTTGGTCAGTCCTGTCTGCAATTAGGCGCTCTCCGTCAGCAACGAAGTTCATGGCTCCATAACCCGGATGCGAATAGGACCCGGCATATTTGTCCAGCGGCAAGGATGGAGGCGTCAGTTTAACAGGGACAGATGGATACAGTCGCTCTCTGGCCTTTGCGAAGGCTTCACGTCGTTCAGCCACCACCTTTTTCCACCTAGCGTTCCAATCGACCCGTTCATCCAGCGGTGTTCCCAGCAGCTGATCCAATAACCTGAAATAAAGCACCATCTGCACATAATTACTCGCCTTCGACGTATTCCCCATCATCACAAACCCCCACTGCCTCTCTGGCAAAAACGCCATCACGGATCCAAATCCCGTCCACCCCCCCGAGTGCCAAATAATCCTCTCTCCCCTATACGTGTCCACAAACCAGCCCAGAGCGTACAAATTTGGTGCTTTAAACGGGTTGTTCCCGGGAATCGGAATAACCATGCGAGGTGTCACTACAGACGCATGTCCGGCCGCGCTGAGCGGCGCAGAGCGAGTCATCATGCATCTCAGCCACTTTGCGTAGTCGAGGACGTTGCTGATGATTGCTCCCGACCCGGATACAGCGGGGAAGTCAGGTAATTCCTCATCCACAAATTGTTCAGCTGCTGCATCCCATGCATAACCCCTTGCAAGCTTTGCATCTCCTCTCTTTTCAGCAGCAAGTGCATCGTCCAGAGTCCAATAAGTCTTTGACATCCCCAGCGGATCCCATATCCGATCTTTGAGGAAGCAGCCCATATTTTGGCCTGTCCTCGTCTCTAGAACATGTGAAATCGTCGAGTAAATCATGTTATTGTACATGAACTCTTCTCGCAGCTCAGACGTCATCGGGAGATGCCGCATGTTTCGCACCATTCCAGCGACGTTTGTGGTCTTGGGCCCGAAGCTGTTTTCATGGTCTGGCAGCCCAGTACGGTGGCATAATGCGTCTTCTATCGTTGCGTGAGCTGTCGCATACAAATCGGGTAGCACAAAGTCTTCTGGAATAAGGGAGGCTATGCGAGTTTTCCAGGTGAGCGGCTCGTTCTGGGAAGCTGGGCTGGATTGACCTGTCGTAGCACGTGCGTTTGTATCGTCGTCGATGAGTAGTGATATCGCTGCCGATGTGAATGATTTTGTTGTGCTGGCAGTAAAGAAAAGTGTTTCTGGCGTGACTGGTTCGCTCGGAAAAGATGCAATGCCATATCCCTGGACTAATTAGTATTATAATCTTGAGAGACGACTGAGCGGCCTACCTTGGCAAAAATTTGATCACCATCTATGACTGCGACTGACACCCCTGGAACGTGCCATTCTTCGAGTAGTTCCCTCGCAAACGCATCGAATGTTTCATCGAGCGGAGTTTGAGTATCATTGCGAACTGTCACCATTTTTGTGAAGCTAAAACCCAGTTCCTGTATAATCTTGGCTCTTTGCTCTTGATCGATTTTCTATTTAGAGCATCTCAATTTTGCGCCTTAAACGTATTCTTCAACAAAACCCATTCCAAGGAAGCAATAACAGGATTTAAACATCTTCCAGGCACCGACCCAAATCGAGCGCCGCGTAAGCACTTGTTATCGTGAACGCGTAGTTGATGGATGAGATTCTAACGGTTCCTGAAGCTCCAACTGGTCCGTGCATTCTCACCCCGCATTCCGGATCTACCCCTCCTCCCCTCACGTCACGACCCCAATTGCACCCTCACGTTATCTCCAATATGACAAAAGATGGAACCTCCCATATTGATTTTTCAACAAAATGATGCTTCCTACATGCTACCCAACAAGGACCCCGAAAAGGGGGTAATCTATCCCGCCCTCTCACTCCCCGCTCCATCTTACCCCAACCAAACAAGCAAATATTGGCACTAATGTAGGTAGTCCCCTTTTCTTGGCGAAAACTCGTGACACTAGGGCTAGTGAGATATGCGCCAGCTTCGGGCAGTGGACTCCGGACTCCGCCTTTCGCCGTTGACAAGGTTATCACTCTTGTCTCCATTGTTCGGGGAGCGTCTGCGTCTCATTTATTGCTTATATTCCTCTTATATACAGTCCCTACAATCTTTACCTCTCCATCCCTCCTTCAACCCTCAATCAATCAAACCCAGAAAGAAAGAAAAAAAACCCACCACCACCACACGCAAAAACCAAACTTCAAACCTCACCCACAATGCCTCACAACATCCCCCCCCCCTCCCCCCTCCTCCTCACCCTCACCCCCCTCACCCAATCCACCTTCCACCCCTACGGCTCCGTCCTCTCCAACCCCAACCCGAACGTCACCCCCTCCTCCTCCTCCCCCCCCCCTCCCGGCGCCATATCCGCAAACCAAGGCTCCGCCCTCAAATACCCCGACATAACCCCCCTCACCGACCTCTACGCCTCCGCCCCCAGCGGCCGCCCCTCACGCGCCACAATCAGCATGTTCGTCTGCGCTCCCCGAGCCCTCTCCCCCCCAACCAGCACCAGCGGCGGTCTCCCCACCTTCCCCGTTGAGATCCTCGAACGTCACCCCTTCACCACCCAGACCTTCGTCCCACTAGGTCTCTCCGCCTCCTCCGCCGACGTCCGCTACCTCGTCATCGTCGCGCCCAACCTCGCCCCCTCCGCGGGCGGACTGGCGGCCGCTGACCCCGCGGCCCGGTTACCGGGGAAGAACTTACCGGATCTGGGGAAGATGCAGGCGTTTATAGCGAGGGGGGATCAGGGGGTTACGTATGCACCGGGGACGTGGCATGCGCCGATGGTGGTGGTGGGGGAGAAGGTGGGGTTTGTGGTTGCGCAGTTTGTGAATGCGGTGGGGGAGGAGGATTGTCAGGAGGTTGTGTGGAATAGGGAGGGCGATGGGGGGGAGGCGGTGATTAGGGTCGCGGTGCCGGGGGTGGGGGGGAGTAGGTTGTAAGCTGGGGGCGGGGGGGGAAGGTAGTTGGAGTGGCGGGCGTTGAGTTGGTGAGCGAGTTGTTGTATATTACCTCTCGACCACAGACGTCTATCACAATTAGTGGCCGCAGCGCAGCGCAGCATTAGATCCGCAGATCCAACCATCACCGCTAGCCAAATCATCATGTATATAACAATCCAATCCAATACTATCTAACTCCAACGCACACCTCACGTACCACCAACCACTCACCGCACCCCCCTCCCACCAACCCGGCCACCGCGTGTTAAAAAGGTTATCCCCCATCCCGTGTCAGCCTGCAGCCTACCGCGCTCCCCTCCGCGTGAGTGGCCTGTCCCGAACCGGTCGTGTAACCCCGGAGGCACGCCTTGTCACATTGCGGTGGGGAAGGATTCGGGCGGTTGGTTGGGTGGAGTGTGGTTTTCCCGATTCCTGGGCGACTGGTGTGTGTGGTGTGTGTGTGGTGTGCGTGGTGGTGGTGTGGTGTTTGACTGTTTTGGGAACGTTGAGAATGGATAGGCGGTGTTGGCCGTGGAGATGTGGATATTTTTTGGGGAGAGGTTGTCTCAGTACCCCTCATCTGTTTTTTTGGGGGAAAAGAAAGCATGGTGGTTTTAATTAGATTTTTTGTTTCGTCTATCCCGTGTGTCGGAAGTAGCCGCTCTGCGCTGTGCAGGGAAAAGGAATGTATGTTGTATGTCTTACTGAGTGAGACTGGAGATATCCGTGAAGTGGAGATTTGGTATGTGTGATCGAGCCGTCTTTTGCCTGGTGACTGCGACAACGGAGAGACATGTTAGGCAGCTATCGATCTCCACGTGGAACAAACCATGTGGGTGGATATTCACATCGGATTATACAGGACAGCTGGAGGGAGATGAAAGTAATCGTTCTTCAAACAGACATATATTAATTAATTATATAGTAAGACGTTAACACGTTATTTCAACATCCATCTCCTCCATAATCCGCAAATCCACAATAAGTAATCCCTGGGTATCTATCCATCCATCATAAAAAGTCCAACCACAAAAAAACATAAACAACGCCGTCACGCCGCGCTTAGTATCAAGGTTGGCGTGCATCTTGGATCCCGAGATCCAGTAAATACGGCACAAAACATATACCCATCCCATCCTAGATGCCCTTCCTTCTATATTCCCTTCCCACGTAAATGCAGATGATATCTCCCTTCTCCGCCAGGGAGAAATGAATAGCGCCTAAAAGCAGCCTTCTGCAAACTCCTGATTTCCCAACTGATATCTTTCCTAACCAAGCACTGAAGCAATATTCATACGGTTCGCAGGACTCTCAGGCGTCCTGACTGCAAGCCTCGACAGCGACTGTATCGGTGGTAGCTGCACCGATGCCACCGGACGCTCTTGCATCCGCGGCTGCGCATCCGAGTAACTCGGTCTGTACTCGGACTGCTGCGGCGCACTATCGTACCACCTGTTCACCTGCGGCGCATACGGCGCTGGGTGACTGGGGCGGTGTGCGAATTTCGTCTCCTGCGCGTAGCGTGACGAGAAAGAGTGGTTCTGGGCGTCTGATTCCGAGTTGTAGCTGGATGATGGGAAATGCAGCAAAGGAAGACTCTGTCTTCTGTCGTCGGAGTGGCCTGCTAGCGGTGGGAGCGAGATGATAGGAGATGGCTGGCCGCGGGGAGAAGTAGAGTGACGAGATCCAGAGTCCGAGACGAGAGAGGGCGGGTTGCTGACTGATTCCGCACGGGAGGCTTCAGATACTACCGGAGAAGGGAGGGACTGATCGATGTGCCTCCGTCCCGAGGAGTAAGGCGAAGTAATGGTGAGAGGCTGATGATGACCCGAGTGTCGCGAGTACGACTCCATCTCCTGCGCCTCCTCATAATCCTCCTGCGCGCGTGACGACGTCCTCCTCCTCACTACCAAGCGGCGCCTGCGGTTCATACTCCCATTCCACCAGTTCTTAACAGCGTTATCGCTGCGGCCATGCAGCCGCCTCGCGATCTCAGCCCAGCGCTTGCCAATCTCAGATACGAGGCGCTCGATGAGGACGCCTTCGTCAGGGCTAATCGGCTCGTGGTTCAGGGTGGGCTTGAGGTTTTGGTGGTAGCGCTCGCGACACTGTTTGGGGGAGCGCGAGTTGATGAGGGAGGCGATGCGGACCCAGTTGAGGGGGCCTTGGGTGTGAACGAGTTGGGTGAGGTAGGCGTCTTCGGCTTGGGACCAGGGCCCGCGTCGGTGGGACGTCATGCTGGGGGGAGTAGGCCAGGCCAGGCTGTTTTTGGAGGGGGTTCCTGGAGTTGGATCGAGGTGGTGAGTGTAGGTACGTTCAGGTCCGTGGCGTATGGCGGTTACTATATATACTCTGAGAAGCCGGTTGGTAGACTAGTGAGTAGATATAGTGATCAGGTGAGAGCCGGCAGTTGGACTGAATCCCGAGTCTTCTTCTGAAAATCCGTGGTGTGGGATAATGAGAAAGGTGATATATTAGAGTTAGGAAGGCGCAAATATGACAAAGCTGTTGGCGCGGGTAGATGGACGATCTGGTCGGGAGGGATTTGGGGGGGCGGGCGGTGGTCCTTATAAGTGGATTCGACGAGTGCGGAAGGGTTGGCTGATCGAGGAGGATGTCTTGACCGGTAGTGTGGTGGGTGTGCGGCTGAGTGGGGTGGGACAAATATTGTCAGGGAGGGGGGTAAACCGGGGCTGGATCTTGTCACCTCTCAACTTTGTTCGACACTCTCTCGATGGAGATGAGGCAAGATAAAGTGGAGATGGGAGATTTTGGTAGTTTGGTAGTTTGGTGGGGGTGGTGGTTTGTAGGAGCGGCAATAGGCGGACAGTCTTATAGGGCGAGTGAGTAGGGATGTCGGTGAGGGTTGAGGGTGGTGAGGTGAGCGAGTTTGATGCAGGCGATGATGCTGGTAATATAGAGCAAGGTGGGAAATGCGATGGAGGAAGAAGAAAAGAGGGGGCGAGGGGAGGGGTGGGAAAGATGGTTGAGGATGTGAGGTGTGAGATGGGGTTGTTGTTTAAGGGCCGTAGTAGTTTAGTTCGATGGGGATAGTTCGATCGAGTAACTCTGATAGTGGAGAATGTTGGAGTTATGTATGTAGGTATGTAGGTAGATACATATAGTAGGATATGCACACTACTGTAAAGTATGGTACTGAAGGAGGAGGACGAGGGGGAGGAGGAGGAAATAGAGGAGACGAGAAGAGGAGGAGGAGGAGGCGAGGAGTG